AATATAAATATAATATTATTCAATATGTTGCAAACTCTTTTAAGTTCACAATTGTCTTATTTGCTAAATACAATTCATAATAAATATTTTTTATGTCTTAAGATAAACATGCTATTGTTATTGATAATGGATCATATCAATGTAAAGCAGGTATGGCAGAAGAAAAAGAACCAAAATTTTGCTTTCATTCATGTGTAGGAAGACCAAAATTTGAACAAAGTAGATGGAATATGGGCGAAAAAGAAATTTGTGTTGGTGATGGAGTTTTAGAAAAGAGAGCTGTTTTATCAATTAAATGGCCAATTGAATTTGGAATTATTGTAAATTTTGATGGTATTGAAAATATGTATCCACTATTTAGATATGGAAAGAGTTTGGCTTCATGCATTCAATAAATTAGGCGTCTATCCAGAAGACCATCCAGTTCTTTTGACTGAAACTGTAAAAAATCCAAAGGCAAATAGAGAAAAAATAACATAAATATATTTCGAAACATTCAATGTGCCATAGTTCTTAGTTGTTAATTAGGGATATCTCTCACTGATGGCTTCAGGGAGATCCACTGGTATTGTCTTAGACTCTGGATATAGTGTTTCAAACATAGTTCCAGTCTTTGAATCATCTACTTTATTAGATGATACTCTGAAAACTGATTTGGCAGGAAGAGCCTGCGATAGAAAAATGGCTTCTATTGCAGAGGAATTGGGTGATGTAAGCTAAAAATGGACTGAAAAGAGAAATGAAGAAATTGCAAGAGATATTAAAGAGGAATTATGTTATGTTGCTCTTGATTATGAAGAGGAAATGGAAAAATACAAGAATAGTGATGGATAAAGTAGATATTTTCAATTACCAGATGGAAGTGAGGTTAAGATCGTTGATCAAAGATTTAGATGTCCAGAAATACTTTTTAATCCTTTATTACAAAATTCTAAAAATTTGGGTCTTGATAGCATAGGAATTCCTTAAAAAATATATAATTCAATTAATAAGTGCGATATTGATATCAGAAGAGATCTGTAATAATTATATTTAATTTATGTCTTAGTTATGAAAATATTTTATTAGCAGGAGGAAATACTTTGATACCAGGATTCAAAGAAAGATTAGAAAAAGAATTAGCATCACTTGCACCTTCCACAATTAAAATAAAAGTTGATGCCCCAAATAATAGAAAATTAACATGCTTTATTGGAGGATCAATCATGGCATCATTATCATCTAACCAAACCAAGTGGATCACAAGTTCAGAATATGAGGAATATGGCCCAACTATTGTTCATAGGAAGCTTTTTGATATTTGATGATACGATTAAGCTATTTATAAAAGAATTATGAAATTCACATGATTATTTTTGATGAATCCTCTAATTAATTTATTAAAAGTAGTTTTTATTTTAATTAATTTAATAAATAATTATTCCTAATATATATTGATAAGTCAAAGAGTTAATTTTTAATTAACAAATCTAATATAATATTACTTTACTAAAAAAAATAACATAATTTTAGCAGTTTTAAAAAGTTGAAATCAATTATTAACTAAATATAATTTGTGTAACTATAAATACTAAATTGTCTGTTCAAATAATTATCATATTTATAATTAGATTTTATAATTATTTTAATGCTTCTGAAATCTGATTCTATAGAAGATAGAAGAAGTCAAATAGAATTACAAAAACCTTCTAGTATTGTAGAGAATAGTATCACTTTATCTCTAAGAAGAAGACCTCATTAAAGAGTGAATACAAATAAATAAGATGGAGAAGATTCTTATGGTAGTTATAATTTGGATCATCATGAAAGAAGTTTATAGAAAATAGATAGCACTCCGAGAGAATCACCTCTATAAAATAAATAAATCTAAAAAGCTTCTATATTTACAAAAGCAGCATAAAAACGATAATAATAAGGTTAATCTCATATTCCAGAGGTTTAAACATTGGAAAATTTATAAAGAAAACAATAAGATTTGCAGGATTCTTAATAAAATCTTGAAGAACTTAGAAATGTGATTGCAAAACATATATTTATAAATAAATGGTATTAAGGTCCATCTTATGAACGAGCAAATGATAATTTTTTTATAAGGGATGACAAAATAATCATCATAGAAGATGATAGCAGTGTAGATAATTAAGAGGGGTTAAAAAAGCCAGAAGAAATATTAAATAAACTTGTTTAATCTCATATTAATCCAACCAATTATGTTCTATAAAAGAATGAAACTTTAGACAAAGTGAAAGAGGAAGGAGATAGATAATAAAAATTAAAGAAAGAAACTGAAACAAAAAAGCTTATCAAAAATTCAGATGTTAGAATGACTATATATCCTGCTTATGATAACTTTTTTAAAAAATAATAATGATTGCTCAATTATATCATTTAGCAATTTAAGACTTTATCCAAATTCATTTCGATTCTACTTATTATTTAATTTCTTACACAAAATTATTAAAAGATGAAGTTAAACCTGCTTACTTTTATGAATTATCAATTTATCCTAAAATTGAGTATTGCAATGCTTTATTTGCAACATCCTCTATTTTTGGATAATTGTTGTTTGTTTTACAATTACTACAATATTATGCCTTGTCAATTTCCAGTTCAAACAATTAATTTAAAATATTAACATAAGGAGCATAATCATCTTCAGAATTTTCCTAAAGACTTTATTCATGAATTATTATTAGATTTTCTTAAAATCTAACTTCTACTAGAATATAAAAATCATTTGTTAATTTTTTGGTTATAAAAAATACTGAGGAACAAATTAATTTTAAATTATATTCTATTTCTTCAAATGAAAAGTTAAAATGTTTATATTTCTTTTTAACAGTCTCAAAATTGAATTATTTATTTTCTAATTATAAAATAGTTGATGGCATGAATAAAATTAATTTCTATTTAGATTATATTTTTAAAAACTCTTATTTAGTTTTTTAGTTCAAATATTTTATCAGAGCATCAAGAAGTTAAATGTTTTCAGTATTTATTTATTCCTCTTGTATCTCTTGATTGTAAAATTAAACTAATTTAATTGGATTAGATTATTTAGATTGAATTACTTTAGACTAAATGAGGGCATTTTCATCTAAAAGTTTTTATTAACCATTATTCTATTCATTAATTATGAGGATTTGAGGATTCATTTTTTCATATTTGCTACATTCTTCATTATAGTTCTTATCAACCTTAAATTCATAAACTATTTGTTTTGCTCCATTTTAAAATTTGTAAATGATTTAATTATGAGCTAAAAATAAATCCAAATCTTTATAATTTTAAGTTGGTTCAATTAGAATTTACACAAAAGGTTATGGTATATTATTTTATATTTGTTCCATTTGAATTTACATAGAAGGGTCAGGTTGATTATTTTCAGTTCGTTCAATTGAGTTTTATAATGGCAAAAGTAAATTTAATGTACTTCTTTTATTAATTCTTGTAATTTAAAGTTCATTATTTTTAGTATCTCTGATTGTTTTTAAATATTTTAAAAATAATCCAAGAATTAAAACTCCAATAAGTGCTAGAGCCGCATATAATATTATTTACTATAATTAATCCATTTATAAAAATATTATATAAATAATTACAAATTTAACAAAATTTATAAATAAACATGGTTAACAATAAAATAAAATATATATATATATATTTTATTAATAATTATGGATAATTATTAAGTATTAAAAATAAATTAATTTATTGAACATGGATCCTGATCTTTAAGATACAAGAGTTCTTTCAAAAATATTGATAGAAAATCACTCAAAAATAATGAGCGAGCAAATTAATTAGGAAAAATAATATAGGTTTAAAATATAATATCGATTAAAATAGAGAGAACTTAATAGCCTAATAAATAAAAGAGACATAATAGCATTTTGATGTGAAAAAGATGACTCAAGATTTCAATAATCAATTAAATTAAGATGTTTATACAAGTTAGTTGAGTGAAAAAGTTTAAATAAAGATGTAGGATTTTAAATTAATATAGAGTATTTTAGCATAACTTTCCAGAAAGCAATCCATAAATATTTGCCACAAAATAAATGAGTCATAAGTTGATTGATCCTGATACATGGTAAATAAAAGTGGAACAGTAAAATGCAAATGAAAAAAAATCACTTTTTTAAATTTTAAATGATATAGGAAGTTAATTTTTAATAGAAGCTCCTGAAGAGGATTTAATAATGATGGAATTTTCAAAATAACCTGATGATCAATTTTAAAAACATTTAAAAGCTATTAAAAGTGTTGAATTAAGAGAATTATTTGAAAATTGTTATCCTAATCAATATTTACAGAATTTATAGCAAGATCTAAGTTAATTTATTATGAATTTAGAAGATTATTAATAATTAAGTAATTTGATTAGAGATAGAGCCTAAAATAATGAATCATTAGGAGGTATTAATAAAAAGAAAATAAATAGTCTAAATTAAATAGATTAGGAATGAGAATTAAAGTTTAAAGAAAGAAATAGAAAAATAGTTGATTCACCTATCAAAACTACAAAGTTCAGGATTTAATCTAAATGGTTTTTGCGTTTCATTACATAAAGTAATATAATTTTATATTATAGAAATTCTCAGATAAAGAATTAGCAAGAGTTTTAGATAAGAAAATATAAAATTTAGAATAGTATAGAGAAGAGAAATATGAAAATAAAAATAATGAAGAAAATGAGAAGTAATTCGAAAAAGATGTTAAGGAATATTTGGAAAAAAGAAAGGAGTATCAAATTTCCATTTAAAAGAAATAATATTGTGTAAGAGCATTTTAAAATAAATATTAAAAATGATTTGAATATCTCATCATTCATTTTTAAATTAAATAAAATTCATTATAGTTTTTTTATTTAATAAATTATTATTAGATTGCTAATTTTAATTATTTTCAATTTCTTTATAAATTTAGATTTTATAATAACATAGTTAAAATGTTAAAAATCATTTAGAAGGCATTTATTCTGATAACTCCAACATAATATTTAACCAATATAATTATAACTTTGAACAATTAAAAACAAAATTATTAATAATATGAATGAAAATTAAATAATTGATTTGAAGGAGACCTAAATTTAGAAAATAATGCCCATAAAATAAGTAGTGAATGCAATATTTGATTGGGCACATGTATCAGCTGATTAACCTACTTTAGAAGATGATTTTTACTTAGATAATAAATAGATATTTTAATATACATGCAATTTAAAGGTTAAAGCTAAATAAGAATATAATGAATAACTAAATTTAAATTTAGGAAAGACAACTAAGTTAAATGGAGAATAAGTAAATAATTTAAAAGAAAAGGCTAAAATGATAGCATTATCAAAGAATAAAAATAATAGTGAATAAAAAGAATAATAGTAAAAATGGAATTCAAGTGATGATGAGCATGATTAAGTTTAAATTTAAAAAGGGAGAGAAGAAAGTGGTGATAAAAAAGTGTTTAGATTGTCAGAAAATAGTATTAAAAAAGATGAAAATAAATTAGAATAAGGGTTCAGATATAGTATAGTAGAAATATAATAAAAGAAAGTAGAAATAAAATAAATCAGTTTTATAGAAACATGGGATAAATTGAAAAGATCCTAAGAAATAAAGGATCATATGAAATTTATAGAATAAAAGAGTTCTTTAGTAGAGAAATTGATTGGTTGTTTTAATGTGAATTTGAAGAATAATAGATTGATAAATGAAAAAATAAAAGTATTATCTATCTAAATAAGGTTGATATTCTGTCTAAGATTTCTTTTGATGATAATAATGAGTGCCATTTTAGAATGCTTTATACAATATATTGTTAATTAATGACAACAGATTTTTGTTTAAGATATGGTAGTCATTGGGAATTGATAGGATTTTAAGGAACAGATCCAGCCACAGAACTTGGAAATGGAGGAATTTTAGGATTGGTTTAAATGTTAGCATTTATATCAGATTATAAATAATATGTTAAGAATGCATTAAATATATTATCTTAGATAAATATTCCATTGAGTATAACTTTAATGGGTATTTCATCATTAGTTTTAATGAGTTTAAAGGATAACAAACTAAATTATTTAATAAATAAAGAGGATTCAGTAATAAGTGTGATAAATAAACTTTATTTTGCAGGATTTAATTTAGTGATAAAAGTTCTAAAGAAGTATAAGTTAATAGTTTCTATAGTAGAGAATAAATGCCATTAAATATAATAAAGACTTTGTTGACTAATGTAAGAAAATAAATACATGAACATCCATAAAAACTAATAAAATAGTTTTAGTAAGATATTTAAATGTTTTATAAGATTAATGATAAATGATTTTTAATTTAATATTAAAGTAAATGTATTAAATATGTATATATATATATATAAATTTCGTTTGTTTATTAAAAGGAGCTAGTCAGACACACTCAAGTCTTCACATATTTGTTGACATTAATAGCCATAAAGAATACTAATGAACAACAAATATGGATGGGCATCGCGAATCGCATTCCATGATATAGAATGGATTCATATTCCTAATTATAGACAAGAGTGCATGCTGAATCATTCTAGCTTGGTTGGTTGCCTACATTTGCTGAAGCAAAGTGTAAGTAACTACTATAGACATGATCCTGTACGAGTACAGTCTTAATATATATTCTATAAATTTGACACCTTAAATATAAAGTTAATTTTTATATAAATATGGGTTTATATTTTATTAAATAAAATGTTAGAAATCATTGATTTGGTTAATCAAATAAAATAGCAATTAGGAAATAGAAATGTACTTCTTTATTTAAATGTTAATAGGATGATGATTTAATAATATAATCTTTTATATTAGGATTATTGTAAGGCAAGGCCAATCCTTATTCATAAGAGTATTTACAAGAAAATTTAGAAACCTTAATGAACCTTAATATGCTAATTGACATTAATATTTATAAACCACAAAGAGTTCAGAAATTGTTTAATGATATTTTGTAAGGATCCAAAACTGTATTTTATTATAATTAAGTAACAAGTTGTAGTAACTCTCTACTCTTTTAGAAGCAGAGGTCTTTAATGAGATTGAAGAAATATAAGATAATTAATAAAATTAAGATAACTAAAATTAAATAAATCAATAGTTTATTATAAAATAATAGAATTTGAATCAAGATCAGGAAAATTATAAAAAAGTCTAATAAAATTCTGTTAAATTTTAACTTTTTAAATAGAACTAACAATAAGAATAATAATAATAAAAATAGATAAATTCAAAAAATAAGAAAATTTTGAAAGAAGAGAAAAATGCTTAAAAAATACAGCTATAATTAAATTAGAATAGTTTAAACGAATCTAACAGTTTAAAGTTAGCGCATTAATTGCAATAATAGTAATTTGATTGTTCATAAGAATAGATTTGATGAAGAGGATAATTTGATGAAGTAATTTGAAATAGAATAACATTTTGAAGAATATTAAGCAGTGCAGATTGAAAAGAAAAATTAAGTTGAATGCAAAATTTGTTTAGAATATATTCCATTTATAGAATTGGCAACTTTATATTGTTCACATATGTACCATTAGAAATGTTTAGCTTAATATTGCCTTACTTAAATGGAATCTAGATAATTTCCAATTTTGTGTCCTTCAGAATGCAAGAAAAATATAATATATTCTGATTTAATAGAGGTTTTAGATGACAAATAAATATTGTAATTTCAAAAATTGACATTTAAAGCCTATATTGATACTCATAATAATGAGGTATGTATTTTAGATATACAACTAGTATTCTTGGTGTCCAACTCCAGATTGTTAATATGTTTTTGTTTTAGGAGAGTAGTCTTAATTTGAATGTCCAGTTTGCCAAAAAAGATATTGTTTAGAATGTAAAATTGAATATCATAATGGATTTTCATGTTAAGAATATTAAAAGAAAATAAAAATGGAAAATCAGAAAGCGTTAGATGATAAATTCTTTAGTTTTATAAAAGGGGCTAAGTATAAATAATGCCCTTAATGCAAGTTTTGGGTAGAAAAGAGTGAAGGATGTAATCATATGACTTGTAGATGTAAATTTGAATTCTGTTATGTTTGTGGAGGAGTTTATGAGAAATGTGAATGTGTGATATAAGCGCATGCTAATTGGCCTAGAACTTTGAGAAGAAATCGAAGATGAAGGAACATTATATATGAATAATATTATTATAATTATATATATATTAATAATTAAATTAAAAATAAATAAATTTAGAATTCCATCATTATATAATTATTAAAATATTAAAAAAAAGAGAAGATGGCAGAAGAATAATAACCATTCTCATTTACTCCAGAAGGTGGAAGTGCTAGTAATTCAACAAAGGATTATACAGGCAAAGGAATAGCTACGTAATAATGTTATGTAATGAAACAGTTATCCTAATGGCGATATATATGAAGGTTAATATGTTAATGGAGTTAGAGAAGGAAAGGGCAAATATACTTATAATCCATCAGGTGATAGATATGAAGGAGAATTCTAATAGAATTTGAAACATGGGATTGGAAGATTAATATATAATAATAATAAAGGAGAATATTATGGATAATGGGAGCAAGGATTAAGACATGGAGAAGGATTATACACTTATGCTAATAAAGATGTCTATTCAGGATAATGGTCTTAAGGAAAAAAAAATGGATAAGGTACTTATGTATTTAATGACACTGCCATGAGAGTATTTATTATTTATATCCAATAGTTTAAAGGTACTTGGAATAATAATGAAATTGTTGATGGAGAATGGATCTATCCTAATGGAACTGTTTATAAAGGACCATTTTAACATAATAAACCTAATGGTGTTGGCAAATTTGAATTTCCTAATAAAAATTAAGTTGAAGGCTATTACACTTAGACTATTGTACCTAATTCTAATCCTGATGACACTACATTAAATATATAATTGGAATGGGTTACAACAAAACATTATTGATTTATAAATAATCAAATATTATTTTATTATTATTATCTAAGTTTTCCTTTCTTTTTTAAACTTGGTATTAAATCAATCCTTTATTTATTATTATTATTATTATTATTATTATTAATATTATTATTATTATTAAGTATTTATTTTTTTTGATTCTATTAATTTTATTCTTATTTTTTATTTATTTCATAACTTTTGTTTTCTTTTTCTTATTCATATTTATCATAATGATCATTTAATTTTAATTTCATTTCTTCTAAATCTTAATTCTTCTTAAAAGAAGGGCTTTCTGTTGTTCTTAAAGTCTTCTTTTATTCCTTATTGAAAGTTCCAAATTCAAAATTATATTATTATTTATCTGGAGTATTCTTTAGTTAATCTATTTTAATCTAACTAAATCTTCTTAAGATATCAATCATCATCTTAATTAATTACTATATTAGTAATTAGAAATTCTAATGAACAATATCTATTTCAATTGTCTTAATGGTTCCACAATAATTTTAAAATAAGCCACTCAATTTTTCATGTCCATTACAAACTTCAAATAATTCTTTATAGTTTTAAAGCATTTAATCCTAGCTTTATTCTATAAAATTTATACTTATTTCTATAATTAAATCCTCTTGATAATGCTGATAGATCTTCACTACTACTTGATGATGAACTTAATTTAATCTTCTTTCTACTGCTTTTATTCTTAACGATCATTTTATCATTATTAACATTTACTGATTAAACTCTATGTTGTATACTCTATATGTCTTATTATATCTATGTTAATTGTTATCTTATAGTATAATCCTCTAAATTCTTTCTCTTGTGGATGTGTTACCTATTAACATTATTAAAATCTTTTTTACATCTGCATTTAAAATAGTCCATTCTAAAATTCTAAATTCTACATCTTCCTAAATAAGTCCTTCTCATTGTTACATGATCTCCCAGTATCATTATCTTCTGTTATGAACTGTTTTATTACAGCTCCTTTTGCCTATTATTATTTGAATCTTTATTTACTCTAGATGTACTTAAGTTTCCTATCTCTGATCTTATTTGACCCTCTTCTTGCTTTAATTATGTATTTGAATACGAGACATCCTTCAATCTCAACTGATGAAACTTCATTTATATTAAATTTGAAAATAAAACAATAAATTTTAATGCCACCCAAGAAGGATAATAAAAAGGAAGTAATTAATACATCAATTTCACATTTAGTTAGTCTTATCTGAAGATGATGGTACTGGTGTCCTAAAAAATATTGTACAATTCAAAATACAATTTCAAGTGGTTACATAAAATATCTAAAACATTGTAATCATGTATGAATGGTTAAATGCAAATTCAACAGAAAGATATGATACTGGTTTAATCGATTAATGGAATATGGTTTCAAGTGAACCACAATAGAATCCTGATGATCCTCCTATTGTTACTTATTCTTTAGAAAGAGTTTTTGATTAAATAAGATTTATTGATTCATTGGCTGAAGTATTATCAAAAAAGAAATTATTCATGTATTTTGTAAATGCAGATGATATGAAAGTTTTGCAAGAATTTTAGTTTGATTATAGTTTAATGCTCAATACTCCAAGTGTATATAATAAATGTATATTTAGTTCGAATTTGGTTATTCTAAAATGAGAATAATGGAAATATTGGATTTTAAATTCAATATTCAGAGTGATAAACCATTATTACATGAATAATTAAGAGCCAAACTTAATCCTTTTTAAGTGGAAATAGTATCATGTGAAAACATTCCAATTTAAGCATAAAAATCATATGAATTATGTTATGTTTAATATGAATTTTATGATGGAACCTTAATAAAAACTGATATGTAAGTATAAATGTAAAATATGTACTTTAATTCTAAACATATATTTTTATTGGGTACAATGGATGTTATAAAATATTTTGAAACAAAGCCGTTAAAGTTTGAATTACATGACAAAGATGAGATAGTGAGAAATGATGTAAAAGAAGAATTATAATTATTTGATATTGAGAAATGGTTATAAATAGAAGAGGAGAAAAATAGACCACCTGAACCTGATTTTACATTAGATCCAAAAACAGGTAAGAAAATACCAAAAAAGGAATAAAAAAAAGAAGAGAAAAAAGAAGTTAAAAAAGAAGTTAAGAAAGATGCTAAAAAAGATAATAAAAAAAAAGAAGTGAAATTGGGAGAACCAATATTAGAAGAATAACCTAAAAAATAATATAATAGAAATAATCATGGAATAGCAATTATGAATTTAAGTGCATTTATTCATTCAAATGTTAAAGAAGTAGATTTATTAGTTGGAATTGTTCCAAGAAGAGTATTTGAAGATACAGAATCAAATAATTTAGATTTGAATACAACAGCAAGAAAGAATATTCCTAAAGTATTTACAGCTACAAACTATTTGGATTAATAGGCTAATATGTATGTTAAATTTGAAATGTCAAACGCATTAATTAAAAAATGATATAATAAATATTATTATTAATAATTAATTATCACTTAAAAATATCGGAACATTCCGAATCTGACTAAGATATTTACTATCTTTATTAATAGAATTGCTTTTATAAAGTTTCTTCTTCTGACAAATGGGATTTAAACATTGATAATTGTGATTATAATCTAAATTGATTAAAATAATATTTACGTTTAAATTTCCTCCATCTTTGTCAATAGAATTTGTTCAAGTCCTTTTACGTATTCATCCACATCTGATCCAGGTTTATCTATATTATGCAATAACATCATTTCCTAAATATTTAAATTAAAATTTACTTATTTAACCAATTCTACCATTTAATCTATATGTGATCTATGGGTTGAAATTAGGTTTTCTTCCTCCTCCAAAATTACACTAATTAATTATTCATGTTTTTGGCCTATTTTCATTAAATCATCTTCCATAGACTAATTAATTTCTTAGGAATTATAAATTATATATATTTACTTGTTTTTCTTTCAATTTATCCTGGGAATAGATTTTCATTCATATAAGGTCGTGGTTCTTAAAGTTATGGTGTTGGTTTATTGTAAGATTATTTTTTAGAATCATTAATCTTAAATTATGGTTATTATTATTATTATAAAGGAATAACAGGTTGAGGTTATGGAGGAGGAGGCTAAACATAATTTTAAAATGTATAAGTAGGTTATTAAGGTTATTATTATGATATCATCATTCCAGGTACTTAATTTTATAAATTTAAAAATTAAGGTTATTGAAATAGATTCTAATTTTAATAATTTTATAAAGGATTATTTTTAAATGGATTGAATTATGGTTATTATTATTATTATTATTACTATTATGTTTATGGATTTTAAGGTTGTTTTTACATTTTAATTGGTTATTATTATCTTGGTAACATCAACTCTCTTGCTAATTTATCTAATGAAGTAACTTAATCTTTTAATTCTTTATCATTAGGTTTTTTAAGTTCTTTAACTCTATCAGCATATCTTAAAGTATTTAGAGTATGTTCAGAAGATGAATTAGATGGTGAAAAGTTACCTATCATAACAGTTTTACAATTTCCAATAAAAGAATCTTTTAATACTAATGTCAATTTAGATCCTCTAAATGGAGTATGATTTTTATTTAAATCTAAAGCTCTTATACATTCCTTTAATGCTAATAATGATTTATTAATTTCAGCTCCATCAAATCTTGTTTATTTATTTGTATCACTTACATCTGCTCCTCTTTCACTACCTGCTAAATCAATAAATGATAATTTTCCATGAGATCTAGATCCATCTTTCAATGTAATCTGTAAAATAGCATGAGATCTAGATGAATCACTATTTGATGAGTTAGATGCTGTAATTCTTGATGCACTTCCTTGTTCTATTACTTTCATGAGTTATTCTACAGATTATACTTTTCTTTCTTGTAGACCTACGATATTCACATTTCCTTTTGCATCTTCTCTTGCTTAAAGTAATGATCTTTCATTTAAAAGATCAAATAATTTCCCACAATAAATTTCATAAAACGAGATTGCTATTTGAAGATGGCCATAACATTCATTATTAAGTAAACAAAAAATGTCATATGCTGCCAATAAATATAATCCAGGCACTCTTTCTTGATAATCACCCAACATAGTATATGTTTTGCCAGATCCTGTTTATCCATAAGCAAAACATGTTACTTTGGCCTTATTAAATGCTGCTTCAACTATGGGACGCACAATTTGCAAATATAATTGTTCATTAGTGGTATTTTCATCGAAGGCTGCATCAAAATTAAATTAATGCTCTTCAATGTATTTAGTTAGATCAACTTTGGTTCTAAAATGGTTAATGAATATTTAATGAATACCTTTATTCTTTTACAATCACTTAACTCTATTAATTTGAGACATCAACAATATCAATATCACCTTTATTGATTTCTTTCTTATTCAATGGCCTTTTACGAACTGCCACAATGATTTTAGGTTCACCTTGTTCAATTAACATTTTAAATTTTACTTTTTTTTTGAATTTAATTTGTTATTTTTAGTTCGTTATCACTACAACATTAATATATATGTAATCTAATCCTAAAATTACTTCTAATAATCCCTTTTATACAGGTACTTATCCATAAACCATTCTTATAAAGGATAGATAACAATCTACTAAGATTAGATACGACAGGTAATCACAAGCAATCATTAGAGGTAAAGGCAAACATGCAGTCACTTTTAAACCTGATATTCATAAAATCTATACAGTTGAAAATTGGAAAATATTTAACATTGACAACGATAACCAACCCAATTAAAACAAATTTTGCTTTATACTTTGACTATAATTTATTAATATATATATATAGTAATATTATTCATCTTAACTTTGATTTTAATTTAGCTTGATAATCTAAATTCTCTTTCTATACTTTTTCTAATAATTATGATTTCTCTAAAACCTTCATTCTTAATCGATCTACTTCTCTCTCTTAAAGTTCAAATTTACTAGTTAATTCGTTCATTGTTATATTTTTTATTTTAGCTTCCTCAGCATATTTTTGTAATTTTTTATGCTGACCAGCCAAACTTTGATAATTGTCTGTTTATTTAGATAAATCATTTATCAAACTCTCATTCTACTATTTTAATATATTTATTTCTCCTTCTTTTACTTATAATGATTCTAACAATTCTTCCTAATTTTGATTCTTTCCATTCATACTCATTAATTCTTTCAATTAAACTTATAATCTATATATCTAATCATCCCTCTATTTTATTACATTGTTCAATCTACTACATTCTTCTCCCAACAAATTAGTTTTGCATTCTAATTCTCGAAAATTCTTTCCAAAATTTTACTATTATTCTTGATGCTAATTTTCTAATTTTTAATTCACTAATTTTAATGATTAATTCTATTCCTTATATCCTACTAATTCTTATTCCAAAAATTCTATCAACATCTATTTTGATTTATGTATATCATTCACTTCTAATTGATGATTCTTTTCTTCATTCTCAAAATTTGTCTCCAATCTTTTTATTAAACTTTGTTCTCTTATCTACTACTATTATAACAAACAAATTTATTCTTATGACTTACCATACATACCAGTCAATTCATTAATTTTAGATTATAATTATTCCTTATTCTAACAATAATTCTGTTACAAATGTTCAAAATCATTTTCTACTAATTTTATTTTATTTGTAAGTATAGTTTCATTTTATTTCTTTTAATCTGCTCTTTCTTTTACTTTATCTAATTCATTACTTAATCCTTAATTTTATTCTCTTTAACAACCTAATTTACTTTTCAATTCATTAACATGTTATTCCTATGAGGTTATTATTGCTTGCTATTTCAGTAATGTAAACTCTTAATCTTTTGACTAACAATCAAATTATTAAATTGCTTATGATAGCTTCTCCTCTAAAACATTATTACTCTTCTTTAAATTTATTAATTGCCTTTCCTAATTTATTAAATTAATTAATTTACCATCACTTAAACTAAATTTTGATTCTTATTATCAGAACTTGATAATGATGTTAAATTTTATTAAAGACGAGTAATTTCTTATTTTGCTTAAAGTTATTCTTATTTAATAGCTTATCTTTGTTTTGATTCTTACTATTCCATCTAAAATTTCATTGTTGCAACATCTTATTTCCAATTCAAATCCATAGATCTGATAGTTTCATTATGGGTTTTTTCTTGCAATTCGTATTTTTATTTATGATAATCTACTTAATTCTAATTATAAATAAAAATATATTATACTTTAAGATCTTTATTTTCAATTGCTATTTTTGGATCTTATTCAATAATAAATTAAGGTTCCTAGGCCTTTACCTTTAATTATTAATTTTCATATTATAATCTATCTATTTCTTTAATAAAGGTTTCTAAATCTTAAATTTAATTGTTGGTTTTATTATTATTATTTATATTAGTAGTCTAAGATGATGTTTTATTTTATTAATATAATAATTATTATTATTATTATTATTATTATTATTATTATTATTATTATTATTATTACTATTACTATTATGACTATTACTATAATAATAATTATTATTATTACTATTACTATAATTATTATTATTATTACTATTATAATTACTATTATAATAACTATTATTATTATTATTACTATTACTATTGTTATTATTATATTGAGGATTATGATTATGATTATGATTATAGATTTAGTGTATTAGATTTAATAAATGAAAATGATTTAAGATCTTATTTATAATCTAATTTATTTTCTCTTTTATCAATAGAGTTATGTGATGATAAGGGTTATCTGGGTGCTGTATTCATATGATTAATAATTAACGGATAAAAATAATTATAAATTTTAATGTGAAATAATCATTATAAAGTTAATTAGGGCTCATTCATTTCCTTTTAACTAGAAAATAGTAAAAAAATAGAATTACGTCCATTTATTTCCACAAATAGGATTGTTTTTATTGGCACAAATATACTGAATAATGATTTCCTTTTCATTCTTATCAGTTTTAAGAAAATAGATAGCTTCATCATAATTACATCTAAATAGGATGTAATTAATTACTTATTACAAATAACTCTTTTTCTAGGCATGGATGGATCAAGTATAAGTGTATTATCTGTAATATCAATGGCTTTGGCTGCCTAATAATCTTTTTTAAGCAAGAGAGCTTCTTTATTATATGACTTATCAATTTTGACTTCGATAATACCATTATCTCCACATTCCTAATTTCTACATTTAAATTGCAATATTTCAGTGTTATCTCCATCATGATATGGTTTAAGAAGATTCTTACATTTGGGACAGAATCGCCAGCCATTATAATTTTTGACTTCCATAATTTTAGTTAAAATAATTAATGGATTTATTATAAGACCCAAAAGGGGATAGATAAGTAAATACAATTCCAACACCTCCACATAGACCTTTAAGTGAAGAGTTGCTATTCATAAATGAAAAACCTAATTGGAAATTATTAAAAGATCACCTTTTTAAAGAGGGAAGAATAACTAAAAACTAGATTATGAAAATTGTAGAAATGTGCAATTATTATTTAAAAAATGAAGGTAATGTAATTTATGTGGATGATCCTCTTACTGTTGTAGGAGATATTCATGGACAATATTATGATTTAATCAAAGTCTTAGAAATGGGAGGTGATCCAGAACAAGGCAAATATGTATGAATATTTGAATATTTATATGTTTTTTTAGGTGATTATGTAGACAGAGGGTCCTTTTCAATAGAAGTAGTTGTGTTATTATATGCAATGAAGATCTATTATCCTACCAGAGTATTTCTTCTTAGAGGAAATCATGAATGTAAATAACTAACCAGCTACTTCAATTTTAGAGATGAATGTCTCTATAAATATGATCAAGAAGTCTATGAAGCTATCATGTCATCTTTTGATAATATGCCTTTAGTGGCATTGATAAATAACAAATTCTTATGTTTACATGGTGGCATATCTCCTGATTTAAAATCAGTATAAATAGAATCATAATAATTAAGTTAGCTGATGTTGAAAGAATAGATAGATTTAGAGAACCACCAAAGGCAGGACTTTTTTGTGATATTTTATGGGCTGATCCAGTTGAAAATGATGAACTTTATGATGAAATTCATTATAGAGGCAACGATACAAGAGGTTGCAGTTGGTTTTTTGGTGAAAAAGCTGTCTAACCATTACTAGATAACAATAAGTTCATTTGTTTAATAAGAGCTCATGAAGCTTAATTAGAAGGATATAGATTATATAAATACAATGAAAAAATAAAAGAGTTTCCTTAAGTATTAACTATATTTAGTGCTCCTAATTATTGCGATGTTTATAATAATAAAGCAGCAATCTTAAAATTCGAAAATTGCACTCTTAATATCTCTCAATTTGGTTATTCTTCACATCCTTATTTACTTCCTCATTTTTTAGATATATTTTCATGGTCCATACCATTTGTAACAGAAAAAGTAACTGAGATGCTTAATTATGTATTATAACCAAGGCCTGGTGAGAAAATAGACGATTCAGAGGATGATTAAGTTATCATAAATTAGCAACCTATAGGATAATAGTTAGGTAATAGTCGTCCCTTAGGAAAATTTTAACAAATAACTAAGAAATAAATAGATATTACAAAATCAAAAATATCTTTTGTTTCTAAAATGATGAAAATGTAAACTGTACTTAGGTAGGAAAGAGAAAATATCATAAAACTTAAAGGATTATGTCCTGATAAACGTATTCCAAGAGGAGTTTTACTGTAAGGAGCTGAAGGAATTAAAGACGCACTTGAACATTTTAATACAACTAGAGCTGCAGATAGAATTAATGAGAAATGGCCAGAAACTAAATGATTATCTACATTATATTTAATAATGAATGAAAAAACCATTTACAAATATAAAATCTTAACTACAAAACTTCCTGGAGTAGATTCAAATGCTAAAGTATACAAAGGAATTAATACCCTTAAATATTAATTTTATTAATTTAAAATTTAAATTTATTATATACTACAAATAATAAAAAACTTGCAATAAAAATGCTTTCAAAATAGAATATTCTTAATAACTAATATCTGATGGAAGGTTTTTGAAGAGAATTATCAATGATGCAAAAATTAAAAGGAAATTCTCTGGTTCGTTTCTTAGCCACTTTTGAATAATTAAATAATTATTAATAATTTAAGAATTTTTGTGAAGATGGAGATCTTAGAACTTATCTTAAAATATTAAAATAATTATCTGAAGTTGAAGCTGTTCATTTATTAATAGGCATCTTAAATGGTTTTATTGAATTATTCTAATAAGGAATTATTCATAAAGATTTGAAACCCACTAATATTCTTGTTTACAAAAAAACTTTTAAATTAATTAGAAGGTAATTTTAATTATAATTAGATTTCATATTTGCCAAGTGTATTTTTAATTTCTAAACATATTGGAACTCCACTATATGACTTCATAAATCTTAATGAGAGAAAGATATATATTTAATTTCATTTCAATAAACTAAACTAGTAAATGCGATAAATGGTCACTTGGATGCATTTTCTATGAATGCCTACATAGGAGAACTCTTTGGACCAAAAATTCTGTGTAGTATACTCAAATCTTTATTATTATATAATTTTTTTAATTATGTTATTTATTCCATATACTCTAATTACTTAATACAATTTTTAAAATAAACAATTTAATTTCCTTCTTAAATATTTATGGAAGCTAAAAACTTTATATTAAAATGGCTTGCAATTGAAGAAGAGAAATTATAGAATGGAATGATCTGTGTAGACATTTACTAGTAAATAGAAGTTTAAAGATATTTTAGGTGATATAATCAATAAGGAGGCATAAGTTCAATTCATTATTAATAAAATAAGATAAATTATAGATATTAAATAAATTGATTTGGTGAAAATATTTAAGAAACTCTAAATTTAAAAGTATTAATTCTTTTTTATATTTCTATGGAAACTATTATAATTTTTTGAAATGAGAATTTCATAGTTGAAATAATAATTAAATAATAAAAATGAAATATTAGAATTTGATATCATGAATTTCTTCTCCACTGCGTCGCTGTTCGCTAAGAATAGAGGTCTTAATTTTTTGATATCATTTGATTAAAAGTCATTTTCTCAATTGATTACTTAAACTTTTAGCATTATTCAAGATCTGGTTAAATTATTTATTTTGCAGCCTCAATTACAGGATTTAATACAAAATTATTATTACATATTGAATTAACGTTTCTGGTTGGATCAATAAATCTACTTCTTCTAAAGTTTTGAAAACTTTATAAATTCTTTTTCATTTCTTAATTTTCTTCTTTTAACTTTACATTTTAAATTTTTAAGTTATGTATAACTACTTGTAAACTCTCTATGTTACTTTAATAATCTTTTATTATTTTATCCTAATGAATTTCAAAATCAATCATTTCTTAATTTTATTTTTATAAATCCTATTAGGATTGATTTTTTTCAATAATTTTTGGTTATAAAATTGACGATTACACATTGTCACATTTGTCTACTGATGATTCTTTTTACTTGGTTTAATATTCTTACATTAATTTATTAGCCTTTATGATCATTTGATCTTTGATCTTTCTATTTTATTTGGCCTCCTCATCTTAATTTTAAATTCTTAAACTGTTTTCTCTCTCAAATGTTCTATGTTTTATTTCATATTGGAAGGTTTAAGATATTTTTTTTTGATCTTCTTTTTAAAATGAATCACATATCTCTGATTACTTATCGTATTCTGTAAATTACTTCTCTTTAAAGAAATTGTTTAATTAAGTAAATTAATCAGGGTATGTTTTCATAGGTTTTAAAATACTTTCCAAATTTTGAGTTACTGTTTAGAAAGTCTAACATAATTCTTCTCTTTAGTTCCAATCCTATTAGAATTATGAATATTTTAAAAAAATTATATCCTCAAGTTTGTTCTTTTTCTAGGTCAAATTTTTGAATTCAAATTACCCATTTTTGGATTTAAAATTCTAATAACTATAATTGAGTTGTTCTAAATCAGTTTCTAAGATTTCCAAATAATATAAACTATTTTTAGGATGTTTTAATTAATGTAAGTCAATTTGAAATGTTACTTCTTTAATCTAAAAATCACTATCTTAAATTTCAAGAATAAATTTGATTTATTCGCTTTTGGAATCTAAATGGATTAATTATTATTCATTAAAATTGATTATTCTTTATTTTGACCCATATTAATAATAAAGTATTTAATTTAATTATATGTGTTCTTTTTAAGTTTTGCAATTCACAACTAAATTAAGACAATCAAACTTATCCACTAAATTTGTCTATTATGAAAGTTTTCTATGCACTTTTTCTTGAATATTTTGTGAATTTTGATACCAATATTCTATAATTTTTTGATTTTTCACCTCAATTTAGAAATGTGCAATATCATCTTATAAATTATTATTTTTGATTATTTTAGTCTCTGTTTCATTTAAATATTTCCAAAAGAGTACTGAATTTAAAAGTTCTTAAGCATTATCCACCTTCAATTGAAAATTATAGATACCCTTTTTATTGCTCATAAAAATAATTAAAATCTTGAAAAATAATAATACTCCTTAAATTACATAATTTAAATATTTCTATTAATTTATATAGAAGAGAAAGATATATATAAAAATATTTAAGTAAATAACAAAATATTTTTTATAGATAAAAATTGAATAAATTGATTCTTATCACATAATTAAATAATATTTTAATATTCATTAGGCTTATTTTTTTGCTTCTTTTGCTATTTTTTTTTATTCTTCTTTAGTTTTCAATAATTTAAAAGATTCTTGATTAAGTTTTGCTTTTGCCATCATTTATTCTTCAATATTTTTATTAATGGTTTTGGTGATTTTAGTTTTTTCTTCTGTAACCATTTTGTTATATAAAGTTTAAGGTTTGTTCTTTTTGATTTTATGTTCTATTTAAGATGAAATAAATACTAGGTTAATCTGTTTTGTTTGATTTATTAGTTTTTTTATTTCCTGATTTTTTGAGTAATTTTTAAGCCATAATAAAATTCGTTTTTAATTAATAAATAAATGAAAATTTTAGTGCTTTGTTTAATAGCATTGGTAATAGCAGATAAATTTGATCAATTTAGAGCATTTGATGAAGATGAATTTGGTAGAACATTGATTGATACATTATAAATGTAAATGAGTACAGGTGAACCAATAGCTCGTTTTATAGAAATAATGAGAAATCTTGAAACATCAATAGAAAATGAATAAAAGGAAGATGATAAAGCTAATAATGAATATTAAAATTAATGCACAGAAGATATTAAAGTTTTATAATAAGAAAGTGCTAATTTAGAAAGAAGAACAGTTGAAATATAATCAATTTTAGATGAATTAGAACCATTAAGATCATATAAATAAGGTTAAGCAGATGCTAAGAATGCATGGAAAGTAGAAACAGAAAAAAAATTAGCTGATTTAGTAAAGAAGAGAGAAACAGAAAAAGCTGAATTTGATAAAAAAGTAGAAGAACATGATTATGCAACATTTGTTATTGAAACAGTTAGAAGAATGTTTTCAGATAAAAGTTAAAGTTTCTTATAATTAAATAATGAATCATAATGGTAAAAAGTTAGAGATTATTTTATAAATGCATCTGAATAAGCAAGTATTTATATAAATATTAATAAACTTAGAGAAATTTGAAATTAAAAAGAGTTATTCTAAAATATTTAATGTTTTAGCTGAAATAGCAAGTTCAGCATAATCTGAAGATTTCTAAAATTCACCTACAGTTAATAAAATAGTAAATTTATGTGATCTTATGTTAAAATAAATAGACGATAGTAAAGCATTAGAAACAAAGGCTGAATAAAAGAGATTAAATATGTTTATATTAGAAAAAGGTAATTTTGATAAAGATTTAACTAATTTAAATAATGCTCTTGCTTAATTAACAGCTGCTATTTTAGGTTTAGATAACAGAATCTAAGATTAAAAAAGAGATTTGACTGATTATAATGCTAGATTAGCTGCTAAAAATAAATAAAGTGAAGATAGAGGAGGTGAATGTAGAGAAAAAGCTTATAATTATTAATTAATTAGAGAAAAAAGGTAATATATTTGTTCATTTATTATTTTAGAGAATAAAAAAGATAATTAGTCTCATAAATTATTGGTGCTTTCTCTGCTAATTAAAGAGATTTTGCAGAATATGTTAAATTAAGAGGATAAGCTGGAGATTTTAGAGGCAAAAACTTCTAAATTCTTGGTAATCCAACTGAAGATTGAATATCATTTATTTTTCAAATAAATAATAAATAATTATATATATAAATTTAATTTATTAAAAGTTCCAGAATTTCTAAAATCTCGATAAAGTAATAAATTCTGTTTTGATTATATGATTAATTTATGATTTAAAGATGAAAAATCATTATAATACTTTAGGACTCTAAAGAGATGCCGAATAATAACAAATTAAAGAGGCTTATCATAAACTAGCATTAGAATGGCATCCAGTATTTTTATATTATTTAAACTAAGTTAGGATAAGAATGTAAACAATAGGACGTAAGCTATTGTTTAATTTTAGCAGATTAGTGAAGCTTATAACACTTTATCCAAATAAGAATCAAAAAAAATATATGATTATAATCTAGATAGAAGAGAAATTATCAGAAATTAAAAAATAAGATTACAAGAGTAAGAAATGAAATTATACAATTAATTGTCTAAAGAATTTCATTTATCTGATACTTATCTAACAAAAGACGAACAAGATACTATAAACAAGTTTATTAATAGAATGGATAAGTCAAGTAAAAGGATTAAAAAAAAATAATGAATTTTATTATAATAAAGAAATATTGCTATATTATTTTTATAATTTATAATCATAAATATTATAATCATAAATTTTAATAATTTGTTTCATGATAAAATTTATTAAATTGTTTTGAAAATAAAGGTTATTAATGATGATCTACTAAGAATCCTTTATTTATAAATTTATCATATATTTTATAAATAAACTAAATTACATGACAAAAATCATAAAATATATTGATTTTGTTTATCTATAAAGAGATAATTTTAATATATTATGTCTGCTAAGATTTTTTTATTAATTTCAATACTCAACTAATGAAATCATCAAGAAAATTTTAATTTTATTTTAATGATTCCTAAATTTTATGAAATTAGAATCTCCTATTTAGAAAATATCAGAAGTCATTAAAAATTAGGAATGCAGATACAATGAAAAGTTGATAGACATTAGACTTAGTATTTTATAATTGAAATAGTAGTTTGATATAAAAATAATCTAAAAAAATTTAAGAACGTATTAAAGAAAGGATAGAAAACTAATAGTAACATAAAAATGATAATAAAATATTTTTAATGATATATATAATTTAATACATTTAAATATATCATTAATCAAGTGATTGTAATGAGTCGTAAAAGGGTTAATTTTATTTTTCATTAGTTCTTTTTTTAATCCAAGAATTTAGTAAATTATTAGATTTTAGAAATTCTAAATTGGTATTCTAAATAAAATAAAAAATAATTACGAATTATTATTGCTTTAACTACTCACTTTACATTAAATCAATAGGATTTTATTGTGGAGTTTACCACATATTTTATTATGGTAGAGGTTATGAAGGTTAAACACTTGGAGACATTTCTGGATAAGGACTACGAATAAGTAATGGAGACATTCCCATATATCCATTATTATTGTTATTGTACATATACATTGCCTATGCAGGTGTATAAACCATAGGAGTTTAATTTATTTATGGAAAAGGAGATATTAAGTTATAATTTGATGGATAATTTTTAAAATACTATCCCATTAACATTTAAACAGGAGTTTATTATATTTATTATGGAATTTCTTCTTAATATGGACGAAATCCTTAATATAGTACTTAATTTTATTGTTATTAAATTGGAGACATTTGAACTTGTTTTAATCTAAATTAATCATTCTTCAATTCTTCTATTTATTATAATTGTGGTTAGAAATAATAAGACAATGTATTTGGTGTTGATAAATCTCTCTTATTATTTTCATTTAATGAAAGTTATGGAATTTAATATTATTATTATTATGAAAGTATTTTTTATTATTAATCAAGTTAGAAGGATGATTATTCCAATAATTAATCTTCATTTTATTTTACTTATTCTTATTTTAATCTAACAATAGGTTGCTAATATTCTTATTTTTATTATTATTCTTCTTATTGTTATTATTTAACTTTAATATCTTTTTATTTAGATTTTTAATTGATTTGTACTTTTTACGATTACTAAACGACAGGATCAGGACCAATATTAAGAAAATCCTTAATTTATGAACTAATCTTTCTTTTTTTTGTTTATATTTCTTAATTTAGAATAGGAGGTGTTTCTTAAGGTTTTTCTTTAATTTTATCTCTAAGATTGAATTTCTATTTAGCTTATCTGGAATATTATGTTCTAATTTATGGTTCTTCTTTAATAGGTTCTTATTCTTCTTATTCTATATTTTATTTATTCAAATATTCTTTAATAGCTTATAATTCTTCAATATCATCATCTTCTTCATCTTTATATATTTTCTAAATTAAACTTTTGAATCTAATAAAAATAATTATATTGAGTAGTACCTATTTTTAACTTAATTTTCAGTTCTACCATCTAATAAAGTAGATATAAGTGACCATCTCTTACCATTTTTAACAACTGTATTAAGTAATTAAAGATCTTCTTACTGACTCCAATTAGTTCTATTTTGATAAAAATAAATAATATTACTTTTTAAGTTTAGGATTTAAATAATTCATCCATCTTTCTCTAACTTATTTAGGTGTTCTAATAAATTGTCCATTATTTTGATTATACAATTCTAATGCAATATGTGTCCATATATGTTTTTCATCTTGTTCACTATATATAAATATTAAATAAACTCACTGCATAAGTGATTTAATAATTTCATCTTCTTCTGGATCCCAATTAATACTCTTAGAAACAGGATTGATTAATGTAATCCATCTTTATTTGAGTGTAATTTCATCAATTTAAAGAATTGAAGCCAATTATATCCATTCCTCTTAATTTGGGTTAATGGTCTTTTTGTTTTTGAGTTAAAAGAATTTACCCAATATCCATATAAACATCATCTTACATTATTTGTCCCATTTACGTTTAATCCCTGCCTTCTCTTCAGACAATAATCTATATATATATATATATCATTTTAGTAACTTTTAAGCAATAGACTCGAAATGTTTACTATTTGGATTTATAAAATTCTCTTTTATTTTGAATTAGTTACGGAAAGGGAAAGGAAGTTCTGCATTTTTCAATGTACCCAACTCTTATAAAAAGTCATGAAACATTTAATTAATTAATGGTTAATTGGACTCAAAGATTTATTACAGGATTAATTGGAGCACCTATTGTCTATTATACAATTCAAAATTAATTAGCACTCTGTATACTTATTAATGGTATATAATAATATTATTATATAGTTGTTCTATATTTATTACATGCAGAATTTCAAAAATTGATAACTAATGTACTCAAACATAATTGTAGTGATTCTGATCGTTGGTATGTAGAAACTATGGCATCTTCTTGGGTATACTTATTTATTTATCTATTTATTAATAGTTCATTCGTATTCCAACACACTATTTTATTACTATGTCTATTATACAAAGTAATCCTTTATGTATCCATTTACATATGATTATATCCATATTCTTCTTACTTCTTGTTAGATTAATGAATTATCTTAAAATTAGCGATTTCTTAAAATAAAATGAAAAGTAATCATTCAATCACATATATATTAGAACTATTTCAGATAAGTTTCCTAGTCAGATGGTTGAAAAGAAAATATAAATGTTAACATTTTTTTAAATGTCTGCAGATATTATATGTAATTATACATATATATCATTATTTAGAATTCATATTATTTGTATATCCTCTTAATTTTGTATTAATTGTATTCTAATACAAATAAGCTTAAGCATTAAATCTAATTTGGTTGATATCTGCTTGGTAAACTGATAATGGAGCTTTATTTATTGGTTCTATGTTTGGCAAAACATTATTTTGTCCAAAAATCTCACCTAATAAAACCTGGGAAGGAGTAAGTGGAGGTATTTTCTTAAGTGTATTCACTTCACTTATACTTTCATAACTAAATTTCTTATCATTTATCACTTTAGATGATCTCCATACTAAACATTTCCTATTAATTTCATTGATTGTTTCTATAGCATCTATTTTTGGAGATTTGATTGAATCATTCATTAAAAGAGTAGCTGATGTCAAAGATTCTGGTTCACTCTTTCCTGGTCATGGTGGCATTCTTGATAGAGTAAATAAATTCTATCTATATTCAACTTTAGCTTGATTCCCTTTGTTTTAGTGCCCCATTCGTTTATCTATATATTCAAATCTTTATGTATGACGTTTTAGAATAGGTCTGATTATATCATATTTAATATTCATTTATTTCATTCTATCTATATCTATATACAATCTGTAATATTTCCAATTTTAAATGCTAGATTAATATTCTCAACAACAATCGAAAATTGAATCCTTTTTAAAAATCCATAATTATTGGTATTTCAAAACTCTCTTCTAAAAATTCTTAATACATATACTTTATTATTTGATGAACATAGAGATTAAGTTTATAAAGTGCAAATTGAAAGATAAGAATATCGAAAAGAATTAATGAAAAATCAAGGATAGATTCAATAGTCGCATCAGGCAGTCTGACATTTAAGAGAAGAGTAAGATTAAAATTATTCTAAATAATATAGATTACATAGTTCAATAATTGTTTTTAAATGAAATTTAAGAAAGTAGAGATAGTTATTTTAAATATAAAAATATATTTGAAATATTTCTAGGCGATAATTTGATTGATATGATGAAATGCATAAGTAGACATAATTACAAAAATAATTGAGTTAGATTATAAATTGAAAAGATAATATATATATAAATGTAAAAGAATTAAATTATATACTCTTAGGGGTAAGAGAAAAGGTCATTTTGTTAACGTTTGTGTTGTTGTTTTGAGTATTTGAAAAAGAATGCATAGTAGATGAATAAATATCATCCAGAAATAGATACTCCAAAATCATCATTTATTGTATGAGATGTAGATGTAATATAGGGTTAAAGAAAGATAATAGTATTAGATTTAGATGAGACATTGGTACATAGTTAATTCGAGCACTTTGATTGTCATGATTTATCATTTGATGTATGTTAAATATTAGAGTTTAGATTGTTGTATAATAGCAAAACTTCAAGGTTTATGTAATTATTCGTCCAGGAGTGAAGTAATTTATAGAGTAGCTGAATAATTTCTATGACATAATTTTTTGGACTGCTAGTTTAAAGGAATATGCTATACCAGTAATGGATTATATTGATCCAGATAGAAAAGCAGTAGAAAGATTATTTAGAGAGAGTTGTACACCTTTAAATAATGGTTTAACAAAGGATTTAACAAAGTTGGGAAGAGATCTTAAAGATGTAATAATAGTTGATGTATACATATATTAAATAATTAGAATTCAGTATTCTCATTTATTATGAACAATGAAAATGGTTTAAAGATTAAGGATTTTTTTTATGACAAATTAGATAACGAATTAGAAAATCTATTGCCTTTCTTAATTTGGATATAATAAGTATGGTGATGAACTACTAAATAAGTAATCTGATGTAAGACCAGTATCAATTAAATATGGAGAGTTTTAGAGAAGTAAGAAAATGGAGAAAAAGAAAAATGAATAAGAAAATGTATATGGAATATCTAGATCAGTAATAATTGAGAGGAAGAAGATGGATCATAGAAGTTTAGTAAAGACTTTAACAGATTAAGGTAATAAGATTAATAAGGATGATACAGATGAAAGTGAGAAGGAAACATTTGAAATTGGTAATTGAAACTGAAAGTTTTGGTTTATATTATTTGTTTTTATTTATTATAAAAAATGGAAGATATTTAGTTAACAACCATTGAGAGTGAAAATGGAAGAAAGTTAGTATGAGTATGAGTTTATGTAGGCTAAATACTCGATGAGATCAATGGCCTTACCAAAAATTTCAATAGCAAAATAACTGCCGTATTTAGGTGGATTAGAGGATTTGAGTATGCCAAAACGTTATAACAGACAATATTATAAGATCCAATAACCAACGAAAGAAAGAGATCTAATTAATGATGTTTTAATGAATTCAATATATTGGTTAGAAGGAAGTGTTTGGAAGTCTGACGTATAATAATGAAGAACCTTATGAAGATCGTAAACCAAAAGATTTGATTGGTGAAGAAGCATACAAATCGTATTACCATACATTTAAAAATATTAAGAGAATTTTAGAATAGAACTAATTTGAGAATATTTAAAGTATTTATATATACATGTATATTTATAGATTCTGTATAAACTAATCTAATATCAAGATCTGAAAGACTAAAGATTTTACCATGTAAAATGGGTTTGATTAAATTAAAGGGTGATCGTAATTCACTCTCTATTTAAAACTAAAAATTTGGAGATAAATATGTTGAGGTGTTATCAGAAGGTTTAAGAATACTTCCAGTTATTCAGGATTTCAATTTTAATCATAATCGAATTAAAGAATATGGAGCATCATAATTAATGCCATTAATAAGTAAATAAGCAAGAAGAATTGAATTTTAAACTAATTTAATTGGAGAAAAAGGATTAGATTCACTTTTAAAAACATTACCATTATAATAATGCAAGTATATTGTATAAATAATGACTAGAATTTAGATTTTAAATTTAGAAGATAATAATTTAGGAGATTAATTAATTATTCAATTATGTAAAGCAATGTGTAAGAATCTTTCAGTTGAAACTTTGAATATCTCTAAAAATAAAATAGGTAATAATGTACATTAAAGTTTGAAATAAATGATTGAATAAAATGATACATTATTAGAATTATATCTTCATTGGAATTCGATAAAAGGTTCTGGTGGAGTTGAAATATTCAAAGCTTTATAAACAAATAAGAATATAAAAGTTTTAGATTTTTCATACAATTTATTAGGATGTGGTAATGTAATAGGAGCAGCTTTAAAAGATTTCATAATTGAGAATAAAGCAATTTAACATTTGGATTTATCAGCAAATAGTTTCACATAATCAGATTGTACAATAATATCTGAAGCATTAAAATAGAATCATTCTATTTATGGATTTCATTTTAGAGGAAACTTCGGATATGTTGATACAAAAGGATTTTTAATAATTGATTCTAATATGAAAAACTTTAATTCAATTCATATAGAATAAAGAATTAAAGGAGTAATGCCACATCCAAAACCATATGATAATGTATCTAGATTTGAGAAAGTCTAAGATGTATGTTGGATATGCGATTGTTGGTAAATGGCTACATTTGAATGGATACCAAGTATATATATAAGAATTTATATTTATTAATAGATTAAAGTGGTGCATGTTCTGATGAACCAATATTTATACACTTTGATTATGAAGGTTATGAACCTATATTTTTAGGAAAGCCTGATGAAAAAGGATATTTTAGAACTCATAGAATGATTCCTACTGGTGATATTGAATATTTTTATACTGCAAATGCTATTTAAATAGCAAGTCAAAGTGTTCCTATAAAATAACATATTGAAAAATTCAGAACTAAAATTAACATAGCTGATTAGGTTGTCAATCTTTTCAACATTATTAGGTTGTTAATGTTTTAATTGATGAAACCAATTTAGAATCATATCCTAAATCTAAACCTGTAATAGAAGATTGGTATCCAAATTATGATGTTTTACCAAGAACCTAAGATCCAATATATATTCCTGCCAAAAGAAAAAAATAAAAAAGAATATGGACATATCCAATATCAATATGGGCTCCAAAATATAAATTTGATACTGAAGATTTATTACGTAAATGTTTTGAAAGAGATTGGTTATGTTGTAAAATCACAAAATTTATTAAAAAATAAGAAGAGTAAGATTAAGTTAAAGAACTTTTATGGTAAGCATATAAACCAATGAGAGAAACTTATAGATTTTATGCTAGTGTTAATCCAACAGGAGATGTATTTTCTATGTCTGTTAATCCAACATCTGATTTTGTTAATCAATGTTAATTAATTGATTAAAAATAATTAAAATTAGCTGATGTAGATCTTAAATTTATAGCAACTTGTAGTGCATCATCTATTGATTATAAAGGTAATTATAGAAATCCAGAAAGATCACTTGTTAGATATCAAATGATGGAATTCTTAGTCAGATTATCTGATGATAAATATGTTAGATTCAATCCATAAATTAATATTGTTCAAGCCACTAAAATGATTTTAGATTAATGTATGCCACATATGTCTTAATTTGATTCTCATAAATGGAGAGCAGAAAGATATTTTATTGAATAATGTGATGATGTATGTAAAAAATATAAATGGGTTGTTGATTATGTTTATATCAGAAATTCTTCTAAAAAAGTTAAACCTGGTTAACCACCTTTTATGTGTTTAGATGAACTTAAAGACATTTGTAATAGAGCTAATCTCTATGATGAAAATTTTGTAGAAAGAGATGTCAATTTAGCTTTCAATTTATCAACTCTTACATAAATTGATGAATTAGAAAGTGATAGATTATTTTAAATGTAATGGATTGAATTTATGGAAGCTTTATCAAGAATTGCTGAAAAGTATTCTCCTATTCCTATTGGAAAAAAAGAAGAAGTATAATATAATATATCATATATATTAGAAAGAATGGACTTATGAATTAAGATAATAATAACCTCTATATTACAAACTAGAAGCCTTCATGATACATATCATTAATACTTTAGTTGATGAAGAAACCAAAAAAAATTGGAAATAACCTACCGTCTCTATGTTTGATGAAGTTGAAGAAGATGAATATTATTGAAATATATAATCTTAGTTTTATCTGTATACTTATTCTTTTTATTATCTATCAAATTAATTAGAATACTTTAACCATTATAATAATAACCAAATTCAACTAATATTTCATATATTTCTAAACAAACTACAAGTGATTGATTCAAGATTTATTTTTAATCATGAACCTATAAAAATAATTATGGCAAAAGTATATTATCTTAAATTATTAGAAATTAATATATATGATACAAAAAGTCTTCATACATTTAATTTCTGACACAACGACATATTAATAGAATTATTAAAATTTTTATTATTTTAACGATGTAAGATTTTTAAATCAATCCAGCATAGGATACAGATTCTTAAATCATAAACTAAGAACTCACTAATGCTTTGATGAGAATCTCAAAGGTGATTAACAAAAAAATTAATAATTCAGATGTTCCATTAATATAAAGTTCAGAGGCATAAACTTAAGATGAGAATGATGTAATCCTTTCTTCTTATATTGTCAAAAAAACGATTTAATATATAGAAGCTCAAAAATAAAATAAACTAAAAATTAAAAAAATTGATTAGAAATAAATACATGGTTAGCGATTTGTATTATCAAAATTTGATGATAAAGTAATTTAGAATATGAATTAAGATTAAAAAGAAGAACTTAAAAAGTAAGTAGAAGAAAAACAATAAAAGTTATCAAAGAAATAGAGGTAATTAGATGTAATATATTTATTACTGAATACTAATTTTATAAAAGGTGAAGAAGATTGAATTAATTTAATATACAAATTGATAATGAATAATATCATATTTTATTTAAATATTCTCGAAATGTGATAATTATATAAGTATGATTTTTTCATAAATATTGAATTAATCAAAAAATTGTTATTTTTATTTGATAAGCATAAATTCTAATGATTATCTATTCCCAAGATTTTTTATTAACTAAATAATATTAAACTTTATTATGAGTGTGTTATGTTGATTAATAAATAGTTTTTGTATGGCAATTAACTTTTCGTATTTAGTTAACAAGAAATTTTTATTAATTTAGTATACATATATTTAATATGATTAACAGTATATAATTAACCAATATGATAATAATCAACCAGACTTTCATTTTAATTTTGATAAAAAGAGTATACTTTAATTTTAAAATAAGAATTTATATAAAGTATATTGTTATTGGAATTAAAGTTGTATTTGAAGTATAAGAATAAAATAAAAAGATTTTTGAAAAAGAATTATAATATTAATTATTAATAATAAAAAATAGAGTATTAATTAAATAATAAAAATTACATAATAAATTAGAATATAAAAAAATTGCCTGCTGTCGGATTCGAACCGACGCGGAGTAGGCTCCAGCAGATCTTAAGTCTGCCCCCTTAACCAGCTCGGGCAAACAGGCTGTGATGCTAATTTGTTTATTTTATGTATATATTAATTAAGAAATATCAATAAGTTATTTGCAATATTAATTTTATTTTTTCTGAAAAATGAACGAAGACTGGACAACTAAGAAAGTAGACAAATATGTTGTTGTTAATAAAACATTGGGATAAGGTGCCTATGGTACAGTGTATAGAGGCTTTCTATAAGAGGATGAAACAAAGCAAGTGGCTGTAAAAACAATAAAAATTGCTGTAATAACTTTAGGTTTATTCATTAGACCATCTCAGACACACCAAAAATGATAGAATTAATAAAGAGAGAAATTGCTATACTATAGAGGATTAATCATCCTAATATAGTGAGATTATTTGATGTAGCAAGAACAAATAATTACTTATATATGTTTCTTGAATATTGTGCTGATGGAGATCTTAAAGATTACATGGCTAAAAAAGAGGAAAAACGTTTAAGTGAAGTAATTTTTTATGATTATTCTTTAGTTAGAAGCAGTAATATTTATAAAACATATTGTGGAAGGATTTAAAAGGTTGTACAAATAAAAAATCATACATCGGGATATAAAACCTGCAAATATTCTTCTTCATTAAGGAGTAGCTAAAATAACAGACTTTGGTTTTGCTAGAGTGATGGATACTGAAATGAATGGTAATAGACATTTTTATTTTATTATTTTTTAGATCCTGCATATTTATCAAGATTAGGTTCACCACTCTATATGGCACCTTAAATTTTAGAGGGTTAACCATTTTCAGCTAAATGTGATGTTTGGTCTGTTGGAGTAATGTTTTATGAACTTTTATACGGTAGAACACCATGGGCAGCAGAAACTGCATTTTAATTATTAGAAAATATTAAAAAATAAGTATTTTTAATATTAAATTTAGCCATTAAAATTCTTTCCTAAACCTGTTAGATCATAAAAAGTTAAAGAATTAATAACATTAATGTTAAGAGTTTAAGAAAAAGATAGAATTTCTTGGGAAGGAGTATTTGAAGATCCAACAATTAAAATTGATGAAGAAATTATAAAAGAAAATATGAGAAATATATTAAGAGAAAAAGGTATTTCATTATTATGATATATACTTATATAGATGAAGTATCTAAATCAATAAGTTTGAATAAACTTTATATTGATTAAAATCTAGTTGTAGGATATTTAGCTAAGAATCCAATTAATACATTAGAAAATTCAAATTAATCTACTTTAGATGCATCATCTGAAGCTAGATCTTAATCAGCCAAATTTTCAAGTTAATTTGATCCTGAATCCAATGTTTATTAAATTTATTATTATTATAGGGTGAAATTATTATGAGTAATTACAAAAATGAAAAAAAAAGAAGAGATGCTATGTTAAAATATAACAATTACTTTTTGTTTGAAAGAAATATTGCATTTTTCTTTAATTTTGTTATTTAGAAAGTTATAAAATTATAAACTATCTAAATGCTACAATTAACTAATGATAATTATTTTAGATTGATTTATTTGATAGCTAAAAATTAGATGGTTCATTTAGAAAGAGTTAATTAATAATTAAATAGAAAAGATCATGATAAATTTGATAAAGAAACTTGGGGAAGATTTTTGGCATCTTAAGTATATATATATTAATATTTTATTTAGGAATATTAAAAATTAATATAACTTATATAAATGGATATGAAACATTCATCTGATTTCTTTTCTGAAATATCCAAGAAATGTAATCAAGTTCAATAAGAAGAATTATAAAATGGAAAAGCTTCAAGTTAAACCACAAGTTTAATTAAAAATTTCCTATCTATTCATAATAATAACTTTGAAGCTAATGACACTTTTCATATGTTATATAGAGATGTAATTGTTGAAAACTTAAAGATTATTAAAAATTTAAATAGCAAAGAAACTGAAGCTAGTTTGCTAATACTTTATTTGACGATATGTTAAAATCCATATGAAGAATTTAAAGATATCAATTATGATTTCAATACCTTCTATGAAGAAACAGAAAATTTAAATCTTTAAGAAATATAAGAAAAACTTCATAAGAAAGGAATAAAATGAATCAAAAGATATTATAAAAAATAAAACATTTATTTGTAAGGATTTATTATATCATTTGTGCATCTTTTCTTATTTTCTTGCTTTTTGTAATTAGGTAACCTTGTTCTTTGCTCTTATATAAGCTAAAGCATCTTAATCAACATCATCTTATTCTGAAGGATCATTAATTGAATATTCTTCTTCCTTTTAATTCACAAGTGGATTATTAATATCTTATAATGTTAATCCATATTTCTTTAGGAAATGTTCTTCAAACTTTTAAACCAATGTTGCTTTTGACTAATATATAAAATGAAAAATTCATACTTAAATGATGCTTTAATCTATTACAATAATCTCAGATTTTAATTATCTAATATTTTCTTAATTCTATTTCAATTATTTTTTTAATTCTTTTAATTCCTTCAAAGTATTATATTCATCCTCATCAATGATTCCTTAAGCAATTTCCTAAATTACTTATTTATTTCTACCTCTTAATTTTTATTCATTTGCTTCTATGCAATAAGCGACTTCTTTATTTCAATCTAACTTTTCAGCTAAATTGATACTTTAGATTAAGATGCTATATTATCTTTCTTTTCTTTTAATTGATTCTATAAAATAATAAATTAAAATTTTACAATATTTTCTAATATTTATTAATTAATTGAAGAACCTTCTTTATTTTTAAAATCAGCAAATGCTTATTATTTATCAACATTAACTATTCTCTTTTCAATAGTAGATTCCTTATTTGCTTCTGTAATCTAACTCTCCTTTCTTATTTCTTATTATGCCTTATCATCTACTTATTTAAATTCATCTTTTTAAATATTCACTAAATTTTCAATATTTGTTGTAGGCTTAGCATCTTTTCTTGCTTTACCTAAACCAAATCCATATTTATTTTCTTCCATTCCCACACTATCAACTGGTTTAACCTAATCGCTCTTTTTCTTTGATACATCAGGTTCCTTTTCTGTTCTTGGAATATAATTTTTATTTTCTAAATCTTTCACTAAATTTCTATATAAATTTCTAAACTAAAAAAACAATTCTTTAACTTGTCTCAAAGAATCTATATCAATATCTTCAAGTTCACCATTTAAAAATTATTAAGCAATCTATTATTATTTATATTATTGTTCAGGAGTATATGGTTCATATTATATTCTCCCTCTATTAGCCAATGTATCATGCATTGCTAATTCTTATCTTAAATCTTTTATTTCTTTCTCATATTTCTTTATTAAAACTTAAGGATCTAAATTAACTCTAATCGATGATTCATTAGTAACTTTCATCATTCTCTATGCAAATTTCAAAGTTGAAATAGTTTCTTCTAATTGATGTTTTTCTGGCCAAATATTTGCTATCATTACAGTTTTACTGTTCCCTCCTATTGAATCCTTTAGAAGATTTGTCAATTTACTCTGTCTATATGGTATATGATCTCTTTGTTTTTCAGATAATGCTACAACTACTTATTCTAAAAATGATAGTGATTTATTAATAAATTAGGCCTCTAATAATGTTCTTCCTTCTGATCCAGTTTTTTTAGTTCTTTCAGATCCAGCCAAATCAACAAGATTTAATTTACTAATAATAACTTTTTCAGCAGATTCAACTCTAGATCTAATTTCAAGATGAACAGTAAAAACACAATGAGATCTAGATGATGCTTTATTAAGTTTATGTTCACTAATGGTTCTATTAGTTTCACCTTCAAATAATTAAGCAATAGCATCTTCTTCAGTTTAACATCTTTTAATAGTCAATCCTTTGACTTATACATAACCATTATTGTCTTCTTAAATAGCTAAACCAGTGCTAAAATAATAGATTATTAGATTTACTTTTAATCTCCTCCTGCCAATAAATCATACATCATTTCATTATAAATTTCTAAATATGAAACTCCTACTGTAATTTATTATTCATATCTAGCTTCTATCTCTTGAAATAATAAACTGATGCATCTAGGCATCATTCCTCGATATTTATAATCAATTTAAGATCCCATCATAGTGAATGTTTTACCAGCACCTGTTTATCCATATGCCATTATAGTTCCAGAATATCCACCTAGAGCACTATGTATTAATTCTTTGCCACATATGTCAAAAACAACCTCTTGACTTGCATTTTATAGAACTTTATCAAAAGTGAATCCCCAATCTTCTTATTAATGATTAACAAATCCTTTCAAATATTAAATTAACATTATTACCTTGATCAGCAGACTTTGGTATATTAATAGCAATGTGTCCTGTATTTTCATTGATATTGATATTTTTAAAAGCAAATTCTACTGTTGGTCTTGTACGAACAATTACTTTAATAGGAGTTTTAACCATATTTATTATAAATTATATATTTTATAATATTCAAGGACTGTACTAATAATAATATTAATAATTATATCAAATAAGAGATTATATTAAATCATCATTATCATCATCCATCCATAATTAAGTTTATATTTTCCATATTTATAACATATTTTTATCAGCTTCAACACTTGCAATTAAATTTTTATGATTAACATTCCAAGATAAATCATTAATTTTAGATCTATGTCCTTCATGATAGAACTATAAATTTATAATAAATTAAATCTTACTACAATTTCAGGTGTACCTTCTTTATCAAGTTCTCCTTCATAATGTTTACCTGCCTTTAAATAATCCCATAATATTATTTTGCTATCAACTGATCCTGTGGCTAATAAATTCTTCTTATGAGGAGACCATTAAAGTGTATAAATAGCATCTTCATGATTTGAAAATGAATATATCTGTTTCTCTGGTTTTGTTATATCAAACATTTTAGCTTCTGCATCATTTGATCCTGTGGCAAAATATTTTGGATCCAATTAATTAAATTAAATACAATTCACTTCTTATGAATGTGCTTCCTATTTTATTTTCATTCCTTATTATGTTCGAATATCACAACTTATCAATTATTATTTAATCTATTTACATTGCAAATGTTCTATCATCTGAACAAGATATAAATAAATTTGGATCCTAAGGATGCCAACACACATCTTCAACTTCTTTTTAATGAAAACTATATGATTTTATTAATTAACCTGTTCCTACATCCCAATAATATATCTTTTTATCATAACTAGCTGATAATAATTAATTTTAATTTTTTGGATTCCAACATAAACCATAACCTTCTCTCTCTTATCCTTTTAATGCCATTACTTTTTAATGTCTACTTATATCATATATGCCTATCTTCATATATAAATTCATACTTATCTCACCAACACTTGTTTGTGCTGCTAATATAAATTTACTACCTGGCTTCTGTCTAATCTTATTAATATCATATTAAACTGGAATTTATTATTCTTATGTTATCTTCCCTACTGCCTATGTTTTCCCTTTTATTTTTATTGTTTTTCATTACATAAATTATTTAATACACTTGCATCAAATTCCTCATCTGTCTCTTTAGGAAATTAAATCATTAGAACATTTATAAACTCTTATTCTTATCCATCTGTTTATGTTGCTACAATTAATTTATGAACTTCATTATTATTTTGATCTCTAAATTTAGTTAAAAATAGAATAACATTTCAATCTCATTTAACCAAGTCACTGTTAAAGATGGCCAACTATTTTAGTGGCTTATACAAATCTCATACATTAATGGAACATTCTATTTCCAATTCTCATAATGTTCTCCTTAATTTCTCTCCTCCTAAATTTCATTATCTGCACTCATCTATTTAGTTTAAAATTAATTAAATTAAAAATAAATTATGTTATCATTAGTATAATTAATACATAATACAATTATATTCATGAGAATAATAAACAGAAAGTTATTTTACAAAAATTCACCAATCCCACCAACTTTTTCTTATTCTAACTACTCCTCTTCTCTCATTATTAAAATTAGTATCTTTTGAAAATCTCACCTTCTTTTAATTTCTATTTTTAAACACTGTATGAGTTGATTTTATTGAATTTTTACCTAAAGATATACTTCTTTATGAAAGAGATCTATTCTTTTTTAATATACTTTTCACACTTTTTTATGTTTTATGACTTCCACTTTAACTTCTTTCATCTTATGAACAATATTCACTAAACATCTTTTCAAATGCTTCTAATTATTTTATTTATTTTGAATAAACAGATTTTTATGTACCATAACTTGCATTAATACTTTCCAATTCCTCTCTTTATTAAATAACTTTCTTCATTGCAGACTTCTTCATTATCTCAGACTTAGTTAACACCTATTAATCCTTCTATGTAGGAGTTTTAGAAATTTATGATTTCTAAGAAACTGTATCTGCATCTGCTTTTTTAGGTGCAAATTATGATGTCTATCTAGGTAAATAAGGATTAGAAGTTTATTAGTTGTTATGTTATTCTGATTAAGATTATTTCATCGAATTTTAGAATGAAAATTAATTATCAAGTTCTTACTTATGATCATCTATTGATCTTTTCCCTTCCTCTTCTTTTAGTTTCAACTCTTATTCATATTAAATTTGTAATTTTCTAAGCTCCTCCTCTTCTTACAATTTACTTAACATATTTTTTATTCTTACATCTATTATATATTATATCTAATTTCAAGCTTAATATCGTTTTCAAAACGATTTTTTCTGTCTGTGTGTGTTTACATACTTGCTACTTATTTTTTTTTAATAAAGCATGGCTATTATTATGATAAATAAGAATTATTTTCTTCTGCAATTGAATCATCCCTGATTAATAATTATTAAGATTAATAAGGATCTGTTTTAAATTCTCTTTCAGATTCTTATCCTTTGTTTATTTTAGATTTGGTCATCATTGTACTTTCCCTTTCATTGTCTTCTTGTTTACAAATATTTTAGCAAGTACCCATTTTATATTTTTAATGAATTTGTAAATTTCAGTTTATTTTATTAACTCATCTTCCAAATTATCAGATGCATCATTTGTCAATTCTACATCTATTGGATAGATTTTTTGTTATTACTATTAAACCATAATTAAATTACTCTAAATTATTGATGATTGATATAAAAAACTAAAAAATTTTAGTATTCATCGAATAAGTACCAATTTATATACTAAAAATTAAATTATAATGTCTAAATCAAGAGTTGGTCCTAAATTACTGCTCTAACTTAATATAAGAATAGGACCAGATGATGATATAGTGCCTGATGAACCGTTTTGTTAAGTTTAAAATTAAACTGTGTTGATTAAAGAATAATAAAGGTATGATGCAAAAGGAAGGTAGATTAAAAAAGGCAAAAATTACTCAATAGAATTTGATAATTGTGTAACAGTTTGTGTATATGATCCAAATGATGAAGTCTTATAAATTAAAGAAACTCTTTCTTAACTCTCAAATCTTGATATAATAAAGGTTAGCTTTAGAAACTAACATTATATTAACAATAAACAATAATAAACTGACTAATAATTGAGGCCAATTTTGAAAAGAAAAAACTCTTCACATTTAAATGTATAGAAATGAGTATGTAAAATTTTAGTTTTACAATTTTGATGCTATTATTTATGTTTAATGTATACTAATTATTTTTCAAGAAGAAAATATTTAATCTAAAAATCATTAATTTTTATTTAGTAAGCTCTAGTAAATCCCAGTCTTCATCATGCAGATCGTTAGATACCTAATTTGATTATATTAAGTTAGAAATGAAAATTTAAAAGAAAAAATTAGATATCAATTTACGTCATATTAAACAAATGGTTAATTAATATAAATATCACTATTTAGTTAAAAGTTTTTATAGATTTGATGCTAATTACTATACTGTGAATTGATTATTCTTAAACCAATCATCTTATAAAGCTTCTTCAATTGTGTACCTTTCTTAAGGATCAGCACACAATAATCTTTATATATAGTTCTTAAATCCAAGCTCTATATTTTTAGATTCAAAAACTTTCCAAAATTTATCCCATTCTTTATTTTTAATATAATTCCAAAATTTATCTTATTTTTATGGATGAGTACTAAGAAATGGTCGATATCCCATAAACAATACAAAAAATAGTACTCCCAAAGAAAACATATCACATTTTTTGGGGTCATAATTATCATTTTAAATTAATTCAGGTGCTGTATAGCCTTCACTTCCACCTCTCAATTTTGCATTTGGTGAATTAGCTACAATTGCAAATCCAAAATCACAAATTTTTATTATAAAATCTCTTGATATTAATGCATTCTCTGGTTTAATGTCTCCATGCACTATATTCATAGAATGCAAGTATTTAATAGCACTCATAATTTAATTTACTATTGATTTAATCAATTTAATGTCTCTCTGAAGTTCAATTAATTTGATTAGATGACCATGTGGCATATATTCAATCAAAATGCAACTTCCATCCGTTGAATTTGCATAGAATTTAACGATGTGATCATGATTCAAATGATATAAGAGTCTGATTTCCTATTAAAAATTAAATTTGTGTTGTAAATCCTTAAAGCTTGTTAATTTTAATGCATATTCATTTCTATTTTATTTATTAATGACTTTGTAAACAATAGAATCAAACCCTCTTCCTATTATTTCTTTATTGTTAAATTCAAAGTTTTAGGAAAACATTTATAAATCAAAAGAAAATGGTTTTATTTGCATTTTATTTTTTATAATTTTATTATATGTAATTAAGCAGCCATTCTTTATTACATATTCTTTATTTTTTTTTCAACTTCTCAAAATAATGTTAATTACAATTAGGATGATAGTTTTACAATCAAATATTTAAACACGCCTATAAATTAATCTTTAAGACATTGCTAAATATTATTTAAGACATTGATGACCATATTTCATATTTGGAATCATAAAAATCTAAACTCTTAGAATTCAATTATAAGTAATCATTTTATGAACAAAATGAACCCAACCAAAAAGGATCTTTACATTATTCGATAATATATACTTAATGAAGATTTGGAATAGAATCATCTAAAATTACTAGGTGGGTATATAAATTATGGTTATTTTAAAGACAAATTTAATGATTAACAATTCATTTGTTTAAAATATTTAAAAGACTCTAAAATTTAGAAATAGGCTTTGAAATTCAAAGAAAATTTGAGAACATAACAGATAAAAAAATAAAGATTTCAAAAAAAAAAATATAATTAAATAGAAGAAAATTGAATTTAAAGAAAAATGTTTAGCAATTTAAAAGATGCTTAAAATAATTATAAAATCGATATGAATTGCTCAATTCATCAAATTATGCTTTTCATTAATAAGTTAAATGATTTTATATTGTAAAATAAAATACTGAATCTAATCTGAAGAGTTTTTGAATTTATGATAATGAAATTCTTAGATTTATAAATTAAATAAACATATTTTTATATTAAATCTAGTTTATTTATGTATATGCATATAAACGAAATGGATTTGATATTGCCATCTACAAAGACAGATGGAGCTTTATGGTTAGGTAATATAAAGGCTGCTTAAAATATTTTGAATCTAAGTAAAGAAAACATTCGTACCGTAATTACAGTAGCTAGTAATGCTAATGTAAGTTATCCAAAACATTAAAAAATTATCCAAAAGGTATATTGATCAATAATTTAAGGTTTTTAAAGTTCATGATAAAGAAAATGTAAGTATCTAAGAACTGATCGAAATGACAAATGAAGAAATAGAAGAAGCAATGAAGATTGGATCTGTTTTAGTACATTGCATGGCTGGTATTTCAAGGTCAGCTACTTGTGTAATTGCATATTTGATGTATCAAAATAAATGGGTATTTGAGAAAACACTTAAATTTGTAAAATCCAAAAGACCCTGTGTAAATCCAAATGAGGGATTTAAAAAATAACTGATTTCGTATTCAAATGAAATTTAAAAGAAATTATTACCTAAATAAACTAAATAAATTGAAAATCCTTTAGCAAAATTAAGAAGATAATTACATCAATCACCTGAAGATTTGATAAAAAATACTTAATTAGCCAAATCTCCTAAACATGAGATTAAAGTATTAACCAAAAATTCTACAGAAGAAGAGAAATAATAATATAGGTAATAATTAGCCTAAAAATTATTTGTAAGTACATTTTCTACAACTGATAGAAATCGAAAATAATTTAATACTATGCATATAAATAAATCTTCAAATATTAAAGGATGCATAAGTATGTACAAATTAGTGGAAGAATAAAAATTAGGTGGATTTTTATCAGATCGATTCAATTGATGGAAGTAATGATTTTATAATTTCAATTTCAAATAAATCAATTTGTATATATGATTAATAAATATATGTTTGAACTATTTTAGGATAGGAAACTAATTTCTATAAATAAATGACATTATTTTTTTTAATAAAAAAGTGATTTTTGTTTGTAAAATTCTTAAAATATTTTTGATTATATAGTAAAGATTTAGCATAGATAGAGAGTAATAGTTTGTATGTTAGATTTATTATTAACAGACATTTTAATGAAGTAATAATTCCGCTAATTAATTATTTTAACAGTTAATTCATGTCTTAAGAAGAGGTTGTTGCTTGTGATTAATGTAAATAAGTGCCAGACAATTATTTAAGTCTAAATTGTGGTCACTGTTTCTGCTTAATTTGTATGGCTCAAAGCTTTTTGAAAGTATTTTAATTTAAAATAAAAGGGTGGAAGAATCTTTAAATTAGAGGGAACAGATAACATTCATTATATATGTACTGTATGTGAAAAAGACACTCCTTTAGATGAAGGATCAGTATCAGTAGTTGAGAGTATCTGTCATCAATTGATTCAAACTAGTCTAGAAAAGGTTAGAGAAGATTAAAATAATAATAATAAAGAAGATAAACCTCTTGAATAGAGTCAAATAATTGCATAGCCTAAATGTGAAATTCATACTAAGGAAGATGCAACATTATTTTGTTTCACTTGTGAAAATAAATGCTTTTGCATAAAATGTCTTTTGAGACATGATAATAAAACTCATGAAATTTAGAATGTTAATAGCTGTTTAAAAAGATTGAAGAGTAAAATGAATGATGCTACTCATACAATAGGTGCATCTTTAGAATTGATGTAATTGCAATTAAAAAGAGTCTAAGATTAAGATTCAACTTTATAAGAGGAAATGGATTATCTTATGCAAAGAGTATAAGAATAGTTTCATTCCTTATATTAAGTGATTCAAAATAAAGAAAAAGAAATTCTAACTTAATTAGAAAATCTTAAAGAAATTCAAGAATAATAAACTGAAAAAATGCTCAATGATATTCAGATGAAAATTAACAGTCTTACTTAATTGAGAAGTGATTTTGAAAATATTGGTTTAAGTGAATCATTATAACCATCAGTTAGTATTCTTAACTATTATTCTGGATGCAAACAAATAATGTAAAAAGTTATTGGATAAATGAGTTTTAGTGACATTTTTAGCACTGTTAAATATTTTCCAGATAATGGTAATTCATTATTTTTTATTAAGATTAATTCTTTAGATACGACGAATTTGAATTGAAGATACAGAATTTGAAGGCTCAAATTGATAGATTCTTTACTCAATAAAGATCAGTATCTCAACATGAAAAGTAGAGCAGAATTACTCAAAAATCGGCCATCATTGATTAATTGTATCTTAGTTAGAGATGTCATACCTAAATGGATGAAAGCACTGATAGTTTTAAATCTCATTAAGTGTCCACCTATTCGAAAATCAATACTCCTATCAATAATTAAAGGAATTTATAGGCTAAGGTAGAGGAAATAAAATAATTATACTCAGATAGAGTGAAGACTTAATAAAAGTTACAGAAACAGTAGGAAAACAGTTTAAACAATATCCAAAGATCGTTTTCTGAATTAGCTAGTTTCAAAAAATAGACAGCTTTAAGTGCCTTAAGACTATAATAAGGATTGTTCGATTCAAGAGTAACAAAAAAATAATAATAATCTTAGTAATAATAGATTCAAGAATCACAACAAGTTTAAAAATGATGTAATTTTAAATTTTGTTAAATTTTTAATAAATATATATATTCAATTCAGCCATTAAGAAAGCAATACATCCTACATAGAAATTCTCTCATTTAAATCCACTCTTAACATAGATGAAACTAACTATCTTGCTGGATTACTAACAAATGAAGGATATTCTAATTTAGCTTAACATATTTTTTTGTATAAATCTTTTTCTGAATTACCACGAAATGGAAATACACCAGTTAAGATTTTAAAGAGAATAACACCACATGCCCAAACATCAACAGATTAATCATAGGCATTTTTTTTAACTAATTCTGGTGCCATATATTGAGGTGTTCCACAAGAACATGTTTATTTAGTATCTATTTTAATGGAGTATCCAAAATCTATAATTTTAACTTTTCTTGTGTTGTAATCAATTAATAAATTTTCGAATTTGAGATCTCTATGAGAAATATTAAGTTTATGCATATAAGCTACTGCATCTGCTATTTATCTAAACAATATTTTAGCTTCATCTTCATTTATTCTTTTAAATGGACGACCTTTCATAAATGTTTCAAGATTGATTGGAGAGGAATATTCCATTATTAAAAATATCTGCTTATCATTTTCATATGTATGATACAAATTGATAATATTTGGATGTTTAATTAAATTTAAGATTTCCACTTCTCTTTCTAAATTCTTAAGATGCATATTATTCATCTTCTTTCTATCATATATCTTTATGGCGACTTCAATATCCAATTCTCTATGTTTTGCCATTTTCACTTCTGCAGTTGCTCCAATTCCTAAAGTTTTAATGAAGCAATAACTATTTATTTCTTAATTTTCAATAGGTATTTCTATAAGTTAGGAATATTCTTTTCTAATAATAACATTTTCTGGATTTTCTCCATAAGATACTTATTGTTGATAATTAGACTTTAATATATTTCTAAGATTGTTTCCTAAATTCTTCTAAACAGGCATAGTCTTCTTCTTTTAGAGAGGTTAATAGTTTTCTTATTTGGGAGAACATTATCTTTTGGTTTATTGAGATTTTATAGGTGATTTATTAGTTTGCATTTTATTATGAAAAGAAACAGATCTTCTATGAGTATCTTCTCTATTCTTTAGATATTTCTTTTTGAGATCATAAAGTTTAGAATGTTAATTGGGTAAAAATGTTTATGAATTCAATGGTAAATGGCTCTTTTAATAATCTACAAGGCTAAGTTATTAATTTACTTAAGGATTAATACATATTGGTTTCAGTAGCTTAGTCATATTCTTAATTAAAGTATTCTTCTGGACTTGTTTAAAGTGTGATTTGCTTTTACTAATCGAAATGGATCATAGATTTAAACTATAAATAAATCAGTTAAAAATATATTTTATAATATTTTTTTAGAATAAACTTATAACATTTCCACTTACAAATGAAATACCCAAGATTCTATATATCATTATCAACTTAAATTCTCTCCTTTTTTAGATATTTATATTTGATTAAGTTTGAATCGTTTAAAAATAAATAAACAAAATTGTATAAATCAATTAGATAATCTTAGATAAGTTAGATAAGTTAATGAAGACAATTCTACAGAAAAGAGATATGATATAATTAATATAATAAGTTTTGTGAATTTATTTGTTATAAAGATTTATTTATTTAATTAAAAATGTAGAGATTATAAGGTGCCACACTTAGTTTATGGAGTAGTTTTACCCCAGTTCCTTAGTATGCATTTGCTACATTAAATCTTAAATAATTGAAACAAAGAATGAAATCGGTAGGATCTATTAGAAAGATTACAAAAGCGATGAAGATGGTTGCTGCTTCAAAAATGAAATAAGATGTTTAAAGACTTGAGAATGGAAAATACTTTGGTGTACGTTCGATTTAAGATTTATTTGCTAATGAAACATACTTATAGAAAAAACAATTAAGTTTCAAAATAAATAAGACGTTAATGGTTCCAATTACATCAGATAAAGGACTTTGTGGTGGCATCAATTCATCAATAATTAGAGAAACCCGTTCAATTGTACGTTAAAATCGTAATGCTTATAAATTATTCTTAATTGGTGAAAAAGTATATTAATATTATAATTACAATATTAGTCTCTTGGTGCATTACAAAGAGCATTTCCTGAATTATTAACTTAAGCTATAACTGCCATTAATACTCCAATTAATTTTATTAATTCATCTTCAATTGCTCATTAGATTTAATTGAATGTCACAGAAGATATTGATTAAATTACAATTATCTTCAATTAATTTAAGAATGTAGTTTAATAAGTTGTTAAAAAAGTTGACTTATTGAATAGAAAGAATTTTATAGCTTAATTTAGATTAGTAACAAAATATGATACAGCTGAACCTGAAAAGGAATTTGTTTAAAATTATATGTATGAATATTATGTTGCAACTGCATTCTATCATGCTATGCTTAATAATTTTGCTAGTGAAACATCTTCAAGAATGAATGCTATGGAGAATGCTTCTAAAAATGCTGGTGAAATGCTTGATAAATTAACACTTGACTACAATAAAGTTAGATAAGCTAAAATCACTGTTGAATTATGTGAAATTATTTCAGGGGCCTCAGCTGTCTGATATTAAATCAAATCATTTAGAACATTTATATATTTATATATATATTTAACAATTAAATCTGTTTTTATTCTTATTATATAAATTCTGTTTTTCATTTCGTTCTTAAAACTTCAGTCTCAATTTTTCTTCTATTTGTCAATTTAGCCAAATATTTCTCAAATTATTCAGATGTAATATCTTCTGCATCATATCCAGCAACATTGTGAATTATTTCATCAATGTCTTTTGGTGAAAAATTAAGATGTAATTCATCTGAAATTTTTTTCAAATCTTCCTTATCCAAAGTCCCTTTACCATCAATATCCACTAATGTAAATAATTACTCTCTTCCTTTCTAATCAAACAAATTTCCCTATAACTTTAGATACAATCAATTTACCAATTTATTTGTCAACTCTCTTACAAATTCTTCAAAATCTACTCCACCATCTCCATGCTAATCTGAAACTTATTACAATGTATTAGCTACTATTGGACTCTTCTATACCAATCCCAATTATTATGCTGTTATCATTACATCCTTTAGATCTATTCTTCTTGTTCTGGGATCACAATACAAATTAAACAATCTGAAAAGCTCTAATATATGATCATTTGTCAAAGTTGTATGGTTTTTAACCCAAGGCTTTTAAAGTAAAGCAATCTCATCTTTATCTAAATTTTATTGATTCATTAAATTCAAGATATTTTTTATTAATATTATTTCTAAACATTATTTATTTTTATACAAATATTTTTTTATTTAAATAAATTCCAATATAACTTTAAACTTTAATGATTTTTAAACACACCCATATACATTCTCTTAGTCTAGAAATAAATTTATAAAAACCATCAAATAGTACTCATCATATATGTTCTCTTATCACAATGAACTTATAAGAATTTTTATATCAATATAAAATTATGAATATCATATATATATAAATAATCATTAGTAAAAATTTTGGGTGTAATTTCTAACATAATCCTGTGAATTATAATCTGAATCTGATTCTTATTATTCAAAATCTTCAACTACAAAATGTACTTTTCTTGCTTTTCTAATCTTCTTTTAATGATAATTTAAAAATAATTTTGTCATCAATCCTGGCACTTTAGTTATTTCTTATTCTAAATTTGGATTCAAACGTAAGATCTAATCAAAATCATCTATAAATAAACTATGAGCCTTATCAACTATTATTGGAGATAATATATCATAATATTTCTCTACAAACAATAACACTTATAAAATGTTTGTAATGTCTAATTTTGATATAATATCTTCTTCACATTTTTATTTAAGATCCATTATCATATATTCATCTGCCAATAACATTAAATCACATGCATCTGCAATATTATCTGGGAACTAAAGAGATTATTAATTAATTTAAATACTTCCTTCCAATATCCACTATATATCCACCCGATCATCAATTTAAATAATTCAGGCTTCTTGTATTCTACCTTTATAATGTTCTATGCGCTCTCCATTAAATTCAATGAAAACATTCCATTAAATTTTGGAGATCGGCAAGATAGTATACATTTATGTAATGGAAGCACCTATCTATTCATTTAAATTCTTACTATATCATCATTTATTTTTAGGATCACATCACTAAATATTCCTCCTAAAAATAAATTTTATAATGATGTTTTCAAAGGATTTTACACCATCTAATTAAACTCATTAGTATGAATCACTTTTACTAAACTAGCTGTCATTATACTGGTTTCAGGCTAAATCATTTATTAATCATATACTCTTATGTCTCTTCCTAATGATTGAAATCGAAGTTATTTATAATTTAAACCTGTTATACCACAAAATTCTAAACTATATGATAAAAATGTTCGAGGCTTTATGATTGGTAATCTGATAGAATTGTTTTTTAGAATGATAACTTGATTCTTAGAAGAATTCATCAAATCTTCACCAGCTTCAAAAATTATGTCTAATTAATCTGATCCTCTCTTTTTTAACATTATTAATTCTAAAATAAATAAATAATTTAATTTCTTATTATTACAAAATTTATTACATTAATTTCTTCGATTTAAATATTTTAACTAATTTTCCAAATATGAAAACCTAAATTGAAAATCAAAAAATTTATTCATTTACTTCATCAATAAAAATAGAAAATTTAAAAAGATACATCTTTTGATTAAGATTTAATTTTTCAAACACAAAATATTAAAGAATGTAGTTGTTATTAATTCTAATACTGTTGAAAATAGTTATGTTAAAATTTTTTGATATTTTTATATAAACTAATAATTCTATAGTATTTAATTAAATTTAATAAGATAACTACATTTAGGATGAATAAATATTATAAAAGAAATTCTTGAAGTATAGAAACATCATTTAGGAAATTATAATCATAGAAAATCTTTTAAGTGAGAAAATACTTTCAGCGAAAATTAATTTAAAGTTAGAAGAAACTTTAAAAATTATTTCAACATCAAATTATAATTAAATAAAACTTCAAAAAAAATATCTAAATATCAATTTTTAGCAAATAATTTTCTTAATAATTTACATAACATAATTAAGTTTGTTAAAAAGTTTATTCATAAATTTTAATTGATATAATTTTTTAAGTAGAGTTGAAGATATCTTAAACTAAGTGTTGGATTTTGATTTTAAAATTTAATAAATATTTAAAAATTAGAAGTTCAAGAAGTTCAATTTTATAATATAATAATTAATTAGAGAATAAATGTATTAATAATCAGTTCCAATAACAAGATTATAAAGAGATTATCGTTTAAAACCACTAGAATTTTCATCTCCTCAAAAAGAAAACATGCAAAGAATTGTATCAAGATATCATGAAAGTGCAGATTATAATAATAATAATGGTAAATATTAGGCAAATTTATCATTGCCTGCTTTACCTCCTTTAAAAAAGTTGAGCAAGATAGAGTAGACTGTATCAATTTATAAGGGTAAGCCTGCTCGTTTGCCATCTATACAATTTACTGCAAGTGAGTAGTAATTACAGAGAAAAAAGTAAATTTCTGAAGTTGAAGGAATAAGAAAATCAATAACACCAGAGAAAAGATTAGGGAAGAGAAATTCTTTGATATTTTCAATGAGAACTAAAGCTGGTTGTTAGCCAAATAAAGCAACAAAAATAAATTAAGATGCAGCAATAGTTTGTCCAAAAAATGTTGAAAGGTAAATATACATATCAATGTAGTGTTGGATATAAATTATTTGCAGTTTGTGATGGACATGGTTTAAAGGGTCATTTCGTATCGAATTAAATAAAATAACAATTGCCTAAACATTTGGGTAGATTATTGAAGGATTCAGAAACAATCAAGAATTAAATTTAAAAAGCCTTTACAATAACTAATAGAGAATTATGGAATTCAGAGATAGATACTAATCTTTCTGGTTCAACTACAGTATCATTATTGATAATTAAGGATCTTGTAATTTAAATATTATAATGAAGATTTATTCAGCAAATGTAGGAGATTCTAGAGCAATAATGTGTAGATTTGATGATGGATGGAAAGTAGTTCCTTTAAGTAGAGATCATAAACCTGATGATCCAGAGGAAAAACAAAAAATATTAGATGCAGGAGGTAGAGTAGAATAATAAAAAGGTTTTATTTTTAATAATAATATATAGATTTGCATGGAAATCCGATAGGACCATTTCGAGTTTGGCTATCTTATATTTAGGCTCCAGGATTGGCTATGACAAGATCCTTTGGAGATAAAGTAGGAGCTTAAGCAGGAGTAACTGCAGAACCGGAAATTTTAAAATATTCTATAACTGGATAGGATCATTTTATTGTAGTAGCTTCAGATGGAGTCTGGGAATATTTAAGTAATGAAGAGGTACATATAAATTCAATTAGGTAATGAGTATTGTTATTCCATTTTTGGAAAAAGATAATCCAGATTAAGCAGCTGAACATATTATAATAGAAGCAACTCGAGCATGGAATAGAGTAAATATAGAATTCATCATTAGAATAGTTTGGCTAGAGACGATATTACTTGTATAGTTATATTCTTATAAAAATGATATAATAATTTATTATTATTTATTATTATTTATTATTATTTAGACATTCTAAAACTATTCTATTTTTTATTTATGTATATTTGTCTAATTAATCCTCTAAAATAAGATATTTAAATATCTATTTTTTTAGATTAAATAATAATAGATTCTAAAAATAACCCCAAATATTACTAATATGATTATATAAAATTATAAAAGAAAATTTAAAATAAAAGACTCAAATCTTCAGATCCTTGCATATAATCAATTTATTATTTCTCTTGAATTTGAATGAAGACTTCTATTTATATAAGTGAAATCTTGAAAGATCAATCTTAAGAGAATAAAAATAAATGTTAATTTATAGATATATAATTAATTAAAATGAAACCAATAGGCCAACCTCCTCGTTAAAATTAATATAGGACAAATTCTAGAGAGGCTAGACTTAATTTTGCTCAACAAGCAGAAATGAATCTTCGTGGAGATTTTAAACTTTAAGCACCTTTAGAACCCTAAAGACCCCCCATATAAAGAAGCAATAGTTATAGTCGAAACAATCCCAATCGTCCTGCTACTCAAGAGGAAATACGAAATGCATTAACTTTATTAAAAGCTAAACGAGATAGAGATAGAAAATATACTCAATCTACATAGGATATACAAAATCATAATGATTTTTATTAAGCACCTAATTTAATAAAAGCATAAAGTTATTAACCTCAAACAATATCATATGAAGAGATAGTAGCTAAAGAGGATAAAAAACCTATAGAGATTAATGAATATGAAGATGATGATGAAGAATTAATTGAATGTCCTGAAGGTTGTGGAAGGAAATTTAAGAGATCTGCTTTATAAAAACATATTAAAATTTGCAAGAAAGTATTTTAAGAAAAAAGAAAAGCATTTGATACGAAAGAGCATAGGATAATCAATCAAGATCATGCTAAATTATTATAAAAATAAGAAACTGAAGAATAGATTTGTAATATTTTGCATATATTGAAGAGTAATAACAATAATCAAAAAAAAAATAAACTTAAACTAAAATTGATGATAGACAAATACAAGGTTAAAAAAAGCCAAAGTGGAAATTGTAATCCGAATAATTCAGAGCTGCAATGAAATTAAATAAAGGTGTGACTCTTACTCAATAGGAATAAGTACATGAATCACTAAGTCTAGGTTGCCATCGAAGAAGCAGATGACAGAGTTTAGTGTGAACATTGCGGGAGAAAATTTAATGAATAAACAGCCTTAAAACACATTCCTTCTTGTAAAGAAAAAGCCATGATTAATTAAATGAAAAAGAAATCGTAATAAATATTACCACCCCAATAAAATACCATTAAATCTTAATTTAATGGAACTAATAACTTTCCTAAATAATAATAATAACCCCAATAATAAATCAATAACAATAGAAATAACATAAATTTGAATGGTACAAATAACACATTCACAAATACTTAAACAGCTTCAAGAAGGCCTCCTCCTCCTTCTTCTTCAAAAAAATATTGAATATAATTATATATATATTTTAATTTATAATCAATGAAAATAATCCACATTCTTCAAGTCTTTTTTATTACTTCCTACATCAAAATTGATGCTGCTTACTTAATTAGCAAAAGAATTTTCGTGAATTGGAATCTGTTATGATGATTTAGGTATCTTCACTTTTTTTTTATACTTTTTAGCATCTAATGCAGTTCTAATTCTTAATTAGATAAAATTTTATTCCTTCTAGGCTAATTAACTTTTTTCATATTCCATATTTATTATTTCTTATTAGTTTTAAGTCAATTATTAATAATTCAAGCTTTTATTTTTTAAATATTTCTTTTTTCTTATTAGTTTATGTACCTAAATTCTTGGACATTAATAATTTTTTGTGGTAAAACTGCTCTTTTTCATTTATTTGTTTCAATTTTTCCTGCAATTATTATCTTTTCCTCTCAACGGAACCTAATTTTATTATTCTGAGTTTTCTTACGAGATTTATTTGAAGAACATTTTCTAAACTTATTATTTATTAACCTCAATCTATCATTAGCTCATTTTACGATGTCTTTATTTTCATGGCTTTTGAATAATTTTCTTATTTAAATATTATCAAGAAAATTAATTTGAATAGGTACATTTATGTGAAGTAACATAATTAATTTATAAACAGAAGAGTCAAATATCTTTTAAGATAAATATATTTATTGAAATAAATGTTAAGTTCTAAGGCTGGAATAGATCATGTGTTACGTTAATTCGCAAATAAGAGAGTCTTAATAAGAGTAGATTTCAATGTACCCATAAAAGAAGGAAAAGTGAAGAACGCAACAAGAATATAAGGAGCTATTCCAACAATAAAAAAGATTCTTGAATAGAATCCTAAGAATGTGACTTTAATGTCTCATATGGGTAGACCAGATGGAAAAAGGTAATTAAGAGATTAATATATTAGAGTTGAAAAGGATTCCCTTAAAATAGTTGTACCCAAATTAGAGGAATTGTTGGGTACTAAAGTGAACTTTGTAAACGATTGTGTAGGTTCAGAGGCTGCAGAAGCTTCAAATGCTGGAAATGGATAGATCAATTTATTAGAAAATCTTAGATTCCATATTTAAGAGGAAGGAAAAGGACTTGATGCAAATGGAGCCAAGATTAAAGCAGATAAAGAGAGTGTCAAGAAATTTAGAAAGGAATTATCATCTTTGGGTGACATTTATGTAAATGATGCATTTGGAACAGCACATAGAGCTCATTCATCTATGGTAGGTATTGACCATAAAGTGAGAGTTGCTGGTTATTTGATGAAGAAAGAACTTGATTATTTTGCTAGAGCTTTGGAAACTCCATAAAGACCATTCCTTGTTATTTTAGGAGGAGCTAAAGTAGCTGATAAAATTCAATTGATTAAATCAATGCTTGATAAAGTAGATGAAATGATTATTGGTGGAGGTATGGCCTTTACTTTCTTAAAAAAAATACACAATGTTCCAATTGGAAAATCTCTTTTTGATGAGGAGGGATATAAAATAGTCGATGAAATTCTTGCAAAGGCAAAAGAAAAGAATGTTAAAATCCATTTACCAACTGATTTTGTCTGCGGTACAGGATTAGATGCCTCAAGTCCAGTTGCTCTACATGATCTTAAATCAGGAATTCCAGATGGATGGTTAGGATTAGATGCTGGATAATTAACATAAAGAGAAAATGCTGAAGCAATTGGCAGAGCAAAAACAAGTATAAAATAAATTTATTATTATAGTTGTTTGGAATGGACCTTAAGGTGCTTTTGAAATTGAATAATTCAAAAATGGATCTGTAAGCATGTTGAATGCCTTAGTCAAATAAACTTAAACTGGAGCTACAACTATTGTAGGTGGAGGTGATACAGTCAACCTTGTTGGTGCTAATAAGGCTAATGACAAACTTAGTCATGTATCCACAGGTGGTGGTGCTTCTTTAGAATTATTAGAAGGAAAGATTTTACCTGGAGTAGAATATCTTACAAATATTAAAGATTTATGACCAAAAAATTATATACAATAAAATTATTAATACCCATTATGTCTTGGTTTATTTTACTATATAAAATGATAGCAAACTAATTACTCTTAGGGATATATAATTTATTCACTCAAAATACTATAAATTGGCTTTAAATAATATAAATCAAATTTGAGTTGCCATACAATTATTATTTTAGCATTTCTAATTATACAATCTTCAAAATTAGAGATATCATCTCAATTTGGCTTTCTCATTTTTATTCATAATTAAATATCTAATAAAGTTTTCGAAGGAATATTTTAAGTAAAGTTTTTTGAAACTTCTCAAAATTCTCCCAATTAAACCTCAAGATTGGAAAAGACTGTTATAAGTAAAAAATCATATAGAAAATATATTATTAGAGAAAATAGGGATTTAAACGATTAATAAATCGTCATAAGAGATTATATCAGTTTAAATTACAACAATACTTGAATTATTTTATTAAATCATGATTTGATTAATCAATCACTTTTAGTGCATATCATTTAGAAATGACAGTATTTAATTACGCATAATTCTTTATAATAAAATCAGAATAATTTATATACGAATTTAAAATGACATCATCAAGAATCTTGTTACTTGTTCTTGTAGCTACAGCATCTGCTTTCACATATAATGAAGCAATGGCCAAAGAACATGCAGCTTTATCTTTTGCTGCCTATTGTCCAAATGCAGCTATCCATAATTGGTCAGTTGGTTATGTAAGTAGATCGTATCCAGATCTCACAAACATTGAAGTTTTTGAGAATCTTGTTTCGGTAAGCCTATAAAATAATTTTAGGGAACAAAAGGATATATTGCCTATAATAAAAAAGAATCTGCAATCGTGGTTATTTTTAGAGGATCATCTAACATTCAAAATTGGATTGAAAACATTTCTTTTGGAAAGTCCGATTACAACACAGCTTGTAAATGCAAAGTACACACTGGATTCCATGATGCTTTTAATTCACTTAAGCCAAAACTTGACACATTATTCCCAGGATATGTTACCAAATACCCATATGCTGCTATTCATGTTGGTGGACATAGTTTAGGAGGTGCTATGGCTACACTCTATGCCTTATAATTAGCTGAATCAGGAAAAACAGTTTAATTATTTACTTATGGTTCACCAAGAGTAGGAGATCCAGATTTCTATGATTGGTTCACAAAATACACAAAAATTACTCATTTCAGAGTTGTAAACCAAAACGACACTGTTCCTCATGTATAAAATATCAATCTATTATAGCTTCCATTATATGCTATGGGATTCTATCATCAAGACAGAGAAATCTGGTATCATGATGGAACTCACACTGTTTGTGCAGCTACCAGAGGAGAAGATAAAACTTGCTCATACACTGTTAAATCTACATCCAATGCTGATCATAGCACCTACATTGGATTAAGTTCAACAGTTGATTGTTGATTTTATTTACATCAAAAGATTATTTAATCATTAATAGCATTTTAGTAATCAAAGCAAAAAGATTATTAAAAGCATCTAATTTTATTATTCATTATAGTTAGATTAATAATGAACATCAATTAATAATTATATTTTATTACTCAATAAAAAATCATTCATTTAATCCACGATAATGCATTTCTATTCCCTCAATCTATTATACTCTGATTTCACTATTTTCATATTTTGATCTTATTATAACTTTCATAATTACATAATCCTCTATTTTTTCATTCTTATTAATGCAATTATAGCAAATATCAAAAGAATAACAGCTATGCTAATTCCTATGATTTAATAATTAAATGGCTTCTCCTCTTAAATCATCATTTATTAGGAATTCCATTTAACACGTTAGGATTCATAATAATAATCTAAAGATACTCTTTAATCATCCCTATATAATATTAAATCCACTAAAATTAAAATTATTTAAATTACCAGTTGCAAGAATATTAAAAACAAAATTTCTCTATATTTACCATCTAAAGGTGGGAAGAGTCAAATTGAATGTTAAGTAAGTATCATTATCATTTAAATTTCGAATAATCCTATTTTCATTTTATGGTTCTGAACAATAATTAATCTCTACATCATCATTTTCATTTCCTTCCGATAAAATTACAGAATATTCTATTTTTTTCACTTCAAATGACTCTTATTCATCTTTGTTAACAAATTACAAAGGGCTAAATTAAATAAGAAGATTTATAGTTTCATCATTGTTCTTTGTAATATTAGAACTTAAGTAGCCCTGAAATCCAGGGAAGAACTAATCGTAAGGTATATCATTTTTTTCTTCAACTTAATATACTCTTATTGTATATTAGGCCTAAGGTATCTTAGTATTGAGCTACTTAATAAAATCAAATTTCAAAAATATCATTTCAGCATATTCTATTTTTTCTAAGTATCCATGTACCGATTTTTATCTAATATCTAATTTTAAGTCGTATTAATCATTTAAAAGAGATTCATAGTATTATCCAGCCAAAACAGAGAAGATTCCATTGCAAAATTACATTTAGTAAAACAAATATCCACTTTTTTGCCACAATACCCAATATGTGCTTTAATGAAATTGAATTGTTCCAAGTTATTTAATTTTTGGTAGCAAAAGTCTTAGATCTGAAGTTCCAACTGAAATTTAATATTATTACTCAAATTATTCTTAATTTTTCAAAACAATTTTATATTAGTTGTCAGTCTAAATATATTCATTATAGATAAGATTAGATAAAATCAACTATTAAATAGGTTATATTTATTGTTGTGAAGTGTTGCTATAAACAGTTATAATTGGTGGAGATCTATGTTTTTGATTGGCAAGTAAAGCATTCCAATCTTCTTAGATCTAAACTGATATTGAAAACGTTTTTAGATTGCTTGACAATGGAGAATAATCGTAATTTATAAATTAAAATTGTTTCTCACTTTAGGATTTTAGTGATAAATACTAGGGATATATTGAACTAGTATATATATTAAATTTACTAAATATAATTATTTTCTTCATTTTCATTAAAATATTAAATGCTAAAATAAGAGCTATAAATAGCTTCAATATGAATTTTCAAATTTGAATTTTCTTAGTTAGTAATATTGAATTGATTTTCATAATTATTTCCATCAATATTTAGCAAATGTATAGGTATTTAATTTTCATTTGTAAAAAACTTTTCGAATGAATATTCACAAGAAATAGAGCCACTAAATAAATGAATCTAAAATTAAGTAGAGAGACTATCTTGATTTGGATTTATAATAAATGTAACATTTTAGTTTTATTCAAGAATATATTAGATTAAAGTTTATGATTCCAAATAGATTTAAGTCTCCTCACAACTAACTTATATTGTAACAATTTCTGAAATCATAGTTCTAAGTGCTATAATTAAAACTGAGTCTTAATTTAAAGGATCAGTAACAAAACGTTTTTAATAACCCTTTTTGGAATTGTTGTATTTGAATTAGGTGACATCTTTTTAAAATGAACTGAATTTTGCTGAGGCTTATTCTACCTCATCTACAAAAAAGTATGCAGTTTCAGAAAGTGATTATACAAATATCATAAAAGGTGTAGTTTGTTAAAAAGAATATACTCTGAAATATACTGTGTAATCTTCCTTAACATAACTAATGTAATATAATGATTGATACAATTTAAATGGTTGGTTTTGGAAGATATCATAAGCTTCAATTTTACCAAGATGATATTAGATAACAAACTAACATTCTTAATAACCATGTACTCCAACACTAAATTAATTAAATTAATTTAATACTAATAGTCACCAGTTAAATTAGGATGTAGATTATTTCCAGGTTCAATAATTAAGGAATCACTCCAATAATCAAATGATCCCCAATCATATCGATCAAGATTAGGATATTCAGATTTTGATACAAAAAGATCAGCATCACAATTTATATCTGGTTTAAGCATAATCATAAGATTTTTATCATTATCATTATTATAAATGCGTAATTTATAAAATTTGAATTCATCTTTTTTAAGAGTTCCTTCTTATACCTCAGATTCTCGAAGTAAAATTAGTTTTGAATTTAATTAAATAGTATAATCATACATTTCACTGTTAATATCAGCTGTATAATATTCTTCAGAAACTACAACAGTTAATTTTATGATACATTTATCATTACAATTGTGTTTTTATAGTTCACTTTAAGAAAAGTATATTGAAGCTTAAGAGTGTATTTTTTGTTTTTTTGAAATTTTATTATGATTATTTTTATTAGCTTCTGGTGAATCTAAAGTTTATACTATTGAAGCATAGATTATCAATTCTCCATAATAAGTAAATGCAATTACATTCACTTCCTCACCATAACAATATAAATAAAAGTAATCTTCTACTCTTGGTAAAGTTTTTGAAATTGGTTAATCTTCTTTAAGTTAAACTTGAGACAAATTTATTTTTGAGATTAATATTGAATAAAACTAATCCAATTTAGTATGGATACTAAAATAAAAATATTCTGAACATATCTTTGATTGATATAAACAATAATTATCTTAAATTTATTCAACAATAAAGGAGTTATTATTTTTTGAAAATCGAACTTCTAAACCAGATGGTTTTTCGAAATCAAAAATTAAGGAAGTTTGATCGAATTCAAAAGATCTTTTGGAGATCACAAAATTCTCTTTCCTTTAATATTCATATTTAAAGCTTTAAAAATAATTAGCAGGTAAGAAATTAAAAAAGGGTTCATCTATCATCAAATCAATAGTTTAATAAAAACTATAAAAGGCAATCCTAAAATTAGCAGAATTACTCTCTTTTCCAATCAATTTTATTTTTAAATATAGAATTTCAGGATAATAGGGATCATCCATCAAAATAGTGATAATTTATCCACTCTACCATATTGCTTTAGTTTCATCTGTTTCTGGATGATCAAATCCAAACATTTATAACTATCCGTATGTTTTCTATATTACAACATTTATTGAATCCTTGTTTTATTGACTATAACCTTTCATATCTATTTTATATAAAACAAATTCATCATCATATAGATAATTTTCATGTGCATCTCCTTAATACAACTGAATATAATGCCAAGGAAATCTACCAAGTTAACGGAAGTCTTCAAAATTCTTAATAGTCCAAACTGTTATCATATATTTTGAAAATGATTCCCCATAAATTGATAAATAATAAGTCCCAGATTAAGGCTTTGTACCATATCTACCTCCAAAATTTATTGAATTATTTTTTGATTAAAATTCAAAATTTTCTTTATTAGGTTATTGATTAGTAGTTGATAAATACATTGACACATCTCCTTATATAGATGTGACAAGAAAATGCAATCTTAATAACTCATCCTAATCAGATACAAAAAATTTATAGTATTAATATTCATCTTTCATAACTGTTGATTTATGAGGTGTATTTGATAATAAATTCATAGTTTTTTCAATAATTTTATATTGAATAGAAAACCTTCCATATTATTTACTATTTTTATCAACAATGGCTATAAGATAATAAACACACCAATTTTAACAATTCAAAACAAATTATGTTTACTATTTTTAATTCGAATATATCATTGTATAATCTTATATTTTTTCATATTTTAATTAATTAGTGAATAATTCTTCACTAAGAGGACATTATACTTGATCCTCACAATTAGTTATGAGAAAATTAACGACTCCTCTGAGTGTGTTTAAATTAATTTAAATTTAATGATTTTCATTTTGATCATCAACTATCCTAAGCTTTATGATTTCAGATTATTAAATATCTCTTTGATAAAAAACTCCAGAAAAAATATAAAAATCATTTTCACATGTAGATTTTAATTGATAAGTACATAATTCTTGGCCCACAATAGCTATATATAAATTAGATAAGGTTATATTTTTATTCTTCAATTCTAATTAAGATATATAAACAAATTCTCCTTCTTGTTTTTCATCTTACCATTCATAACTTTCTAATAAAGGTGGTTAAGAATTATAATGAACATATAATTTTGCATAACCCTTAAATGGAGTCAATCGAATACCCTAAAATATAAATAATTATATACGATGTCACAATCAAAATTGCCATAATTTTCCAATCTATAGAAATCATACTCTCCTTTATTAACAACTTAAATGACACTTTCATATTAATTTAAAGTCTTCAAAGATTCACTTCGAGTTGCAATTACTCTAAATAATGCCCCTTATTCCCCTTAGATTAGGATTTTATACTTTTCTTAAGATTTAGTTTAATTAAATTCAATCACTTTTTAGTTTTCCCATGTGTCAATTGCTTTATAATCATACTTATCATTGCTAGGAGGTCCATTATCATATTTATTCATAAAAACTAGAAAAGGTTCTTCTAATTATTCTTAATTCAACACTTAAACATTTAATTCTATTTCTGTTTAATCATAAATAAATTCCTCTATTTCAAAGTCTATAATTTAAGATTGTTTTTCATTATTCATTTTAAAAGTTAAAAAGCTATCTATTTTTAAAATTTATTCCTAATCTAATTCTATTCTTAATGTGTATCTACTAGGAAAACGAGATACAACTGAAATATATAGAAGATCATTCTCTTTAATTAAATGATTGTCTATAACACATACATCTTTTATAGAAATTAATTTTACCCATTCCTTTTGCTTCACATGCTTTTACATCAGCATCTTTAATAGATAATGGTTCTCTATTACTTTTTGATATGTATAAGTTTGGATCAGAATTAGGATTCAGAGTCTTAAGCTAAACTATAAGATCTGTGCCATTTTTTAACTCAGGAACAACAAATATATAAAATTTATGATTCTATGTTCTTGGTGAAATAAATCTAAATTTATTACTTTTATATTACCCTTAAACTGATGTTCCTAATTACAAAAAATTCTTTTCATTCTCAGTCTCCTAACTAAATGATAGGAACAATAGATAAAAAAATTAGATTATAATCATAATAATTAATTTATTAATTAAAATCAACAAATTATTCTTATGATATATGCACAATTTATAATATACTTACTAAAACAATTAGATTATTTTCAAAAAATTATATATCATTAAGTTATTCAATTTATTTTATCGAATTTTGTAGTTTCCTTTATTTATTCAGCAATCTCTAATAATTACTTCCTGATAACTGCTTTATTTTTGAAGTCATTTTCCCTTTAAGCTTATCTAATTAAATTTTCATATTTTTCATTTAATGTCTTCAATTTAGCCTCAATTTCTGAATGATATTATGGCGATAAAGGAGATATTAATCTTTTTCTAGATTCAATCTTCTTATCAGGACTATAAGCTGAATTCTTCATATCTTCTAAACAGTCTCTTATTGCTTATTTTAATTAACTCTATCTTAAACTTTGATCAGCTCTTGGACTAGGAAGAGTGGGAGATATTTAATCCAAATTTAATTTACTAATTGTCCTCTATTCTCTATATCCTTAATTAAATTCAGTTTCTTCTTATCTAGATATTCTTCTTTTTAAATATTTATGACTCTTCTCTTCCTAATCCAACTTATTTTTGATATTTTAATATTTAACGTTCAATTCCTTATAATCCATAGTCAATTATTAAATTATATCTTAATATTCTGAACTCTTTAAAATCAGCTCTTATATTCTTTTAGCCATTTATTCTTCTCTACATATTCGATTTGATTAAGCTTCATCAATATTTTTTAAATAAACTCTATCTTTTTCATCTAATTAATATTTTAGATTAGATATTTATTTTTCAAATTCATGTAATTTAAATGATGGATGCTTCTATTTATAATTTTCAAATTCTTAATCTAACCTTTATTTCTCCATTTCTAAGAATTCTACTCTTTTTTCCAGTTTCTTAATAATGTTATCTTTAATATCAATTTTTTACTTATATTCTGAGACAGTATTAAGAAGTATTGAATTTTCTTCAAATTTCTTCATCTCAACCTTATGCAATAAACCTTTTTCATTATTTTTATAAGCTTATAATTATCTCTAAAGACTTTCAAATGTCATTTAGATTTCATGTTTATCATGTTTAAGTTCTTCATTCTTTCTTATTAATTCAGATACTCTGTCTTAATAATCTTTCAAATGTTATAATCTTTCGACTTATAACAACTCTATTTATTAAGTAGCTCTATTGTTCATTTCCAATTCTTAAGAAACTTTCATCAATTGCATTTATAGACGATCATTTTCATTTGTTAATTCATTCACTTATTGTTTAAGTTATTCAATTATGATATCTTATGGAGACAAATCGATTGATTTCCTATATGAATCATTTCTTAATTTATCCTGCATATTCTTCATTGCTGATGCATAAGCACTACTCATTGTAGGAGAATTAGATGAAAATGCTCTCTAAGACAATCTTTATTCTCTTTATTACATAAAATATAATTTTATTGTTTATTGAATATATTCAGGGTAATTTTTCAAAATATTCTCTATCAAACTCTTTCCTCCTATCTTAAAGAAGCTTTTTTTCCTTCTCTTATTCTTTTTCCTTTATTTATTTGAATTATAAAGCAAGATTTGGAGTTGCGATTTTTCTGTTTTTGTAAAGATTAAACTATTTCTAAGTTATTCTCTTTTTAGCTTGAGAATTCTGTTGATTAGTATCAAATACAACTTCAAATTATTAAGTAGTATTTGAAAAAGGTTAAAGAGTTGATCCCATATGTAACTTACTTGATTTACTTCTATCAGTAAATACTTTTGCTGGCTAATTCTCCTTTATTTTTGTATAAGAAAGCTATTTATTGAATTCTTCCAAAATAGGTTGGCTTGTATCTCTATGTGTATCTCTACTCATCTTCTAAGTTTTTATTGTATTTCTACATTCCTCTAAAGTCATTGGTCTTTATATATCCTATTCATTTGAGATTCTACCTATCGATAAGCCTTACAAAGATGGATCTTATTTAAAGTCTATACTTTTACTTGGTTTAGATTGCAAATGTAATGGCAGAAGAGGATATTTATTTTTCTATAATTGAACAATCTCTTTTAAAACAGAGTGATAATTTTCCTCTTCTATTTAGAACTTGAATTGGATTTTGGCTAAATTCTAATATTTTTTTTTTGGTTTCGGCTCTTCTATTTCAGGTACTTTATAATGTTTAGAAGCTGTTGTAACTAAAAAATTCTTAGCCTTGAGCTAACTCAACGATATCATTTCATTGTTAATTGGTTGAATACACAATGTTTGACCAAAAGAGTTGATGTAATCAATAATATTTTAATTCATGAAACTCATTAATAACTCTTCAATATAGAACCTATATAGGCACTCATTTAATTTAATGTATTTAAACAATTGACAAGTTATAATACTTATCTTATGTATAATTTTATACATAAAAATTGTTATCATATATATATCTTAATTTCTTTTTGGATATCATATTATTTTATCCTCTTTTCGAATTCTTTTAAATGCTATAAAATTTAAATAATTGTATATATATTATAATTATGCTTGATAATTACATTGAAATCCTTTAACAATACAAGAATCCAAAATTGTAATACTTATTTAGTTCCTTACCTTTGCCTAGTTAATGGCAATTATTCTAAACTGCAAATAAAATAGATGTGCTAAACAGTTAAACAGATTATTTGATAGATTTGTATCACTATCGAGAAATTCCTAAATTATTACTCAAAGATTAAATAGAACGATTACCTGAAGAATTTTAACATGATTTAAATTAAGAAGAGTTTATATTAATGTTAGCAAGAGTTTTAGAGTTTCCACCATCACATTTACCATTTTTAATTAATGGAACTAGAATATTATATGATTAAATTTGTTGGTTGAATCAAATTCATAAGGTAATGGACACAAATACAATAGGTAAACTTTTCGACATTTCTAAGTTTTTACATCATTTGTGAATCTGAAGCTAAAGAAATGCCTGAGTCATTTTTACCATATACAAATGATTAAAGAGCATTTTTAAAACATTTTTAAGAATTTGAAAAAGATGATTATGGATTTAAATTTTCTAAAAATTAAGATATTACTCATCATTAGAATCCAATAAAGAAAGTTTTCTATTGTTAAGATTCAATTTTTAGTTTAGATTAAATGAGTGATAATATCTAAATATTTGATTCCGATACAATAGAAATAAAAAAGACAATTTAATGCACATCAATAAAACATAAAACTAATATTTTAGGTTAACTTTCAAAAACAATATCTTAAAAGACAATTAATATTTTAGATATATTTTTTGCTGATTCACCAAAGATACTTGGAGCATGTTGTTAAGATAAAACAATATCTTTTTGGACATTGACAAATAAATTTTAATAAGAATATACATTTTCAACAGAAAAATATGGACTTTAAGTTTAAATAGCGTAAAAACAAGTATCATATTTGTAGTTATTTGGAATCTATAAAGGCATGGATAACAATAAATAGAGAAAATTAAATATATTAATGGTCATTCACCTAATTAATAGAATCAAATGATAGTAAAGCAATTTCATTTGCAAACTCATCAGTTGGAAGTGCAATATTGCTTCCTTATAGAGGATCTCAAATAAACTATATCAAAGAGATATCTTTATTAAATTAATTGTTTATTTGTACAACAGAGGAGATTCAGAAAAAAAATGATAATACTGACAAGTTCTTCAAAACAGTTGAAAAAAGAATTCATGTATGGAATCCTATTAAATGGCATGCTTTTTCTGATATCAAATTACCAAATAAAGGATCATCTGTTCATACAATAACATATTCACTTAAATTAGATGTTCTATTTACTGTAGGATTTAATGATGATATATTATTATGGAAATTTGATTAAGGAAATGAGAATTATAATTAATTTCATAAATTAACTATTAGAGAATAGATTGAAAATTAACGTATTGAAAATAATACAGTTTCAGCTATTGAAGCATTTGATGAATATGGAATGTTGATTAGTTTAGATAATAAAGGAATAATGAGATGTTGGGATATTGAATCATGGGAAATAATTTATAGATTCAATCTTGAATGTGAAATAATTAATACTACTAGTTAGATATTAAAGATTAATTAAGGAAAGTTTATTGTTACAACTTAAAGACTTAAAGTCTTATAATTTCCACGTAATTAACCAAGAAAAGTTAAAGTCAGATTCAAACCTAGATTAATGTAATGTTTTAGTTAAAGAGTCTATGTGAGTTCAAATAAGGAACTTATAGGATTTAATTGGAATAATGCATATATTGAAGAAAAAGTAGAAATGACTAATGAATAAGAAAAAGTAGATATTGGAACAGAAATTCTATTCTTTTTTACTCATTGGGACGTTACTATTGTAATTACTAACGATGCAATCTTACATATAATTAAAGATAGATTTAGAAATAATTAAAAAGGAAAAAAGGATTTTCTTGAGTATATACTATTTGAAAATAAATAAATAGAAGGTTGTCATTTCCATTATCTATATTCCTAACTTACTTGTTGGAATAAAAGTATTTTACGAATCTTTTAAAGTTAATATATATCTAAATAATTGCATTTTACTAAAATTAGAGAAATGGATGCTCGAGGACATATTTAAAAAATTATTAATTGTTGTGAAAGAGATATAATTGGAGTTCTTATGAAGAATAATATTCTTAATTTTATCTAATATAGTACTATGAAAACTATATCATCAGTTACAACTGAGGATGAAATTGCTGATTTCTTTTTATTTAATGATTATAGATGTTTAGCCATTATTCATCAAAAAAGAATTGTATTTTATTCTCATTAAGATTATACACTATTTTAACCTAAATATTTTATTAAAACAGATTCTATATCCAATATTTTATAACTCAATTATGAATCTTTAGATAAAATATTAGAAATTTATGTTCCTAATCATTTTAAATATAAAAATATCTAATTTTTTAAGTAATAGGAAGCTAATAACTAATTTAAATATAATGAAGATATCAAAAAGGATTTCTCAGTCCTCTAATAAATTAAAGAACTTAAATAAAAAAATGAAGAAAGTAATTTTTTAGAAGTGAAAGGTGCTGGATTAGTTAAATTTTAGAGAACTGTTAAAAAAATTCTAAGTTTGATTAGAAAAAATTCTATTGATGAATTACAAAGAATATCTATTATAGAAAGATAAAGTATCATTGATTTAAGTAATTAACCAAGTTTAATTTTGGATCTAGATTCCACTTTAATTAGAAGAAATGGATAATTCATTTCAAACATTAAAATAGATTATGAACTTTAACCTGTAGATTTAAATCATTATACATATAGCAAAGTATATATTTATGAAGATTTTCATTATTAATACTTTTTGTGTTAAAATTCTTCTCCAATTTTATTATCTAATATTTAATCAAAAATTGTTGAAAAGTTTTAAAGAATCAAAGATCCCTATTTAAATAAAGATGACAATACTAAAATAATAGTTTCATTCAATTAATCAGATGAAATTCTTCTTGACTACAAAGAAGCTGAAGAAGTAATCTTGCTAAGAATTGAAATTGATCATAATTCAATCAATCCATCTATTATTAATTTTTATGATCATTTATTACTAATAACTTTTGGTAAAGAAGACAATGCTTTAAAATTCTGGGATATAACATGTCTTAAATCTTTAAAATAATTGAGTATTGACAAAGAATACCTTTAACTTAAACCATCTTAAGTAAGTGCTATTTTAAAATTGAAAGAACTTTAAGAATATAATTAAACAGATGAAATTAAGTCTTAAGAAATTTTAGTTTAATAAAAAACTAAAGATTTATAATCTTTAATAAAATATAAGACTAAACATTTAGGATCTACTAATTTGGGAGATACTCCATATTTATAAGGTGAATACATATTACCATTAGAATTGCGATTAAAATGGAACCTTAAAGAATTTAATTCCTTCTATAGAATTAATTAAATGAAAGAAACTTACAATTATATGTTGAAAATGCTCTATAATTATTAAGAAGCTAATAAATATTAAATTTATCAATAACAATTATAAATTAACAACAAAATGATGTTATAATAAAAATTAAAATCTGGTAGTTAATTAGATTTATACTATTCTGATGATACACATGAACATCCTTCTTTGCCAAAATTATATTTAACCTAATTATAAATTAAACCAGATCCTCCTCCAAATACTCCATTTCCTAAAAATTCAAAGGTAGACAAAAAGGCTGATATCAATTTTTAAGTTTTATCCTCTATTTTAAGAAAAAATGATTCTGAATAGGAAAATTAAAGTAATGATAAAACCTTAAGAAAATCTATCCATCTATCCCCCAAAGGAAAAATGAAAAAATTAAATAAAAAGGATAAAGATTCAGGAAGAGATTACTAAAAAGAAAAAGAAAGAGATTAAAATAAAGAAAAAGAATCTTATGATGAAAGTTTAAGATAAAAGTCTGATGATTAAATCCAATATGAAAGATTTGATTAATTTATTAAAGGAGCTAATAAAAAAATAGTTTAATTAAATAAATAATTAAATGAGTTATATTATCCTCCATTTGAAAAAGAACAAAAACTAATTGAATAAGAGAGAAGGAAGTAAAGATAAAAACCAGATCTTTAAGTTACTACAAATTAAAAGACAGGAATCTAATTAATTAAATTTAGTCATAGAGCAACAGATGAAGAAAAACGAAGTATACATTTTATTAAATAGAATTTTTAATGAATTATAGTTTTGAAGATGTAGCCTTAAAATAAAGTTAAAGTTTAAGAGAAATATCAGCAAAAAATGTTGATAGATCTTTAACTCCATTTAAAGATTATTTAAAATAAACCAGAAATATTAAATTAAATAACCCAATTAAAGCTAAAGTCAAACTATGTAAAATTATAATCTATTTATCAGCTTTATTGAAATAAAATAATAACATATCTGATATATTAGATACAAATTAACCTATAGATAATTAAGTTAAGGAAGAAATTGTGGGTTTCAATTTGATTAAAAAAAATCATCGATCCAAAATTAATGGTGATTTACGTAAGCTCAAATATTTATTATTTTAGAATATATTTTAAATGCAGACTTAAAAGAATTTACATCAAAGGATAGTTTTGCTGTAGCTATAACTGATTCTTAGAAGAAAAGATCATTATCACCCTTGAAAAATTATTTAATGACAAAAAAAAAATCTTAATTGCATCTAAATTGATTACAATAATAATTCATTTTTACAGTTATTTTAAAAATACTAAATAATATAGAGTTATTTCTAAAACTATTATTTTTTTTTATTTATATAATTTAAATTTAAAAAATAAACAACAAAAAGCCTATTTAATAACCTCTTATTTAATTTAAGGCAATTTATACTCATTTTTGCTAAGGTTTCAATATAATACATTCCTAAACTTTATGCTAAAGGATATGCAAAATCATATGAAAATTTTTATTCGATTCTAAATCACATATAAATCCTACAAAAAGAAAAGAAAGGAAGTATCTTGATTCATATTTTTTATATCTTCTTAATTATCTTTATCAAAATTATTTACCACAATTGAATATCTGAAAATGATGCTTAATTTGTAAGATCAAAAGCTAAAAAAAATTCCGCTCTGCTCTTTTTAAACTAATAATTTATTATACTGTCATTTAAGATTATAAGTTAATATTTTACTGATATTACTTCTTAATAAGGGAAGTGATAAATCTCTGATATCAAAATTGTCTGCCTAGAAATAATTTGAAATCATTATTATTTGAGAGTGGAATTTTATTCTTTTACTTTGTTTTTTATTCAATATTAAATTGATAGTTTTTTTACAAGTATTTTTAATTGATAAATTAGTATTCTAATGAATAACTAAATTAGATCAAATAATTTTAATCTACTATATAGTATAAGGGATCCAATAAATAATAAAATATTTAGCATAAAATAGTTTTTAAACATACTTATATTCATATGTCTTGGTTAGAATCTTAATCCTTTACTATTTTTAAATTGAAAGAAGTTTATCAATTTTAATAATTTTATCTATATTAAATATGTTCTTAATTTATTAAAATAGTTTGAAAAGTTAATAAAGAGAAATCTATATTAGTTTCTGAGTAAATAAAGGAAATTAATTAAAATTTAATCTTTTGATAATGTTGAGTACAAATTTAGAAGTTCAAATTTTATGGCTTCAGATATTTAGGAGTACTACAATACTTAGTTTCTCATTTTCATTTAAAATCTTAGAATTTAAAAATAAATTTTAGTAAAAAATAAAAGATAAAAACTTGATTTTTTAATATTATAGTGTCATTTATGATAGATATAATTAAAAAAAAATAATAAATAAAGAATAGAGTAGTAAGGAGAGTTGATAAATAAAAAAAGGAATAAATATGCTTAAATTACAAAGTTGAAATCTAATTATTTTAATAATAATTAAATAAATTATAATTTAAAAATAATTATAAAATTTACATGAAAAATAAATTTAATGATAAAATTTAATATTAATGATGAAATATTTAAATTGATACTAATTAGTAATAAAATGAATCATATATCAATAGTGAATTAAGATATTTCGTATTTACAATCAATTAACCAAGGATGAGTGAGAGCTTGTCTAGCATTCATTCTATTTTTTGGATCTACATGAATTAAATTTTTAATGAAGTCTCTTAATTCTTCTGAAAATTTATTTGGGAATCTGATATTGCCACTTATAATCATATCCTACATTTCTTAATATGATAGATCTTCCCAAGGAGTTTCTCCAGTACATAATTCATAAGCTAAAACTCCCAAAGACCACATATCAGTACTTTTATCATAGTTTTCTCCTTTAATAATTTCAGGAGAGATATATGCCAATGATCCACATTAAGTAGATCTTTCTTATTAAGGTGAGTAAATAGAATGAGTAAAATCAGCTAATTTAATCTGATTGTAACATAGAAATATATTTTCTGGTTTGATGTCTCTATGAATAATACCATTTCTATGGAGATAATTTAAAGCTGAAGCAACTTATTTAACATAAAATGCAGCTACATTTTCAGAAAAACAAGTTTCTGGTAATGATCTCAATAATTTATGTAATTATCCATGACAACAATATTCTAATACTAAAACAATTTCAGTGTCTATCATATAAAATATAATAAAAACTTGTATGAAAGAAAGTAAATAGCTTAACAATATTGGGATGGTTTAAAAGATATTATATCTTCAACTCTTATGCAATACTCTTCCATATTGAATAAATTTATTCTTTTTTCATTATTTTAAGTGCAACATGTATTCCTGTATTAATTTCACAAGCCAACTTTACTTCACTATATTTTCCTTTGCCTAAGAATTATAACATTGTATAATTTGATAATTATTGTGCTTTTGGTAAAATAGTTCTATTAAGCATTTTCTTAAATGTCAATTGTTCTGTTTCATAATCTCTTATGTGCAATACATTTTTATTTATTTCCACCAATTTCTATCCAGAATTAGCATTCGATCGTATTCTTTTTTAAGGTTTCTCATTTTAAGTAGGCTTTTTCTTGATTGTTTTTAGTAATGTTTCAATCAGTTCTTTTTAGTTAATCTTTTGATCCACTAAGTCTTATTAAGTGTGTAAAGGTGAACTGAGTTTATTAATTAATGTTATTCGATTGCTTGAAGCAGATCTAGAATTTGTTACTTTATGCATTATTATATTAACGATTAGAACACACAACTAAAAAACTATTAGAATTCAACTCTCTATTAGAAAACTATGATTTTTATTATTTTTTATCAGATCAAATCACAACAACATCCTTTACAAACAATTTATTACACCAATTAAGTTTTATTCAGCATCATTTTATTTTACCTTTTTGAAATTTTATGTTATGAGACATTATCTAAAAAATAATACAAATATCAATCCAAAAGTATAGATGCATAACATAAAATAAAATTAACAAAATCAAATGATATAGTGTTTTATTAAATTGATTTTTTTAGTTTTGTAACAATTTTAATGTAGGATGAAAATATTTCTCATTAAGTTAACAAAATTCAATTATCTAAGTTAATTTTGGTTCGGTTAACAGAAATTTAATTTTAATATTTTCCTAATTTTGTAGAAAAAACTAATATTAAATTTATGGACTTAAAAGTGTTTTTGATTTTCAAATTGAAACCTTGATTTGCTAAAATTTTTCGAGGAAGTTCAAAAGAATCAATTTAATGAACGAAAAAAAATCTTTAGTGCACCATATACAAATATCAAGGAGTATAAATAACTTCCATTTAATCATTAGTCACAAAAAGAAATAGAGATTTTTAAAAAGTTTTTGTTTTAGATTTGAGAAGAAATTTCTAAGTTCAATTTTAGATATCACTGAATTTATTAAAGCAATAAGCTTTCCTGTAAATGAATATAAAGCTAATTATCTAAAATCTATGATGAATGTCAAAAAATTTTCAACCAAAGACACAAATAATATTATAAGATTATCAAACATAGAATTCAACCTTAAATATGATTATGCCTAATTAGATGAAAAAATATCAATATTCCTTTGAAAATAATTAAGCACCATAATTCAAATGATTTTAAAATTATGCAATGAAATACGTGATCTCATTTGTTTAAACAAACAAAATGTTTTAGAAATTCATTCTGAAGTTTTTAAGGGTATATATACTTTTAGGAATTTTAAAAAGTGCTTAATATATATATTCCTTCTTTAATTTTTTTTGTTGCATTTCGAAATAGAATTTTTTTAATTTAAGCCCAAGATTTCTTATAATATTTAAAAATATCATAATATAGATTAATTACTATACCAGTAATAAATTTTGAGCACTAATGAAATTTTTATGTTATAAATAAAAATAGTTTTTGTTAAGCACTTATTAAAAAATTTCAAATTATAAATAACATTTTATTATATTCATAATGATGCAGTAATTTAAAAAGACTTGTTCGTATGATAAACTACTATAAATATGTTTAAGTTTATGTTTAGTATTACATACAATACTGGTTAATTAATCACAGAAAAATATGAATAAAAGAGAAAAAAAATTTGTATATATTTGAATATGTCTGCTAAAATGAAAATGCATTAAATCTTCTAATAAAATTTAAGAGATAAAAGTGCAAAATTTTACTCTATATAATTGAATTCTACAATTATTAATATAAAATATGAAAATAATAGTTTAATCTGCAAGACTTCCTTCCTCACCAATTTTTCATAGAAAGAAGCCTACTGAACTTTAAAATCCTTTAGATAATTTAGTTAGAGTGTAATCACCATGTGGAAGTACAACAAATAATGCATTTGGAAGATGTCCTACAGTGAAGACTTTGAATAGTGATAGAGATCCAGTTGAGCTTACTATAACATTGTTGTTGAATGGTTAGAAGTAAAAGGAATGAATGAAAATAGATTGATTGTACCTATTGGAATACATTAAACCACCACTGATTTATATAAGAAATTAATTGGGAAAGTGAATTAAGTTAATCCTACAATAGTGAATTAAATAAAACATTTTCAAACGCATAGTAGTTTTAAGAATTACAATATTGATTACTATTTATCCCTTGAGCATCATCCATTAGATGTATTTATAGAATAAAGACATTTGAAATTGGAACCATATATTTCAAAAAGTGTAAATAACTAATTGAGTATTGATGATTTTGAGATATTAAAATGCATAGGAGTTGGGTATTAATTTCAAAATAAAAAAACTAAGCGGTTTTTCACGTGTATATTTAGTTAGAAAGAAAGATAGTGGATATTTTTATGCGATGAAATTGATTGACAAAAATTTTATTTTGAATTCAAATAAAGAGATAATAATAAATAATGAAAGATAAGTGATGGAATAATTGAATTCTCCATATTTAGCAAAATTATTTTATTCTTTTGAAACTAAGTATTATTTAGTCTTTGTTTTGGAGTATATTAAATTGATCTTATAAATAGATACTGTGCAGGAGGTGAACTGTTTTATCATTTACGTAAATTAAGAAGATTAAATGAAGAATTAGCAAAATAATATTTTGTATAGGTTTGTTTGGCAATATAGGAATTGCATAAATATGGAGTTGTTTATAGAGATATTAAGCCTGAGAATATTTTATTAGATTTAGATGGATATATTCATTTATCTGATTTTGGATTAGCTAAACCAAATATGGATAGAGAAGAGACAGCTTATTCATTTTGTGGTTCTCCAGAATATATGTCACCTGAAATGCTTATGAGAAATGGACATAATTTTATGGTAGATATATATTGTTTGGGAGCATTACTTTATGAATTTATTTGTGGATCACCTCCTTTTTATAGTAGAAACATCGATCAAATTTATAATAGCATATTAAATGATAAAATTTAATTTCCATCTTAATTAGAAATTAATTAAGATCTAAAAGATTTAATTTCTAAATTATTAATCAAAGATCCATAGATACGTTTAGGAGCTAAAAAAGGTATCTAAGAAATACTTTAACATAAATGGTTTAAAGGATTTAATTTAGAGGCATTGTAAAAAAGAAAACTGAATGTAAGTTATCGTCCAAAACCATTAAGTTATAATTTTGATGAAGTTGAATTTAGCAAAGGAGACACAGAATTCTAAAAAAAATTATAAGAAAATTTGAGAAAAGAAAAATAAGTTAATTATTTATTAATATTTATAGACTAAATTTTCTCGTTATTTTCCAAATTTCGAATATAAAAATCAAAAAATTCATGATAGTAGACAAACCTTATTATAGCTATTGTTAAAACAATAATAAATATAAGGATTATAAGGATTACCAAAACCATAATAAAGAACTTAAATTGCCTTATCTCCTGTTTCATAGGTCAAAGGATTATCTAATATTAAAGCATTAACTTAAAGCTCTTTTAAGTAAGCATCATAATGTAAACGCTTTAATACTGATATTGATATAAGCAAAATGATTAAGAATATGTGAAATATATGTTCTGTATTTTAATAAAAAAAGTAATTGAAAAATTATTCAATTATCAAAATTCTTATTTTCATTTTCACTTTCATATTCTTCCTCTTCTTCATCCATCTCATCAATTTCATCATGAATCATAATTCCTCCATATAATTTAATTAATTCTTCAGAATCTTCTCTTTCATCAAATATTAATTAAAACTTATTGTTTTCTAAAAGATTGTCATAAAATAAAAAATGTTTCTTACATGGTGGCCATAAACTTGCATCTGGAGGTGGAATAATTGTATCAATTGACATTCGAAATGCATTTTCAACCATTTATGGAATTATTCTTTAAAGTACAGGACTACTAGTTTCTAAACATGGATTAGTATTTATTTCTATTAAATAAGGTTTAAATGACTAATCTATCATAAAATCCAAACCAAATATTTCAAAATTATATTCCTTCTTATAACCAGCTAATTTACAGTACACTGATTTTATACTTATTGTAGCAATATCAATAAGTTAAGGATAGAGATCCTTATAAAAATTATATTTTTTAGGTTGATTATCTAAATAACGTTAAAATTCAGAAAATGATAATTTATTACCATTCTCATACTTACCATATGTATCAGCATATTTTTATATTGCATCATTAGTTAAATGAACATATAAATTAGCAGGATCATTTAAATCAAATTCTTCAGATGATGTTCTAATGTATCCATCTTCATACCAATATGCTCTCATTATATTATTCAATTATGTAATAAGAAAGTAACATCGAATGTCAAATTTCCTTTTGTTATACAAAAAAGGTTTTTCTATATACTTTTAAATTAAATAAGTAAAGTGTTTTCCATTAGAATGTATCTATTTTTTACTCACAATTTTATTTATTTCAGATAATGTTTAACATACTGTAATTCCAGTTCCTCTATTTGTGAATTCCCCAGGTTTTATTATCCAAGTAGAGCCTCTAGATAGTAATCTGTTTATACTTAGGTTGTTTTTTATAGAATTCAAGAAACTATAAATAAGTTTTATCTCTGGCTCCCTTTTATATATGAAATGTTTTTGGAATTATCTAATTCAAGTCTTGTTTTGTCAATTCATAATATTTTTTAAGATTATGATACATTGCTTTCTTATTTCCTAAATGATAATTCTTATCAATATGATTATGAATCTATTTCTAATTAAATTTAATACCTTAATATTTGAATTAACCTTAAATAAACTTATATTCTTCTAATTTATAAATTTCATATATGCTTTTTAATTTCTATCAATTGATTTATATTCATAATCATCTCTCATCAATCTTAAAAAAGGATCCATAACTTATTTCTTTTTGATTGAATTAAATGATTGTTAATTGAAGATTTTCTTTTATTAATGTTAAACACAATTATTAGAATATTATTATAAATTAATGAATTCTTAAACTTTAATTTATGTCCAAATGAAATTACTATCTTCATTAGATAATTCATTGAATTTCATTTGATTCCACCACCATCTTTATTTTACTATTTCTTTAATAAGAAAAGAATTATTTCCTCCTCCGATTTTTAATTTTAAATCAATTAGACTATCTTGAGGTTATGTATAAAATCCACTTTAAGAAGATACTAAAAATAAAAAATGTTAATAATTCTGTAATTTAGTTTAAAATAATTGTTCCCTTGATAATTACGAATACTCAGTTAAAGAGAATCTAAAATTAGTATTTTACATTTAAGTTGTACTATTTTAAGGAACAATTATTTTTTAAGGAATTGGACTAGTATTAGGTTAATTAATAGATTTTCTTTATTTGGTATTTTGTGACTTTCTAGATTTAAGTCTTTTATCTAATTCTTCTGTGAAAGATTAAGATTTATCTCTTTCTTTATCTTGAGAGAATGCTTTTTATCTAATAGTTTATTGAGATATTAAAGCATGATTTTCTATCAATTTTGTGAACGGTATAACTTAAAAACCAAGGATGCCCATGTTTTTGTCTGCAGAAATTCTATGTTACATACCTTATAATAAACTAGTGAGAATTGATTTAGTATTGTTTATATCTTATTAGTTATAGAAGCCCTTCTATATTTTATTTTTAGAGTCATCAGTTGGATCACAATTACTTGTTTGAATTTTCCTTTTATCTAAAATTTATTGCGCATGATTTGAAAATACAACACTATAGGTACCTGATGTCTATGGTTCTTATGATAAGTGTCTTTATATACTGCTAGCTTTTTATTTTAACTTAATAATAATACCTTAACAAATTTTATACACAGGTTTACGTTATATACTAGGTCTTCTAAATGTAACTTTTGTATTTGATTTATTATCCATTCTACGCTCTTTTAAAAGTTCTGAAAATTTGATGCTATTTTTCTTATTTAATTAGTTAATTTTTTATTAAAATGAGATCCCATTAGTTGTTTTTTTTTATTGAGGAGTTTTTATAAAGAGTTCTTCTCTCTACATTTTTGGTTTTTTATTAATTTTTATTAAGTATTAATTTTTATTATTATTGAATTAATCAGATTAATGATATTACATTATATATTTATATAATACTGATTTTATAATCGATCATAATTTAATGGTCTAAGTTATTAATCAATGATTAGTACATTAATTAAATAAATGTAAAATTCAGTAAAGAAATAAGAATCTCATGATTGTAATGATTGTTGGTCTGCTCTTCTATGTGGTTTAGTGGAAATATTAATTAAAACAAATCATTAGGATCAGATTAAACTATTATTACCATTAACTAATTAATTTGCACCTATTAGAATTCACAAAACCTAAGAATTGTTAAATTAAATGATTCGAACACCAAACTTAGCTCTTTTTTACACATTAGTAAATTAAGAGGAATCATCATAAATAATGAAAATGCATATATTTGCTTAATACAAAATAATAGCTCCTTAAATATGTAATAAGGAAATTCTATAGAAATTGGGTTAGACTTTTAAAGTTGATACTATCTTTTTGACATACAATACTTCAATTTCACTTTCGAACAGTGAGAATCTACCATTAGTGTTAAAAATTGTATAATTTTAAAGCCATTATACAGTGGAAGTTTAAGAAAAATAAAGGAGTAGATCTAATTCATTATAACATGATTTTATTTTAGAAATGAAGTAAGAATGTAACGGCTGTTTAAGATCTTTTGAATAAGTTGAATTAAATAAATCAATAGCATGTAGTCATACATATTGTAAATAATGTTTAAAATTGTATTTCAAATTAGGATAGTATTTTATTTGTAGAGATTTCTATTGTAAATTAGAACTTAGTAAAGATGATTTCCCATTTCTTTAATTATCACCTTTAATAGATCTATCAGTCTAAGTTAATAAATGTCTATAATGTAAATAATCAAATACTAAATTGTATACAAACAAATGTGGACATACTCATTGTGAAAATTGCATTAAAGATTCTTTAAATAAATCTAAATATTTTTAAACTCACTTTTGTTTAGAACCCTCATGCACAGAAATTATGAATAATGAATTAATGAAGAATAATATTAAAGAAATTGATGTAAATCAATTATTACAAAGGAGCAACTCAATTAAATAGAAAGCATCTGATTTTTGTGATTTTTGCAATTAAACTTAAGAATAAGGAGTAAAGAGTTAATGTGGTCATTACTATTGTAAATCCTGTTTATAATCTAAATATCAATCCATAATAACTTTTGGTTTAAATAAATTAATTGAGTGTCCTAAATGCAATTCAAAATTCAACATTGACACAACTCTAGAAGAATATTATTTATAATTATAATAGTTATCAACTCCAAGATTAAATAAGATGAGATCTATCTCTCAATAATAACTAGAAATATAAGTCTCTCCATCTTTGGGTTAGATTTTATATCCAAAATAGGATAATAATAGTAGATTAAAGACAAATGAAGATGAATAAAAGAGTTCATAACTGAAGAGATAAAATAGTATTGATTTAAAGAATATCTATAATGGAGGATCAACTCCTAGAAGAATTATTCCTTAAATATCAACTAATAGCAGAGGCAATTACCCATAAACTCAATAATCATTGCAATTCTAAAGGAGGCCTTAATTCTTTTGAAAATATGATATAATTAACAATAAAGTAATTTTAGCACATTTTTTTGAATATAATTATTTAATTGAAAAATAGATAAAAAAAAAAAACTATTTTTTATTGAAAAAAATTAGTTTAAGGATTTGGTAAATTTTAAGTCATTAACATATATATAATAAAAAAAATATTTTTTAAATTTCCTATCCACTGCTTAAATATTTTTTTAGTATATTTATTTTTAAAGAATAAATAAAATCAGCCATCACATCAAACAATCTTTGTAATAATAGTCTTACTCCAATTTTCTATTTCATTGAGCTATTTCTAATATAATTCTCCTTCCTTTTTATAATTCACCTATCAATTTATCTAACATTTTAAATTTATATTTAATTATTCTCCGATTCCTAATGTTCAATTTATCTCATATCCTTTTTTAGAATCTTTAACTTTAATAATTTTAAATGTAATATTCTACTTCTTTATAAAAAGTATTCTCTAGTTTTCTTATGATTTTTTAATAATAATTTATCAATATATTCATAAAATTATAGTAAGATATCTCTATTATATTACTTAATTTTCCAATTATAGACTTCCTATTACATTCTTAATTAAATATTATTCATCATAAAAAAATTGTTTTCAGGATTAATAGGAATGAATAATAATCTGAATTTAGTGATCATTTAAACAAAAAAAAAAGTATAAGAAAAAAGATTATTCGATAAGATTTTATTTTAATTCAATTAATTAAAATTATGGCCAGATATACATTAAATCTATCATTCTATTTCTTATAATAAATCTATTCTTTCATCTTGTAGTTTGAATGATTGATGATACCATTTTTTAATTTTGAATTGCCGACTTTTATCTAATTTCCATTCTTCTATACTTTCATAAACTATTGCCTAAAGATCTTTCCAAACATCTTAAGCTCTTTTTTTAACATTTCTAACTTTTACTTTTTTATTCAGTCTATATAAATAACCAGGATCTTAATTACAACAATGCCAACAATTCAAACAATTTTTCTTTACTCTTAATTATAGAAAATTCTATTCAGTTTTATCTTTGAATTTCTCGATAATACTTGGTAAACCTTAAAAAGCTTCTTTAATAATCTCTAATATTAAGTATAAAATAAAAGGAGTATTTAAGAGATACAAAATAATAATTCCAGCTATTGCTATTTAATAATTTTAATTATTAGTTTAAATACTTTAATAAATAACTATTGAAAAACTAAAAGTGATTGTGAGTAGAAAAAAAGAAAATTTATCGATTTTATTATTTTTTCTATTTGAATAAGGTTGAAAATAACTACTAAATACCAAATAGATAAATATACAAATCAAAGATAATGAAGACTATTAATTATAAATAAAATTATACCATCATTATAAAATTTTGAGCCAAACAACAAATTATTATGCAAATAGATGATCTAATATATAATCTAAAAAACTCCCAATAACATTAATTCTTTTTACCTTTTTCATCTATGTAATCTAGATATATATATCCCCAATGTTTCATATACAAGATTTTATTTAATTTTTTATTATGATTACCTACTTTTATCTTGTAGATAAAGATTAATGGTAAAAACAATAAAATGAAGAATCCAGGATATGCAAACCATAATAACCATTAAGAGTGATTATAAGTATTATACATATAAGATACATTAGCTTAAACATATGAATCTTCACTAATATTTCTATAAACAATAAGATTTCCAAATTCAATTAAAAAAGTAGGTTATAAAAATAAAAAAAAATAAAAAGCCATTGCTTTTAAAATATCCGATTGATCCCTAGAATTATAAATATTCGTTATTTGTTCTAATTTATTCTTCAATTAATCCTAATCTGATTTTGACTCATTTTCAGTTTTGCGCTATAGTGATTTATATTTTAAAAAGCGAAAGCATATAAAGGAAACCATCTCAAATATCAAACAAAATAATAAGAAAGATAATGACCAAATAATTCTGAGATAAATTTAGTCTATCTAAATAAAGAAATGTGTTTATTCAGGTAAAATACAATCTAAGGCATTTGCCATAGCTTTAGCAGGCATACCGAGAGTATTTATTGTATCTAAAGTACCTTAAGGAATAGAAATTTTAAAGCCTTCTATTATAGAGAGTAATTAAAGGAAATTGTATAGTATTTTTATTAAAATAGCTGTTTGGTTCAAAGATTTTAAAGGAAATAATATTTTTAGATGTCTTTGAAATCTCATTATAACAATTTTTTAGATTATTTCGTCATGTGCTTTAACTGATTAAATTGTGCTGAATACAGTAATAATAGAAATAATAACTAACAATCCAATTTTTATTGATTCTCCTGAACAAACTTGGCATTCATATTTAGCCGAATTGTAATAAGATGATTCCCAATGTATGGCATATAAATCACACTCTTCGCAAAGTGCTCCTATATATCCTTTTTGACAAGAATCATCTTTGATTTCAAAACCTCCTTTACAATTAATCTCTTTGTTAACACACTTTTCAATTAAATCACTTTTATAATTTAATCGCCAATAATATTTTTTAATTTTTATTTAATTCATATAAGTATAATCCATTGTTTCAAAAACTTTTTGTTTACAAATATTAGCTTTGAGTGTTAACGCATATGTACCATTTGCACATGGAATACATATTCCTTAAGATTCTTCATAGAATTCTCCCAACTAACATTCAATTGACGAAATTCTAATTTATAATGTGTATCTAGTATCAAAACCAATGCATTGATATGGATATTAATCATGATATATGGGTATATTAATATGACTACTATTGAAAGTGCCATCAATTGTCATTTATTTATAAGGATCAATATAAATAATTGAATCTGAATAATCAAATCCATGTTTATGCTCATTGATGAATTATTTATTTATTTTTTTTATGATTGATGTTTAATTCTTTGTATTTTAGTCAATATTTATAACTAAAGTACAATTCTAATCTTGTTAATAACTCATGATTTGATTGTTTTTGTCAAGATATACAATTAAAATTTGCTAATTTAAAAATTTGTTCATTTCATAACCACTTTTAATAATTAGATGATAATTTTATTATTTTAAAGTAGCATTAATTTTTACACCCAATTTAATTGGATATTCAGCAACATTATCCCCATATTTTTCAGCGAAATTTCTAGCGAAAATAATATCTGTTTATGAATAATTATTAATTCCACTTTCAATAACTGCAATAGCTCCACCTATACTTGCATTATTTCTTAAAAATTGACTATTTGCAATATTTATACGATGATAAATAGTTCCTCCATTTTTAGGATAGGATTCAAAATAAATACATCCTCCTCTTCCAGTTACTTTTGCAAATGCACAATGTGTTTAGGTTAAATTAACAGTTAAACCATAAAATGAAATACCTCCACCATGAATTGCTTTCACATCTGATATTTTTAGTAATTCTACTACTACATGTGATTAATATGAAGGATTAGGAGTTGTGTAATTAAAATTATATTAAGTCTAAGTCTAATTAATTATTTCCTATTCTAATATTCTTCCCTATTAATACTATATTAAATTAGTCAATTAAATTATTTTTTCGGCTGTTAAATTAGATGTTAAAGTTGTACCCAGAGTTTTATCAATCATAACCTACTCTCTAAAGTATGATTCACTTGAAATAGTGAAACATCCATAATAAGATGATTCTGAGTTTAAACATTTGCATTGACTCATAACAACCAAAGGAATTAATTTCAAATTTTAAACTCTCATTATTTAAACTAAACCTCCATGACATTCTTTACAAATAATACCATCAATAATTATATTCTTCATTTATAAACGTGTAGTCTCTTAAATTAAATCGAATATCATTAAAGCGGGGTTGATTTTAAATCCTGGGAATTCTAATCTTATTTAAAGAACTATACACAATCCATGATTAATAATAGAAGTACAATTTAAATTATTTATTGAAATTGAGGAAATATTTCTAAATTAAACTAAATCTATTTCTAATGGATTTTCTAATGGTTCTAATATTTCTATATAAGGTCTATACGAAATAATACTATTTTAAGATACTAATGTATTTAATTTAATGAATTTTGCTTACCATATTGAAATGTATCCATAATAAACTAAACCTTCTGAATAAGCATTCTAAATTTCAATTTAACCATAATCTTATTCAATAGCAGCTATTCTTTTAAGAAATAAAAATTTTTCTATTTATTACAAATTATCTAAATACAATAGATATTCTAAAGAATTCGATTAATTTCCTTATAGCTTTAATGTTTATAATATCATCTTTTGTCTTTAATAAGTTCTTGAATGAAATATAGTTTTAATAGCAAGACCATTAAGTGCATAACAATTAGAAATTAAAGAATCTTCAATTCTAAAATTTTATTATTTATCATAACTAACTAAAAAGATTGCACCACCTCCTCCTCTAGTAAAACAATTTTTTAAATGTGTATTCAATATTTTCATATCTAATTCTGATGCCATAGAATCTATATATAAACATCCTCCTTTTGATGATATGGCTCCATTTAAAGGAGTATAAGCATATTAAATAGAAATATTATTAATAGTAATAATTCCTTCTTTTAAAGTTCTTATAAATAAACCTCCACCTAATTTAGCAGTTGAATTAGAAAATGTACAATTATTCATGTCTAAATAAGTAGCAGATAAATATAGATGACCTCCTTCTGCTATTTGATTGATTAAAGGAAATGGTGTTTTTGTTTGAATATCAAAGTTACTATTAATCATTGAAATATTTGAAATAATCTAAGTTCCTACTTCTAAATATAGAACTGCTCCATAACCTTAAACAAAATTTGATCTCCAAAAACTATCCTTCAAAATTAAAGTTCCTACTACACTTCTCATCAAAAATGTAGGATTGCTTGGCCTCAATGATCCAGATATATTCATTATATGATGATTGTTATAGAAATACAAAGAATTCACTTACACTATTTACATTTAAGTTGAATCTATTAGTATAGCTGATGAAGGAACTGCTAATACTGTTGTAATAATCTTACATTCAATTACTTATACTCCATTAATTATAATTGTTTCTAAGTAATCTGCAGTTGAAGTATTATAAATTAAATTACTCCAAGAAGAAATTCCAATAAATGAATTGTCTCTCCCAATCAAATTGTGTAATTAAATATTCAACAATTCTACATTTTAATAAGCATTATTTATAAATAAACAATAATTATTTCTTATCTTTAATCCTATCTTTTAATGACAATTAATATTTATAAATTTAGTATTCCACACTTATTCTACATAAAATATTGCTAAATCAGCATTCTCAATACTCTCAAAATCCGATACTACCAAAGTATTACTTTTTTCTATTCTTATAGAAGCACTAGTAGCTGCTTCCCATATTTTTTCATCAAATCCTGTTGTATTAATTTATTTAATAATTAATCCTTTCATTGTAATATTAATTGGTATATCATATTCATTTTTAATTTCTGTTATTAATAATAAACATTATGGAGTTAAACAAATAATTTAATCAAATTCTAAATTGATAAAAAATAATTTTAATCCTGAAAATTAAGGATTCCCAACTCTTATTGTTTTTAATTCATATTTTGTTTATATTAATCTACCATTATTTGTGAATGATATATTCTTCAAATAAACATCACTCAATTCAATTGTTGTTATATGGAATAATGCAGTATAATTAATTTTTGAGTCATACATCTAAAAATTATTCACTTTGATTTACTACATTGTATTGAAATCAACAATTCCCCTTGAATTATTATATTCAATATTTCTCAACATTAAAGAATTAATAACTATCATACCCATAGGTTAATTAAAGATAGTTGTACTTAGAAAAGCACCATTGTTTATAAAATAACAATCATAAAATTATACTTGAGTAATCAAAATTTTACTACTCCATTCAGGAGCAGTTAAAAAATTTACTTATTATAATTCAAAAATTGCTTAATTTTCAACAGCTATATCATAAAACCTAACATTTTCTAATTTAATATTCAAATAAGGTAATGTTATTTCAGAATCATAAATTAGACCAAAAGGTTTTGGTTGAAATGTAATATCAGAATTAAGTAAGTAATACTAAGAATATATTTCAACATCTAAGAAATATATTTCATAAGTATTAAGAAGTTGAGTAAAGAATGGCTTTTACATCTTATTCTAAATTGCTTTTAAACTATAAGGTGTTGTATATTAACTTTTATCTTTATAATGGCTTTCAGCTTTAAGATTTCCAATTTTCACATTTTCCAAATTGAATTTAGAACCAGTATTGTTTTTGAATAATAAACCAAAAGGATATTCATATTTTGGTATATGGGAAGATATTAATGAATCTTCTAAATCATTAGCAGGATATAATTCAAATCCTCTAATTGAGACAGATGTAAAATATGTAAAATAGATATTCCTTTAAATAAACCACTAAATTCTCTCACCTTAATTATGAGAATTAGTAATAATTTTTAATTCTAATTCTTTAATAGAGAATACATTCTTTTTTATATTTGTAGTAAAATAAGTATCCTTTTAGAAGAAACATTTTGAATTATCTTTATAATACTAGAAATTAAGAATGATAGTAATTTTGGTCACAGCCTTTTTATTCCAATCATTAAATAATTCTGTTTTAACTATAGAATCTAATTTATCTTCTAAAATGAGAAATGCATCCTTAGCTGTGATATCACTATATTAGGCATTAATTTTCCATTAATCTTTCACATCTACTTAGTTTTATTAACAATCAGCATTAATAGTGATTTCATCTGATCTATCACCAGATTCTTAAAAATCGTTTTTAGAAATGCATCTAGCAATTTTAGTATCAAAATAATAATTATTACCATCACATTTAAATGATAATCTTGAATATTTTTAAAATGTTGTATCAGTAGGATCATAAAAAGGATTAAATAGAGTAATTTCAGATTATGAACGATCTCTACAACCAATAGTATTTTCTGGACATTCAATACAATCAGAACCATCAATTGAAGAACTTAAAGATATTCCAACTTTATTTTTATCACATTTATTACAGTAACCTTTTATTCCTTTAGGTTAGAATTCTTCACAATTATCTCCTCCCTTTTCACAATATCTAAGATCTTCATTTAAAAAAGGTCCTTTATTATTATCACCAGGAGTACATTCATAACAAAATGGACCTAATATATTTTCATCCTCATCAAATTTATAATCAAAATAATCAGAATAATGTACAGAACTTAAAGATAAACTATAACATTTTTTACAATATCCATTTTCTGAACATTTTTTACATAAACCTGTAATCATATCAACAAAGTAACCTTCTAAACATCTTAAACAACGTATATTATTTCCATTTGAAATACATGATTAACATAAATAATCATTTATTAGAGAAGAACAATTCATTGTGCATTCCCAACTACCTGAATTCTCATTATTGTAAAGAGTATATCCAATATCACATAATAAACATTATTATTTCAATGCTTCTTTTTTATATGTTAAACAACCTTAATTAGGTTTATTTATTGAATCTTATAAATTACATTATTTTTAATCATCAGATAAATAATATCCATCTTAACAAACCATACATTTCTCTAAAGATTTTTCTTATTAATATTTTATGTATTAATACCTTCTATATCTAAAGGTTCAAAATTAGGAACTAATGTTGAAAATTTAATTTGACTACCAACACTAGGATCACCAACTTTTCCACATAATTTACAATTTGTAATTTAGCAATCAGTACATCCAGTTCCAATGGCAAAAAATGTCTGAGTAAATTTATCACATTCTCGACATCTTACAAAATATTGAGATTCTATTTATTTTATATCATCTATTGATGGTTCACTATTTTCAGGCTCGACTACTCTCAATTTATCTCTCGTTGGACTAATTATTATTACAATATTATGTACAATGTTTAACCAGATTAATATTCGCATCTCTTGCAATTTGTACCACATCTTACACAACTTCTTCTATTCAAAGATGGAATAAATGTACTCTAGGTAGTACTTGTACAATATTCACATCTTTATGCTATAAAATATAATTTAAACAAATCTTCATAAAACTTTATTTAATTTGCTTCATAATTGAGAGTTAATAAAAGTTCATGATTATTAAAGTCATCCCAAGGTTTTTCATTAAGATTTGTTTAATTTTTTCCAAAATAACAGGTATCGCAACCTGTAAAACATGCTATACATTAAGTATTGGTTTCAATTTCATTTAATTTTGTTCTAGTAATAAGTAAACTGAATCCTTAATTACAAATCATACAATTCTTTTTTATAGTCACTATTGTTTTTCCTGAATCATCTGTGATTATATTTTTATTTATTTAACAAGACTTACAATTATCAGGACAAGGATCGCATCCTCCTAATATATCACTATATTCATATCCTTCTGAGCAACTGATGTACAAATTATTTAAATCATAAGAAAACTATTTCGATACTTAAAAACATGTTTAATTTTGATATTTACAAAAATTTTCACATCCATCACAACTTTGAGTTGTAAACTAAAATATTATCTTCATAAAATTACAATCTAATATCCACTCTTTACTACATAAAATAATTGCTTAACAGGTCTAGCTATTTTATGAAATACTGATATTCCTGTTGATTTAGTCTTATAATCATATGTACAACGTCGAGATTTATCCCTTCCATATATACTATTCTTACCATGTTTAACTGTTATCTAAACAATCTCCACAATATGAATTGTTCGCTTCATTAAATTTTATATATGGACTATTTATTAAATGTAATAATTATATAGATACCATTCAACACATATTCTTATTCCTGCCTTTAATCCTAATTCATTATGATCTTGTGGTAATTAAAATAAAAAATATTGCTAATCACACATTTCACAATTTCCTTTTATGACATTCAAGCAATTCTTAAATCTAGGATTCGTCTAATATTCTGTTATGCTTATTTCAAAAGCTAAATCAAACAACAATGTTAATAGAGTAAATAAAATTATACTCATTATTAATTATCATAATTTAGATCGAGAAGAAAATAAAATCAAGTTTTTATATAAAAATTGAAGATCTATAAATATGGATTTCTTAGGACAAAAAACTCAAGTTTTTATTATAAATTGAATACTATTTTTTCAATCAATTACAAAAATTGTTATCAAACTTAAACAATTAGTTACTATAATATTTTTTTATCTTAGAATACAAATATTATGCTAAATAAATTATAGATTTTTATAATTTTGTCTTACTATCAAATAACCCGTAAATAATCATCAAGAAACAATAACTAATATACATTACACAAAAATTTGATACTAACAAATAAATTCTAAAAGATATTATATTGATTAAAATTTATAAAATTAAAAAATTACTTAAATTAAATAAAAATTACTCAAGTTTTCCATTTGACTATTCTATCTTCTATTATTGAAATAGTTCTGTTAGTTAAGAAATGTTCAGTAAATAAATAAATCAAAGTTGGTTCATAAAAAGTATCATATGCTTTAATGACTGATAATTCTAATTTTTTTCCAATACCTTCGTTTGGAAATAATTTATTCATTACGTCAAAGCAGACAATTAAATCATCTTAAAATAAATGATTTGTGCTTGGATCTATATGTGAAATGTTTATTTTTATTTATTTTTTTAAAGAATCATTATTTTCTATATTGACAATTAAACATGCAAGTTTTAATTACTATAAGGCACTTATTGAAGGTTTTTAAAGTTCCTTTTTTAAATCCTAAATATTAACTTGAAGTTTCACTCCTTAAACATAAGCATGTATAGCTATATTTAAATGATCTTAAAACGTTTTAAAATCATTAATAAAGTCATTCAAATCTTTACAAATAAAAGGATAAAATTAATTGTAACAAGCCATAAAAGGTTTGGTTTATGTTATAAAATTCCCTTTATTAAAATATATATTTTCAATGATCTAATTCACAAATTAACATTCTTCATCTTCTTAAGTTGTCAATTCTAGAGTCAGAGTTGGATAAATCCGTTTTAATATAATAGCCAATTTTATAATACTAACTTTATCTTTAGCATCTTTAAAATTACTGGTTAAAACACTTTATAATTTTAAATAAGCCTTATATAAGACTCCTGGATGTAATTGATGTTATTAAACAAGTTTTGATATCAATTTTTAAGTGTGATGAAAATCTAAATTCATAATTTAATCTTTGACAATTCTAATTAATGCTTCAAATGTATCAATATTAAAATCACTAGCTCTCCAACCCATTAATAATTCATATGCTTATTTACTATTTGGTATTTCATTAATTTCTTAAAGTTTTTTTAAAAGTTCTGATTTTATTTTTTTTGATTTATAGTAATTCATATCAAGACATTTTGAATTAGCTAAGATTATATCATCAATTGTTTATATAGATTTAGGAAGATTACCTTTTTAATTTAAATAGACATCAATAAAATTATTTTGACCTTACAATTCATGGATTTTGTCACAATCTTTTAATTTATCCCTTAATTAGTCACATGATGCTAATAAATTAGAAATTTGAGATGGTGAAAACTTTGATAGACATTCTTGAAGTTTATTAATGATTTCCTCATCAAATGGGACTAAGATGTTAAAAATCTAAAACAATTTTTATACTTTTTCAAAATCCATTTTAGTTGTGAATTATACTTCAATTTAAAATTTAATAGAAGGGGCAATAAATTAAAAATCAAGTCCCATTTTTTCACAAATAGTTTTATTATTTTAAAGATATTAAGTATGTTTATGAATGAATTCTATTATAGATTCATCATTAGAATTTTTAATAATCGCTTTAGTGATTTTTTAAATTAAATTATGTGGATAAATTTGTAAATTAATTGGTTGTAAATATTTTAAGTAATCTATTTTAAATTTAGTGATTAGTTCAACTAAAATTTCACAATTTCTTTCATTTAATTCGAATTAATTGCTTTGATTTAATAATCTAATAATTGATCTTAAATGTTTTTCTTAAATATTCATGGTAGTTAGATATTTTTCACAAAAACCTTAAGGAATATTAAGCTGAAACAAATTAACAATAGAAAGTGATTCTAAGATTACAGATTTCTCTAGCCATTGTTCTAAATACTTCTTTAAATCAATTAATTCATCACTCATAATATATTAAGGAATTTCATTAAAAATATTATCATTTTCAATACAAAGTTCTCTTAATGAAAAATAAACAGTCCTTATGATATTTTCTAATGTTTTTTCATTATAATTGGTCTCTTTAGACATTTATACAACTCTTTTAAGTAATTGCATATAAATTTTATAATCTTTAAAAGCTTAATTTTTTTGTGAAACCTGAATGAAATTTTTTAAGATTCTAAAATCAAATTAATAATTTCCATCTTAATCTAAAACTCGTTCTACATAAACTTTTTATATTAGGTCAACAAATAATTTGGAAGGTTTGAATTTATTAAGTAAAATAAAAAGTTGAGCAAGGTAATAAATATGCCATTAATTTATACCTTAATAGATTTGAGAAATAACATATTTTAATTAATGATCATTTAATTCTAAATTTTAAAGAATTTATAATAGGATTTCAGGATTACATGTAGCATGAGGAAAGTTTGTAATAGATGTATCATATTATGATAGGAATAATAAGGCATATGCTTTAAGAGAATTATTATCACTATTCAAATATTCTCTTAATTAATCAATTTTGTCAGATTTTAATTATGGTAATTTATTCTTACTGATAGAATACTCTATTATTTAGATTAAAATTGTGTTAAATTGATGGTTTTAATTCTTAAATTCATTAAATACATCTTTATCATTCACAATTATGCCAGAATAGAATTATATGAGTAGAATAAATTAATATTCATTATTTATTGGCTGTTATTTTAACCATTAAATATATTCTTTAAAATTAGGTTTTTGAAATTGCATTTCTAAAAATTTAATCATGTTTTCAAATAATAGATCATCTGTATTTTAAATTGTTTCTATTTCTTTTTTAAGTCTATTGAGAATAATAGAACTGTCAGATAATTTCATAGGCATAATTTAATCATAAATTTTTTCATTCAAAAATGCTTACATAATAGAATTGAGTTAAGGTATTGTTTGACATTATTCAACACTGGTTTATAATGTAAATAAACGTTCTTTAAATAGTTTGTACTTTGATTTGAATGAGCTGAAAAGAAATTTTAATTTAAGCATTTTAATGACTATTATTAATTGATATAATCATTTCTTTTAGGAAGCAGCAAATTGATCATAATATTTGTGAAGATCTTTTTTCGAAAAAATAAAATCCTTCATGGCAATTTTAATGAATTTGTCTGGATCATAATTATTAAAGAATTTCTAATCTTTGAGAATAGCAATAACTTATTCCATGGATTTAGCCTATTAATATAAATAATTAATAATAAAATTACAAGTAAAATTTCTTCTTTTCTAATTTTAAGTATAGCTAAAGAGGCTCTAAAAGTAGTTTTATGATGTTCATGCCAAAATATATCAGTTACTCTTAGAAAGATTTGCATAGGGAGAATAGAACTAAAAAGAGTAATAAACCTTAAAATTTATTGAAATAATTACCATTCTGCTGCATAATAAAATGGGACAATATTAAATTTATTAAATTTAGCATGTATTTCAGGTAAGAATTGTTTAACTAAAATATCTAAGGCATAAAAATATTTTAATGTATTTGAAGGATTAATATATGTATCAAGACAACCATATTTAGTTAGTAAACTATAAAGATGCCAATAGACTAATTCATCATTCATCAATAGTAAAAAAGAGCCTGCTAAATAATTTAATCCTTGACAATATCCCATATCTTAAAATGTAAGACTAATTGCTCTTAATACTGTGAAAAGAGATTGACTAGTAATTGTATCCATTTTTATTAAATCATTAGTTTAGAATGTACGCATAACATCTAAAGTTATTTAACTATCATGTGGTGATATTTCTTAAGATTCTATTAGCTCTTTATATGTTCTCTTTTATATATAAATATCAATATTATATACTTTTGCTTATATTTTCATTTGATCTATTTCAGCTAGACAAGGCCAAATGAGCATTCTAATACCTTCAGGTATTCCTTTTCTTAAACGAGATTTAAGTTTATCATCATTGTTAGCCATTAATTAAGGAATCTTTGGAATCATTTTTCTCCATTTTTCTATCCTTGCATTTGTCTTAAGCATTTCCTCTTTAGTTGGTTGTTGATTATTATGCTTTGGAAATCCATAATGATCTCTATTCTCTTGAATCATTAATAATAATAATTAATCAATTACTTTCTAATATCTAATTAATAAGTAATTGAAATTTATGTAAATTATAGAAAAAATAGATATATACATATACTATTGTATATTATCAAACATCACAAATTTTCGGTGATGAGAAATAGTTTAGGGAAATTTTTTAAGGAATTTCAAAATAGCATTTATTTAACTAGCTGTCCACCTATATTGAAATATATCAATATTTTATTACCAAACACCATTTTAAGAAAATAAGGATTCAGGTATATCAGATTCATCAAAATCTATGCATACTATTAACCATGCTAGCCATTCATTTTTTATTGTTTCAGTAGTTCCAACAATTTTTCATTTGGTACTAGAAATGTTACAGCTGGATCATCTTTATCAGCAACATAATATTTAACATGAGCATTTGATGATATAAGTTTTTCTTGATAATTTTTACTAAGGATGAGAGCATTAATTTCGATAACTTCAAAGCAATATTCATCATCAGAAGGTTTTCCAAATTTGGATCTGTACATTCATAATCAAAATATCCAACTAAACAATTTGGTGTATTTATTGGATTAAAGATACTAGAGTACCAAATTAATATCAGAATTATACCATTCTAATACTATTCTAACTATTCCAGATTTTAATTTCATAGACAATTGTACAATAGTACCTTAATTATCTTAAAATTCATAACAATTTTATGAATAATCTGGATGAGTAACAATTGATCCACAACTACCTACTCTTAAATCAACTTATGCTGATACTAAATAATTTCAATTCATAACATCAACAACATAAACATCAGTTTTATTATAATTAATTTAAAATATTTAAGAGAAATCTCCTAATTTACATTCTCTATTTTAGACCTTATAACCTTATTCTCATAAAGCAAATTTATTTTCTTTGCGAACAACACAATTTAAAAATTTAATAGTTTCATACTCAAATAATACCAATAAATCACAATAGAAACAGTTTTCTATATTTCTACTTAAAGTTTTATCTGATATTGTTATTGTTGAAAAATTAAATTCAAATAAATTAAAAGAAAATAAAAATAATGGAGTTGACAATGAGAAAATTATTAAAATTAACAAATCTTTTGTTAAAATATTACTTACTGTTTCACAAAAAATTAAATTCAAACATCCAAATGGATGATCTGCTGAAGATTCTACTTCCCATCTCTATACTATTTTATAATTATCGCATTAAGTTGAAGATATTGTAGATTCCTGATTTCCATCTAGACATTTTGATGTTTATATCTTTTATGTAATTAGAAGCACAAGAATGTTAAAATAAAAAGATTCTGATAAATTATTCATTAATTATTAACAATTTCTGAGTTTATTTTCTTATTAATTTTAATAATTTCTTATATATTGAGCTTAGAATCCTAATCGAACAGGTGTAATTAGAATTTAAAGTGCTGCTTATATGATCATTAACCTTTTTTATTTTCCAAGTCTTTGAAATTATTGCAAATAAAATTTAAGATTACATATATTGGGTAGAATTCCATTTCTTTTAATAAATTAACTGTTCCCCAAAAAGTTAAAGATACAGCAAAACAAAGAAGATATATATTGAATCTACTAATTATAGAAGATATTGTCATTTTGATAAAAGTTATGAATTGTTTATGTAAATTCAATTAAAATTAAGATTGAAAAAATCAACATAAATGGTTTAATTACAGATACATCTTGATCAAATTTATTAATTGTTTCCTATCTTCTCAGTTTTATTGTTTAAGTATTTCAAACAAGCGTCCCAATACATATCTAAACTATCTGTTCATTTATGATAACATAACTTAAAATGATGTAATTTAAAACAAATCCATTGATAACAAATAACATTAGGGCATCTCTAAGAGCCAACAATAATATAATTATAGAAATCTATTGTTATATTGTTGTCAACGTCAATTTTTCACTAAGATTGAATTCTGTCTAAGATATGAATTACGAACTTTCGAATTCCACTTTTATTTTTTTTTTATTTTTATTAATAATTGTATAGTATTTAAATCAAATTTTAGGTAACTTCAATTATGAATTGCTAATTTAAGGACGACTAGAACTGCTTCTTACATCTGATGTTTTATTGAAATTTTCAGATGATAAATTCATTCTTTATTAAGAACCTCGATTTCTATTTTAAGGTTAAGTAAATCCTAATGATTAATAAAATTCTTTTGATTTCATATTTTATTTAAGTTAACTTATCTCCGAAAGAATGGATTATTTCTTTTATGGTTTAGGTAATGATCTAATCAATAATTTCTATCTCAAATTTATATCTTTATTACTCTGATTCATTCCAATAACTTACTCACTTGAATCTTCAATTAATTATTACTTAATTTAAGAATCCTATAAAGTTTACTCTTCTAAATTCCCTCTCTATGTTGAACATTCTGATTATTATGTTTTCAATAATCTTCTTAAATATTAAGCTCTTATATTATCCATCTATTCGTTTTATTCTGTAATAAATTTTATAAATTCAGTTTCAGCCATAATATTTTCATCCTTCTCTTCTTATTAATTTATTTAATTCACATTTTCATCCTCATCATCCTAAAATCCTTATACTCTAAGTATAGCTTTTAATCTCTCTTCTGTTACAATTCCATCTTCATTATCCAAATCAGACATATGATAATTATTTACATCTATTTCCAATTCTTGCAATTTCTCTTTCAAAGCCAAAACTTCCTATTTCAAATATTATCCAGGCTTTCCAACTTCTCTACCATTAATCAATTCTAACCAAGGACAATCAACTATGAATTTATCCTCATACTCCCTACTATAAAATGGATTTTCTTGAAATTAGATATCAATCAAATTTGACATCAATTTTAAAAAATCAAAACAGTTTTCTGCATAAATCTAATTTGATTATACATATAAATTTGTTAAATATGGAAATTTAAATTCTAATACTCTCAAATCTTCTATTTGATTATAACTTAGATCTAGAATGTTAAGATTTTCATTCTAACTTTCAATCTTTAGAATACTTATTTAATTTTTAGACATATTTAATTCTTCTAATTCAGTTATAGTATCAATAAATGAAATATCACTAATTTAATTATTACTTGCATCTAGAATCTTTAATTTTTTTGTATTACTAAATGAACCTTTTAATGTTGATATTTTATTTCTTCTAATGTTCAATTCTTCCAACTAATAGCATAAAAATCAACTTCTTACTTGGATGTTGAAAACTAAAAAATCTATTTTTTCAATAAAGTTTCCACCTAAATTGAGATATTTTAAGTCTTTTAAATTATTGAGAAAATCAATCTAAAATATATTAAATGTTTGCTACTTTATTCAATTTATTGTTTTCTAAATTCAAATGCTATATTTATCTGCTTCCCAATATCAAACCTGTTATTCGGTTGAATGATAAATCTAATTTTATTAATTTTTGTAATTGAATTTTATGCACTCCTTCTAATTCATTGTTAGAAACTCCCAAATTCTCAAGAATGGCAGAATCTATATTATCAATCAAAAAATTAGAATAAAAATACTCTTTTTAATTGATTATGATGCAAATCCAAAGTCTAGAGCAATTTCATGTGATCTTTTATGCACTGATTAATTTCCGTAATACCTAAATTAGATTGTAATTATTTACCTAATATGTTTAATCTTAGAGTTTTCCCTCCATCTTCCAATTTAGCCATTACTAGTTCTATTGTTAGTGGTTATTCTTCAGACATGCAAAGTATTTAAATTAAATTAAAATAATAATATTAATATTAACTTTGTAAATGATTAAATTGTCTTTAGCTACTTAAAATACAATATATTCTTATAGGCATAGAATCAACCATTCTTTTTTAGTATAATAAATATCAATTTGAATGTCTCATAAATTCAAGAATTTATTATTCTAAATAATGTATTTTGAATTACAAGTATATTTTATCAAAAGTAAAATGATCAATAATGAACAATTATTAATAAGTTTATTAATTTGTTTCTTAGAATTAATAAAAATATGAAACAACGATAAAAATCTCACACTTACTTATACAAACAAATATGTAAACATTTGAATGTACCTTGTTCATCAGGATTATTAAATGGGATTTAGGAGACCGAAATAGTTTTAATTTTAGAACAGTTAGGGTTAAAGGGTATAAAAATAAAATATATATAGATATCGAACCTCTATAATTATTGTTATCTTAATGTAAATTCAAAACAATAATATTGAAAAGTATGTAGAAGAACTTAAAACTCAATAAATCTATGGCAAATGATAATTATTAAAAAGAATTGTTAGAGATCTTGAGAGTGATTACTAAGTTATTCACAAAGAGCTTAGATGTGATAACATTTGTAATTCGAGATATAAGAATGAGTAGTGAACATATGCAGATAATATCTTAAGGCATAGCAGTAGTTTAATCTTTAAAAGAGCTGCGTATTATATAGTGTTTGATGACATCGAATCATTTCAGCATACTTTAACCATCATTAATTTAGAATTCATCTCTTCATATTGTAGATTTTTCTCACAATTATCTAACTCATTAAATTGGAGTAATGTTAGGATAATTACTATCAGAACATGGTAAGAGAAGAGATAGTGTGGATTATTTGTACAGAACAAAAGGAGAAAATCCTGAAGAAGACATTTCTAAGATAGGAATAGGTGAATTAGATTTATCCTATAATAAATTAAATGATTAATTTGTTAAAGATATTGTTCCTTATCTAGAAAGAGATCGATGGATAAAATCTATTAATTTGAAATATAATGCTATTTAAAAAGATGGATTTGAATTACTTATCCAATTACTTGATAAAAATACTACTATAACAAGTTTAGATATTCGGAGAAATTTAGGAACAACTCAATAATTCTAAAAAGAGATTCTAAAAAAATTAATGAGAAATAAAAATATAAAAAATGATTTGTAAGAATAAAGAATGGAGGAAGAAAATGAAAACATTTTGGTAAATGTTTCTGCCATTCCATAAAATCTATTATCTATAATATCAGATTAAGAAAGTCCTGTTATGTCATTCGGAGTTTTCGAACCTAATAATTAAACTAAATAAATGTCAATATCAGGAAGACAAGATTAATTTAAGTTCAAGTCTGGCTATAAAAATAATGATTCTGGATGTTTGGATTGTATTCGAATGTAAATAAAAGTTAAAAAGTAACAATAAATTATTTAAGTACTGAAGTAGGAAGTACAATACCTTAGATTTCAACTTTAAACAAAGCAATAACAACCCTAGTAATAATAATAATAATAACAATAGTAATAATAATAGACAATGAACTTCTTAAATTTATCGGATAATAACAATTAGCATCCTCCGCCATAAGAAATAGAATAGGAAGATATTTTGAATAAAATAGAATACATGATGAATGAATTAACTAGAATGATGGATGGTTTAGATGCTCAAGGAAGTGTAACCAATAATCTTAATGCTCATCTTTCAAGTACACTTATTGGATAAGATTACACTCGAGTAATATGTGAAAGAGAAGATAGAGCTAATGATTTTATGAATATCCTAGGAGACAATAGCCAAAACAATTCATCAGAATGTTCTGAAGATGAGGCTAAATCTTAGTGAACATATTTTTTGGTTTTGATAAATTAATAGATATCATTATTATTCTTATACTTATTATTCTGGTTGTTTTTAATTTGGAAGATCTTACATTTCCATTTCAGCCTCTCTGATCTATTGTGAATTAATCCATTCATCAACATTCTAAGATCTTTATATTTGAGAGTATTCGCTGTTATAACTGATAGCAAAGAATATTGCATATAACTTTTTTAATGAATTTAATATACCACTGCTGTTATAAACAATGCAAAGGCTCCTTCAACTCTACTATGAGGTACAACATAAACAGTTTCAGACCCTATTGCTATCAAGAAGCCCAAATAGGTCATAACCACACAACCTGGTGCTGAAATAAACATGCAATATTATGCGCACGATACCATATATATAATTTTGAAATTATTTTACTTTTTTTTTAATAATAAAAATTAAAGAGTATATTATAATCAAAGTCTTTTAAGCAATAATCTATTAATTTTTATTTTTTTTTACTGTCTCTAATGTTCATATTTATGAATGTCTAATTGAATATGAAGGTTTTTATATATCCTTTAATTTTAATATGATATCACATCACTTTGAATTTGTTGATTTTGCCATTCATGAAACAATTAAAGAGCTCTCATATTTTAATGGGGTAAATCATATTAAGCTCTCTTCTATAATTTATCACAAAGTTTAGATTTATTAGGAAAGCTTTTCTTCTCTCTATCAGATTCAACAAGGTATTTTGAATGGAAATCTAATTTTGTCGCAAATAAATCCTTTGTATCAAACATTTCTAAGTTAATTGTTTCTTTTTCATCGATTTATTCATCAAAATTTATTTAATTTTCTTCTTTCTATTCAAACGATAAGGATTGTCTTCTCATAAACAATTATTGATTTTTGGATTTCTCTGATACTTTTGAGATTTTTAGATTATCTTGGTAGGCTTTTAGACTACAATCATTAGGTCTTACATTCACAGATTTTGAGATGGGTTTGAGTTGTTTAGGAATGAAATCTTTGTTCTTTTTGTATAGAATATAAGATGAAGGAATTTCACACCTTTTAATAATCTCATCAACGACACATCCTTAAATTTATGGTTCTAATTTAACAGATTAATGTATGATTCTTGATTATCTGATCTGTGTTCTGTCAATGAAACCACAAGGTTTTCTTTAGGATGGTGATTCAGGTTGATTCTATAGAAAAGGCAAAATATATGTATTAATAAAATTTTGATCCATAATATTTATAAGGCAAAAATGATAATCAATTTTTGAGCTTTTAGGCCAACTTGGCAGATTTTGGTGTTGTAGTGGTTGTAGGTTATTTTGTGACTCGAGATGAAGAAGTACTCGAAATAGCGATCTAACTGCTTGGAACACTGGCATTATTATCGAAATCGTAACCATTAAATAAATCTAATATAGCTAATCTCTTACTTTATATAGAATTCCTTCTTAGCATCATTTGTTGATCCTCATTTATAGAATCATCAGAGTCTCTTCTACTATCTGATGGAAGATAATTATCTTCATTCCCCTAATCATCAAAATTTAAACAATTACATTTGGTATAAATGGGGCGATCATCTCTTTACTATTCAGCTTTTCCCAACTGAAATCCTTAAACCAAGGATGCTCCTTTACTTCATCTGGTCCATTGTTTCCCAATCTATTTTAAGGTTTTCTTTAAAGGAGCTATCCAATTTTCATAATAACTTACTCTATTAGTGAAATCTGCAGCCTCTAAACTCCATCCTGGAGGTATTTCTTATCTTTTTATGGCTGCTTATTTAGCTAACATCTACTCCCTTATTTCTTAACGACTTCTTCCTAAATAAGGTCTTCTTCCCAACATACATTCATATACTATAACTCCCAATGCAAAATAATCAACTGCTACTCCATGATTATGTCCTATTAAATAAAATATTATTATTGTCTTACTGCACATCACTTCAGGAGCCATGTATCCTGGAGTTCCACTTGTGTCTTAAGAATTTTCTGGTTTCCAAATTCTTGCTATTCCAAGATCTGTTAATCTCAAATATCCTAACTTAAAATTCATTTTTTAATACCGTTACTATCAAACACTAAGTTTTCTGGCTTTAAATCTCTATGCAAAATTCCTTATTGATGTAAATATTCCAACGCCAATATTATACAGGCACTGAAAAACTCTAAATTTAATGATCTAACACATACTTGTTTGTTCTTCATTAAACTTACGATTTCTTCCTATATGATATCTTAAATCTCCTCCTGAAAGTAAATCCATAACTAAATATAAATATTCTCTATCCTAAAATGAATATTGCATGTTAATTAGAAAACTTAATTTGATTTTCATTTTTACTTATGCTTCAAACCACACAGCAACGCTTTCTCATTCATTACAGATTGAACTGATTTCTTTGTTATAATCCTATATAATTTATCATAACTTACTTAGGTTTTGACATCACTTTCAAGGCATAAAATTATTTATTCTTCTTCTGTCGAACTTTCCACACTTTACCAAAACCACCTCTTCCTATTGCATCTATAAATTGAAAATTTTAAACAGATATCACTACATATTTATTCTATATACCATTATTTTCCATTAAATCCTCCTTTTTCTCATTGATATTACAATTTCCCATTATTTTATAAATATATATTAAATTATTATAATAATTTAACCATTCCATCTCCTATCACACAAGAGGGGCTTTCATCTCTTATAAAAGCATTACTTTCTACCTTTTATATTTATACCAAATTAATTATTAAAATGATATGCTAATTTTAACAATTTATCTCAATATCTAATTTAACAACTAAAATTATTTAATTATATAAATATTTGCCTTGTTATTCATACTCAATAAAATATGACTTATTTTCTTATTCTATCTATTTCTAATCAAATAATCATTGTATTTCATAATCAGAATAATGCATTAAAATAGTTTATGAAATACATTGTTTATTTTTAATAATGTGAAGAATTTTATTTAAAATCTTCATATTTAATCCAGGTAGTCGTATTAACTTAGTTTATTTTATTATGATTTGTAATTTATATTAATAAATTTATTAACGAATATGCTCTACGATTCTTCTTAACCTTATGAAGGAATCAAAGGAGGTACTTGTTTCGCATATGATGATTACGTACCAAAAAAAAGAAATATGTCTACATTGTCAACAACAACAAAAAAGAATTACCAAAAGACTTAATGTTCAGTATCAAACTCTAATAATGTCGAAGATAGATTACTTGATTACGAAAAAAGAAGATAAATTAAAATTTAGAGAATGTAGATGGAAAATTTAGCAAATAAGGAAAACTAATAACTATATAAAAAATTATAATAGAAATCAACATCTAATAAAAGTTTTTAGCCAAGTGAATTTAGATCTGTATAGCAGAACAGCATTTTGAATTAATGTATGAGTAATTTTTTAAAGAAAAATCAAAAAGTCTAACTTTACTTTTGAATTGATTATTATTTCAACTTATATTCACTTATATATTTATATTTTTTAACATTTATCATGATAGAAACAAGTAGGTTTTTAGATTAAGAATATATAAATATTATTATGAAAAAGTCAAAATTAAACTGGAAAAAAGAAAATAAATATCAAAGATTCAAAGCGATTAAGTGACCGAGTGAAGTTAAGATTTTAATTAAGTTATATTATTGTTTAATGGAAATGAAATCTCTAAAACGATTTTAGTTTATTTAATGTTAAAGAGCATTTTTTAATTAAAAAATTTAAATTCCATAAGAGTTAATATCTGATTCAATTATCATATTATAACGTGTTTTTTGAAGAGAAGACCATGAATAAGATTTGATATGTATATAAAAGAATATTGATGTTTTCTGACATTTTAATGCTAATAGCCAATAAACTGACTTAATCGGGGTTATGATTAGATAATTAATTGATATGCTGCATTCTTGTTCGTTTTGGAATTAATGATAAAAATACAAAACAAGTATACCTATTCAGAAGCAGATCTCTTAGGAGAAGGAGCTTACTCAAGGGTTTATAAAGGATTTCTTGATAAAAAAAATGAAATTGTTGCTATAAAAGGTTTGAACTTAACATCATCTTAGTTATCGATTGGAGTAAAGTAAAGGATAAATACTATATCTCCGGGTTTTAGAGAGAAGTTCGAATACTAAGAGATTTAGACCATTAAAATATAGTAAAAATAATAGAAATGATTCATGATGCTAGTTAGAACAGAGAATATCTCATAATGGAATATTGTGATAGCTAAAATCTCACAGCATTTATAAATCAATCTGGAGGAGTTCTAAATGAAAACATCACCAAAATCATATTATAGTAATTGTTGACTGCTCTCAATGTACTTATTAAGAAAGAATATTTGCACAGAGACATCAAACCAGAAAACATCTTAATTCATTAAAGGATTTTGAAATTAGCAGATTTCGGATTCTCAGTTAAGGCAGATTATTCTGGCAATCAACTTTTTAGGGAAAATGTAGGAACTCCAATATATATGGCTCCTTAAATACTTGAAAATAAACACTATTCGGTCAAAAGTGATATATGGTCTATAGGAGTTATGGCATATTAAATGATAACAGGAGAATATCCTTGGATGGCTGATGATCCATCTTTACTTTTAAAATCCATAAAATCCTAAAAATTAAATTTTCCTGAGCATATCTCAATCTCGAACGATTTCAAAGAATTTATCTAATATTGTTTATAGTTCGAAGAAAAAAATCGATATAATTGGGAGGATTTGTTTGAACATAAAATATTTTAAACTAAATACGTTATTCAAAAGAAGTAAATAAAAATTGAACAACTTCAAGTATAATAATTTATTTATTTAAGGCAGCCATTAATTAAATTAGAGAAATTCAAAAGAAAAGAGGCACTCCTCTAGAATAGTTATTTACTAATTTAGATATAGATGGTGATAAAAAGCTTACTTTCGAAGAATTTTAAGTATTATTACTCTATGTTGATAATCAAATGGACATCAATATATAAAAAGGAATCTTTTAAAAATACAATATTAGTAGAAATAACTTACTAAATTTTAATGAATTCAACAGGATATTTTGATTATATTCATAATTTAATTATTTGTAATATTTACTAAAATTAAATATCTCTTTAGTGATCTTCAAAAAATTATATGTCTATATTATTGATAATTTTCTAAAAACAGTTTTAATAACATCATTTTTTTCAAACACATTCATCCTACTTGAAATTATTAAATTTTACTTAGATTTCTAGTAATAATAAATGCCATTAAATAATTATTAAAATTATGTAATTAATGCAATAATTTTTTATTAATGAGCTTCAAAAGAAACCAATTCCTGAAATTTTAATGATACAATTTATTTAATCACCATAGTTTATTGAATAAATAGAATTAATGAACTTAAATCAGATTTAGTAATATTTACAATAATTATCGATATTGATCTAAGAATAAAATGATTAAAAAAGTTGGGTTTATTTTGGATTATTATTGAGATAGATGTTAAATTAAAGAAATTAAATGAGCATTGAATAATATAATAGAGATGTAATAAATACTTTTGTTTTGATAATTCAAATAATGAATATTCATATTACTTCTTCTTATATTGAATCAATTCTATCAACATTTTATGAATTTATTGATAGAGTAGATGATCAATTTTGGATATTTCTAGCATGGTAATTCAGAAACGCTTCAAATAATATAAATTAATTAGAATTACTAAAATACTTAGTAATTTCGCAAAAATAAAGAAATGAATTTTTGGATATTTTAATTTTAAAGGTTAAAATTGAAATAGAAAAACCCATTACTAACATCTTAAATTAGAAAGTTATTTTATCTTCATTATAGATTGTCTTAGAAAGAAACCCTTATTAAATAATATCATAAAATTTATTGAATTATATGACTTCAATTTTGGTTAGTGATTAAATGCATAAAATACCAATTAAAGATTGTTATTATGTTATTGGAATGATTGATTAATTTTTTGAACATTAACATTTAGTATAATGGGATTTTAAATAGTATGATTAGTTTACACACTTTTTATTTTCATATTTGTTAAATTAAATTGAGCAAATAAATATGCAAGTTTTTAATCATTAATGTATAAATAAAGAGATTTAAAAAGAAAACTTCAAATTGCTAACAAAATTGTGTTAAAATCATTGTTCTTTAAAATTATTTAAGATTAATAAAGAAAAACTTTTACATTTAATTTTTTGTTTATTATCAAATTATATTGAATTCTATAATGAAGTATAAAATGAAGATAATCCTAATGAATTAATTGATCTTATAAGTAAATAAGAGAGTGATACATATTTGTGTTCAATTGTGAGATTATTTGTGGCGATGTGTTCTTATGTTCGGCAATTTACATATATTGGATATCTTCTTTGTTCTTAGGTGTTCAATACTATTTTTTAAGTAGATTTATAATAAATCAATATTATTAAAAACCAAATTTCATTTTATTACGATCCTCAGGATATAAATACAGTAAATTAAATCATTAAATTAAATTAATCATTACCAATTACTTAATTATAATCATCTTTGATTTTGCTTACATCAATGAAATTATTCATTGTTGAGTAGGATTTTACTCTAAAAAATCTTGAAAATTTACTTAGGATTCATTTAAATAATTTAACTTCTTAAATAGGTAATTCAAGTTTTAAAATTATATTTATGCTCTTTTTGCAAAAATACTAAAAAAAGATATTTAAATAGGAATAGGATGAAGATTTTAACATTTAATATTTAAAATACATATTGTAATAAATCACAAATGAAAATATTGAAAGTGCAACTGCTGTTTCTGTTTTTCAGATGATAACTAAATCCTCATCTAATTCCACCTTATTGGAAAATTTAATTTAAGGCTTAAATCCTTACATATAAAAGATTATTTCTACAACAACAGATATTGATTTTTTTTAATCTCTTATAAATTTGGCAAAAGTTCATAAATATTTTTTTTATAATTATTCAGAGAGCTATCTTATTGTTTTATAGTAGAGAATAATTATAGAAATATAAAATTAAAATAATCATGCTGTTATTAAGATGTTGTAAACTTTTAGAGCAATTTATAAAATTTGGCCTTAAGAAGAAACATATAATTCTTAATTGGATATTTGGAAATTGATAACATTTTTGCATCAATCAAAACGAAATTCATTTGATGAAGAACTTATCGAAATTTCAAAGATATTTTTAAAATAATATTGTAAAAATTTTGAACTATTATAATTTTAGAAGATAAAAACCAATACCAATTTGTTTTACTATTTGTTATTTAATAATTAAATTTGTATGTTTAGTAAGCTCCCTATATAAAATTTTTAGCTGCTTTGAATAAGGAATAATGCCAATTTATAGCTCAACAAATGCCATAATTAATGTATGATGTAATAAATCTGATTTGTAATATAGATTTTGATAATTTGTTTGAAGTGTATAGAAATAAACTATTTGATCAAAAAGATAAGGAAAGTATGTAGAAGCATATCATTATACACAGATTTGTTATTCAAATAAGAATGTAAAAATCTCTTTGAGAATCATATCAAGTCAACTTAAAATTAAAGTTAATCTATATTTTTAATTTGCTATCTATGTATGAGCAATTAAGAAGAAACAGAAAAATATCACGATTATTTAGTGAATCAAATTTTAGAAATTCAAGAGCGCGATGTGACTCTGTAAAATTAATCAGATATTTTTGATTGTTGTTATGCTTTAATAAAATTATATGAATATACTGGGGAGAATTTTGGAAAATCTCAATATCAATACAATCAAAATATCTTTTATAAGTTAATTGATCTTTTGCATTCATGTTTATTAATTGATGACAGATAAAATGAATAGAAAAATATAACTTTAAATGAAGTTTATGGGTTATTTTAAAAAATGATTAGCAAAATTCAATCTAAATTACTACCTAAATATTTGGAGGGATAATTTGAATATGAATTTAAACTACAATAATTAATGTAAGCAAAAGCATAATTTGGATTAATAAATACAATATACAAGTAATTTAAAAAATGATTATTTATTACATGTATAAATGTGTTAATTAAATTATTTTAAATGAATAACCTATTTCAAGTGTTTTTAATTTTTTTTTTAGAATAAATAGAATGGTCATTTTATTTAAATATCTTATTGAGATAGACTAGGTTCGATGTAATATTATAAAATTATTTTAAGAATATAATTAATAAAAAGGATGTATTCATATGATTTAGATTAGGATAACATTAGCTAAGAAAGTAAATGTAAAATTGTAGAGATATTCTACGATTTAGAGGAAGGTATATAAGATGAAAATATTTTAAGATGGAATTTTAAAGTTTGACGATTTGAAACAAAGGAGAAGTGCAAGTTTAGAAAACTATTTAGATTTGATAATAAAAACAAGAAATGAAAGGCTTTATTAGCTTAGAGAATTTCTTAAAATTTAGAATTAGTGATTTAATGACAGACTTTTGAATTAATTAAGGAAATATATAAAAAAATAATTTTTTTTCATTTTGTTGATCGCTTAAATTATGCATAAAGTAACATTTTTTAAGCTTTTTAAATCAATTATTTGTGATATTAAATCAAATCATTAGTTGATAGTTTAGATATAGTTGTTTATTTTTTTTGTGAATAAGTTGATTCTATGTGAAGAGTAATTTATTTTTTAAAAGGAAGTGAACTATTAGGGGAAATAGGAGTTGTATCTATTCGTTTTTCTTTGCTATTTGGTCTGCTAGTTGCTTTTTACTTAATAATTCTTTTATAAGGGAAGGATTCATTAGGTTAGATTTAGGGTTAAGAAAAAACTCTAGCTCTACTTTCTTCTTATTTTCGAGATAAAAATTGATTCAAAAGGGACTATATTAAATAATTTGTTATACTTTACATTAATGTTCTTTGGATTTTAAATACTTTATTTAATAAGTTGTTCTAATTGATCACGTTCTGATTAATGAAAACTACGAATAGGAGAAACGTTTGATAGCTTTAATTATAGTCTTTCTGTTTTAGGGGCTTAACGTTTTTGTTTGATTAGTACATGATTATGATTATGTAGTAATTAATTATCTATCAACATAAAATAATTATTCTTAGTTTAAAAATGAATGAATAGAATTGAGATTTTATATTAAAAGATTATTATTTTTTGTGTAATAAAAAAATAAAGATTAATAAATGTTTGAAAAGGTATGGAGAAAGAATGATTTATAATATAAATAGATAAATTAAAAGAGATTCTAAAATGAAGATTATTTGAAATAGAAGAATGATTAATTTAGAAAATAAATTTATGGTTAGAATAAGTTGAATAAATAAGGAGAGTTATATTTTATTTAAGTTTTGTAAAAGAACTTTTATGATGTATATTTTTATTATAGGATAATTAAAAAAATTAATTAATAAAAATGGCTGGAATAGAAGAGGAAGGAATGATAATAGATGAAAATAAATAAGGTATAAAAATGTATATATAATATAGATCAAAGGATGAATTTTGCTGATGAAATTATAATAGATGATTAACATATTTTGACAATATCAGCAGAAAAGATGTTTGAAGAGCCTTAGAAGAGAACACGTAAATCAAGATGGGGAGGTAGACCAGATAGGAAGTGTGCTAGACCAGAGTAAAAACACTTGCAATTCAATCCTTTAGAGGCTATGATGAATAGAAAATGCATATTACCTGTAGGAGCATAAAGTTTAGCACCTCCTGTACCTATTGGAATGGCCTTACCGTGGGGAATGTAATAAATGCCTGTTATGCCTGTTATGCCTTAATCATATGGCTACAATTTTGTGCGAACAGATACTTCTGTATTGGGATTTGTTTTAATAATTAGCATACTCGATGGGGTCCTGAATATGAAAAAACCTTTTAGCCTCCTTCTTTAAATTGTATACCTCCAGATCTTAGTATTGATGATTTAGAATATATAATCAGATTGTATTGTCTTGATGATATCAATCAAAAATTATAATAACCTATTGACAGTAAAATGGATGATCCAGATTTGAGATCTCCTTCTCCAGAACCTGTTTATGATTAACATGGAAAGAGAGTTAATACAAGAGAAGTTAGAAGAAAAGAAAATTTTTAAAGAATTAAATGCTCTTTGACTGAAGAATGTATTAAAATTAATAAAAATTTTGTTCCTCCTTATGATTTTAAACCTTTAAAGAAATCTTAAAAGATTTATTTAACTGATACTCTTAATGCTCCTGATACTAATTATATTGGTCTTATTTTAGGACCAGGAGGAAATACTTAAAAATTCCTAGAAGGAAAAACTGGATGCAAAATTTCAGTCAGAGGTAAAGGTAGTTCAAATACAAAAAAAGTTGATTGGGATATGGATGATAAATTACATGTCTTAATCTAAGCAGATAATGATGAATAATTATAATAAGGTGTTATTGAAATTGAAAAAATATTATCAGGAAATTAAGAAGATGAATAAGCAAGAAATGCTAGATTATAAGGATAAGTTATTGCTACAGTTTTACGAGATGATTTTTGTGAATATTGTCATGAAAAAGGTCATAGAACCTATGCTTGTCCTACTAAAATACCATTTGAAAAAGCTAGAGTTAAATGTGAAATATGCCATGAATTTTCTCATCCAACCTCCGATTGTCCTTAAAAATTTGAACATAAAGAAAGCTTTATACAATAATAATATGATAAATATAGAAAAGATTTAGGATTAGAAAAAAATGCAGAAATTTTAACATCAGAAAATTAAAATGAAAAAAGAACTACAGAATAAAGGGTAATTTTGTTATTTTATTAATTTAGGTTGCTTTTATTACTAGTGCATAAATTGTGAAACCAGTCTAAAATTTATAAATCGAAGATGATTAATTTGTTATGGAAAGATTAAGAAGAGAATAACAAGATAGAGATAATTATGAAAAAGCACAAAAAAAGGCATTAGAATAATATACATTATAATCATAAGAAAACTAAAATAAATGATGAATCAATATAATTATTAAAAAAAAATTAAAAATCATAATTTTATATAAATAAATTGTTTGATAATCAAACAATAGTTTATTGAACTGATTTTCTAGTTTAAAAATTATTAGCAAGATTTAATTAAGGATATTCTAAAGTCTCACTTTTTTTTAATTTTGATTTTTTTCTAATCTATAAATTAGATATTATAGAATCCTTCATTAACACTTTGAAATTTGGTACAGCACAAATTTGTGGTAATTCTTCATCTACAAAAAATTCTTCAAAATTTTTCTAAATTTCGTTAATAGATGCTTAAAATAAACCATTACTTCTTTCTAAAAAACTTGAAGCAGATAAAGATTGTTGTTTAATTAATCGCTAATCTTCTAAATTATCATCTTTATTAAAATAAGGATGAGATAATGCATCTTATGCACTTATTCTCTTCTATGGATCAATTTCAAGTAAATTCTTTAATAAACTAAGTTCATTTTAACTTAATTTATATATTTAAAGAATCTAAAAATCTATTTTACAAATTTTGTTTATTTTTAAAATATCATTTAGAGTCTTTCCTGAAAATAGATCTCTTGTTGTAACTCTATTATATAAAATGGTGATAATACAATTTAAAAAAGATACAACCAATGCTAAATATATCAACTTTTTCATCATAATAATCTTTAAATTTTTCAGGTGCTGCATATCCAGGTGTTCCACAAATTTTATAATTTATTTTAGGAGTTATTGGAACAGCAAGATGAAAATCAATTAATTTTAATCCCTCTAATGAATCTTTGTTTTAAAAAACTATATTAGTTGGTTTAATGTCTCTATGCATAATGTTTTGTGAATGAATATCTCTAACTGCATTTAAAAGTTGCTATGAATATTGATGACGTTTACTTTCATTATTATTAATATTTATGTTTTATCGAAAGTTACTCTTTGAAGTAATTCGTATAAATTTACACCTTCTAAATGTTCTTATATTAAATAGACAGTATTTTCTCCTATAAAAACTTCATGTAAACTTTACACATATTCAGATTTTATTTTATTTAGACACTATATTTCATTATAAATACGGGACTAAATTTAAATGTAAATATTTCACCATTGAATCCTCGAACTGATTCTTAGAGTGACATTTAATTTCAAACTATTTCTTATTGATTAGATCAGAACATAAATACAACTAAAATAGGCTTAATATTTTACCTCATCTTAATTACTGCCTCCTAATTAAGAGAGAGGTTTGTATAATTGATGTACAGTTTTAAACATAATACGATTCTTAATTGCTTATCTGAGTTTCATTAAGTCTTCATGTGTAGAATGGAATAGCTTTTCAACTCCATTCCAAGGTAATCCAAAACTAATTAAGAAATTTTATTAATTGAGCTGCCATGAAATAATATTGCCCAATTCCAGTTAAATTATGTACTTAGGTTCTTTACCGAACTTGATGTATATAACAATTATACTTGACTCAATGTTATCTTGTTTGGTAATAGTAAGAGTACATACTTCTGATCCAGAAACATGTGTTATCTGATACAAATGAACTTTAACTATGATTCCATTTAAAAATAATAGATTTTAATTTTTCATTACTTTGCTAAATACATTTAATTTGATAAGTTTTTACAAGACAATTCATTTAATCTCATTTTTATTCTTTATAACAATTAATTGATTTTAAGGACTTTCAATTTTCATAATATAATGAAAGTCAACGTATAGGAAAATCAATTTTAGAAACAATTGCCAAACATATCAAAGACACCATAAGCAAAAAGCTAATAAACTTTAGAATAAATATTTAATACAACCCTTAAATAACCAAGACAATTACATGATCATTCAATGAAATCACTTCATAATATCAGTAATGTCTCATTTATTCGAAATGAAAGGCATGATATCAAATAAGATGTATATATTAAAATATTTAACTCTAGTAATATTATACATCTCCATTACTTAATAAAACATAATTACTTGAAATTGAGAGGTAGAGTAAATAGAGAAAAAATGAAATGTATTCCCAAATGTTAAGTGAAAATCCATTTAAATTTAATGACTCTCAAGAAGAAATGATTTTAGAACATCCAAGAAGTAATTATTTAAAATATTGATTATTTTTATAGAAGTATCTTCTATTCATGTTAATCTATTTGATTTGAAGGATAAAGAGAAACTAACTCAACTCTTACAAGAAACTAGCGAGTTTTCAGATAAACTCTCGATACATAACCCACAAATAAAACCAGCTAATGTTATAGTTTAAAGATAAGATGTTATTAAATTGGCCTAGTGGATTGATTATTAAATGAAAATAATAGTGGAAGACACTAAACTAAAAGAAGATTAGATGCTTCATTAAGTTGAGCATGTCTTTAATTAAAGTCTTAAAGAATTAATTAGAGAAATATCGCTAGATTGCATTGAAAAGGGGTATGAATTCTTAATATAATTAGAGTATTATTGGAGAAGATTTGGAATTAGTATGTTAATTTTAATAATATTGTAATTTAAGCTATTTAATAAGAGAAAATCAATTCAGAAAATGAGTATTTGAATGATTTGAAATAAGTAATTCTTATTATTATATATTAATAAAATAGGTTCATCAAACATATCAAATTTCAGTATAAGTCTTAGAAGATAAAATTAAATTAATCGAATCATAAATGTAATCATTATAATATAAATATAATGAAAAAGTAGTTGATTATGATAATTTATTATAAAAATATGAGTACTTATTTAATTAGTACAAAGAATTAAAGTCAGAAGATTAAGAATTAAAAAATGATTATTCAATTGCTATGAATGATATAGAACAATTAAATCAAAAAATCAATAATTTGTAAATAGAAAATCAGAAGATTTTAAAATAATTAAATGATAGAATCAATTACAACTTTTAAAAATCTAAAAGATAATCTTACATTTTCTCTGATACTGATGCTCTATATCCAGATCATAAATCTACAAGTTGTTATGATTTATATACAACTATGGAAATTCATGTCAATTAAGCATCCCAAACTACTCAATTTTCTGATTTACGTTCTTCTGAGACTCAAACAGATTTTAAATATTTTAAATAAGTTGCTATCTAATGTTCAGATTTAATTTTTGATGAATCAAGTCCTAAATCTAATTTTTAAAATGAAAAGTATTATTTTTTATATCTAGAATTAATAATAATTCTTAACAAGATGAAGTTAGAAAGTTAAAAGAACTTACTTTTGCTTTAGAAGAAAGAATAAGAATGGAAGTTTAAGCATAAAATGAATTAAGAAAATAGAGATAACTAATTTAAAGGGAAAGTGATTCATAAAAAATTAAAATAACAAATCTAGAAAATACTATTACTTAATTATAAATAGATATAGATAATTTATAGATGTAAATCGACAATAAGTAGGATACAAAATAAAAAGAGATTACAGTTGTTAGTATGGATTAAAAAAATAGTGATTAATAAATGTCTCTAGCTCCATAATTAAACAATTTGAAAACTTAATAAAAATAAGAAACCTAACATAAAACTTAAGAAAACCTTCCAGAAATTAAATAAGGAAATTAATAAAAAAAAAAAGAAAATAATTTAGATTAAGCTAAACAAATTCAAAAATTATAATAATCTTAATAATAGTAACAATAATAATAATAATAATAAATGAAATAAACAAATACTAATAGTTTTAATAAAGTAAAATCAGTTGATGTAAAAGATTAAAAAAAATCTGTCAAGATAATTAAAAACTCTTAAATTATTCCGAGAAAGACTTCCTAAGATTCTATCCATAATAATATTAGTTAAGAAACTGATAATAATAATGCAAATTCAAATGAGGATTTCTTAAGTAAAGCTTTAGAAGAACTAACAAAGGATGGACGCTAGTTAAAACTTACTTAAAATTAAAATTAAAGAGTTAGTATTGTGCAATAAAGAAGACAAACATAATAATAAAATTATATTCTTATTTAATAGGAGAAATAATGTAAATATTTTGATAAAATTGATAGAGCAAATATTATAGAGATTGTTAAAAGATAAAAAAGAAAATATTTATGTTGACGTTGCTTTAGCTTTCATAAATCAATTACACTAAGACTTTAAATTGAATCCTAATCAAGTTGAAAATACTTTAACAATTTAAAATTCATTAAAATAAATATCATTATTTTACAAAGAGAAATTAGATTCTAAATATCCTCTTTACGCTATTTGTTATGAGTATTATATGAATTAATATGGATTAAAAAATGTTGCTGAATAAAAAATGACTCAATTTTGTTAAAGTCTAATAGTTTATCAATAAAACTACAGAATCAAATTATTTGCTCGATTTTTACAATTGTATGATAATATATCAAATGATGATTTTGAATTCTACATCTAATCCTTAAATTAATTAGATGAACATTAAAATTCTTAAAATTTAATCTCTTGTACTCCATCATAGGATTGTGTTATGGTTCTATTTTAAAAAGTTAAATAATAATTATAAATATTTAATAATACTGGCAAGGAATTGATTGATAAATTAATGGTTAATATCAAAAACATTAAGGGAGAATAGTATTTAGATTTGGATTAATATTATTTAGAAGCTTTAGAATAATTTTAATTTATAAGAAAAATACAAAATGATAATTTTAATTAATTATTTTTAGCCATAGATGTTAATGATGATCAAAAAATAAGTCAAAACGAATTTAATATTCTTTATTCTTTAATAGAAGACAATAAAAATATTCTCAAATATAAAAAACTATTTTAATTAGAATGTTAAAATTGTGAAGGTCTTAATTTCTATTAGTTTGGGGTTTTTTGCATGCATAATAATTTATTTACAAAACAGAAATAAGATAAATTCTTTTTTTCTAATTAAGCAGAATAATCATTAATTTAACTAAAAATTACTTGGGGACATTAAAGAAAAATAATAAGTTAAAGATTAAGAGATTCAAATAATTTCACATAATATTATCAAGATTTGATAAGAAAATTAGATGAAGTATAAAAATAATAAATTTAATAGGGTCTTAAAGGGAATTAAACATATGCTTGGAATTTATGGAGAATATTAGAGGAATAATCAAAAAAACTTATATTAAATAATTAATTAATAAATTTGATCGGATCAGACTTATGCTATATTTGTGATAAATATGAATAATTATTCTCACTTAATTGATATAACTTAAATTATATCATCTACTATTGATATCACATAATTATTTATAGTATTTAGATAATTGAAATTAAGCTATTATTTAGAGTCTCCAATTTCTAAAGGATGAATAATTTAATCTTCTCCATTGATATTTTGAAAAATGATCTGTTTAGGTTAAGGAATAACCAATAAAATAGGATTAACTAAAATTTATACAGATAACTAAATTAAAAAATAAATATTTACTTTAGATCTTTACTCTTATATTTAATTACATTCAATTCCACTTTCTCTACCTTATGATGTTTATAATTATTTTAAATTTATAATAACCACCATTTAAGTATTCTGTTCTACTTTTGTGTTTTTTTAATTAACCACATCATTAGCTTCAATAACAGCAAAAACACCTTCTTTGTATAGGTATTTTAGATCTTGGATACCTCTAATTTTTAAAGACTCACATTCCAAAGTCAATAAAACAGTACATTAATTCATTCGATCAATAAAAACAAATAAGATTCTATCACTTTAAAGAATCTATTTTCCTTAATTATTTCTTCTAATAATTTATATAGCTAATATATTGTTTATTCTAGCATGATATTACTCTTTTTAATTGCTAATAGGATTTTCACTATATATAACTTTATTTAAATATTCATCTTCTGATTTACAAAATATCTTATATTTTGGTTTTTCTTATAAGTTTTTCATTAGAAAGAATCTAATAGATCTATACTTTCTTGTTTATCCAAAAATTGTTTTAAATGGTTAACCTCCTATGCAGAATAATCCTCTATCTGGCATAAATGTAATTGCTGTAGGTATTTATAATCTTGAATTGAATTATTGCTCAAGAGTCATAGTCGTCAAATTAAATATTCTAAAAATTTAATCTTCTGAACCAGTTACAAATCTATAAGCAGTTTCATATGGAGTATATAATTCTTAATTCTAAATTTGTAATCTACATATTTACTTTGCCTTCATTTTTTGGATCCTTCAATTCAAATTCGTAATTCTCATCTGCTGCAGGATCTACATATCTCCATTCTTATATTAGTAATATCTTTTTCTCCTTTTTATTTTCAAGTTCTTTTATTGTTCCAACTAGACCTCTTATTGATAATTGCCAGACCTTTTAATTTTTATATTAAATTTTACTTTAATATCATTTTTCTCTCCTACAGTTATTAAATATTTGCCATCCCTAAATAATAAAACATTTGTAATCTGTTAATAGGTCTTTAATGATGCTAATTCATTTATTTTATAACATGCTTATTAATTCTAGCTTTCTATTATAAGATTATCAATACATATTATCTATCCCTTTAAATTCTACAGGTGGAGCTATCATTTATTATTACTAAATCTTTGCTTTTTGATCCCATGATAGATCGGCAGTCTCATTTAATTTTTATTAATTTTTTTTATCAATTATTTATAGACTTCTCCTTCCATCTATAGATTAAGATTTTTAATCTGTTTTTAAACCAAATATACTTTATTAATTAATTAACCTTTTATTTAATCGATTAGATTCTGGTACACTTGCATCTTAATTGTAAAGCTTTTATTAAACCTTTGCTTGTTAATATTATTTTTATTATTATTGTTATTATTATTATTATTATTATTATTACTATTATTATTATTATTATTCTGGTTATTATATTTATTATTGTTCTTCTTAAATAGATCTTTTTTCATTTTATTATATTATTTATTACACGATGCTTTCCTATGATTATTATTGAACTTTTTGTTAGTCGTTAATTTAATTAACAGTAATTGGTTATTCAACTAAAACTTATTATTAATCAGTTGTTTCTTCTTATTTTTATTTAGAAGATGCGAATACAGAAAAATATTGTTTAACCTGAGATAAATCAATTATAGAATGTTACTAAGGAGGTTCACTTTCTGATTTGATTAATTTAGGTTATTCATTTAATTACTATAATTATTAAGAGCTTTTCTTTCTTTAACTTTAAGGACTTAATGGTTCAATTGGATGTGATGGGAAAGTATGATATTAATAGGTCGGTTTATATGATGAGATGTAGTAAATTTGCGATTGATTTTCAATACAATAAATTTCGTTTTCAATATCTAAATTATTACCCATAAATATTATGCAATCTTCCATAATTTTATATGTTTAATATTTTTTATGCAATTCCAAATATTTGTTAATTAAAATCTTTTTGTATTCATCATTTAAAGATATATTTTTTTACTTTATAAACAATGCTTAAAATATTTAAACACTTTCCATAAACTTCTTTGACTTTTCTGATTTGAGTATTTAATATTTATCACTTTTTGTATTATAATCAACATTGATTTCATTTCTACCTAAATAATTAAATGGTAATTTATGCCAATCTATATCATTTTTACCCAGTTATTCAACATCATCAACATCATAATAAAAAATAGTGAGTTTTCTATTCATAATAAGTGAATAAAAGTTCATTTTGAAATCTAAATTTAATTTTACAACCACTTCTGTTGTAGTACAAGGTTCAATTGAAACTAATAAATTATATCATTCATATTGTTACAATTATTAGGTATTATAGCAAATAAAGTAGGATTAGGTGAAATAATTCTAATTTGGATATAATGAAGAGTCAAATTTTAGATAGAGATGGTTTATTCTCTATTTTAATAATCAAATTGTATTGTGTTGGGAACAATCTCAAGAATTTCTTCCATTAATAATAATATTATATATAAAGTTTTTACAAATAATAACAGCGATATTCAGTTCTTAATCATTGAAGAAGTCAATTTTGAATGATAAGAATCATTTAATTAATCTAAAATATCTTATTCTTGCTCCCATAATTATTAAATTTTCATAAAGTCCTAAGCCTTTTTCTTAAAGCTATCAAGGACTGCTTTCTTATGTTAAGATTTAAATTAATCTTATTTTTATTATTTATACATAGCTAAGTTTTATTGTTATTACAATTCATATAGCTGAACTTTTTATTTCTTCTCCACATTATATGATTTTGATCTTTCTTTCTGAAGAATAATAACTTTATCGTGATTTAATGATTGTTTTTTCATCAACTCAAATTATTCCCTCTTTTATTATTGTACGCTTTGTCTAATTTATACTTTAAGATTAAATTGTTATTATTTTAAAAGCTTAGTTTTTTCCCTAAAATGTTCCAAAGATTACTCTCTAGATTCTTTATGTTTACTTTACTAAATAGGTCCTCTCATAATATACCTACTTCAAGTATTCGTTATACTCATTTCTTATGCTATTAACCTATTCATTCTTAATTTCACTTTAAATCTGTTTCCCTTATCTAAATAATTAGAAAAAATTACAATCGTTATCGAAATATTTCCAACATTTTAACTCTATTAATCATTACATCTAATTATCTTTTCATTTCTATTTATTCTTTCTTAGAAATTCTTTGGCTAACTTTCTCTACGGTCTCTTGATTACTAAGCGAATCCTATTTATAACTTATACTACAAGACATTAAGAGTTTTATTTCTAAATTTAATTATATTATGTATAAGAAGAAAAATATTTCACTTAATTTAATATGAAACAACAACAAAAACATTCAGTATTACAAAAATATTTGTTTTTATAATTTATTTAAGGAACTTTAAAATACAATAATTGAGTAAAAATTCAAATGTTCTTAGCTAGTTTATAACTTTTTGTAATGTATGTAATCATTTCCCAGTTATAATTAGTTAAAATTAATTATAATTAGATATTTTTAAAGAATAAAATTAGATAGATATTAGGAAATATTAATAAATAATCTTTAGTAATTATTGATTTTTAATATTAAAAATTGTTTTACATATTTTGAATATAATTTATAAGATATCAAATAAATTAAAAATTTAATGTATTTTAATAAAGATAGATAAATGATTTGGTAATAATAATATGATGAGAAAATATTACGAACAATATAAACTCATTTCCTAGATGGTTCAGTTAATAAATTTTAATAAAATTTTAGGTTTGTATTACTTTTAGTATTTTTGAGGGTTTCATTAGAAAATAATAATGAGGATAACTATGATTGTGATTGTTAGGATAATAATGATTGTTAACTATTCTAAGAATTTTTAGTTCTTTTTCTTACTAAAGAATCTATAGTATCTTTAGTAACTTATGTTGAGGAATTTTTATCAAATTCATAAGATTAATATTTTTTTTATTGATAAAAAAAAGAAGTTTGAAACATGGGTATAAATTGATTGATTAATTTTTATTCCCGATTTAATTATTCAAATAAAATTCTATCATTAGTTGTAGGTGATTTGAATTGTAATTTTGATAAATCTGGAATATAAGGAGGATCAATCTATTTTTAGATATATTTAGAAATATCGATATCTTAAAACCAAGGATGTGCTAATATATCATCAACTCCATTTTTTGATCCTAATCTTTTATTTGGATCCTTAATCATAAGTAATTTAATTAAATCTTTAACTTCAGGACTTAATTTTTTTGGGAATTAAACTTATTCATTGAGTAATCTTGTATAAATAACATTTTTATCTTCGCAATAGAAAGGAGGAAGTCCTGTTACAAATTCATAGAGTAAAGCACCTAAACAATAATAATCAACCATATTATTATGACCATCATTATGAAACATTTCTGGAGCCATATATTCTGGAGATCCACAAAATGAATAAGCATTTTATTCTGGTTACATATTAGGTCTAGCTAATCCAAAATCAGCTAATTGTATATGTCCTGTAATATCAATAAGAACATTTTCTGGTTTTAAATCTCTATAAATAATTTATTAATGATGTAGAAATCCCACAGCTAAACAAATTTCTGTAATATAAAATCTAGCTTGTGATTCTGTCATTTTTTATACTTTTTTCATATAACTAAACATTTCACCTCCAGGACAAAATTCTATACCAAAAATTATCCAATTTTTAGTTTCAAATGCAAATTCAACTTTTGATGTAAACATTGAACCTTTATTTGTGGTTTCAATTAATATATCTCTTTCATTTTAAACTAAATCCTATTTTTCATTTTATATTACAAAAGTTTTGCTAATCAATTTTAATGCTATAAAACTACCGTCAATTAGAGATCGAGATAAAATAACAGTTGAAAAACCACCTTTACCTATTACATGTAAAAATAAAAAACAACTTAAATTTAATTGTTTTGGATGTGAAATTCCTATTATTGGTTTCATTCGTATAGTTTTACCAACCATATGTGTTAAAGGTAAAAAAGGTATAGTCAAATAATAATCAAATCCAATATTCTCATCTAAAGTAGCAAATCCTACAACTTAATAACCTGTTGATTTATTTTTTAATACATTTAACACTTTATCAGTTGTTACATTAGCACAGAATTTATAATTTTATGTAACATCTGATGAATAATGAACATAAATCTAAATTTCTTATTTTGGTAGTTTATCAATTGATTAAGATTTACAACCTATCTACACTGAATTAGTTAACAAATCTTCAACACTATTTCTTCTAGTCATAGATCCTTTTTCTAATATTAATTTATTTTTGTTTGTTAGTTTTTTATTCAAAATTAAGTTGATTCCTTTCGTAAGTTATTAAAAAGGCAGGATAGTTTCAGTTGGAACTTTTACTTATTTTGCTTAAGGTTTAATTTTATCCCTTGAATTTGATCTTTATTGACTATGTAATCTTTCTGTAATACTTCCATGATTCACTTTACGACTTGAATCTGGTTTCACTAAATCCTTTAATATAATTTGCGATAAATTCCTTTGAATTAATTTCAAAGGAGATTGGGAAGCATTTTTACTAGTTTGATTTTTAGTACTCATCTAAAAGTTTTAAATTACTCTTGCAGGAGACAATATTTAACCACTTCGTTATCTCATTATTGTTATCTAATAAAAAAATATATTATATATTATAAATAAATTAAGATGATAAATAATAAATTTGATGATGATCTAGATGAATTATTAAATGATATTAATTCAGTTATGGATAAACCATAAAAAAATCCCCTTTCAAATTAAGTCTAATAGTAATAAATCAATCAAAATTAATAATAAAAAAGAAAATGTTTATCACCTCAAATTGGAAATCAATCTTAACTTCGAATTTGCACTAATCTTCGATGTCTTAAATGTGATCTTCAAGTTAAATGTCATCTCAACTAAAAATGGAACAAAGATGCAGATTATTTGATATTCAGAAACTACTTTAACAATATGCCAATGTTATAAAAGTATTTAACAGAAGATAATCAATATAATGCTTATAATTGTTAATGCACCAATATAAATGCTTATGAATCAATTTCGGCACCATAAAATTGGGTATGTTCTGGTCATACCAATTGAAAAATATTATTATTCTAATTATTATAAATATATAGTTAAAAAACATATAAAGTATTTCTCAATTCAAATAATACCTTCTTTTCTCTTTACTTTTACGTCTCTTCATTATTTAAATAAAATATTTATTTAATTTTAATTAGATTTATTTAAAATTGTCCTTAATCCTTACTTATTAAAGGCTGAAAATCATTATTAATAGTACACTTTGCGATTTTTTGTCTTTGCGAAAAATACATCAAAATTATTTGTCTAGAATTTTATAAATTACCAATAAATTTACATTAAATGAATTGAATATTATGAGTTTAGAAGTAATCTAGATTTAATGTATCATTTTACTCTTAGGATTATAATTTTTCACATAATTATAATTATTAATACTTATTATAGAAAATATAAAAAAAATTTATTTTTGATTATTAACTCTAATCTATGGATTTTTTAAGTTCCTAATTTAGTGTTTTAAATATTAATTTACTATAGTAGAAAATATCAGATTACTTATTTATTCAACCATTTCAATTAAAAATGTTTTGTTTAATTATTAATTTCAGATCTTATATATAATTATCTCATACTATATTTTTGAAATTTTATAGACTATGCTATAACTTTACATTTTTAGATGTAACATTAATTTGAAATAAATTTATTAATTAATATATTAGATAAGTAAAAAATGACATTAGAACAAGCTGTAATATTTATTATAATTTAGTTATATGAAGATAGAGAGTATATAAGATTATAAAAACTAACTGAAGCATTAAAATAAATAACAAATGAAATGCCTTATATGAAATCTTTTAATTAAGTATCGACCATAAAATATTGTAAAATATATTAGTAATATAAAAAGTATTATGTGCTTATCCATTCAATCCAATAAGTGTAGAACTTGTGATTTCTAGTTTAATAGATCATTTTTAGGATGAATAATTTGTTTATTCATTTTTTTCAGCAATAATGGAATTGGCTTAAATCTAAGAACTGAACTCTATGAATGGACATCGAAGATCAAAGATGATTGATGGGTATTTGTTATTTAAATGTTTTGAGGCTTTCATTAACAAAGTCTTTAAATTTTTCTCATTAAGTGGGATAGAAGTTCTGTAGGGCTGTTTATGAAAACATTGTAGAAGCTAAAAGGTTTGCTTGTTAATACTTAAAATAACTTTTTGATACTGCAATATAATATTAGTAGGATATCTAATACTTTTCTATGGTATTTAGTTTGATGATCAAAAATTCAAGTAATACTGAATTTATTCATTTTGTTATATAAAAATATGAAGAATGTAAAACTGACTTATTTGGCAATAATAAATGGATAGATGACTTAGATGACGAAATTATTGAATGTAAACATTTTAAAGATTATAATTAGATTTTGAATCGAATTAAATTCCTTTGCCTTTTGCTGTAAATAAGAACTAAGAAGAATAACGATAAGAAATTAAAACGAACATTAAATAAAATAATAATAGTTCATAATATAATGATGAATATTCATATTCTGATTCTTCCTTTTTAGATGAGGTTGATTTTATGAAAAAAGAATTGTAGATATTGAATGTGAATATGTAAAAATGGCTCTGTACTGTTGGAACTCCATCTATAAAATCTAGGATAGAATATTTAAGTGATGAACATCATTTCGAATATTTAATGTCTTTTATTTTTAACCCATTACAACATGAGACAATTTAAGATTGGGTATATAATAAATTTATTTTTAGGAAGATAAATTTAATGATCTTGAAGTTAAAGTTGAATAAACTGATTATAAAGTAGAATCATATTTACCCTCTAAATATGAATTAATTAGATCTTATAAAACTACCTTAATATTTTTGACTGATGAAAACTTTTAGGTAATGATTCAAATTATCCCTAAATTAATTCATTTGCTATGTAAATATTTATATATTATATTTAAGTGTATCAAATAAAAATAAGTCTAGAAGAAATAAACAAATCAGTTAATCTATTGCATATAAGTTGTATTTTAGATAAATTTCTTTAAAAATACCCAAAATCCACTCTACTTTTTATGATAGAAATGGATCTATTTTAAATTCTTGGAAAATATATTTACAATAATAAATTAGCTACTATATTAGTAGATGTCTTAGATATATAAATTGATAGATATTGTATTGGAACTTAGTGCTAAGAATAATTATGGAAATATTTTTAACAAATTAATTGGTTTGAAACTATTTCGACTCATTTAGTAAATAGTAATTTAAAATTTTTAATTTTGGATATAAAAGAAAATCAGAAATTTACATAAATATTCAGATCGATTGCATAAAGTGAATAAGAGAAAATACCAGCAATAATTGATTGTGATGAGAAAAAGAATTTAACAGATTTTCTTGGAACATTATAAGAAGGTAAGACAATGGAAGAATATTATAATACAAATTAATTGAATTGGCAAATTAATTAAAATTAAAGGGAGCATCTTTCATATAGTGAAATTGAATTACAAGATATTGATGGATTAAAGTATTTTGCAGAAGAAAGAGATTCAAATTTATAACGATCATAACATAGAATTAAAACATAATTAATGATTAAATCTATCAAATTTACAAATCAAATTAAAAGAAAACCTTCAGAAGTTATGAGATATACTTAAATTAATAAACCTATTTTAAGAGGATTTCATGGACATAAAAGATATTGTGAAAGCATAGATTTTTAATATGATACCATAAGAGAAGATGAAAATACATATGTTGAATCTAAACTTCATAATTCTAATCCGGGAAGTCGTAAGACAAGTCAATAAATTTCAGATGATGGAGAAGATGATTTAGGATCTATTTCTCCTAGAAAACTTAAAATATATCCTGGATATAAATTACAATTACATGTTAGTGAATTTGAAAAAAATGAAAATAAATTTAAAATTAATAAACTTTATTCATCAGAAACAATTTAGATACTTAAATTCTAAATTACTGCGTTATTTAATTTTTTAGATTTACAACATACAAATAAGATTAAAGTTGAACAATAAAAAATTGATATCAAATCAATAATTAACTCTTTATTAACTTTTTAAATCATTATGAAACTTCATTAGTTTTTTTTATATAATATCTTAAAAGAAGAATCATCAATAGAGTTCTAATTAGCAGAAGAATGTGGAATAATTGTTAATAAAATTTATAAATATTCTTTACTCTATTAAGAATTGCTTGAAATTAAGCCTATCTTATAGGAAATTTTTTTATAGGCAGCAGAATACCTATGTAAATTGATAGTTAAAACATATCAAAATTCTATTAAAAATAATTTTCTTGGGAATCCTAAAATTTAAACATTTTTACTTCTTACTTTTAAGCAAGGATATTAAGTATTTAATTTTGATCATCATTCCAAAGAAGAATAGGGTGTATATAAATTTTTTCATTCAACTGTTATACATATAATTATTTATTGGTTTTTTAATAGTTAAAATAATAGCGTATATTAAAATATCTTTTTGAAGTATAATTTAATATAATATTTTAGATTCATTACTTTAGTTTTTGCTAATGCTCCACCTGTAATTTTGAGTAGTATCTTATTTAGACTAGGATTAATAGGCTTACTCTTTGATGCAAGTGAACATGCTATTTTATCAGATAGTCTTCTTACTCATATTAAATGTATTGTTTATTCAATCAATGCTTCAATATCATATAGATAATTGACTAATATTTAGTAGAATCTTTAATGTCTTGATTCATGGAAAAAACTAGTTGATGCTAACTCTAATGGTGAACTATCAATCTACAAAGATATTAATTTTATCATTAATCCTAACTTTAATTTTAAACATACTAAAATAAACTTCTATTCTACTTAAATGTCAATTGATAATAATGAATAAAATAAATCACCTAAATTTAGTAGGATGAAGGATTAATACAATATATAAAGAATTAAAGGAAATTATAAAGCTTAAAATAAACTTCCTAAATTAAATCCTATTCATGAGAAATAAAAAATTTTGTCAAAAACTTTTAGCACAAATTTTAAACTATGACATTTAAATTATAAATTTTTTTATAAACTATAATCAAAAACTTTTTTTAATATTTTAATTAGCTTTATTCATAAAATTGATTTTTTACTTAAAATTTATGTTAATTCATTTTTAAGTAAATTCATTTAGATATTTACTTAATTACTTCTCTTAAGAATGTTAGAAAAATCTCTTCTTTTTTAATATTGTGTAAATCTTATCTCATCTATTAAAATTCAATTTTCAATTAAAATAATATTTTTTTAAGGTATCATCTTTAACTAGAACAATTAGTATTATTTTTATGAATTATTTGGCTTAATTTAATTTAAATAATTTAATTTATTAATTTTAGTTCAAAAGAATAGAGAATTAATGATCTAAATATGCTTTTTTTTAATACTTGATTCATTTGATTTTCCTTTCTAAAAATTTGTCTTGTAATAAATTAATTGTTTAATAATAAATAAATAAATTGATTCTTGTATAACTAACTTTCTTAATAATATTAATCATGTTAAATATAAATATTAAAAATAATAATTTCATAATCACTTCATAATCATTCCTACTATATTCATTCCCCCTTTTGCCATTTCCCTCTTTAATTATTATAATTTCTTTTTATGTTCTCCTCTACATTTGTAAAATCCTTATAAATTAATAAGAGACAAAACGCAACATATTATTGGCAAAGGTAACTACATATTTATAAATAAATACCCATAAAATTTTGAGTCCAAAAAAGTCTCCAAGACACATGAGACCCCAAAATAGTGTTCCATATACAAGACAAGACCAAAAGAAATATTTATCAACTCTATTTGATTATTCTTATGATTGGGTTTAAAACATCCATTTCTATTCACCTTTAAGATCCATTTCAATCCACCATCTTAATCCGATTAGTTTCTAACCTAGATAATTCTTAAGAAGTAAAAATTATGTCAACTATAGTAAAATAACTAATGGATAAGCATGAATAACATCTTGTAACAGAATAAATGTTAATCCTGGTATAGAAGTTAATGCTAATGCAGCAACACAATAATACGGATGAGCTGCCTCAGTAATATCATATTCTTATATTAATAAATCTTTCTATGGAAAAATTATATAAAATAACTACATTAGCATTTTCAACTTCCTCTTCTTATTGAGTATTTTGATAAACAGTATCATATTTGTCAACTGTTAAATCTACATCAGGCTCTACATGCTCTGTTATCACTTTAGGTTATATGTTTATTTTAAAATCTAAGGAGTTAGATTCCATTAAAATATTTTATTTATATATATATTTCATTATTAATACAAATTTCTAATAAATATATATATATTGATAACATTGTCAGAAGATAATGATTACACAAATAGTTTACCATCACTTATACCAATAAGCTTAATACACATATTTTAATAGAATAACTTCATTTTAAATATTATAAACATCTTTATTTATACTATTTATTAATTTAATATTACTTTTAAACTTCTCAATCTTTGAGTTTAATAATTTACCTTTTAATTAGAATATGGTAAACCTATATAATTGAAATTTATAAATTTGGTAAAATAAATATTATAATCAAAACATCATCTGCTCACCAGATTTAGCTAAACTCTTTTTGTTCCATGTACTAATCACTACTTCTTGTTCTTCATTTGGAATTTCTGCTAATTTGAATTCCTATATTTACTCTCTTTTTAACATTCTTAGTTCTCTTTGAAATTGACTCTCTCCAACTATACTTAAATAATCTTAACAATCAGCGAACTTTTTTTTTGGTTTATCTTTCAATTTCTAATGATACATTGATTCCAACTAGGTTGAATATAATTTTGATTTCGGAGATCCTTAATTATTATAATTATCTTTTACCAGAAAGTTATTGTGACTTTAATTTTTACTCAGATATAACTGTTTCAACCTATTTAAAAGGATTCTCTACTAATTTTGCATTGAAATTTGATTAAATATCAGACAAAACAAATTATTCTTATTGATCCTATCTTTCTGCTTCAGTATCTGTAACAAATCTATTTGTTAATCTATTATCAAATCTTCTATCACTTTATTATTAATTTTTTTAGGTCAACAATGTAAATGGAGGTCTTGAATCTTTATGATCATACCATCTTAATTTCAAATACCAGTAACGACTATTATTTTTTTCATCATCTCCTTTACATAATTCTAAAGCTTATACAATTTGATTTTTTTCTCTATATTAATCTGATCTAGCCATAATAGTTTCCTCAGGTTAACGAAAACAATTTGAGGCGACTTAAATATTAACATTCTCCCACAGAGTCTTTACAACTTCGTGTTTTTTTATTGATCTATCTTCTCTAGTGATTGCATTTCTTACATTTTAAGGTAATTTTCTTTCCTATTCTTCTAATTCTTTTTAACTTTATTTAATTCTTTTTTCTGTATCTCTCATTATTTATACTAAATCTCTTTTTTTGAAAACTTTCTAATCTCCTCTATTCTTTTTGGGTGTTTTTCTACTTTGTTATATTTTTTCATTAAATTAACTTGTTTTTAATGGTAACTATTCTTCTGTAGCAGATTCATCTGTAGCTCCGTTATTTATATTCTGATTTTTCTTTTTTTTTTAATCTTATTTTAACTTTTCTTAATGAATTTTAAGAAATTATTAATATCCTACTACTGAGTATTTTATCAACTTATCTTATTTTTCATTTTCAAATCTAGGACCTCCTGTATAATCAATAAATTTTTTTCGTTCTTCATTTTCAGCCTCTAAAAAAATGTTTTAAATATACCTTAAAATATATTTTAGATTGAAGATTTTTAAGACATAGTTTATAATGGAGTTATTTATCCAGGTCTTAATACTCTTTTTTTTTTTTTATCTTCTTCTAATTATTAATTATCACGAATAAATTTCTCTGTATTAAATCCTATTCCATACATTTACTTTTATAAGCTTTAAGATTCTAAACTCTAAAAAGCAGAATGTTTTGTAGAGGTTGATTCTGAACCAATTTCTATAACCTAATCACTTTTGCTTAAACCTTTAGATTAAAATATTATTGGTTAAGATATGAACAATGTTTTCATCATTCTTTTAGGGTTTTTAGACTAATTAGGTAAATTCATAAAAAATAAAATAAATATAAAATAAAAAAAAGTGGATCACTTGATAAAAGTTTATTTTATAATTAAATATTTGGTTTATTTTTTCATAAAAACAAGCATGTCAACTAGATTAGTGATATAAATAACTTGATATAAATTTAAATATTAGATATGACTTATAAAATAAAGAATTAACACTTAAATGAATCAGAAATATAATTTATTTGTATTTGAAATAAATAGAATTTTCACTAAAAATAAAGTTAATTAATTAATATCATTCATAATATTGAGTAGGATGCTTTCTAAAAGATATACGATTATCTCCAAATCTCGAATTTGATGTAGAAGGTTAAGTTATAGCTGTAGATAAGCTATTATAATTGGTAGTACAAGTTGACTTAGCTCTAGGCAATCTCAGTAATGGACATTTAGATTATGGTCTTTGTTCTGCTACAGTGATCTCACGACTAAGGTTCATTAGTTTACTCAAAGGTTATAGTTTTTATTCATTTGGAATTAATTTGTCTTCAATTTATGATAAGAGTCTGCTTCTTTAACTTAAGTAATGAACCTAATTTAAAACTTTTGTAATATCCGTAGGAAAATAATTTTGAGGATTTTTTTCATTAGTTTTATTAATTAGTTTTTTGAGGAATAATTTTGATTTTTCATTTAAAACACATTATTTGAATTATTCGGTTGTTATAAAGCGGCCACTTTTAGAATTGGCTTATTTAATATATGCTGTTAATTCTTATTCATTGATAATGATTCCATATTTGTTAAGAAGGGTAAGTAATTCATATTTTAAAATTTTACCATTTCCTTCCTAATCAAATTTAGCAAATAGTAATGCTAATTCTTATTTATATTCCTGAATAGAATTAATTATATACTTCTTCCCTTGGATCTGTAATGTATTAACTATTGACAGATTTACGAAATCTTTAAAGAAGCCACTGTTTGACTGTATGAGTTCGTAATTTAAACATTAATTAATTTATGAGTCCAAAAATTGCAATAATAATAGGTCTTTTAATAAGACTAGGATTAATTGCTTATGCAGAAATATAAGATAAATATTTCAATTTGAAATATACAGACATAGATTATTCAGTATACTAATAATTTATATGTAGGTGTATTCTGATGGAGCATAATATGTTGTAGATGGAGGATCACCTTATGATAGACATACTTATAGATATTCACCTATATTAGCATATATATTAATACCAAATGTGTGGATATCATCATTTGGAAAGATTCTTTTTAGTTTTGTTGACATGTTAGCTTGTATTTTTATGTAAAAAATGGTCAAATCTACTTTTCTAATGAATTTATGGATATTCAATCCATTAACAATCTAAGTATCTACCAGAGGATCATCTGATACAATAATTGTGCTCTTAATTTATGCTATGTTGTATTTACTCAAGAAAGAGAAATATACTTGGGCTGCAATAATCTATGGTTTTATGGTACATTTACGTATCTATCCAATCATATATGCAATTCCATTGTATTTCTTTATTGATTCACATCAACCTAATAGAATGTAAAATAAATATTATAATTTTAGATATATGGGTATATTTAGTAAAAATAAAGTCAAGTTTGCTTTCATTTCAGGTGGATTATTCATTATCTTATTGATATTATTCCATTTTATTTATGAAGATTTCCTTTTCCAAACATATCTCTATCATTTCACAAGAAAAGATAATAGACATAATTTTTCACCTTATTTTTATCAAATATATTTAAGCTTTTAATCAATCACAAGAATTTAAGCAACATTAACATTCTTGCCTTAATTTTTGATTGTTATTTTAGCAGGATTAAAGTATTATAGAGATTTACCATTTGCTATGCTTATTTAAACTCTTGGCTTTGTTGTTTTTAATAAAGTCTAAACAGCTCAATATTTTGTTTGGTGGATAGCTCTTATTCCATTAGCACTTCAAAATACAAAAATGAATAATAAAGAAATATTGATGTTATCAATTATTTGGTTAATTTTAGAAATTCAATGGAATTTTGGATCCTATTATCTTGAAATACAAGGATAAGATGTATTTACAATGATCTTTATTTAATGTATAATATTCTTCTTGTCAAATACATATTTGATGATCAAAATCATTGAAAATCGCAAACCAACTGAATTCTATAAAATTAAAATGGATTGAATAACTCAAAATATCATATAAACGTCAATTATTTATATTTATTTAATTAACTCAATCCAATATATTACTTGGAGCTGTGTACTCTAATATTCTATTAAAATTCTATAAAAAGTCTCCATAACCCTCAGGAATTTACAAGTATTTAATTTAGATTAAATATTAAAGTAATAAGATATTTTTAAATCTAAAATAATGAGTAGGTGTAAGTTTATCTCTTTTCAATTAGAATATAGAAGATTAAGGTACATCTTTATTATCGTTATAACTTTTAAACTTAATACCAACTTAATCATATTCTACTTTGAGATTGTTTGCATAACAATCATGAAGGGAAGAGGATGTTCTTTCAATTATAAAGTATGCTCCTCTAGAACATAATATTTCTATCAAATCATTTGAGTTGTATTTGATTGCATATTATAAAAATGTTTAATCTTAGAACTAATGCACAGGTTTGTTAATATCCTAAAGATTAAAATTTAATTTACTTTTCCAAATTCATCGCATAATAGTTTAAAACTCTCTAAATCGTTATTTAAAAAAGCAGTTGATAGTAAAGAATATTAAGATAGTGGATGTTCAAGCAAAAGATCTTTTTTATATAAATATTTCATTAATTCTTGATTGCTATATCTAACTGCATACATAGCTATTGTCCAATAATTTGGAGCAACCAAACTTTGTATATAATCTCGATGATTCTCTATGAATTATATCAATTCTTAAGTTTTATTCTATTCAATTAAATTGAAAAGATAAGTTTTTAAGTTTTTTGGAGCAGAAATAAGACTCATTTCTGATTGGATAAATATAATATTGTGTATTAAATAAAATTATGATTTCTTTATTCTTTTGTTTGATATTTTAAGCATTCTCATATTTGAGTTTAGAATTAGGATAAACATATAATGAGTATCAAATTTAATCATAATTAGTGCTATAATACCTTGGTAAGGAGATTAAAATTACAAATATTATTAAATCGATATAAACAAGACATTTAAAGATAGAGATTTAGTAATAGTTGTGAAATAGCAATCTACTTTAGGAAACCCTGATATATATATTTCTTCTTTTGAGAAATAGCCAAATAAATAAAATTATGAGATTTAATGTAATTCTTAAGGAATGGGTAATTAAATATATAAATGGTTTTAGATATTTGTGTAATTCAATAACCCGAGATAAAGACATATTATTTGGGAATTTATTGTGAAGAATATTGTAGATATAATTTAAAAGCTGTTTATCAAGAGGAATTAATGATGACGAATTGTAATTATGATAATCTGAATAATAGTTGATATTTTAGAGTTTAAGTTAAATAGTTCAAGTTGGACTGAAATAATTAGAATAAAAATAGACAAATTAATTTAAAATTCAATTAAACAAGATTAGAATTTAGAAGTGTAAGTATAAGTGAAAAATATCGAAATATTAGAAGAATCATTTCAATCTTTTATAAATTAAGGATTGGAGAAGCCAACATAATAGATATATGATTACAGAGGAGAGGATACATATTCAGGAATTTAAAAGTTTAAGATAAATAAGATAAAATAAAATTAGACTTATACATTATTAGTAGAAGCATAATAAGGAGCAATTGTATAGATAAGAACAAGGACATATGGATAGAAAAAGTTTGTTAATGTAGGAGACTCGTTAGAAGAGATAATTTAAGAAAATGAATTTGGATTTTATGTAGTGAACATTACGTCAGATTAAGAATTATTTTTATAAGGGACATTAATTTTGAATATATAATTAATATCTTTTAAAGGATATACTGAAATGTATATCAATATGGATGAGAATCCAGCATATTTAGAAGATTATCATTGGAAATTGAAAGATGGAACAACGAATGATTTAATGATTACAAATCAAGATTTGAATCGTTTAAATGCTAAAGGATTTTATGCATATATTGTTATATAGGCTAAAGAATCAAATGCTACATTTGAATTAAAAACATAGATGTTGAATCCAGATTTTATGGTTATGGAATTGAATAAACCAGCGGTTAGTTAGATGAGCAAGTTGAAATTTCATTAAGAGAAATTTGTGATTGAAAGCAATAAAAGATAAACTGTAAGTGTTAGTCTTAGAAATATAAGAGGAGATGCAGACATTGTACTTAAATTATGTAAAGACTTTTGGAGTTGTAAATTTAGTTAAAAAGATTATAATTCAATAATTTCTAATGAATTTTATACTTATATTACTGAATAGTAATATTTATACTCTTTAAAGTAATATCAGTTTTAAATATCATAGTCCTGGAAATGATGTGATTATATTTGATTATTTTCCAGAAAATTGTTATTATTATCTTAATGTTTATAGGTGCTTCTATGCTTTAATGATTATTCCTGGATAAAATAATACTGAAGATGAATTAACATTCTCTATTTTAATAACAACAAAACAAGATTCGATTATCTTAAAAGAAAATACACCAATTAAATAATTTGTATTACATGAATTCTATAACTATTATAAATTTACAGTGAATGATGATGATTATATTAAAAGACTCTTTATCTAATTAACTCCTATTTAAGGTCAACCAAAGATATTTTCATCAAAGAGTGAAATATATCCTACCAAAGAACAAAATGACAATTAAGGTATTTAGAATGTAATTACTTATGGAAGTAAAGATAATGGAGCAACATAAATTAAAGGAAATATTTATATTTGTGTCTATGGGGAAACAGCTAGTTCTTATATTATTACTGCTATTGTATTCAGAAAATAAGAAGATTGGGGAACTATTGGAAAATATGCACACTAATATATTCAACTAATTGAAGGTTATCCATAAGAAATTACTACTAATTATTCATAAGATGTTTAACTCTTCAAAATTGATCTAAGTGGATATAGTGATTAAGAATCAGTTAAAGTTTATATGAGAATTAATTCAGGGGAATTTATTATCTATGGATTTGATCATCCAGAAATTGATATTAACAAAGCTTTTCTTAAAGGATCAAATTAATTATTACTCAATCAATACGACACTAGAATTCCCTAATTTTTATATGTAAGAGTCTAAACTAATTCTAACACTTCTTATTCTCTATATTCATATTCAATAAATTATAGAGTTAGATCTTAACCTATTGAATTAGTCTTAGGAGATAATTATTAAGGTTTTATTGAAAATTATGATAAACAATCCTTCTTTGTAAATATTTACAAAAAGGAAGACGTATTTATCAATCTACATGCTGAAAACATAGATCAATCTATTTTATCTGCTAATGTTTTTGTTTCAAATGATATCATAGAAATGAAATCTTAAAATATGATAATTACTGTTAATTAACTCCAATACGAAAAATGTCAAAAAACTTAAGAAATTGTTTCATGTCAAATTGCTATTTATGTAGAATCAATTTAAGATACTTAATTTTCATTATTGATTTCAAAATCAAATTCAATTATAAAACTTTATAATGAAGAATCAATTACAAAAACATTAACAAATGATTACGATTATTTCACATTTTTATTAACTGAAGAAACAGAAATTGCAATATTTTCTATCACAGCAAATATTAGAATTTTAGTTAATATTGTAGAATTAGATTCACCAACTTTAGAACAATTTCCAACTAATGATAATAATTCATAATTCTAATCCCTAAATGATTAAATTGAAATAGAAAGTAATGTCTTTATATCATTGGGTGAAATTCAAAAAGCAAATTGTGATCGTGTTCCTTGTTATGCTGCAGTTACATGTACTATTGCAAATTCATCAAATAAAAATAATTAAGAATATACTATCATTCGAACTTCAGGAGCATTTAAATTATTTGAAGGTTTTGTTTATACTGGAAAAATTAAAAAAAATTAAATAAAATATTTCAAAGTTGATAATGTTAATGAAGCAATTGGTTTATAAATAATTGCTACTACATTAGGAAAAAAGAAAATCCTATTATTTGCAAGTATTAATTAAATGCCTACTTAACAAATTCATGATTTTACATCCAGTTTCAATATTGGAGACTTTTTAATAATTCCACCAAAAAAGGATTCTTTTTAAATTGTTACTTATTAGTATTTAATATTTTTATTATTCTAGTATTGGTGTTTAAGCTTATGAAGAATTATCGATATCAATTTAAGTGAAAATGGGAAATACACGTTTTTATCATATAAAAGTCTAAAGACCATTTCTAGTTAGTTTGCCAAAAGATTCAAAAACTTATTTAACATTTTATAATAATCATTAAACTGAATTTAGTATTTTAATAAGTTCTAATGTTTTAACTTAGTATTAAAAACCTAAAATACATATTAGAGCATATTAAATTAATCAATAATCAGAAGTGATGAATTCAATACAAACAGAGTAATTTTTAATAATATATTCAGATATGACTGGAAAATGGATGACTACTATTTGGAAATCACAAGTGATTAATAGAATTACTGTTCCTACTGTTATTATTTGATTTATATGGAAAACAATTATTAGGAAGTAGAGATCACAATCACAATAGCATTAAAAGAATTTCCGATATATTTATAGGATAATGTGGAGTTGAGAAATTAAATCAAAACTAATTAGTCTTAGCATTATATTTATTTTCCACTTTATATGAATGAATTTTATTTGAATGTAACTGTTTTTAAGGGTTAAATTTATTTATTTGATTAAAAAGATGGTTCAGATAATAATTATTCTCAATTGCGTCTTATTCTTAGTGATGAAGATGGAATATATGATTAGTTTAATTAATAAATAGCTAGTCGTGAAGGAATTTATGCTAATCGAAGTTTATATATAAATCATGTCAATTTGTAAAATAATCTTTCCTTCTATAATTTAAAAGTATACTCTAATTTCACAAGTAAATCAATATATTAAGTTGAAATCATAAATAAATAANAGCATTTAAATTATTTGAAGGTTTTGTTTATACTGGAAAAATTAAAAAAAATTAAATAAAATATTTCAAAGTTGATAATGTTAATGAAGCAATTGGTTTATAAATAATTGCTACTACATTAGGAAAAAAGAAAATCCTATTATTTGCAAGTATTAATTAAATGCCTACTTAACAAATTCATGATTTTACATCCAGTTTCAATATTGGAGACTTTTTAATAATTCCACCAAAAAAGGATTCTTTTTAAATTGTTACTTATTAGTATTTAATATTTTTATTATTCTAGTATTGGTGTTTAAGCTTATGAAGAATTATCGATATCAATTTAAGTGAAAATGGGAAATACACGTTTTTATCATATAAAAGTCTAAAGACCATTTCTAGTTAGTTTGCCAAAAGATTCAAAAACTTATTTAACATTTTATAATAATCATTAAACTGAATTTAGTATTTTAATAAGTTCTAATGTTTTAACTTAGTATTAAAAACCTAAAATACATATTAGAGCATATTAAATTAATCAATAATCAGAAGTGATGAATTCAATACAAACAGAGTAATTTTTAATAATATATTCAGATATGACTGGAAAATGGATGACTACTATTTGGAAATCACAAGTGATTAATAGAATTACTGTTCCTACTGTTATTATTTGATTTATATGGAAAACAATTATTAGGAAGTAGAGATCACAATCACAATAGCATTAAAAGAATTTCCGATATATTTATAGGATAATGTGGAGTTGAGAAATTAAATCAAAACTAATTAGTCTTAGCATTATATTTATTTTCCACTTTATATGAATGAATTTTATTTGAATGTAACTGTTTTTAAGGGTTAAATTTATTTATTTGATTAAAAAGATGGTTCAGATAATAATTATTCTCAATTGCGTCTTATTCTTAGTGATGAAGATGGAATATATGATTAGTTTAATTAATAAATAGCTAGTCGTGAAGGAATTTATGCTAATCGAAGTTTATATATAAATCATGTCAATTTGTAAAATAATCTTTCCTTCTATAATTTAAAAGTATACTCTAATTTCACAAGTAAATCAATATATTAAGTTGAAATCATAAATAAATAATAAGCTATTGAATTAAAAGTAGGATAACCATAAAATTTTAGAATCGACTCATAAAATAAAATATAATTATTCTTTGTTATTCCATAAGGAACTAATGATTAAGATTATTATTCAATTACAATTGAAGTTCAATATCTCTTTAAATAAAGAAATGTGCTTATGCCTGAATTCACATTAAAACAAGATAAATACAATAACCCTGATCTACTATCCAACTATCATGATTTTGTTAATGTTCAGATATCTGTTTTATAAGAATTAGATAAATTAATTTATATCTAAATACCTAGTATACCAGGACTCTACTTTCTTACTTTGAATCCAAAAGATATTCTTCATTTATTTTACTCTATAATTTTAGGTAATAGAGATTAAAACATCTTAACACCAAAATCATAAAGATTAGCCAGAACAAAAGTTGGTGAACAAAAAATATGGGAAATTCATATCGAGGAAATCTCTTAACTTTTTTTACAAATTTAATTATGTGGAGGAATAGTCAATGCATTTGGAAGTTCATCCAGAGATGAATTAATTAATGGATTTTATATGGATAAAATAGAACATATAAAAAATAAATAATTGATTGGAACAATTCCTTCTATAAATCCTTAAATTTATTACTTAAATACTTAAACTATTAAAAGTACTACATAAAATGATTTGGTTTCATATATATTAAAAATTGACATTCTAAAAAATGATACAATTATACCTATTGATCATTTTTATCCAGGGGAAGATGGAGAATTTACAATTATTAAAATTAATAATGAATTGCATTTTTAATACTCCCCTATTTAATTTTCTGAAAAGTCTAGTTAAGATTATTTATTAGAAAGTATCACTTATACATTTTTATATTAAATATATAAATAAAATGATACTTCAATATTTGATAAATGTAATCAACACAAAAATTATAAATCATTTACATAACGAAGGATTGAACATGACCCTACAAATCCACTTTAATATTAAATTAAAATAGAAGAAATTGATTTTGAAAAACTATTAACTACAATATAAGCCTCAGGTAATTAATATAATTATTTTAGTAAATATAAGAACCAATAATTATGAGTAAATACAATTTACATACTATTATAAAGTAAAAACTCTAGAATTAAATACACTCTTATCCAATCATATTGAAGATGAAAAAACCAATGCTTATTTTATCATAATACTTGCGGTATTATTATTTATATTTTTCTTATTGGCTATGAGGTACCGAAATCTTAGATAAATGTAAATATTTTATTTATTTTATAGTGCTAAATTTGAAGCCTACACTGACAAACCTAATACTAAATTTGAAGAATCAATTGAAATGAATTTGGCAAATTATGCAAATATTAAGTGATTTCAAACTTCGTAAACTATATATATTATAACATTATTTAGTTATAAAAATATAAATAAATTAAACTAATTATTTGAATACAATAATGTGTTTATACATTTAAATAATATATATAAAGGGTTTTAAATTAATAAAAATCTAAATGAATCTGCAAATTTTCAATCAAATAACAATAGCTGCATCAAAGTTTTGGAAAAACGAACTTATTCCTTCAAATAAAATTGAAAAAGAAATATCTACTAAATGTGGTTGTCATGATATAGAGCCATCTTTGCTAGAAATTTCAACAAAAAAAATTCAATCATATTTATTTTCTTAAGAAGAAGACATAAAGAAATGTGAAAATTCTTGATAAAATTTATTGATAATTTCAATTTGTTAACATATACATATAGCTATACATATACATATATTAACAATCAGCAAGAATAATTATTTTTTATTATATATAAATATAATAATATTATGTGAGATCAGAATTTGAAGATGTGTAGAAAGTTTATAAAATAAATATTCTTATTAAATTAATTAAGTTGATTTAAATAAATAAAACTTGTTTTCTTGTTTGAAACCAACAGATAAATTAGTTGTTTTTTTTCATTAATTAAATTATAAGAGATGGTAAAATAAGAATAATAATGAATAATGAAGTATAAGGAAGACAATAAGAAATGAATGATTATAAAATATAGATAATTGTGTTGATTATAAGAGTTATTTTAACATTCATATTCATTAAATTGATTACAAAAATCAGTCTTAAGATTCTGACATTTAAGAGTCTAATTCTTTATCTGAATGTTATTGATCATCATCATCATCATTAATATCATCTTCTTCATGAATTTTTTCAGCATAGAGTGACTCTTATTTATGTTATATACCAACAAGTTTTTCTAAGTCCATTATTCTTTTATGCGAGAAGAGAATAGATTATCTAAATAAATGAGATAGATTATTACTAAATTTATAGTTTTTCTCTATTTAATGCTTCTATTTCTCTCATAAGTTTATAATTCTCATTTTTTTCCTCATGTAATTTTTCTTTGAGTTTTCCATGAAAAACTTTGAGCATAGGTTATAATTCTCTAATATTGGTAATATTATCATTATTGATTTTTTCATTCATAGCTTTTAATTCTTCCTAGATTTAGTGTATATTGATTACTTCTGTTTTTTTGATTAATTCTTTATACTCAGCTAATGAATCTTAAAGCTATTTGATAGATGTAGTATAGAGTGTACTCATGGCAGCTACATTATCACTTGCACTCATTCTTGTTTTGTATTTTTCATCAAGATTAACAAACTATTTGGATTTCTCATCATAGATATCTGGAGGTTCATACAATTATCCCATTCCAGCTCTGGCAAGTACATGAGATACAGATTTACTGACTTCATCTCCTTGGAGTAGCTAAGCTGTTACATTATCAAACCTTAAGAGATTTTTAATTTGTTAACATAATGTCTTTTGGAAGGTAAGGACCATTATTCTATCCAAGATTAAGACTGTATAATCCTCCTTATTTACTAGGCTTATCTTAAGTTCTCATAAATATTAATAAATATAATATTTTAATATGTCATTAAAATATATTGTCTTTAAAGTAGTTTTCTTTTGTTCTCTGGGTTAGTTGATGAGTATTTTAGGGTCGTTTTTCATATACTGATCTTTGGATACCTCTTTTTTATTATTCTTTTGATGGTATATCAAACTATTCTTATTTTTCATAATAAAGATCAGGATCATATGATTTTGGAATGAATGGAGCTCTTTTTGGATGTTATATAGGTTCAGATAATTTATCTCTCATCTAAATATAATATTGATAAAATAAATACATTTTCACTATCATAATTCGGTAGATGATAATTTGGAGTATCAAATTCAGATGGATGTTTATGAGTTTATTAAAAATCAGGATGATTAGGTTATTTTCTAGGAGGTCTTTAATAATAATTTTATTCTTATTCATCTTCAATTTAATCCTTATAATATTATTCTGGAATAAATGGAGCAGGTCTAGATTAAGGTGGATGAGGTAATAAAGGTGGTTATTATGGATGAATTGAATGTTATTATTATTAATGAACATTAAATGACTATTTAGGCATTTATTATATTTATGGTACTTAAGGATTTAAATGAGGAGGAGGAAATTGATTGAATTGAGGAGCTATTTAATTTTAATAAGCAGGTGGAGGTGGTGGTGAATCAAATTATGGAGGTGGTGGTGGTGGTGGTAATTAAGGAGAATTCATAGGAATTTATGGATGAAATTAATGAGGAGGAGGTGAAGGCATAGTCATAGCAGGAAAGTCTTTTGGAGTATAATTAAATGGTTATAATGGAAGATGAGGAGGTGGAGGTGGTATTGGAATTTCTGTTGGTTTATTCAATATTCTTGGAGGTGATTATTAAGGTTATGATCTAATTGTTGTTAATGGAATTTATTAATATGTTTAATAAGTTTATTATTATGGCATCCTAGTCATTTAAGCATTTGTATGAATCAATTATAATTAAGGTGGTCTTGGAATTACTGTCTATTATAAAATTGGAGGTTATTAAACAACTGTTGGAACCATATGTACTTCTTTTGGAGGTGATAATCTAACTGTTCTCTCTGGTGATATTGTTTCTGTTGTTACTGGTACATATTCAGTTATTTCATGTGTTACAGGTACTTGAATCTTTTTTATTCTGGTTTCATATTCAATTATTTTCTTTTCCACTGGTATATATTCTGTTATTGTTTCAGGCTACAAGTTTGTAAAGTCTTATAAAGATTACTACTATTAAATCATTAAATCTTTTCTAGCTTATTCTGATTATGCTGTCTAATTCATCATCACACTTTGTAATTAATTTTACAACAAATAATTATGATGATGCATTTAAAGCATCTATTAGAATTAATCATTCCATTATTATTACATTATTTATTATTATATATTAGATGATAATTATCTTTATCTAAATTATTGATCATCATATTAATAATAAGGTTATTACTATAATTGATTTAATGGTTATTATTATTGTTATTATTATTGTTATTATTATTATTGTTATTATTGTTATTATTGTTATTGTTATTACATCTAATAATTTTGAGTTAATGGTATTTGATTTGAAATTTGTGAAAATGAAGGTGGATAGAATGTTATGGGTTATGGTTTGATACTCATCTAATTTGGCTACTATATTAATTGAGATTCAACAGTCTAACTTGTATATTGAGGCATTTAAGGCAGTTGAGACATTTGTTACGTTTATTACATTTGTTATTGTTACTGTTAATTAAATTAAATCATGCTTTTGCTAAGTTAAGTATTTTTGTTATAATTAATAAACTCATATTGTCTTTGTAATTATATTTGTTTATAAAAATATTAGTTAATCATAATACATCCCATACTCTATTGATAATATTTATAATAATGAAAAAAGACCGTCAATCATTGCTTTCAAATGAACCTTTTAAAATAGGAGATATTCCATATAAAACCTATTTAGTGTTAAGACAGCTTCAACTAGATGAACCTGAAAAACCTTAACTAGTTCATTAGCTCAACGAACATACTGTATAAGCTAAGGATTAATAGTATTAATTTAATGGAGTCTTTGTTAACAAGAACTCTAATGAAGACATATACAAAGCAGTATTTAGGGATTTAATTTCACATTTCTTAGCTGGAGAATCTCATATGATATAGATTTTAGGAGAACGACATTCTGGTAAAGCTACTTTAGCTATTGGGAATATGAGAAATCCAGGACTTGTGTTGCTTATAATGTAGGAGATCTTTAATTTTATTGAAGAGAAATTTCTTGAGAATAACATCACTATTAAAATGAGTGCATTTGAGTTTGATGAAACTGGTTTCAAAGATTTATTAGTTCTAGATTCCTAACCTTTTATGCCAGTCTTCTAGAATGGATAAAATTAATTACTTGGCATTCCAGAAGTTATCATTGATAATTATCTATTGGGAATGAAAATATTAAGAATTGCTATGGTCAATCTTATTAATAAAGAATAAAACATTCTTAGTTAAAAATTTGTAGATAGACACAAAAGAACTAATTTAATTATTGAATTAAAAGCTGAAATTAGTCCTAATGATGATATCAAAGAGTAAGTCATCATTTCTAAACTTAAAATTGTTAAATTTAGTGGAACTTTTGAATTTGGATAAATCTATAAAACAATGGCTGATCTAACTACAAAAAGAAGAAAACATGTTGATGTTCCATTCAAAAGTGTAGAATTATTAGATTATTTTCGAGATTATTTATTAAACTAAAAATAGACTGTTTTTGTTTGCATTAATAGTGATAGTGTTGAAACTGTTAAATTAGGTTCACTTATTGGATAAATAATGAATAAATCTCAATTCTTGACTTTCTCTATTTATTAACAAAATGCATAATTAAAAGATATAATGAGTAATCAATATGAATCATTAAATTTGTTTCATAAAGAGTTTAGCCAATATAATGAGAGTAAAAAGGAGAGAGGTAAAATAATCTTTAGTATTTTAATTGGAATGGCGAGTTTGTATAGGAAGATGTTAAAGTTATTTGATTAGGCTAGTGAGATTAAGTATAAGTTAAATTGTTTATATTCATAAGTAATTAGTTTTCATTGTTCCAAATATAATAATATAATTAATACAGAAGATTGTAAAGAGTTTTATTTGGCTAAAATTTAATTATATGCAATTGAATAGGTGTAAACGGTGGAATTGACATGTTAATAATTAGCAATAGAATTATTAAATGATTTATTTGTTAAGAATTAGCAATTGATAAAATTGAGAAAGGAGATGATTTAATTTGGAAAATAATTTAATAAATATTAATAATTATCTTAATATGATTTACAAAGACTTAATAATACTCATTAATTAGTAACAAAATTATTGATTATTTTTGAATAGCGTTTGGGTTATAACATACTAAATTAAATAGATTAAAAATATTATTAAATGTTTGACAATGTATTGGACATAGCATAATTATACAAGGAAGATGTTTAGATATAAAGTCAAGATGTTTAGAATTAAACACAAACTTAAACAATAAAAAAATAGACATAGATGAATACTACTAAATTTTTTAAACCTACTTTACCTAGTAAAAAAGAACCTCCTTAAAGATAAAGATTTACTGATGTTGTTTAATAATTGTTTAATGATGAAAATACAAAGGAATATTATTCAGCTAAATCAGTATTTGGATTGACAAAAATAAATGATTAACCTTAAATGAGATAGACAGTAAAATCTGAATTATTTGATAAATTGTAATCTAGATAAACAAATAATATAAAGGCAATAGTTTTAGAGGAATAGAAATATAGGTATTATATAAATTAAAAATGTTTAAGATTTTTCAGATCAACGGGAGTAGGATTTATAAAGAATTCTTATAGAAATGGAAATTTAAGAGCTTAGTCATAGATGTTACCAAGAATAGTTTAATTTGAGAGTGTTGAACAAACTAATTAGAATTAATAATTTTGATTATAATGTAAAGATAAATTTCTTTGTGTATTATAAAATAAATGGATATAAATAAATTAATAATAATAAAATGAACATAAATAACTAATTACTTAAGATGGTGCAAGATGTAAATAAATAAATATACAATTGGTAGATTTAAGTGGTTATAAAGAGTGAATTTGAAATCAAGCCTAGTTTGGATGAAATTTTGAAGACTTTGAAATAGTAGGTGGCCATTTTGATTGAATTAGTTCAATAATAAAAAGGCGTAGACTATGATTAATTGGAAAAGGCAGTATAAAAGGCAGAAGCTGAAATTCGTAATCATGTGAGAGTAAGTTCATAAATAATGTGTTAGTTAGAGTAACAAATGAAGTTATATTCAGATAGTTTATAAGAGAAGATTGATTAATTAGAGAAAGAGAAGTTGGAATTATTAGAGAAGGTAAGAAATATGTCTTAATTTTTAAGAACAAAAATTTAATAGTTAGTTAGGAGAGAAAGATATCTTCTCAAAACTAAACAAGAGAATCTAGTCCTAGTTTATTCAAAAAATCATACATTCTAGGAAATCAAGTTTACAATAGACAATAAGCTAATCAGTAAGAAGGTTGTGTATCAGTAACTTAAAATTGTGATAGTCAATAAACTAGAGATAGAAGAAGTTCTGGAACTCAACATTCATATATGATGATTAAGAATATGTAACAATATTATATATACACTAGTCGTGATAAAGTCAACATGAATGTTTCATAGGAAAAAGTTAGTGATAAAAGTTCATCTATTCTTAAATCACAAAATAGCAGTTCTTTATTGAAAATGTATAACATCTAGAAACTCATCATTAAGAATTAACAGGATAAACAATTACAACAACTAAAGAAGTAATTTTTTATCATCTTATTCAAATAAGCAAAACTATAAATTAGATTTTAGATGACTCTCAAGCTACCAAAAAGAAACCTTGATTTATTTATCGTTATCTCCATAATATAATTTATACCGTTCAATTATTTTAAATTTAAACTCAAATGTCTGAAAGAGTTAAAGTAGCAGTTCGACTTCGTCCTTTAATTGAAGAAGAATTAATTTCTAAAGATAAATCAATATGTGTTGAAACTATTGACCCTAATAAAAAACTCATCATTAGTACTTATTTCAATCATTCTTAGTTAAAAAGGATTTCGAAAAAAGACAATTTCAATTTGATTCTGTTTTTGATTCTAAGGCAACTTAAAATCAAGTTTACAATGATATAGCAAAAGGAGTTGTTGGAGTAACACTTATTATTTATCAATTTAGAGTGTAATCAAAGGCTTTAATGGCACTATATTTTGTTATGGCTAAACAGGAACAGGTAAAACATACACTATGATGGGTAAACTTGATTCAGAAGAGAAGGGAATTACTCCTCGTACTTTTGAATAAATTTTTAATGAAATTCAAGCTGATACAAATAACATATACACTGTTTAATTAGGTTATCTGCAAATCTATATGGAGATGGTATAAGTTTAAAATATATTTAAGTTATTGGATCTAATTAGACCAGATAATTAAGAAGTAAAAATTAGAGAATGTCCAGATAATGGTGTATTTGTTTCTGGATTGGAATGGATGGAAGTTGAATCTCCTTAAGAATGTTTAAGTATTATGAATTTTGCTGAAAAAAATAAAGTGGTTGCATTCACAAATTTAAATGCTCATTCTTCTAGGTCACATTCAATGTTAGTGATAAAAGTTGAAAAGAGATAATCTAAATAACATTCAAGATCAATGACAATATCTAAAAAGCCTAGTTCTAAATTATAAAATTATTCTTAAGATTTAATAACAGAAAGCGATGAAAGTATAATATCATCTGGTAATTGTGTTGGAACACTTTATCTTGTTGATTTAGCAGGAAGTGAAAGAATTAAAAAATCAAGAGCTACAGGTGATCGTTTAAGTGAAGCAAGATCGATAAACTATTCACTTACAGCATTAGGAAAATGTATACATGCTTTAACTGGACCAAAAACAACCTTTGTTCCATTTCGAGATTCTAAATTAACTAGAATTCTATAAGATGCACTTGGAGGTAATTGTAAAACTGCTTTAATTGTGAATATTGGTCCTGCTGGTAAACATGTTGAAGAAACTCTATCTAGTCTTACTTTTGGTATGAGAGCTATGAAAGTCACTAATACACCATAAATTAATCAAAATGTTGATTATGAAGTAATTCTTTTATTTATTAATAGCAATTGACTTAACAACTTAAGATTGAAATTGAAATGAAAGAGGAAATCATACAAAAATTAGAATAATAATAAGCTAAATTGTTGTAGTAAGTTAAAATTGAACCTTCTTGCAATCTTACTAATTCAGATCATTAATATAAAGCTAAATTAGAAAAGGCTGAAGAGGAACATAAAGCATTTCTAGAAGAAATAGATAATATGATGGTTGAATAAGAATAAGAAAATGAAGAACTCAAAAAATAATTAGCTCATGTTATGTTAGAATTAGAGGATTCTAAAAATAGAGAATAATCATTAGAATAAGAAATAGAAGACTTTAAAAATACTCAATAACAATTAGAAAATGAATTAGAAGAAGCTCTAAATAATGTATATTTATATTTCATTAATCTTTTAGAAAAATGAATTTACTGATACTATTAATTAATTACAATAAAAATTAGAGATGAAAGAAAAAGAAATTTAAGAACTTAAGTAATCCACAGGATTTTCTATTAAAAATAATGATATTATTAACATATCTAAAGAAAAATAGAATCAAATGTGGAGATCAGAATTACAATAGATAACTTCATAATATGCTAATAAATTAGAAGAAGTTAAAAGATTAGAGCTTTAATAAGAAGAAAAAGAAAATAATAATATACTAGAATTTAAATAACGTAATGAAGAACTTATATTATAACTCAAATAATATAAATACGAAATTTCTCAATTAAAAGAATAACAATAACAATTAATCTAAACCAATTAACAACTTGATCAATGTTTGCAAAAATAAAAGGAACGTTGTTAAGAGGAATCTACTTTATTAGAACAAATTAAAGATCTTGAAACAGTTAATAATGAGATTACGAAAAGATTAGAATAATATGAAATTAAATTAAAGAAATAAAAAGATCAATAAGAATAAAATGAATTCTCTTATTAATAAGAATTAGAAACTAAAAATGAACATCTAAATAAAATTTAAATAGAATATTTTGAAATATAGAAGTAAATTGCTCAAATTAAAGATTAATATTCAACAATTTAAAATATTAATTCATAAAAGTTTAAATAATTGAATCATGAAAACTAGATTTTAATAAATAAAAATGCAGATTATTAATTGTAAGTTTAATAATTAGTTGAAAAAAATAATGATCTTTAAATATAATTACAATAAAGTAAAATATATTAATATAACAATAATACTTAATACTTAAATAGTTCTAAACTTGAATATTAGACTAATTAATCATATGTTAATGAACAAAATTTTGAAATTGAATTAAAAAAATCAATTACAGTTTCAGGAGTTAATGAAGGTCAAATTGTTTATGAAATGTAAGTGCGAATCCAATAATTAGAAGTTTTGATTGAATAATAATAAACATAGATAGAACAAAAAGAAAATATAATAGATGAACTTTAGATGAAATGTTCGTAAACATAAAAAGAAGCAGATCAATTAAAGTGTTAGATGGAATCTTTCTCTAAAAGATCTTAATAATCATTATAAAGAATGGAAGAAACCATGTGTTAAGAAGTAGTGAGAAATATTTTAGAAAAGATGGTTATTTAGGTTGAATTGAATTCTTTTGAATCTGATGATATTAGTAGTCGTGCTCCAGATAGTGATTTAAAACTTTAAATGAAATCATTTTCTAAATAAGACAATGCTTAATTAGTTGAAAGTTTATTTATAAATTCTAGACAAAGTTAACATAATGCTATAGTTGAATGTGATGAGGAAGAAGATAATTCATCAGAAATAGATTATTAATTACCAAAATTTAGTTAATCTGGTAAGAAGATTTAATAAAAATTGAGAATGTCAAAAAGTCGACAAGATTCTGTTTTTTCTTTTAGTGAAAAATAATAAAAAAAAGATGCTGTATCTCTTTATGATGATTTAAGTGAAATTAATCAATAATTTGATGTATAAAGTCCAAGATCATAATTGGATGAAATTTAATTTTAAATAGATTTTAATGATGCAAATGCAGTAGATAAATTTATGTCTTAAATTAAAAAGAAATAAGTCTCATTAATATAACATAATGATTTATCATTAGGTTCAATATAATAAGCTCATAGTCCTTAGAATATAGAAAGTTAGAGCGAAAAGAAAGCGAAATTAAATTCAAGGTAAATAATATTATTAATAATTTTAGAATTGGAAATGATGAATTACAAGAAGTGATTAAAGTAATGGCTTAAATGTTAGTTGAAAAAAGTAAGAATGAATATACAGTAACTAGCAATACAATGGAAACTTTGAGATCATCATTATTAGACTTTAATAATTTGTGCAACACTTTAACAACATATTTTTTGTGAAAAAATTTAGTTTTATTTATTTTTTTTGATTAAACAATTTTATGATTATTAAATAAGCATTGATATTAATTATTTTTTTTGCAATAGAACTTGATTTATCAATAAGCAGTTAAAAATTATTAATTGATATATATATATATATATATTTACATTAGTATTCACACTTTAAAAATATATCATAAATTGGCTTCTTCATCTAATTTTTGTCTTTTTAATCCAATTTAATCTAAAAGTTACATAGATAAATTTGATATTTCTTTGTTATCATCACTTAAACTGTTCATTAAAATTAGAATCAGATTATTTTCATAACTATTTAGATTTTGAATAGAAAAATGCATTAATAATTCTGAGACTGCAATTAAAGTTCCTTTTCTAACATCAGAAGATTTATCCAAAGAGAGATTTCTTAAATTATTTAAAACAATTTCTAAAAAAGTTCCATTTGTTCTGCTAAGAAGAATTGGAGCTATACTCTAAAGAATAAATAATAAATTATTACATCGACTGTTGCTTTTCTAATTTTAGTATGGGCATGTTACATATTTTAATTTAATGATTTAACTGCTTCTCCCATATATTCACCAATAGGTAATTTTTTTGAAATTTCAGCTGCAAATATAGCTGCATCCTATTTTATTATATTTTATAATACTTTTTTAACTTCTGGAAAGTTATCTTAAAGAGCTTTGCCAATCATATGTGCTAATCTTTATAAATTATTTGAGTAAGCTTCTATATGCTTTACTTAGATTTGATGTAACAATTTTATCAATGCTAATCTAATTTCTTCACTAGTTTCTGCAAATGGTAATTAATTGAGACGATTAATTATTGTATCAACAATTAATCTGAGAGTCTCTGTATTATAATGTTAATCATGAAGATTAAGATAATTTAACACTATATTTATACAAGTTTCTCTATTTCTCTCTACTTAATCTTCAAATACTCTTAAGAGATTTTTAAGTGCATAAGCATCAAAAATATATATACGCTCTAAAACATTCTATTTAATTTTGAAGAAATCCTAAAGTTTTGTTAATCCTTATTTTCTTAGATTTCTATCCTAAAATCTAAGTAAAATTGCTCACCTGATCGATTATGCAATTAATATCTCTTTAAAGTAATTTTATTTAATCTTCAACGAAACTTCGATCGATATTTGGTTCGGTAAGCATCTAATATAAACTATTTTAATAAATATCAAATCCATTAATAAAAATTGATTTTTAATATACTATAAGATAAACTTTAAAATATAGTAATGTTAATATTTTTTATGATATCTAAATTACTCTAAAAGATATAAAAAAATCATGATTTATATAATTGTGAATAATAAATAAGTATTTTAACTTCAAAACATAGTTGTTTAATTAACAGAATCTAAAACTGTTTTTAAATAAGGAAGATTGTTAATGTCTTTGTTTTCTTAACTTTTATTAATGACTTCCGTGGTTGCATTAATACTCATAATTCTATCTCTTTCAACTCTATATGTTTCACTTAGTGAATTCTTTTTCATAAAGTTGATATTTTTATTAGGATTGACTTTCTAATGTTAAAATTAAGTATTCTTTCTTTATATTTATTTTGGTGATACACTTTTATATATTTATTTAAGTTCTGTATTTTTATGATGAACTTTAGGTAAGAGTGGTTTGAGTGCAAATTAATCATTTCCTTCTTATTATTATAATATATTATTGTATTTTTTGATAATTTCTTCTAAAGTATGTCTTAAATGATGATCTTAAGGAAGACATTATTCTGATAATTATAATGCTGATTAAAATATTTTTTTGGATTCAAATTACAATTTTAAATGTTCCATTTCAACTCCTAAATTATGATATGCAACAACTAAAATAGACATTCTTTCTTAAATTTTCTTATTTTCATTACAATTAGATTTAACAGAATTTACAAATTAAACACTTGATTATCTAGATGGAAAACCTAAAATAAAAATAGAAAAAATACTTGGTTCTTAATCTTATTTTATTTCTTGTTTTTGTAATGATTAAACAAGTAATTAATGTTATAACATAATGATAGATAAGTATATGTGTTGAATAGCTTCGTCATGTCTTTCTAATTAAGAAAGAACTGCACATAGATTAAGGTAAATGTCTGGAAGTGAAGTTGATTATTTTTATCTAAATTAAAAGTTATAATCATTACTGTAATTCTATTTATAATGCTTATTGTAAATATTAAAGAGCTGTTCTGCTTTTACCCATCTTTCTATAATAACATGCCAAATTATTAAAAGTTTGAACCTATGTTATCGTTAAATGAAACCTTTAATTCTGGTACATAAATTGTAGTAACTTCTGCTTTTTTTAAATATTCAATGCATTATTCAAAATTTGATTTTTATAAAGCTAAAAGTCCTTGTTGATTTAATAATTTGCATAATGTTTGATTGTATTTCATCATCTAAAAATTACGTTAATTAGAATCGCTTACTGTTAAATCATCAAAACCATATAGAGTAGTTCTCTATAGAATAGAGCTTTCTAATTATTAGATATATTTCTCTATCTTTCCTTCACTTAGATTTGTAATATCTATATTCTCTTTGTCTGACATTAAATTAAATAAATAAATGAGTTCTCCAGATACCAATTCTAATCGACATCAAACTAAAAAAAGGACAAAACTTGATTCTAATAAATCCTACTCCTTCTATGATTCTTTTGTGACAAGAAAGGACATCATTAAATTGGCCTCCTTAGAAACATAAAACTAATAAAAAGAATTTCTTAAAACTGTCATCATACGATTCGAAGTAGGTCATAAAAAAGGAGGAGTATTTACATTCCCAGTTTATGAGCTTATCTCTTTTCAATATTACTAAACCTAAACAATTTCTAAAGTCAATTTTTAAACATTTATTATTAGGCCACAGAAGAATCATAATAACAATGTAAATTAGCTGTCTTCTCAGAATACCTATTATAAATGTACAATTTTCTTAAAAATTATACATTTGAATAAAAATCAGCCTTTATGTCATTAGGATTTTACATTTTTGTAGAAAGTTTAGAACGTAAAATTACATAAATTGATTCATATGAGATATTCAAAAAGTTATTAAGACCTAAGATCTTACTTACAAATACCTACAATTTACCTATATTTACTCAAGAACATATCATGGAATTCAATAAATTTATGACTAATTATTTTTACAGGTGAATTACTTATCTTAATATAGATATTATTCATTGTATGAATTAAGAATGACCACTTATTAAGAAGTCAATATATTTGGTAGATTAAAAGGTGAAAATCCAGTTTAAATTGAAAAGGATGAAGATAAAGATTCTATTTAAGAAGAAGATGAATTTAATTTTAAAGATGTAGAAGTTCATTTAGATGATGAAATCTAACCTGAACAAGAAGTTAAAAAAATTAATGAAAAAGATGAAGAATAAATTGAAAAGTTATTGGAATAATACAAATTAAATTGGAACAATAGATTAGATGGTTCTTAATTATTGTAAGAAGCTGAAAAAATATTAACAAAGAAAAAATGATCAAGTTACATTATATTTATTTTTTTATTTATTTTACTTGTAATCTTTAGAACATCCCTTTATAACTAATCATAGACACATATTCTTGATATTTTTTCCACTATAATAAAATATTTGTATTATCATCTTATTCATTAAAAATTAAATCATATTTATCTACCTCTATAATGCTCCAATCAAATTCTTAATATCATTTAATAAATAAGGCATTTAAGTGTTACACCCATAAGCTTCAGCATTTTTGTAAATCCAATTTCTTTTAATTCCAAATTTAATTTAATGTAAAATCTTTATTAAAATAGGGAATTTATATTACAATAATTCTTGCCATTAATTGTAGATTTCATATTTCTATATCCAAATTCTTTTAATATATTTTTATGTCATATGAAATTATAAAGCAAAAAATAACGTCCATTATTTATTGTATATTTAATTTAACATTACTTAATAATAATATTAGAAAAACACAAACCCTTAGATTGTAATTAGAATATTTATAAAAAAAATTAGGCCATTATTGATTTCTATTTAAAAATAAAAGAAATTATAAATAATTAACATAATATTTACATTCTGTAAATTTGATTCTATGCCATTAATTCTGAAAAATTTATATAATAAATTTTTAGCTATATTTAACAGTTTGAAAGTGCAAAATTTTAAATGCCATTAATATAATAGGAAAATTTTTAAAGTTCATCATGAATATGAAGAAGAAGACTTAAAATTTTAGTATTCCTATATAAATTAAATACATTATAGAAATAAAAATAATAAATTTTTAAATCATTTTAACAAGTTTTTTAATTTAAATTTACAGTTTTTAAATAAAGGTTCTTTATTTGTTTTAAGTTTTTAAGAGACAGGATTTATTTACGATATAAAATTAAAGTAATCGCTTGTTTAATGTACAATATTTTATAATTAACTATTTTATTTTTAAGCATACAACATACTCTATATACATTTTTATCGATATTGACTAGTTGAGTTTTTTCTAGAAGATTTATGCGGTGTCGTTATAATAATCCTTTACACAATTTTAGGATGACTAGAATTATGAGCAGGTATTCCTAGATCTACAAAGAAATTCTTTTGCTAACAACTATTAGGTTTTTAAGGTGTAATTGGTGTTTCTGTAGTTACTTATCTAGCTTGAATACGAGATATTGGATATTTAAATGTTATCAATTTGGTTTTTTAATTGCTTTTTTTTACAGGACTAATAGGGGCATCCCAAGGTTCTGCTACAAACTCAGTTTCGAATTTCTTAAAAAATTTATTTGTTAGCGGCATTTACATAATCTCTCTTGTTGTATTCTCCAAATTTAACAAATCAACTTGAGGACCTTGAGACATCTTATATTTATATTATTGTTTATTAAATCATATAATAATTCTTAATTTTAATAAATAATAAATTTATATATAGATCAAGATGTTGAACCATTTTTATTATATCATTTAATATAAAAAATAACTCAATTTCCCTTTGATCTATTTTTTAATTTTCAATTAAATAGATATTCATAATTAAAGACTTTCAAATATATTTAATAATATTTTATGTCACTATTTTAAACCTAATTTTTTATTTGATCACAATCCAACTTTATTAAATTTAAAATTCATAAAATTATATGAATTCATCAAAAACTTTAGTAATTAGATTTTATAGCAAGTTTACTTTTTTCATTCAAAATTTATAAAGAATAAAAGTCAAACTAAGCCTTTTATTTTAAATTATAATTATGAATGTAAATTATTATCAAATATATTTTTATAAAATTGATTTTCTGACAAATGAATCCTCTTATACTTAAGAAAATATCATAAATAAAATTTTGTCTTAATTTTATTTTATATTCTTTGCATTTTCACCAAAATATTCAAACAATTTTATAAATTTGAATTTAGATGTTTATAATTTTAGTTTTAAAGATAATATTTCTATTTAATAAATATGTTTAACATTTATTGGTCAAAAAAAAAAGTAAAATATTGATTTAATTTTTTTCATTCAAAAGAAAAATNCAACATACTCTATATACATTTTTATCGATATTGACTAGTTGAGTTTTTTCTAGAAGATTTATGCGGTGTCGTTATAATAATCCTTTACACAATTTTAGGATGACTAGAATTATGAGCAGGTATTCCTAGATCTACAAAGAAATTCTTTTGCTAACAACTATTAGGTTTTTAAGGTGTAATTGGTGTTTCTGTAGTTACTTATCTAGCTTGAATACGAGATATTGGATATTTAAATGTTATCAATTTGGTTTTTTAATTGCTTTTTTTTACAGGACTAATAGGGGCATCCCAAGGTTCTGCTACAAACTCAGTTTCGAATTTCTTAAAAAATTTATTTGTTAGCGGCATTTACATAATCTCTCTTGTTGTATTCTCCAAATTTAACAAATCAACTTGAGGACCTTGAGACATCTTATATTTATATTATTGTTTATTAAATCATATAATAATTCTTAATTTTAATAAATAATAAATTTATATATAGATCAAGATGTTGAACCATTTTTATTATATCATTTAATATAAAAAATAACTCAATTTCCCTTTGATCTATTTTTTAATTTTCAATTAAATAGATATTCATAATTAAAGACTTTCAAATATATTTAATAATATTTTATGTCACTATTTTAAACCTAATTTTTTATTTGATCACAATCCAACTTTATTAAATTTAAAATTCATAAAATTATATGAATTCATCAAAAACTTTAGTAATTAGATTTTATAGCAAGTTTACTTTTTTCATTCAAAATTTATAAAGAATAAAAGTCAAACTAAGCCTTTTATTTTAAATTATAATTATGAATGTAAATTATTATCAAATATATTTTTATAAAATTGATTTTCTGACAAATGAATCCTCTTATACTTAAGAAAATATCATAAATAAAATTTTGTCTTAATTTTATTTTATATTCTTTGCATTTTCACCAAAATATTCAAACAATTTTATAAATTTGAATTTAGATGTTTATAATTTTAGTTTTAAAGATAATATTTCTATTTAATAAATATGTTTAACATTTATTGGTCAAAAAAAAAAGTAAAATATTGATTTAATTTTTTTCATTCAAAAGAAAAATTCTATTTATCTCAAATATCATCTTAAGATTTCTATAAACTCTTTTTTTTAGATTTAATTTTAATAAAAATATTGAATAAAAGTTTATCTTTTTGTTTTAATTTATTAAATTATAATTACCAATAATCATCATTTTCTAACTCTTAAAATTAATTAACAAAAAGATTTTAATTTTTGAATTTGTTTTTTCATATTGAGCAATTTGTTTTATCTAAAAAATTATTTAACCTCCATAACTATTACTTTTCAGTATAAAAAATCTATTTTAAGCAATATAAAAAAATGATATCATTTTTTTAACTTACATTCAAATAATAACATAGAATACTTTACAAACATAAGAATTTTATTAGCATCTCCTAAAAATAATGCTTGTAACTACATCATCTGTACGTAATAATCTATTACTTTCCCTTTCAAAACTTAATGTGTGTCTATTATTTCGAAATCAACGACTTCTAGAAATTTCAGGTTCATTTTAAAATGATGGCTAGATCTTAAAAACAACTTTGTAAATTTAAATTTATTAATTTGACTTTGAATATTTTTTTGTAATACAATAATAACCTTATTAAATAAAGAAATAAGGATATAAATTATCTAAAATTTTCAAAGCCAAAATAAGATAATTAAAATTAATAATAAATTAAATAAAATAAATAATAAATAATATTATTCAAATTATTATAAAGCAGTTTAATTTTAATCATTATGTTTTAAGCTATTCTATTCTTTTAGTGTCTATTGTTTCATCATCTGAAAATAAATTTGTATCTGTCATCATTTTTATGCTATATTTTCTTTTAATATTTATTTGCTTTTCCTTAGTTTTTACAACAAGATTTTAATAATTTTACTAAATTTTTCCATCATATTGTTCATTTTCTTATTATTCTATATTGTTTAAATTTAATATTTGAGATTATTATTTTGGTATTACCCTAATATTCTTCATTTATTCATTAATTGCTTAATTCACAAGATCTTTATATGCTTTTTCCATTTCTTTTGCAATATCATTAGCTTCATCTTGTAATAACTATTTTTGATCATTAAAATAATCAATCAATTCTTGTGTTAGTAATTCTTTTAACAATGATCCACTTAGAGGAGGTAAATCTTTCCACACTATTATTCTTCCACATCCGAATGAGTTTTACTAATTATTTTCTTGATTTATTAGCATCTTAATGTCATTAATCATGATTTATAATTATGCTTCATTCATATTTGTTTCCAAATCACTAAAGCTTTAATTTTCAAAATTATCATATAAATATTATCGAATTATCCTTTTTAAAAAAAAATGTTTATTACTTTGGCTAAATATATTATTCAATAACACATCATTATTCAAAGAATCATATAAAATCCAAACAATATTCTAATTTTATATTATTGCTAATTTATTTTTATCTCTTTTCTCTTACTCAATCTCAAAATCAAAATCAACAGAATCATTTTTTACTATTAATTTGTAGGAATTGTCATTATAATTTTACCACAATAACTTATCAAAAGAGGAGTTTACTCTATTACCACAAGTAGTTTCAGTATCACATCCAATCACTTTTATCCAGACCAATCCACAATAAGGACATTGTCTAATCCAATTATAGCAGTGATTTTAAGATTGTTTCATTTTTTCTTGGGTCTTTTGAATAACTTTTTCAATATCCAATCTAAGTTCTTTTTTAAGATAAATATGATATAGATATCTTACATTGACTCCATCTTTATCATAGATTTCATTCATATAATCTCCATATTGTTTCTCAAATTTTTCAACAAATTCATTTGCAATGTCTTTAATTCCTAATGATAAACAATGTAATTTATCTATTAAATTAGGATCATCTAATTTTAAAGATTCTATAAACTTTAAAAATGAAATTTAAATTTTCCTAAAACCATTCTTTATTTTTGTTATTGATTTATCTAATTCTGTTTAATATGCTACATCTAAATTTAACAAATCAAATTAACTATAAATTTCAGATTCTAATAATTTTATTTAAGCGAATCGTGATTTTAGAATAATATCTGTTATCAATTATGTGATATATTTAGGTTCATTATTTTTTGTAGTATAAATAAATGAACAAACTTTAAAATGCTTTTACATTGCTGATTCTATCTACTCTTTTGCTTATAATTCTTATTTTTGTTAATATTCTAAAATCTTGTATTTTTCAATTATGCTTTATTATTGTTAATCCCAATGAGAAACAATAATAGTGATTAAATCTTAATATCTTTAAATAGGTGCTATAATTTTTTTTAAATTATTTATCATTATATCTGTTCTTTCACACTTTACAACAATTAATATTCTGTTGACATCTCCTTATGCTAATGCAGCAATTACTCCAGCTGCATGTAATAGCTTATCTTCAAGTGCTTCGAATCCAGGTGTATCTACTATCTCAAATTATCCATATGCAGCTTAACCAATCACAATTTATTTTGTATTAGATTCGCCTCCAAATGATGCAGGCTCATTTGTTAAAGCTATTTTATTAAATAGAAATGTTTTTCCATGTCCTAATATTCCTAACAAGACAACCCTTAATTAAGACATAAAATTGTTAAAAAGTCTATGTTATTCCTTAGAAAAATTTATTATTTATTTGTAATTCTATTAGCTAATAATTTATTATTCCCAAAATAATAATAATTAAATTCAAGTTTTAGAATTATTACTATCATAATAACCTGAGTTCATCAAGTATTTCGAAAATGATTGATAAATTTGAATTATAATTCATATTATTCGAATTGATTATATTGATTATATTGCAATATTGAATAAAATAAAATATTCTTACTTATAAAAAATAATAATACATTTATAAATTATATACAAAAATTGTACTACAATTATTAGGAAAATTATCTTAGTTTCTTTATATTTCAATTTCTTATTATTGAATAAGCTATATAATTAAGATTAGAATTAAATGATTTTGGATATATAAAAATATAAATAATTATTTATAATTATTTAAATGAACGATTTAAGAAGAATAGAAAAAGAAATCCAAGAAAAGCAACGTTTAGTACAGTTCCTAGATGAAATAAGGCTCCAACATTTTATAAGAATCCGTATCGTCCTACAGCAAGATTGTTAAAATAAGTGAGAAGACAGGCAAATTTTATGAAGACAACAAGTCATTAGAAATACGAAGAAATGATAGAGAAAGTAATGTAAAGAAGTCCACGATAAAGTAAAATAAAAGAACCACCTACATAAGAATAGATATTGAATAATATTATCTAAGAGTTAAAGAAAGAAATTGAATAAAAATAAACAAATTTGTATTATAAATGTTGAAATAGATCTCCAACGTTTTGTTTAAGAAGGAAGGAACTGTTCGATTAACATGATAAGATTTTAACTCTTAAGACTCTGATATCACATATTCATAATGATCAATCAGTAAAGAACCGTTAAGGTCAATAAAAATTTCCATGTATTTAATAGGATTATAATTCATGTGATTCAGATAGAGTTATGTAAATAATCTCAGCTTGTTCAAAATAAAATAGTTAGTTAGAGAAAATGCATAAATTTGTGCATTAAAAATAGAGAAACTAAAGAAAACGATTCTCATCATTAAATGATCAAATAGGATTAATATATTTATTAGAGTGAATGTCCTCTATCATTTTTACTCATTTACACTTTCTTTCTATTGTTCAACATCCTTTGATTGCATATCTTCTTTGTTTGCTTCAACGATCTTACTCTATAAATGAAGCAATGGATTAACTTCCTTTTCCTCAATACTCCAAATTTCTATACAAGTTAACTAGAATATTAATATATATATATCTACATTAAGGAATTCAATATGTGGTTCTAATAGATATCCCATTTCATAAGTTAAATCACATTAATTATTTATTCTGCAAGTAGCATTCCCCTTTAGATTTTCATCAATCCAAATTCTATGATTTCCCCTTCCATCTCCNTTATTGATTATATTGCAATATTGAATAAAATAAAATATTCTTACTTATAAAAAATAATAATACATTTATAAATTATATACAAAAATTGTACTACAATTATTAGGAAAATTATCTTAGTTTCTTTATATTTCAATTTCTTATTATTGAATAAGCTATATAATTAAGATTAGAATTAAATGATTTTGGATATATAAAAATATAAATAATTATTTATAATTATTTAAATGAACGATTTAAGAAGAATAGAAAAAGAAATCCAAGAAAAGCAACGTTTAGTACAGTTCCTAGATGAAATAAGGCTCCAACATTTTATAAGAATCCGTATCGTCCTACAGCAAGATTGTTAAAATAAGTGAGAAGACAGGCAAATTTTATGAAGACAACAAGTCATTAGAAATACGAAGAAATGATAGAGAAAGTAATGTAAAGAAGTCCACGATAAAGTAAAATAAAAGAACCACCTACATAAGAATAGATATTGAATAATATTATCTAAGAGTTAAAGAAAGAAATTGAATAAAAATAAACAAATTTGTATTATAAATGTTGAAATAGATCTCCAACGTTTTGTTTAAGAAGGAAGGAACTGTTCGATTAACATGATAAGATTTTAACTCTTAAGACTCTGATATCACATATTCATAATGATCAATCAGTAAAGAACCGTTAAGGTCAATAAAAATTTCCATGTATTTAATAGGATTATAATTCATGTGATTCAGATAGAGTTATGTAAATAATCTCAGCTTGTTCAAAATAAAATAGTTAGTTAGAGAAAATGCATAAATTTGTGCATTAAAAATAGAGAAACTAAAGAAAACGATTCTCATCATTAAATGATCAAATAGGATTAATATATTTATTAGAGTGAATGTCCTCTATCATTTTTACTCATTTACACTTTCTTTCTATTGTTCAACATCCTTTGATTGCATATCTTCTTTGTTTGCTTCAACGATCTTACTCTATAAATGAAGCAATGGATTAACTTCCTTTTCCTCAATACTCCAAATTTCTATACAAGTTAACTAGAATATTAATATATATATATCTACATTAAGGAATTCAATATGTGGTTCTAATAGATATCCCATTTCATAAGTTAAATCACATTAATTATTTATTCTGCAAGTAGCATTCCCCTTTAGATTTTCATCAATCCAAATTCTATGATTTCCCCTTCCATCTCCTCCAAAAGCTAATCCTAAAGGTTAATCAATTCTGAAAGATTTATTATTTATGTAACCAAAACATTATTTTGACCTTTAATCAAAAGTACTCATAAATAATTAATATTTTGGCATTAATGAGAATAGGAAGCTCTTTTCATCACCAAAATACAAATTCTTAGGATCATCTTCACTATATAAGATATTCATTGGATCCTTTAATTTTCTTCTTACATAATGAGTTTCAAGTGTTGGATCTATTGAGATATATGCACCAAAAACTTATTATTAGAAAGTATCATTTTATGCTATAAAAAATAAAAATAAATAATTACATTCGTCTTCTCTGTTTCTGAAGATGAATAATAAAGACTTTTAAGTATTAACAATAATATCTGTAATATGATCTAAGTCTTCTTCACTTACTGATGATGAGAATTGTAATTATAATTATTTGATTTTACTAAAATCAGGAGAACTCAATTAAAGTAAAGCTAAAACTTGATCATTTAATATAAAACTGGAAGTATTTAATCTTGGTATCTCGATATGAGATTATTCTCCAAGAAATTTCATATTAAAATAATATTTGCACAATTTGTTGGCATAGATCAACTATGCTTTAGCCATACTAACAAATTGATTGAATGGTAATTCATCTTTTTAATCAAATATTGTATTTGTCACTGATCTTGCTGCCAAATCATTTCTCTAAGAATTTGTTATTTAACCTCCTGAATAAATATTTAATAATTCCCGGATTACAATACTCCCTTAAGAATAGGACACTACAAATCTAGAATAACTATCATGGATTAACTACCTGTTTATAGAATCCTTATCATTTTCCAAACATTCCAAACTGATCAAGGTAAACAATTCAAACTTTTCTAAATTTCTAAACTTATAGTCACTTAGATAGTAATCCTTCAATTCTTTAAGTAACAACTCCTCTTAAAATAACAATCAGAATTTACATAACATGACAAAGTTAGTATAATTGACCTAATGATTTGGACTTCTTTCAACCATCCAGTTGAATAATTTAATTGAAAAGTTTGGATTTTCAGGAAAATGAGGTAAAAAAGATCTTTCAACAAGTTCTTTACCTCCATTTAGACTTCCAAACAACTTTTCTAGTTATTGCAGCTATTCAGGTGTGAATGCAACTTTAGCATGTTTAGTAATCTCTTTAGATTTAGAATTTCCCATATAAATTTATTGTTATCGAAAAACAAATAAATTTTATATACAGTATATTATAATATATAATATAATATATATATATGATTTATTACTACTCACAATGCTCTACTAAAAGCCTAAATTCCTGTTATTGCTCTTGCTAAAATAAGAGCATGGATATCTGATGCTCCTTCATAAGTATTAACTGTCTCAAGATTAACCATATGTCTTATCACTTGATATTCATCACTGATTCCATTTCCACCCATAATATCTCTACATTCTCGAGCAATCTTTAATGCAATTGCTAATAAATTAAGTTATTTATAATTACCACATGAATTTCTTTTAATTAATGAAACCTATTCTGTAGCTAATTGATCACTTTCTTTAAGTCTACTCACTTATAATACTGCTTATTAAGCTAATGCAATATCAGTAACCATTTCAGCAAATTTCTTTTAAATCAATTAGAAAGATGCTAAATTAGCATCAAATTGTTTTCTATCTAAAGCATATTAACGAGTATGATGAAAACAAAATTCAGCAGCTCCTAAAGTTCCCCAAGCAATTCCAAATCTTGCATTGTTCAAACATGAAAAAGGACCTTTTAAACCTTTTACAGTAGTAAACATATTTTCTTATGGCACTTTAACATTATCCATTATAATCTATCCTGTTATAGAAGATCTTAAAGATAATTTTCCCTCTATTTTTGGAGTAGAAAGACCTTTCATTCCTTTTTCTAATACAAATCCTCTTATGTCACCTTTTTCATCTTTTGCCCAAACTACAAATACATCAGCTATTGGAGAATTTGTAATCCAACTCTTAGTACCATTCAATATATAATAATTGTCTTTTTTCTTAGCATGAGATTTCATTGACCCAGGATCAGAACCTATATTTTTATATTATCTATATATGATACCATGATCAGGTTCTGTCAAACCAAAAGCACCTACATATTCACCACTAGCTAATTTAGGAATGTATTTATCTTTCAATTCTTTTGATCCAAATTAATAGATTGGATGTATCACCAAAGAACTTTATACTGATAAAGCAGATCTGTATCCAGAATCTACACGTTCAATTTCTTTATTTATCAAACCATATGCTGTATAAGAAACTCCAGAAAGGTCATATTCTGAAATTGTACATCCTAAAAATCCTAATTTTCCCATCTCTTTATATATTTCTGGATCAAAGTGCTCCTTACTGAAAGCCTCTCTGATTCTTGGTTATAATTATGATTATGCATAATTTGATGCTTAATCTCTAATCTTTTAAAAATTACTAAATTCTTTACCAACTTTTCCTCACTTGTTAATTAACTTTCCAAGTTTAAAGGGTCTTTATAATTAAATGTCACAAACTTCTCTGATGCAAACTATCTAATTTGTTTGTTGAACAATGATTTTAATAAATTGCTTTTGCGCATTATTTTTAATTATTTCTAATAATATTAGAGATCATTTTTAATTATTTGCTTTAAATACTTAAAAATACAATATTTATATTTTATAATTAAATTCTTTATAAATTAATTATCAATAAATTTAATTTAATATTTTAATTTAAATCATTAGATAATAATAATCGTTAACAACATAACTCAATATATTATATTTTCATATTTATTATTTTTGTAGGCTAGAAATCTTAAAAAAAACTAATGTTTAATATTAAAATTATAAAATTAAATAGAAATTATTAAAATGAACACAATTTACTCTGTCCAAAATTTGAATGATGACATAGAAATTTTAGATTTTCGATCAAACTTAAGAACTTGCAACATTAAAATAAAGAATTATGCAGACTACATATTGTGGGAAAAGAAAATTGAATACTTTTCAAATTGTCTAACTTATGAAAAATTTACTTTTGGAAACAAATCAAATCAAATAAATATTTTATCAAAAGGTAAAATATAGTAGGCAGAGCTAATTATTGGTGATAAGAAAATTATTTTGAAGAACAAAGATTATGATGATATTTTATACTAATTATAATAAGAATAGAAAATTAGTCTTGAAAATGTTGTAAAAATTAACTAATATTCTGTAAATTATGATTAACAAAATTAAATTATTAGATTATCAGATGGTTTGAATATAATTAATTCAATATAATTGACTAAAAGTAAATAAAATTTAATAATTAATGGATGTGATTATGGATGTGTCTTGCAAAAATCAGATGGAAGTATATAATATATAGCAAATGATCTTAGTATTTTTTGTGGGATAAAATAAAATGAAGAACTTGAACTGAACAACTTTTAAAACTTTTAAGTTGGGACTACTTAACTTTGTATTGAATATTAATTTGATTGAATCATTATTTTTTTTTATATATATTTCATTTGAATAATTAAGAAAACTCTTAGAAATCTACTAAATTATCTTAATTTTTATCAACAAGTTAAAAAACAAGAGTTCGTTCTTCAACTGTTGATGATTTGTCCATTACATTACATAATTGTTAAAATTCTGCAAGTTCTAATTTTTAATTTTTATTTTTATCAAAATTTTGGAAGATTTATTCAATTTTTAAATTATTTTATTTAACAATTCTCACTAATTCTGAAAGTATTTTCTAAAAATATTAAATAATAAATAATACATTTGCTTTTTCTTTAGCAGGATTAAACTTTGAATCTTAATCAGTTCCATATGAAAGTTCTCTCTTAAATTCATCAAAACTTATTTTTTTATCATTATTTTTATCAAATTTATTGAATATTACTTGAATTTCTTCATTTTTCAATGCTGGAGCAACAGTACGACATAATTTAGTGAATTCTTCAAAATCTAAATCACCTTACTTATCTTTATCAAAATTCTTAAAAATATCTTCAATTTTCAAATTATTGGCTTTGATAATTTCTTTAAGATCTACAATAAGTCTTTCAGCAACATCTTTTAAATTAGAGTAATCATAATCACAAAATAATTTTTTAAATTCATCAATACTAACTTTTTGATCTCCGCTTTTATCTACTAATTTAAATAAATGTTCAACTTCTTTATGAGTTACTCTTTGATCTAATGCTTAAATAAAATTATTAAATTCATTTAAATCTAAATTTCCACCTTTATCTTAATCAAACATTTTAAACTGTTATTCTACATTTAGATTTTTAGCTTAAATAATTTTTTATATATTAGATAAAATTTGTTTAGAAATTTCATCAACTTAGAAATTATCCTAAGAAATAAAATAAAATATTACATATTATCTTTCATTTTATGATACTTTTAATACATCATGTTAAAAAACATCATTCCAACTAACTCTTTAATTTTCATCAATAGTTAAACATTTTTTAATGAAATCTTTGAATTATTCTGAAACTTTTTTTTCAATAGGAAATTTTAATGGAGAAGATTTAATATTTAAAAGATAAGAATTAAGATCTCTACATGGCCAAGGTTATCTACCATAAAGCATTTCATAAGCCATAATTCCAATTGACCAAATATCACATTTAGCTGTATATGCAGTATTTTGAAGAAGTTAAGGTGCCATATAAATTGGAGTTCCAACACAATCTCTAATTAATTATCTTCCTGTTATATCAGCTTTGGTAGCAAATCCAAAGTCAGCAACTTTATGAATATTTTTATGAATTAAAGAATTTTCTGGTTTAATATCTCTGTGAATATATCCTGCTTTTGTCATCTCTTAAAATCCAAGCATTAATTATTATAACACCTATTAAGCTAAAACTTCATCTAACATTCCTCCATGTCTACTCAAAAAATGTCTTAAATCTCCACCATCACAAAGTTCAATTATCAATACCTAATAAAAATTAAATATTATTTTACTGTTTATTTTTAATCACCAAATGTATCTACTAGTTAAACAATGTTTGGATGTTAAAGTTATTTCATTATAGCTATTTCTTTATGTAAAGCATCAATCATAAATTGATCATCAAACAAAGTCATATCCATAACTAAATTACAAATATTCAATACTTTTTATCGCTACAGCATCTCCTGTCTTAATGTCTTTTCCTTTGTAAACTCTTCCAAAAGAACCACGTCCTAAAAAATCTTTCTCCAAATATTAGTATCGATTCTATAATGTTTACATAATATAATTATTTATCAAATAAATTTGAGAAAAAACCATATAATTTTCATTACTAATTTATTTATCTTACTATTCTTCTTAAGCCTATAAAACTTTCTGTATTTGATTATAATTATACATTATTATTTTAAATAATTTTATGCTCCTTTACATTAGTTTATTTTTACTACTATTATGAATTTTTTTTAATTTTCATGTATTATTCATCATTTTATATAAAGATTACATATTTTTCATTGTTTGTAAAAATCAACCTATTAAATTCTTCTAATTTTATGTTACTTTTATCATCTTTTTCAAATTCAGTAAAAACCATTAGAATTATCTATATATTATTTTACCGTTAAAATTTCCATTTATTTTAAAATAGTACCGATATTTATTATTGGATTAGTGAATTCATCAAACTTTAACTACTTCTTCGCCTTTCTTTCATAAATATGAAAAACTATTCATCATTTAATTTATTATTGCAAATAATCTATTTTAAGTTTAAGATTCATTAGATCTGAGAAGTCATTCCCCAAAAAAAATTACGAAAATTTTTTAAGAATTAACAATTTCTATTTTGATCAAAAATTTAGAAAATTTGGATATTTTATGATAAATGGATCGATTTTAATTTAAAGTTAGGAATTATTAAAATTAACATTTCCTTCTTTACCCAAATTATGAATTGCTAATTTATGCTTAAGTATTTGCTTAAGCAATTTATAAAATATTTCCTCCGAATTGAAAATTTTCTTATCGACTTCAATTATTTTTAACTTTAGAATTAGAGACTTACTAGAGTTTTTTATTTGAGATATCAAGTCTTCTTATGAAAGAAAATAAACCAAAAATTATTCAGAAAATTGCAATTTGATTGCTATATTTATAAATTTTTTTTGATTACATTTAGATTCTTCAATAAGTTATGTAATAAAAATAATAATCTAGGTATTTTCAAAAATAATTAATTTCTCTAAGACTGACAAACATGAATAATTTTGAAGCATGATTTCCAAAAATTCAAATAGCATTTATCAAAGTAGTAGAAATCTTCTCTAATAAGTTTTGTACCTGTTTAATCATTTTGTAATTCCAAATGTTCATAGCAAACCTAAAATTTTGAAAACCCACTTATGTAGACTAGGTTAATATTTCTATGGAAGTATTCATTCATTAATACCTATATAAAATCAGTTATAATTTATATTAATATCTGTGTTGCTGTATGTTCAACAAATATAGATTCATTTTAAACTGAAAATTTTGATAAATTTCCTTAGCATTCAGCTTATCACCCATATAATAATCTATTAATTTTACAATTTTTAGTGGATAAATTCCTGATTACATTTTATAGCTGTTTATTAATTTGTCTTTAATTAATTTGTTCAAAATCCTCCTTTTTCTAATTCATCATTTTCTAAGTATGAATATCTATTCAATATTTTTACATAACTCAAATTTTATTTGTGATTTGACATACATCTAAAATAGATTTAGACTTTATCTTAAACTATATAATGTATCAGAATTTAAAAGTCGAATTATTATTCTTAAGAATTGTTAAAGATGAAAATGATTCTCAAATTTAAATATCAACAATGAAAGTGAAATAAAAAATATTTTATTCTAAGTTCATCATCTATTATAAATTGAAAGGATTTATTTATTTAAATTGTTCAATTTACTCTTGCAAAATTATTTTATAATTTAATATAACTAATTCATTGCATCCCTAAAATAAAGAAATCTTTAATTGATGAATAAGATAGTTTCATTAGTTTATTTTGAATATCACAAATATTATCTGTCAAATCTAAAAATAATTTATTTTTAATTAACTAATGAACATCCACTTTTAAAAAATGTTAAATTACTTTTTGGATTTGTACATAAAAAATGAAGAATAATTAGTAATTTTTCCAAGATTTCTTGTTTTGGTTTTGAGAATTTAATCATCTTTATTAAGCTTATCGTATATTTATGGAAAAGAAAGAAGTTCATATATTATATTGTTAAGTGAGTTTGCAAGACCTCAATAATTTTTGGCTCCATTAGATGTAGCTTAATACATAATATTGATCTTGTGTAATTTATATATCATAAATTTGTTTTCAATTAATGCACATACTAAATATATAGGAGTTTTTGGATAATTATTAAGAAGCAGTTTACTAAATTTTTTTTTTGAATATAGTACAGGATAATTAAAAATGCTTACTCATTCATTTTTAATTCTTATATCATTTAGTGAAACATTAGTTTTATCTGGAACATTAAATGCAAATACAATAAATTTTTAAAATACAAGATTTTCATTCTTAGACTTTATCTTAGCTATTTTGAATTACATTATAATGATTCTATATTCATATTATGATACTTATGAAGTAATAATAGTGTTAGCTTTAATAATTAATATTTTAAAGGCATTAAATCTAATTATTTATTCCCCTTTAAAAAACTTTTATACTAAATCAATTTTACTTTCCATAAATCTTTACACACTATTTTTAGGACTACTAAAAGTTGCATCTATTGAAAGACATTTCACAAGTGAAATTGTATTAATACCTTTATTTTTAAATGTTACTTTAATAAATTACTAGAGGTAATTTAAGCAAAAAGTATTTAATTCTCAAAAAGGTTAATGCAAAGTAATTCATGTTTTAATATATCTTGATAATATTAAAGATATCAAAGCAATTAAAGTAGAGAAGCCTTAATTAGCTAAGGAGAGAATTATTTACTCTAGTATTTTAATGTTATAAGGATAAGATTATGAAGCATTTTTAGAATTAAATTCAATATAATCATCAGAATTAAATATTTTAGAGAAGTTTAAAAGAAAGGTAGTTCTAAAATAATGTATTAATAAAATAGATTGTAAGATTTAGGTTGAATCTAATTCATAACATAAAATTGCTTTAGCAGTTGGTTCTTTAATGGCAAGTGAGGAATCGAATTTATTAATAAGAAATGACATTCTTAGTATATTAAGAGAAAAGATTGCCTGTTAATAATTATTGATGTAAAATCAAACATATAATCATTATGGTTAATATTTACATTTCATTTAAAATACTTTCAATTTGCAAAATAAACTTGAAAAGTAATATTAGGAATTTCCTTGTGATAAAACTTAAAGTATTTTAGGTTTTTTTTATGCAGAAATAATTAATGACTTTTTAGCGACTAATCAATTATTTAGCATAATTGCATTGTCTGATGAAAAAATTAAAAGAGTTGGAACTTATTAAGATGTGTTTTCAAATAAAATGATTTATTTAATATCAAAATTCACAAACACTTTAATAGTTAAAAGATGTTCAAATGATGCAAATTAATTTTTACATAAAACTAATGAATAATTATAAGGGAAATCTATAAATTGTCTTATTCCACCTGGAATTGCAGAACATCATGATAAATTTGTTTTTTAATTTCTACAAACAGGACAAGCAAAATTTATGAGAAAGATTAATTCAAATTATTTATATTATTCTTAAAGAAATATGATGACTATAATTGAATTTGTATTTGATGTTAATTTACTCAATGATTTCAGTTTTATATCATTCATTTAGCCTACATCAAATTAATAAATGTTTTTAATAGTTGATTAAAATTTTAAAATTTCTTGTTTAAGTGAAGGACTTGTATCTGAATTAGGAATGAAAATTCCAATACATAATTATATAGGAGTTAACATAAAAATAATATTACCTGATTTTCCTTTAAAATTTTATGGTACTTAATTTATAGAAAATGCAGAAGCTCAATTTACTAAATTTAATGAAGAAATCTTGTAAAGTACAGGTTCCACTTAAATTGTAACTTTTATTACTTCTTATAATGCCATTTCATGTTAATTTTAAAGTGAAATTATATATTATATTGTTACTTTTGACTTTTTCAAAAAACCAACATAATAATCTTAACCAAGTATATCTAATTTAAGTCCAACTTAAAGTCCAAGAAAAAATGAATAAGATGAAAATTTCTTTAGTTTAGTCAATTAAGAAAGTCGTGTTAAAATTCCATATCATGAAAATAATAGTTTAAAAAGAAATACTAACTCATTTTATTAGATTAAATTAAAAGGAAGTTAATAAGATCCAGCTGATTTATCTGAATAAAATGAAGTTAAACTAATTTCATGTTTAGAATATACTAATTTAGTTAGTCCAAGTAGATAAAATGAAAATTTACTTGCTCAATAACATTATTTCTCAAAATCAAAATCTCATAAGTTTTTGTTATAAATGTCTGGTTTAGAATAAGATTAATATAGTAATGAAAAATAATAGGTCTTTTAAGATGATAGATCTTCTTAAATTTCAAGTTTATAAGGAGCAAGACGATCTAAATTTTTTAAAAAATATGAAATCTTTACTAAAATTAAAGAATCAAGTTCATTATCCAGAAACCATAAATTATTTGTTTTAATGTTTTTGTTATGTATCCTTATCTAATTTATTATTCAAATTATAGTAATTTTTATCTATTATCACTTAGTAATTAATAGAAATTAACAAAAATTTAGAAGGACTTGCATCTGACATAGATCTACTATAAATAAAGAATTTTATCTTCCAACCACTTGAAACCTTTTTAGTAACAAGATGGACAATAGTAAATTATAATTTATTGAGAGATTAAAAAGTAATTAATTTAACTTAGTACGCTGATTTAATTAACTTTCCAAGATCTAATCTTAATATGGGTTATGATTCATTAGATGAAAATCTTAAAAAGGCTTTTAATAGGCCTGAATTATAATAGTTTTTAAAGGACACATATTTATAAGTTTATGTTTATGTAAAGACTAATTAAGGTGAAGTCTATAATATATCTCTGAGAAACAGTATTAATATTTTAATTAATTATTAATATACTTTTAAAATGGCATACATAATTGATGGAGCAGCTGTACCTGATAGTCCTTATGTGTATTTTTAATACAGAAATTATATACCTATAAAAGAGAAATTCTCAAATTTAAATGAAATAGTGTTAATTTAAACTATTTAGAGAGCATTTAACATAAATGAGAAGGTTTAAGTAATTTTTGTGATTAGTATATCAATACTATTATTCTTTTTATCCTTAACATTACTATATTTTATTAAAATATCGAGAAATATCAATAGATATTATATTTTGATGTAAAATATTTCTAATTAATATATTGAGAATGATTTAACAAGATTGAAAAGCTTAGCAGAGAAAATTAGTAAAGATTAGAATTTATTATTTAAATATTAATTTAGTTTGTCAGAGAGAGAGAAAACTTTTGAAAGTTTTACTGATAGAAATGCAACAATGAGGAGATTAAATTAAAAATTATAATCTGTAAGTATGCATGAAATTTATTATTATTTATTCATTTTCATAACAATATTGGTAATAGGTGGAAATGCTACACTAACTTATCTTGAAGGTTAATCTTATTTAAGTAAATATCCAGCCACATCACGTTTTTATAAGGCTGTATCAGACATTGGTACTGATGTACCTACTATGTATGCTCAAAGAGATGTACTTTATGGCAGAGCTAATTTTCCTTTTTATACATAAGTAGATATCGATAATATTTTAAAAGAAATTGATATGGCAATTAATAGAACACAAATATTTTCTAGTGAAGATTACGATTTCGATAAGTATTTCTTTCTAATTATTGAAGTTTCCTTGTATCAGATACATTTAAAGAATATTTCCAAATTTTATAAATTAAAGATTTATGTGAATATATTCCAGATGAGTTGAAAGAACGATCATTAACTCTCTGTCCTTAAGTAATGAGTCAAAACATGAAGAGAGGATTAAAAGCAGTCTTGATATATATTATCAATTTTATAAAGACAGATATGGAAATTAATAAATTTTAAACTAGAACATAAGCTAGCTTTTTAGAATTAGAAGGAGGCTTTTTAGTCTCACATCTCATTAAACTTATTAATGATAAATTTAACTAAGACTTAATGAATTAAACTTAATATTATATCTCAACAATTAATGTAAAAAAAATTATCATTATTTTTAGATTCATAATATACTTGTTCTAATTATACTGTTCTTCGTCACATTAATTATATTAACTGTTTTAATTCAAAAACTTAGATACAAATTTTATCTTGTTAAAAGATTAACTTTTTTATTACCTTAAAGAACCTTAATATTTGATGATGTATTCGAAAGAAATATTAGACAATTATTACAACAAAATTGAAAGATTTGAATTTGTGATAATCTCTAAATTACATATCATTAGATTAAATGTTGTTTTTATAATATAAGATATATTTTAATTATATACTATAATGATCATCCAAAAAATTTTAAACACTATTTAAAATTTTTAGCAACCCTTGTCTAAAGTATTGGTTAAGTGAAAAATATTAATTCAAGAAAATAATTGAAAACAACATATTACATTTTTAAAAGATTATAGAAAAGTCTAAGAAAATATTAAGTTAATTTAATAATATTAAACTTAATATAAATAAAATATTATTTAAAAAAAATGCAATACGATTGTTTAAAATGAGGTTTTTAATATTATAGTTTTTAAGATTGCCAAAACTTAATGATCATTAGATTTTAGGATTAATAATATTAAAAAATTTTATAATTTAAATATAAGTTTTTTGATATAATTATCAATGAGGAAATATAAATTATAGTGAGAAAGGTCAATTGAGAAATGCAAATGTTAATTAGTTGATAATATTATGATATTTAAATGTTGAATCATAATTTTTATAAATTGTTAGAAATTGAATGTTTATAATTCAAGAAGATCTTTAAGTTATGAAAGAAATGTAAGAAATTTTGAAATAAAGTATTGATAATAAGTTTAGTTAAACGAGTATATTTTTATAGAAGTACCTAATATATATATAGAAATTTTTATAGTCATTATCATATAAAACACTAAATCAGTTTCAAATAATAGTGCAATCACAAATTTGAGTTTTTTTGTGTGTTTGTGGTTCTTCTAAATTGTATTCTTTGAAATTTTCTACAATATGAATTTGGAATAATGGGCCATTATTGGCTTAGTCTTTAAAAATAACTTTATGGGAACTATTGCCCTTTAAAATAGGATTATTGAAAGCATCTTTTCTAGGTTTTTATGCAGAGAGTGTAGTACTTATTTCAGTCAATTATACAGTTCTTACATCATCATCATTCATTTATAAAATTAATATTTTGTATAGTTCTTGTAAGAATATATGATGCAAACTCTAAAAATATTATATATAATGTGGATTCATATAATAATAATAAAATGATGAAATATCACAAATCATATTAATCCAAATCCTTCTGCATTATCTAGAGAGATTTTTAACTTTTCTTTTAAAATTTCTTTATTTTTGTATTATGGTAACAACAGAATATTAAAACAAGTATGAGCAGATGGTAATTATTCAGTATCTAAATGTAATTAATTAAAATAATATACATTGTCCATGTTTTTAGATAACAAATTTCATAGATTTGAGTCCTCCAACAGGGATTCTATCTGATCCTGTGCAGAAGAATAGAAATTTTTTTTGCATTTCTATATTCAAGGAAAGTATTATATCCCAAAAAAGTCTATTTATTTGATTTTGAAATATACTTAATATATTCTGAATTATTTTCATATCCATTATATTTAGTCGATGACTCTAAATCTTTCATATCAAAAGTTGGAAGTCCAATAATTAACGATTATAATTCTTCACCTGAAAATAACTATACCAATAGAGTTTAAAAACTTTACTTTTATCCCATCACCGTCAACAACAGATTTAAATCCATCTCTCAATAATTCAAATTATTTTTAAACTAATTTATTTAAATACCAATCTGTATACAAATGAATATATTCCTCTCTATTTTCAATTGTAACACCTAATTAGTTTCCATTAGGCTATATATAATTAAATATTATAATAATACTTTTAAATCTTCATAGTAACTTTATCCCCATACTTTATATGTTGCATTAAATGTAAGGGATAGACTTTCAATAACTTTTGGATCCGTCTATTCTCTTAGAAATTAGAATCCAGTATATGTTTCCATATCCAATTCTTTCATATCATCCTCATTTACTTACTCTCCTCTCAATTTCTTAAATAAGACTGTTGGAAATCGAACATCTAATAAAACAGAATTATAAAGTGATAACCCTAATAGTTTGCCAATCAATTAATAATAGATAGGTATTTCAAAAGATTGAGGATTAAACCAAAATACAGTATCATTATTTTTAGAAATGAACATACCATAATCAGGTGTTACTAATTTCTCCATAATTAATCTAAAAAACTCTCTTTTAAGTCCTCCTTCATCTACTCCTTATTCATTAACAAATTAAACCTTTAAAGGTGTCTTTAATGACACTTATATTTATTATAACTAATTTATTGCAGATTCTATTATATTGTCTCTTTCAATTGTTAAAGATATATATTAAGGTAATATTCCAAGTGTTCTTCTTCTCTAATCATACTATTTTATTTTGCATTCTATATATAACAGTTTATTTTTAAATTATATTGGCATTGCCCAAGGATATTAACAAAATGTAAATGAATAATTTCTCCATATTTTTTAATTGAACATTTAGAATTAAGAAAATTCTTCTCTATCTCCATCCTACTTATAAAAAAATTGTATAGAATTTATGATAAAATCACTTGATTATATTCTATGATTTCCTATATTAGATTTATAAATCACACTGTAAAGCTCAAATAATCCTTTCATCTTTTCAATATCCTCAATTTCCAAAAATGGTCTAATTGGAGCATTCGTTTATATTTTTATTTATTTCTCAATTTAATTTTTTATTATTAATTACAACTATTTTATTTCAAATTTATCAAGTTTTCTTAACCATTTTGATAATTATGTTAATTACTATTAACTTAATCTTCTTACTATTGTCAATACTATTTAAGTTTTTTCCTCCAAAATTACATTCAAACAATTCTTAAATTAAAGAATTAAATAAAGTGCTCTAAGTTCATATAAATTTTTTAATTGTTCAATCTCTTCTACTTTCTTTTAAAATAGATTCTTTATTACTTAAATAAAGTATTCTTTCTACTAATCAAATTAAATTGCAGTTTCGTAAACTAATTTACTATTTACTTCTGGGTTTTCTGGATCAATCTTTTAAATGCCTTGATTCTTATTATAATTTTCTATAAATGACATTCCAAATAATTCTATAAAATTTGAAATCTTCAATAAATATTGAACTATTTCATTTTTTCTTATCCTTTATTAATATGGTTACAAATTTTCAGTTATGTTTATCTATTTTGAACACATTAACTCCCATTTAACTTCTTCATTTTCTATCAAAACTTAACATATTCCTCTAATGTCTTCTTATCCTAATCCCAAATCTAAATACCCATTATTTAATCTGCATTGTGGAAATTCACAAAATATCTAACCACATCCATATAATGCTTTTTCAAACAAAAGTTGACAGTCATACTACAATCCTTTTTCAAATTTTTTAAATTACCATTCATTTAACTCTAAATCAACAAATATACACTAATCTCTTTGACTATACATTTCAAATACCATCATATTATCATTTATAATCTCACCATCTATCCCTTTTATTTTTTTTTTTTCTTAAATTAATTAATCTGCTTTAAAAGTTTTATGTCTAGGACTCCAAATTCGGACATTATTTATTTATTTTTATTTGAACATTTCTTTAAATGTATCTCTAAGCAAATTCGTCCAAGCTTTAATCTCAGAATTATTATCTACTTAAGCCTTTATTTTATTTAACTCCTAATTTATAGGAGACATATAAATTAAAGTAAACTTAAAAATAAATATAATTATACTCTTGCTAAGTTAGGGAATATCTATTTTTTTTTAAGATTGTCATTATAAAAACCTACTCTTATTTAAGGCTCAATTGATTAATAATTTTTTAAAAAAATCTCATAAACTTCTCTTATAACCTATATTTTCTATTAAAAAAATTACATATTCGTAATCCCATTCATTTTCTAAATAACGTATACTTGAATTATAATTATGATATTCAGGAATGTATTTAATTATCTTCTCCTCTTTTATTAAATCAGAATTCATTGTATTAGGCTATTAATATTTAAATTCCAAACCTATTATCTATTTTTCTTTTATATCTCTTCCATTTCATTATCATAATCTACATAATATTTCCATTCTTTTATGAATTTTTTAGATATTAAATAGTATTCCATCCCTCCTTTTTCACTTAATGATTTTTCTAACATCTACTTCTAAAAATTAATATTACTCTTTTTCCATTATCATAGATTATTTTTTCCTACCTAAATTGATTCTCTTTTGGTTGTATCATTTAGACAAGAGATTGAATCATTAAAATAAATAATATTCAGATAAGTATAATTTACTTATTATATTCTATAAAGTCATTATTAATTTAAAACAGATTAATTCTCTTTCACCCATTGTTCTGTTTTACTAATTTATAATTTATTTCAATACTTTAATTATCTTAATTTATCTTATATTTATTCCAATTTTGCTTTTCCTGTGTTTTTCATGCATTCCAAATAAGAATCTTGATTTTCTAATTTTGATTTCATCAATCTATCTAAATCCATTTACACCATTTTTTGATCTGCCAATAACTAATCCTTTTATTATCTTATTTAAATCATCAACTAAGCAAAAGCGGCTTCTATTTCAAAAGCTGATTTGTTATTTGATATTTTATTTCTTAAATTATCTATTTAATTCCCAAATTATCCAAATGAAGATAAATTTGTTTCTCCAAAAAGCTTATTATTGTTATTAAAATTATTTATATTCTTTTTTATTTCTTATATTTTTTATTGTTTATATTAAATTTACTCTAAAAGTTATTTCTCTTATTAAGTTAATTGTTTTAATTCAAATTTTTATTTATTTATAATTTATCCATACTCTATTTATTAACTTGTTTATTGTAATTGAATTTATAAATCATCCATCTCTTATTTATTTTTATTGTATTCATTTTTAACAATGCTTAATTCCTTTTTTAATTATTCAATATTCTCTAATAAATTTTGTTCTTTTTATTTTTTTGAAAATTAATCTTACTCAAAAAATTCTCTGATTTATAATTCTTATTGTTAAGCAGAATCTTCAAAATTTTTTTTATATCTGTAAAATTCTTCCTTTGCCTTCTCTTCTAATTTTTATTTTTCTAATTCAAATTCTTCTTCTTTCCTTTTTTTTTCAATCTCAAATTATTATTCTAATATTCTTAACTCTTTATTTATTTGATCATCAATTTCTTTTCTTTATTTAGCTTCTTACTCTTTAATCTATTTTTTAATCTTCATTTTTTCTATTTCCAATTTCTATTTTAAATTTTCATTTAATCTTAATTCTTCATCTTCAAATTCTTTTTAAAATTACTACTTAATCTAACTTTCATCGAAATTTTATTTTTTTTTTTTTTCCATAGCTAATTCTTCTTCTAAAATTGCTAATTCTTAATTTATTTTTTCTTATTCCTATCTTCTAAATTATTCAATTTGTTCATCAATTTATATTTCTTTTGCTCTTTTTAATTCTTAAAATTTCTTATCCTCTTCTTCTTTAAATTTTTATTTTAATATTTCCAATTCTTTCTCTTCATCATATACTGTATTTGTAGTTTCAAATCTTAACTATTTTTCTTATTCAACAAGTGCTTAATATTCTTTCTCACATTTTGCTTCAATCTCTTTTTTTTAATTTTTAAATTATTCTTCAAATTCTTCATCTATCTTTTCCATTTGTTTCTCCTCTAATTACTTTATATTTTTTTTTTCAATCTCCAATCTTTATTAAAGTGTCTTTTCTAAACTTCCTCTGGAGACCCTTTCATATTGTTCTAATTCTAACGTTTATTCTTCTTCTTATTCTTTTAATTTCTTTAATTTCTCTTCATACTCTTATTTTTATTTTGCAGAATTAACTTTAATTGATTCTTTTAATTTCAATAGTTGTTTCTCATAATCTTAATCAACCTCTTTTTTTTGTTATTCAATTTTTTTATCAATCTTTTTCTTTTGCTCTTCAAATTCTTTCTTTTTTTACTCCCTATATTATTGTAACTTTTTTTCTTAAGTTTATTTTAATAATGGATCTTAATCTTTATTAAAAACATCAGAATTAACAATAGGTTAAACTTTAAATAATATTTTAATACTTACTGGCAATTTCAGGTTCTTTTTCTTTTCCAAAAAGTTATTCTTTAACAATTTTAGCTTGATCTTTTGCCAATTTTTCTATTTTTTTTTATTTTTCTTTTTAAAACATTTATTTATAATATTCATCACATGGGTGTTCCTCTTATCTTTAATTCGTGAGTAAATTAATATAAGAAATTTCTTTGTTTCTATTTTAATATGGTTTCCTTAAATAAAAATTATTATAATTACCAAGATTCTGGTAATGGAGCCATTAGACCTTCTCTTGCTATATATAATAGATCATTATCTTCAGGCAATTCCATACCTAAAAAATAAGCATATTCTCTAATTTCTAATATTTTGACTTCTTAAATTATTACCTTAATTTGTAGGTCTATAATGTTCATCAATCTCTTCTTCTAAAAGTACAGATTCTTAATCTTCATCATCATCATAATTAATTTAACTCCCCATTCCCATTTATGCCATACCTATTTAACCCATTTATCCCATACCCATTTGACCCATTCCTTTTTTCATTAAATTTGATCCCATTTGCATTTAATTCATTTATCCCATTTACATTTAATTCATCTAACCCATATTACCATATTAAACATTATTCATACCAACCATCCCTTATTGTTATCCAAATTTATTTTTTTGGTTTTATTGTTACTATTATGGTTATTTAAAACCAGAACTGTTTGAGAATCCCATACTACCAGATATATTACTTGACATTCCAAATTATTTTTATTGATTACTAATTCCTGAGAATCCTCCTGTTCCTGACATATTCATTCCACTTTAGATTCCATTTGACATTCCCATTCCAGACATTCCCATTCCAGACATTCCCATACCTGACATTCCCATACCTGACATTCCCATTCCAGACATACCCATTCCATGATTCATGCTAGAATTTGGAGGACCTTATATTTATATTTTAGATAATAACCTTATTTCTAGGCCTATGGTTTACTTTTTTACATGATGACAATAAATTTAAATTATTTTTATAAATAAATTTCAATATATGTATATATGTATATTTGTAAGTAATAAAAATATTCATTTTATTTAAATTTAAGTAATACTTTCATTTTGAATGTTGCCCTATAAAGCAAGGATTTATTTTATATATAATTTAATTTAAATATATTATTTATTAAATGTAACAGGATCAGAATCAAGGAATGGAACATCAAATTGCTGATAAAGAAATGACTATATAAGAATAGCTATTAGAGCAATAGAAAAAATTTAGAAACTTAGAATCTGATAGAAAAGCATATGCTGAAGAAACTGTTGCAAATATTAATAAATAAAGAGGAATTATTGATAAACTTAAGAAAGAAAATTAGATTCTTAAGGATTTAATAGCTAAAATGAATTCTTAAAAGTCATAACTTAATTAAACTACCTATTCAAAAGGACCTAATATTGACACAATAATTGATGATTTGAAAGTTGCTATTAATGAAGAAAAAAAAGTATAAGAAGATATTGATACACATGTTGCAGATTTTTAAAAAAAGATTATAGAAAAAAGACATGCTTTAGGTGGATATAATGCTGGTGCTGAAAATGAAAGTGCATTATAAAAATAAATCAAAATTTTAGAAAATAGGTTAGATAAAACAAATTAAAAATTTAATGAAGCTATTGCAATAAATAAATAGTTAAGATAATAAATTGATAGTCTACGTAGAGAAAGAGTTATTTTTGACAATCTATATAAAAAATTGGAGAAAGAATTACATGAGAAAAGAAAAGTAATTTATAATGAAATACATTATTTTAGGAAATGGCAGATATTATTGAAACTGCTAATACAGCATATGAGGAGAGGGATAAGGCTAATGATTTAATTTAAAGTTTAAAATAATAAGCAAAAAGAGAATCTGCCGATTTTGAAAAAGACCTTAGAGAATTGAGTTAAATTATGGAAAAAAATAAAAAAACTTTAGATTATATGAAATTAACAGAAAAGAATAGAGAAATGGATGCATAAGAAGTTGTTGATGCTGATAAATTTACTAAACCAAAAACTAATAAACTCATTAGAGATAAAAATGTAAATTAAACTATGGTTGAATTAATCATGAAATATGAAGAAGATTTTGCTAAAATTTAAGCAGCTACTCAAATCAAATAATTTGATGATATTATCAAATTCTTTATTTAAAATGAAGAAAAAGTAAAATATTTCTACAATTATCACTAGAATTTTTAAATGTTTAAATATGTGAATGAACTAAGTAATGAAATTGAAGATTTAGAAAAATAAATAGGAGAATTAAAGGAAGAAGCATCTTTATATGAAGGTTAAGGTTCAAATGTAGATGTTTAAAGAAAAAGACATCTCAAAGATTTAGAAGAAAAATTATCAAGATCAGAATAAAAATCAGAATAATACGAATTTAAATATAATGAATCTATCAAACTAATCAATAGTCTAACAGTATATTTTATTTAATATTTTATAGAATTGGATAGAAACTCTATTCAATACAGTAGAATGTGATAAATAAATGGCAACTGAGATAGCTGGATCACATGGAGTAACGGATACAAATATGATGATTTATTTAGGATTAATTGAAAATAAAACAAACAAATTATTGCAATACTATCAATAAATTCATTAGAAAATATCAGAAAACTAAATCAATTCATTACAACAATTAGCTTAATTGAATGAAAAAAATCTATAAAATAAAAATAGAGCAGAATTGCCATAATTTGGTAATTGAATAAAATTATTTTAGATGAACATGAAGATGATGATATAGAAGGAGATAAAATATTATCAATTGAAGAATTTAAGAAAAAAGCACTTGAAAAACTGGAAGTATTTATTTAAGTTCTATTTAGAAATAATAAAATTAAACCAAAAATAAAAGGGCTGGACCTAATAAATTAAGAAAAAATAAATGATAAACATTTATTTATATATACATAATCATTTAGACTCTATTTTTATTTTTATACTTGGTTTCTAAGGTGGTTTTACTATAGGAATAACTCTAGCTCTCATAAAATTTTCAATGAATTCGTCTTTTTAATATTCATACGGGGGATGTGTATTAACTATATGATCTTTATCTGGCTTTAAATCAACATAATGCATATATGGATAGATTTTACACTTTTGATTGAAGTCCCGAAAATATTAATTTAATCTTTCTATACAATCAGGATGTATTTAATTGGATTACAAACTAAGTTAAAATATAAAATCTTAATGAGTCCATTCTGTATAATCACTCTTTAAACTTGATTACATTGTATCTGGTTGTATATTTTCAATAATCTTTAGAGATTCTAATAAAGATGCTTAAGCTCTTAAATCTGGAACATATCGAATGGGAATTGCAGTTGGTATTTTTTTTATGATTTAATTACTTTCAGTCTATTTTGTTTTTATCACTTCTTAGATTTTTGGTTTCTTTTTTATTGGTTCTAAATAGATGTCATCATTTTCAACCAGCTATTGCATTTTAATTATTTTCCAAATTATGAAAAAAAAATTATAGTTATCTTAAAAAACTCAAGCATCAGAACAAATGATCTTACCACCATTAATCATAGAAGCTAGATCTATAAGTATGAAGAAATAAGAAATTAATTTCAAATAGGAAAACATTTTTAGTAATGTTTTTAGTCCAAATCGTAGTTAACATAGTCTAAATTTATAAAGGAAAAAAAAAATGCTCTAAAATTAGTTACATTTTGTATATTTTTTAATTTTTATTTATATAAGGTGAACAAATCTCATTTAAATAGTGATTAACTGTCAGAGATTTATTATTTCAGAACCAGATTCAACAAATAATTTAAACTTGAATGAATATTTTTTATATGGATTTTAATAACTCAGATTATTGCTCATTTTAGAATGAATTATTTTTTCTAAGATCTACCATCATAAATACCTTATTTTAATTTAATATATGGTGATATTAAAAAAAAAGTATTAGCTTATTATTTATTTATTTCATCGTTAAATGTGTATATTATAAATAAATAATACAATATGTAAGAAATAGAAGCAAAAAAGTAATTAAAAGCAAGTGAAGGAGCACATTTTTTTTATACTTTAATATTCTTATCAGCATCAGGAATTATTGAGACTAAGTTTATTGAATAGAAATGCAATTAGAATCTCTAATTATTTGTTCATTTGGTGTTCTATGGATTAATAATTTGGGGAACCTACATACTTATTACTTTAATTCCAAGGTAAAATATTTAATGAAGATAGATATAAAAATGCTGCTATTAATCTTTTTTTTAATTTTTTAGATATTTGTTTTGGGATATATTTACTTTTACTACTATTGTATGGGGGAAGAATGTATTATGCACCAAATGATTGCCAAATGGAAGCTCCTGTCTTATTTTTCTTCTTAGAAATATTTTTGTTGGTATCTCAAGATTAGAAATATAATAGGTTAACGGTATCATTTATGCAATTTTATTTTTGGCATTTGTATCATATTTACTTAAGAGATTTTCAAAATCATAGTAAGTATTTGATGAAAAGAATAATGAATTTTTCGATGCTTGATAATATTTAACTTATATTAATAAATAATATTATTTAAAATTTTGTAAGGCTTGTGACATCTTAAAATTTTATTGATTGATTGATTAGTTTCAAAAAAATTAATACTAAAAAATTGTCTAATTTAAGATTAAGAGTTAAGAAAAGCAATAATTTTTTTTAATTTGAGAATTAATAAATGGGATGAAAATTTTAATAATGATTAACTATGAATAACAAAAGCTTTGGAATTTAGTTTAAATATAAATAAAAATAGCTAATCAAATGATTCAATCAGTATTTAATATTTTAAAGAAAGATGATTTTCTCTATAAATAATAATAAAAATAAGAATTTTGATTCCTTCAAAATGCATATTATAATTAATTATTCAACAATCTCTCTTATCTACTCTCAAGTCTTTGATATTTTATTAGATATACAAACTACCATAAAGTAATGAGATTAAGAGGAAAGCTCCTTAGGTAATTTTATAATTTCTAAAATTAAGATCTTAAAAATTTCTCCTTTGATCAAAAATTATTATAGATGTTTATAAAATTAATATCAAAATTGAATTCATATAAATATGATTTCTTAAGTTTAGGATTTGTATTAACTTATTTACGACAAACTTGTGAATAAGGAATCTCTTGAACCCTCCTTACTCACTAGGCTACATACTTAAATATTCTTGTAAAACTTGGAGAAAAATTTGGAATTGGAAGAATTTTATTATGATATTCTCAGAAAACATATTAAGAATCATCATTCAATCTCTCCTGAATAACTGGAAATACTAATTAATATTGTATATTATCTTGGTATTTTCATTAACTCATAGTAACTATTTACTAAAGCATTCCAAATTATTAAAGAAAATTTAATTGATAATCAACCAATAATTCAGAATTCATTATATTTACACATCCTTCAGGCTTGCGGCTCTTAAAATATCTGCTTAAAATAAGGGCATTAATTTCTTAACATTGATATCAATAATGAATATTTTAAATCACGATTCCTCACACCCTATCTTGAATCAATAACTAAAAGAATACCTAAATATAATATTATATCATTCATTAAGGATGAATAATAAAAAATAAAATTACTTCATCCCTAATCAGAGAATTACATCATTGATGAATTAAAATTATTCATTATTTAGGAATAACTTAAAACTGTAGACTTCAAATGTAATTCTTAAGAATTGTATGACTTATTTACTTTTCTTCGAATCGAAGATAAATTTTAATACAAAATTAAGCAAAGGCTTTCTAATTTGATAGACAAAGATAATTCAATAAATCCTTTCTATTAATTAGCAATTCAATATAAAAATTTTCTTTCGTAATATCTTGATTTAGATTTTGATCAATTTTTTTAATTTTTTAAAGTGCAACTACATAATATTCGAGATTTCTATTAAAATGAAAAGCATATGCTTATTGTATTAAATGAAACAATTGAAGAATATTTAATAAAGCATGATTGTTTACTAAATTTGCTCGAAATTCATGATGAAGAAATTGGTTATTTTTCATAATGTATGATATAATCAATTGATCATTTTGTTAATTTAATAATAGAAAAATTATTTAAATTAGTTTCCCCTTATAAAAATAATTTTAATTTTTCTCTTTAAATTGCAAAAATCAATAAGATGTCTTAATACCATCATAAATTAGTGGATAAATTCAAGTTAAAAGAATTATAGAAATTTTTAAAAATAACTTAAAATTCCTATAGACCTTTATATTTACCTAAACCTAAATTTATTTCCCAAACTGCATAAATAATCTCAGATATTCCATATTAATTATTAAATTATTTGCCAAAAGAAGAATAAAAAAGATTTGAATTAACTGCTTATGGGTATGCTGAAGTAGCATATAAAGAAAATTATAGATTGGTGCTTAATACAAGATAATTAGTTTGTTTGTATCATTTGATTAACCATAATTTTAAATAAGTAGATGAAATTAATTTGATTCTATTTCAGAAATTAGGTTTAATAAATACAGAAGGAATTATAAATAATGACTGGATACCAACTCATAAATGTTTGATATTATTTAATTGAGAGTTTAGTAAAAATATACTATTTTCTTTGTATTTTTAAAATATTCTAAAATTTAAAAATATATTTTAAAATTCAAATTTTGATATTGAGCTTAGGTTCCTCTTACGAAATTTTACAGTAGAAAAATAGAAGGTTTTAATCAATAAAGTTATTTTAGTTTCTTTAATTTTTTATTAATATATAATAAAGGTTTTTCATTAATTCTTAACATGTAGCCTAATGTTTAAATATGAATAAAATTAGAAAAGATAAAGATTTATTATATACTTTAAGAAAAAATGAATAAAATAAACAACCTAATTTGAAATTCAAATTAAGCTGCCTGAAACAATCAAAGATTAACTTGATGAATAATAAAGTTAATTGGTCATTGTGATAGGAAAATAAAAATAATATTGGAAAGTAATTGCATAAAGATTAAGATTATAATTAAGGTTTGTTAATACTAAATTTTAATAAGAAAATTTAATGATTTTATCATAGTTGTTTAGTTGGATGAAATTTAGAATTTAGTTATTGAATTATAAAATAATGATTTAGAAGATTTATGTGTTGAAGAATTAATTTTTAAATATTTGAAAATTAAGTTTCCTAATTAATGACCTAAAGTTTATAAAAGTTTTTTATTTGAAAATTAAAACATTATTTTGTAAAAATTAAGAAAATAATATGGATTATTAATATCTATTAAATGATCTTTTACAATTATAAAAGTTTATCGAAATTGGTAAGTTTAAAAAATTAGAGAAGAGATAGATTTTGCAATGAAGAAAACAGATCAAACATTTTATTTTAGTAAATTTATTAAATAGTTTTGCATAAATTAATTGGAAAGGATTCGAACTTCTTATAAGTTGCACTTAGAGTTTTGATAATTTAGAGCAAATCTAATCTTTAGATATTCTTATAATTATTTGAATACCTAAAGTAGTTTGACTAATACATATTTGATTTTATTTATAGCTAAAGAATTAATAATATTGAAAAGAAAAATAACTAAATAATAATTAGGAGGAGTTAGATGTGGTAAATTAAAAAGAAAAATCTCTTCTTAAAAAATTCAAAGTTTTAAATTTATAAAATAAATAGTTAAAAATCTTTAAAACTGGTTGCAGCTCATGTATGAGAAACTGTACACAAAAATCCAAGTTTAAAATTTTTCAAAAAATAACTGTAAATTGTTTTAGGCTTAATTAGAATTAGATCGATAAACTTTAAAATTTTTGTTACTAATTCAAAATATAAAATTACAAGTTTTTAAACATTTTAAAGATTTTATTAAAAGATGAGTTTAAAAATCCTATAGAGGGCAACCATTATATCTAAATCTACATAATTTATAATTTTTAAATTTCGATTCTATGGTAGAAATTTCTTTTGATGTAAATAAATAATTTAATTTATTTTCCTAAATTTATTGATTATTGTTCCATTTTCCTTATTGAAATTTGTTATAAAAGAATGAAAAGAGATTAAAATAGTTGAATAATCACTGCATTTACATAAGTTATTTATTTTATTTACTTTTTAGACCTTATTCCGAAAAGATTGCTAAAGAATTTTATTCTATTAGATTTTAAGGAAGAAATTCTTCATTATCTAATTTATTAGATTCAACAATCATCCCGAATAATAAATTTACTATGAGTAATCTAGTCAAAGTATGCCTTACATTTTCATTTAGGGTTGATTTATTTAATTTATAATTGTAGNTATCTATTAAATGATCTTTTACAATTATAAAAGTTTATCGAAATTGGTAAGTTTAAAAAATTAGAGAAGAGATAGATTTTGCAATGAAGAAAACAGATCAAACATTTTATTTTAGTAAATTTATTAAATAGTTTTGCATAAATTAATTGGAAAGGATTCGAACTTCTTATAAGTTGCACTTAGAGTTTTGATAATTTAGAGCAAATCTAATCTTTAGATATTCTTATAATTATTTGAATACCTAAAGTAGTTTGACTAATACATATTTGATTTTATTTATAGCTAAAGAATTAATAATATTGAAAAGAAAAATAACTAAATAATAATTAGGAGGAGTTAGATGTGGTAAATTAAAAAGAAAAATCTCTTCTTAAAAAATTCAAAGTTTTAAATTTATAAAATAAATAGTTAAAAATCTTTAAAACTGGTTGCAGCTCATGTATGAGAAACTGTACACAAAAATCCAAGTTTAAAATTTTTCAAAAAATAACTGTAAATTGTTTTAGGCTTAATTAGAATTAGATCGATAAACTTTAAAATTTTTGTTACTAATTCAAAATATAAAATTACAAGTTTTTAAACATTTTAAAGATTTTATTAAAAGATGAGTTTAAAAATCCTATAGAGGGCAACCATTATATCTAAATCTACATAATTTATAATTTTTAAATTTCGATTCTATGGTAGAAATTTCTTTTGATGTAAATAAATAATTTAATTTATTTTCCTAAATTTATTGATTATTGTTCCATTTTCCTTATTGAAATTTGTTATAAAAGAATGAAAAGAGATTAAAATAGTTGAATAATCACTGCATTTACATAAGTTATTTATTTTATTTACTTTTTAGACCTTATTCCGAAAAGATTGCTAAAGAATTTTATTCTATTAGATTTTAAGGAAGAAATTCTTCATTATCTAATTTATTAGATTCAACAATCATCCCGAATAATAAATTTACTATGAGTAATCTAGTCAAAGTATGCCTTACATTTTCATTTAGGGTTGATTTATTTAATTTATAATTGTAGATTTACCATAAATTGTAATATATAAATATTTTTCAGTTAATTTTTAATTAACATGGAAGTAAAATAATGAATTGGAATATTTAACATATATAAGAAATGCCATCTCATTATTATTAAGTAAATAATATTTTTATATTTTATATATTAGATTCATGCAATAATAATCTTTATATAAGATGATTTAGAAAGATTGTGTGAAAAAAAACTAACAATAGTAATATAGAAAAGTTTTATAATAAAATAAAAAAATAATTACTACATTATCTAGAATTTAATTTTTATACTAAAAATAGGTACAATTAAGATGAAACTCATCTATTAAATTTATAGTAATCATATGAAATACATTGAAGCTATCCGAAAAACATTGATTTTTAATATTATTAGTATCGAGTGGGCTGATGTTCAATTATCAATTTTATTCTTTAAAAAAATAATAACTTTAATTATAAATATTATTTATAAAAGTAACATATTATATATCATTATAAATTTCCTAAAAAAATAAATTGAGATTATTAATTTCTTTGGTTATTAAATAAAATTAGTTGATTAATCATATTGTAAATCTTGTTGTATGCATCTTCTTAAATTTCTATGGAATTTGATTTAAATAATGAATGCGTATAAAAATTAAAAAAAAAAAATGTTGTCTTTCAACAATTTTAATTCTGTTTGTAATGAATAGCAGGATATCCTCATTTAATTTGCAATAATTTTTTTACTATACTAGATGAAAATTCATTTTAATATATTTTAATAAATACAGATATGTCAGTTGATATCAGATTAAATAACAAGTAGTGACAGTTACACTATTTTAATTTATTTTTACTTATCTTGATAATTGATAATATATTTATGAATTTGTTTTACAATTAAATAAATCTAGTTGCTCAAAATGAGTTTAAGGCTTAAAAGTTAAGGAAAAGAACATCAATTCATTTTTAGAAAAATAAGAATATTGATTATAGAAAATTAAAAGGGAAATTTGTATTTGAACCTTCAAAAACAATAACAGCGTAATTGGATGAATTTTTTGTATCTATTATAACTAACTTTATCTTAGTTGATGGCAAAAAAAAATGCATGGGATAGAAAATTAGGATTCAAAGGATATAAAGGTACTTTTAAAGTTGAGCATTTGATTATGATTGAAACATAACTAAGAAATTTGTATCGTTTAAGAGAGTTAACAATAGTGGACACTTAGATTGATAGAGAACATTTGATAATTTTGAGATAATGGATTTCATGGCTTCAACCAAGCAAATTGACTCTCGAATTTTAATAAAATGAAATAGATAATGAAGATTTAGAAGATTTTATCTATCTTCTCTTTGAAAGAGAAATTGATGTTAAGAGAGTAATTTAATAATACTATATAGCTCTATATAATAAGCAATCCAGGTATTTATAAAGGATAGCTATTAAAATAACTTAAGACTTATTTAAAAGAAAGGTATGATAACCATAAATTCTATGAATATGAGTTATTATTAAATAAAGATTCCAAATCTATTGCTATTGTAAAATTAGAAAAACTATGGACAAATAAGGAAAAAAATGATATAATTTAATAAGCTAGAGTAAAGATTGATTAAACTTGTTTCTACTATTTTGATTTATAAAAATGCTTTACGGAAAAGAATTATTAAGGTTTTGAACATTTAATTTAATTGACATATGATTTAGACAATTTAGAATAAATATGTGGATTGAATGTTTCAGATAATTATCTTGGAACTCCTAATAGTTTTTAATAGACTTGTTAACATTTGTCAACTGCAAAAGGACTGCTTGATTTAAGAATTTAATCTTAAAAATTATTAGATTATTCAACTATAGTAAAATCTTTAGTTGGAGATAGATATGATAAATTAAGAGTCAATATATTTGATATATCAAAAAATAGTTCAATTTTAGAAAAAACATTTGAAATTTTGGCAAATGAAATATTTTTATATTGTAAAGAAATTATTTTTGAAGCGGTTTTCATATAATAATTAAGTACTTTATATAAATTGAGTGTTTTGGCTGAAGCAGTTAAAAATAGAACAGATCAATTGAGAGAACTTAGTAAAAAAAGTAAGATTTTTTTTTATTTTTAGGTGGTAAATTAATAAAACACAATTTTAACAAAATTAATTTATAATCAGTAGAAAATTATAATAGACATGATTTAGTCTAAAAATTTCTAGAAAGTGTTATATTAACTGAACATACAAATATTAAAACATTAAGTATTACATATCTTATTTATTTTTAAAGCTATTTAAAATTGTGATATCGGTAGAGTTGAAGCTTGGACAAACACCTTTATTTCATTTAAATAACGTGTCTTAAATGAATAATCATAAAATCCACTACTAAAAAATTACAAATTACCAATAAAAAATATTATTATGCCAAAATAAACTTACAGGATGGAATCATAATATCTCAAAAAATTTTTTTATGAATTTTTTTTTACTAAAAAAGGTAATATTTTGGAAACCGAAAGTTTCGTACTGGATAATTGCTTTAGATAAAATGGAAGAGAAGAAGCAATTTTAGAATCTTGTGATGAAATATATAAAGCAATATAAAATGGTGAAGAATCAGCTAAAAATGCTCAATATTCATTAAAAAAAGTTAGATTTTATTAAACCACTTGTGACTTTCGTTTATCAATTTATTAATGCTTAATATTAACTGACAACTTCGAATTGGAAGAATTGAATATTGAAGATGAAGCAATGCAAGGAAAATTTTCAGATTATAAAGAGGCTACAGTGGCTTATTTTTTAAAAAAGCCATCTAATTTTATTCATAGTTTAAATTCACTTTAATTTATTAAAATAGAAGATATGGCTTTTGAAATTTATCAATTCTTAGAATTATTTCTATATCATGATCAACTTAGATTGAAAAAGTTATGTTTAAAAAATCTTACATTTGAAGAAAATGCTGAGTATAAATAAACTATTTAAAAAATTATCGACACCAAAGACCAAGAAAAATTTTAACTTTCGATAAAAGAATTGTATTTGGAGAAAATAAGTGATGAGGCTTTTTAATTAAATTTTATTAAATTTGTTATATTTTCGAAGTTTTAAAGAATAGAGAAATTAAGTTTAGGAAACATAAATTTTGATAAATTTGCTGATGAAATTCTATAAATTTTATAAGAATCTTAAATTACAATTTTAAACCAAAAATCAAATAATGAAAAATTAATTAATTAGAATAATTAAGATTAAAATTAAGTGAACATTGAAAAATATGATTAAAATAGTATTCAAGGAGAGAAATAATTATAAGAAAATAATAATTTAATTAATAGTAATCATTATATTTTCTAAAGTTTGAAGTATTTAAATTTAAATGATATAATATGTACAACATAAAAAGCATGGAGTATTTTAATAAAAAATATAATATTTAATAATTAAGTAAAATTGGAAGAGTTAATTTTATAAAAGATCAATCTTGATGATAATATGATTAAAACTTTAGATGAAGCTAGCATAAATTTAATTGATTAGTAATTTTAATAAGATCCAGAAAAATTAAAAGAAATATTTAATTTAAAAAAATTATCAATTATTGAATGTAAAACAGAAAAAGATTTTTTAACTCCTTTCTTTATGCTGAATACTATAACTGAATTGATATTTAATTAATGTGAGGGGTTGAATAAAATTATTTAGGGTATGTAAGAAAAATATATATAGAATCAAAATTATCAAATATTTAATCTTGTTTCGATAGAAAATTTTGTATTAGAAAAAACAAATTTAGCCGAAAAACAATTTGAATGGTTTTTAGATGAAATCATATTTAATTTGGAAAGATAATAAATCAAACATATTTCTTTAATTAATTGTTAATTAAATGATCAATTATTAACCATTCTATCTAATTAGATAAAAAAAATTAAGATTCAATCAACATCATTTCGGAGATATTATAATTTAAGATCTATTAATTTACGAGAGAATCCTGAAATAAGTTAATCTGTTTGGGTTGATTTTTTTAATAAGTTAATGGAGTAAAAAGCTCAAATTTAACTTGAATAAAAATAAAATGAGATGGAGAAAAAAAATAAAGATCTTATTGTAAATAGCGACAATGAAGAAAATGAAGATGAGATAGATTCTAAGAATCATCTAAATAGCAAAAAGGAAGATTAAATTCAAGAAGCTGCATTAGGGGCTTAATAAATAGACTAAAAGAAAGATTCTGTATAATAAAAAGAAACTAGAGTTGAATAATTGATTATTTAAAATTCTTAATTAGTTGAAGAAAATGAGCTTTAGGTAAAAGAAAAAATGATTAATAATTTTGATAGTTTTAAACCAAAATTTCCTTCAAATTTGAAATATATTTCACTAAATCTAGAATTTAGCACTGTAACACCAAAATAAAAAGATAAACTTTATTATAGTATTATTGTTGGGCTAATAATAAATGCTGAAAGCTAAATCGACAGTATAAAAATTACAAATGTTGATCTTAGTATCTTTATGTTAAATGTTCAGAAAGCTTAAGAATTAATAAGAATTCTCGTTAATAAATGTTATAAAAATGAAGTTAAAGATTTTTAAAGTAAAATTGAAAAAATAGATTTAAATATCAAAACTACAACTGAGAATGACATAAAATTATTTGTAAAAACATTTATTTGCTCTAATCATATTCAACTAAAACATCTAGAGTTATCTGGATTTTAAAATAATGGTATAATTGCTGAAATTTTAAAATAATTGCCTAATAGAGATGAATATGTATTGGAAACTTTGAAGTTGACTCTAACAGAAAAATTAACAGAAGCAGAGACATTTTAATTTTTAGAAAAAGTAATTTTGGGAAAGGTTTTACCCATAAAGGTACTAAAATTAAGCAAAGAGGTTCAATTTTCATAGACATAATTTTCGGAGCTTTTATTCAATCAATAATAAATCCCTTTATATCATTATATCATAGTAGTTAATGATGAAGAAGAATAATTATAGATCCATTCTTAAATTTTAGAATTATTGTTCTAATAAAATTGTAAATTAAAAATATTAGATATAATCAAATCTAAAGATATGAACAAACTTTTAGAAAAGTTGATTGAGAGTATTAATTAAAATTAAATGATGTAATTTGCTTTAGAAGAACTTTATTTCAGTGGATAAATAAAAGTCGATTCTAAGTTCCTCAGTTTTTTATTTTCAATTCTTAAAAATCTTAAATAATTAAAATTTGATGATTTAGTATTTGAAAATAAGGAAGCTATTGAGAATTTTTTCAAGGATTCCAATATTAAATTTTAGTAAAGAAATGAAAGTATATTAGAAGTAAAAAAACAAACAGGGGATGGTTTACCAATTTTTGCTGAAAATTTTATATTTAATGATTCAATAGGATTTAATTGCCTTACTTTAAAAGATCCTGAACTCTTGACAAAATTACCTTCTTTAAACTAAATAAATAAAATAAAAATATTAAAATTGGATATGGGCTTGCTATATAATTCTGGTACTTAACTAAACGAAAATGGATTAACTTTGTTAGCTCAAAAATTTATATATAACGAAGAAAGTTGTTGTGAAGATCTATTATTGTTTTAATTACATTTTAAAATACCTGCTGTAAAAGCTTTAACTAAACCTGCTCAGAAATTTCGAGAAGATATAGAAGCTTAAAAAAGACAAAGTAGTTGTTAATTAAAATTAAAAGTAATTGTTTTCTATTATTCATTATATCTTTAAGACGAAGGACATGAATTATTGATGAAAGATTTATTTTATTTTGAATATATAAACATTGAAAGGTTATAAATGCAAGTAACGAATTTTAATAATTAAAACTGTAAATCCCTTTATACTAATGGTAAAAATTGGATGAATTTTCAAAAGACTTACAATAGGTAATATTAAACTAAATATCCTTTGAAATATCTAGATATATCTCGTAATGAATTTATTTCTGAAAAATAAGTATGGTCAGATTTCTTGAATTTTACTATTTTTTCAGATATGATGCCTTATTTGGAAACATTCAATATTAACTTTATGGCAATTAATGATATAATTACTGAATACATAGTAGAAAATGCTTTAAATTTCCTTAATAGAAAACCAAAGAATTATAAACTTCCAGTTAAGAATATTAATTTTTCATAAAATAATTCATTAACTAAAATTGGATGGAAGAATATTTTCGATAACTTTTTTTTACATCCTAAAGTAGATTTAATAGAGTTAAATATGATAAGTACAATGTTGGATTCTTCGGAGAAACTTGAAGTTATTTATGATAGTTTTAAAAATAGAGCAATTAACACTCAAAATAAAAAGTTACCTATGCAAATGTTTTTATGTTACAATGTAACACTAAAAGATATGATTCACCCATTTTTAACTAAACCTCCTTCTGATTATAAACCTCCACCTCATCAACCAGTGCTGATAGATTATGATAGCTGGAAAAATGGAATTCACGATGGTATACCTGAAGAATTCGGAGAAAAAGTTCTAACTTATTAAAGAATAATTTACTAGTATCCCGAGTTTCAAGAGACAAATAAATGGAAAGAGTTTGAAGAGGTTAAGATCTCCACATTTCATCTAGATTTTTGTGAACATTATTTAAAAAAAATGAATAGCTACTTCAAATAAAATTAAATAAAAAACCCACAAATTTATTTGAACCTTAATACACTTAAAGTTTTTACATCTATTTTCATGTACTCAAGAGAAAGACCTGGAAAGCCTTTTCCTTATTAATTAGTATTTCAAAGTAGCACATTTAGATTTCTTAAAAGTAGGGAAAGTACAATATATAAAATAAATCTCATTTAGAGCGAATTTTCAAATTTAGAGATAATTAATTAATAAGATGTAATAAATATATGGAAATAAATTAAAAGTTGGAGATCTTCAATAGATTAAATCTAAATGGAATATTCATTTAATGATGATCTTTGTGAATTAATGCTTAGTTAAGGATACACAGAAAGGGATATCATTTAATTAGTTAGAATTATACCACCGAAATCTATACGAATTTAACAAGGTTTAAGTTTACCGGCTGTTAAAGGATTATATTCTATTCTTTATGACTTACACTACTTCTAATACTCTACAGTTAATTATGGATTTGATTCATTTTTAAATACTGGTATTGGTTATGCACTTCGAGAAACTGCTTATAGCTATTAAGATAAAAATATTTTTTCAAGTTTTATGAAAAGGGCATTTTATAAATTTTTTAACTTTTTTGTTACAAAATCACAAAAATTTGAATTTGATACTGAAATTCAAAATTTAAATACATATTTATCTAATAGAAAAATGTTTTTCTATTTGATCGCATTTAATAATTTATTATTTTGGGTAGTTACTTTGATATCACCATACTTTTTTTCTCATTACTATAATGGAGATTCTACTAAAGAAGATAAAGAATATTATTGTATAGCAGGAACTAGTAATGAAGCTAATTATGTATATTATGGATTTGCTGGATTTTCTGCAATTATTGAAGCCTTTCTATTTTATCAATTCCAATTATAGATTCCTAATCATATTGATAAAATTGATATTAAAATTGAAAATGTTTAAGAAGAAGAAAAAGAAAAAGAAGTAGCTGTACCTATTACTCTTATTAATTTAGGTTAAGAAATTAAAAAAACTTAAATTGCACCATAAATTTTTGATAGAGCCAAAAAAACATATCTGGATGTTTAAAAGGCATTTAAGGTACACTAAAAAAAAATTACCGAATCAAAAATTTCATAAATAGTTTTAGTTCTGATCGGCTTAATGCTTTCATAACTTGCTAAATTTGACCTCTTTAATGATGTTGTGTTTACCTTAACCTGTTATTATTGTGATGAAACTATACTTTTTATTTTAGCTTTATTGATAATATGCATAACCTAAGGAATTTGCATTCTTTAGTATTTATATTTAGTCTATATACGAATTACTTAAACAGAAACGACAGCTAAAATACTATCAACTAAATTTATAAATGATATTTATCTAATTGCATTTTTAGGCAGAAACCAATCTCTTAGCGATCAATTAGATAAAGTAGCCCCTTATAATGTTTAAATAATTCCTAATATATGGTTTACTAGAACTTTTCTGCCAAATCAAGCTGGTAGAAGTATTAGTCACCCCGTTCAATCCTATTTGATACAATTTGTGCTAGAGGACTTCCCATAAATAATTTTACAGGCATTTTTCGTTCTCAAATAAGCTATAACAAAAGGAGAGTTATCATAATAAGTTATATTAATAATAATAATATCAATCTATAGTATTATTACATCATTTAAACAGTAAGATTTATTTTAACTATTTTAGATTTATGTCAATTAGACCTTCTACTTTGAATTAGGATGATTTCGATAGATTATCTAATATTAAAAAGAGTGAATATTTGGATATAAAAGAATAATAATTAAAGGAGGAATAAAATTAATTGAAAATATATACAGAAATGTTTGCAAATCCTTCAAGATTAGCCTCCCCTATTTAGTAAAAGTTAGATGAAGAACATGAATAATTATTGTGAGAGTTTATTTATAGGATATTGAGACTTATTTATATTAATTACAAACTTTATTTTATATAATCGTTTCTAAATGAAAACGGATAGTTAATTTAAAGTCATTAAGTTGAATGATTAAAGACTTCAGCAATAATTAAATTAATGAAGATTGCCATATTGCTAATTTTAGCTGTTTCACTTAATGCAGTCTCAACAGACTTGAATAGATAAGCTTAAAAGCATGTTGATGCCTTAATGAAAACTAATTGGGGACAAACAATCTTACAATTGGCTGAATTACATGCTCACACAGGAGGAGTACTATAAGACTTAGTAGGAGCAATTGAAGAAATGATTTAATAAATGTAAGATGAATTAGATGAAGTTGAATACAATTACGGAGTTAGAACTAATGAACACAACTCATTATCATTGTAATATACCTAAGAAGTCCAAGATGCTGATATTGGTAAGATATTAAAATAAAAATAAAGATATTTAAAGAAGTGCTGATACATTGGAAAATTTACTTTATCCAAGAAGAGAATAATTAAAGGGAAAAATCTAATAGTTGATTGATTACTAAGAATTCAATAGAAAGACAGTTGATGAAGAAACATTGATCAGAGAATAAGAGCATGAAGCATTTGAAGCATAAGTTGCTGAATTGAACGATGCAGTAGGCGCTACTGATGATGCATTGAACTTGTTGAGCACCTTAACAAATCCATCATTGGTTTAAATTCAAAAATTCTAAAGCAATTTGAGAAAAATTGAAGCTAGAATTCAACCCCATTCATAACACTAAACTTTGATCAAAGCTTTAATAACATTGGCTTCAGAATAAAACTTCTCAGACTAAGGAATCATCAAACAAATTGTAGATAAATTGAATGAATTCAGAAATGCTGTAGTTGATGCTATTAACGCAGCAACTGCTTAAGAAGCTTAAGATGTTTAAGATTATGAAGACAGAATTGAATAATTAGATGCTGAATATGCAGAATTCTAAAGATAAATAACCAAGGTAACAATAGATTTGAATGCTACTTAAGGTAAATATTATTAATTATATATACAGAAAAAATCGAATAATTTTTGTCTTTCCAAGCATAAAGATAATCTGACAGAAATACAGCTTAAGCATTACTAGATTTGGAAAATGAACAATTTGCAGATGATACTTAAATCTATACTGACTTGAAGAACAAATTAATCAGAGATATCTAAGTGACTGAAGAAGCATTCAGTTTAGTAAAAAGCGTTGACTTTAGCAAAATAAAAGTCTGATTGAATAGATTAATAATATTAATAATTATAAATGGATATTTCTAGAAATATAATTTAATTTATAGTATAAAAGTAATAGTTGTATTTTGATTGGAATTAAAAATTAATTTGAGGTAATAAAATGCTAAGCAAATTATTCAGACCAACATTAAAAGTGAACTAACACACTGTGAATGCATTCAGTAGTAAGGTAATGAAAGGAGAATATGTCATTGGTATTGATTTGGGAACAACAAACTCATGTGTATCTATAATGGAAGGTATAGAAGAAAATAATAAATGATTAGCTGGTACACCAAAGGTTATAGAGAATGCTGAGGGTATGCGTACTACTCCATCAGTAGTCGCATTTACAGCTGATGGTTAAAGAATAGTTGGTGCTCCAGCAAAAAGACAAGCAGTAACAAATCCAGAGAATACAGTATATGCTACAAAAAGATTAATTGGTAGAAGATATGATGATCCAAATGTTTAAAAGGACATTAAACATTTGAGTTATTCAGTTATAAGAGCATAAAATGGAGATGCTTGGGTTAGTTTAAAAAGTAAAATAATAATTTATATCATAAGGTGGTTAGACATATTCTCCTTCTTAGATAGGAGCATTTGTTTTGATGAAAATGAAGGAAACTGCAGATGCCTATATTGGAAAACCTTAATCAAAGGCAGTAGTAACAGTTCCAGCTTATTTTAATGATTCATAAAGATAAGCAACAAAAGATGCAGGTAAAATTGCAGGTTTGGATGTTTTAAGAATTATTAATGAACCAACAGCAGCAGCTTTAGCATTTGGTTTAGAAAAGAAAGATAATAAGATTATTGCTGTATATGATTTAGGAGGTGGTACATTTGATATTTCAATTTTGGAAATTAATGCTGGTGTATTTGAAGTTAAAGCTACTAATGGAGATACAAGTTGTGGAGGTGAAGATGTTGATTCTATTCTTTCTAATTGGATAAGTTCAGAATTTAAGGCTTAATCTGGTGTTGATATTTCTAAAGATAAAATGGCTGTATAAAGAGTAAGAGAAGCAGCCGAAAAAGCTAAAATTGAATTATCATCAACAACATAAACAGATATCAATTTACCATATTTAACTGCTGATGCTTCAGGACCTAAACATTGTAATCTTAAATTGACAAGAGCTAAATTAGAATCATTAACTGAAGATTTCCTTAAAAAAACAATTAAACCAACTGAAAATTGTATTAAAGATTCAGGATTAGATAAAAGTAAAATAGATGAAGTTATTTTGGTTGGTGGTATGAGTAGAATGCCAAAGGTATAAAAATTAGTATAAGATTTATTTAATAAACCACCTAATAAATCAGTTAATCCAGATGAAGCTGTATCTATTGGTGCTGCTATTTAAGGTGGTGTCTTAAAAGGTGATGTTAAAGAATTATTATTATTGGATGTTACTCCACTCTCTTTAGGTATTGAAACTCTCGGTGGAGTTTTCACTAAAATGATTCCAAGAAATACAACTATTCCTACTAAAAAAAGTTAAACTTATTCTACTGCTAGTGATAATTAAACTGTTGTTTCTATTAGAGTATTCTAAGGTGAAAGAGAAATGGCTGCTGATAATAAATTATTAGGATAATTTGATTTATCTGGTATTCCACCTGCTCCAAGAGGTGTTCCTTAAATTGATGTCACTTTTGATATTGATGCAAATGGCATCGTCCACGTCTCCGCAAAAGATAAAGCTACTAATAAAGATCATTCTATTACCATTTAATCATCTGGTGGATTAAGTGAAGCTGAAATCTAAGATATGATTAATAAAGCTGAAAAATATAAAGATGAAGATAAAAAAAGAAGAGTATATATTATGTTCTATATGCTAGGAACTTGTTGATTTGAAAAATGAAGCTGATGGAGCTATTTTTAATACTGAAAAATCACTTAATGAACATAAAAGCAAATTATAACCAAACGAAGTTTAAGAAATTGAAAGTGCTATCTAAAATTTAAGAGTTTTGTTAACCGAAAATCTCACTGCTAATGATGTTCAAAGACTTAAAGATGCTGTTGAAGGAGTTAAAAATGCAGCCATGAAAATCGGATAAGCTATGTATTCTTATTCTTTTTAACCTTTAGGTATCGAAATACTGGAGGAGCTAGTGAATAATAACAATAACAATCTTCTGAATAAACTGGAGAATAATAATAGTAATCAAACTAAGAAGGAGGAGATAATAACAACAAATAAAATTGATATATTATGTTATTAATATTGTACAAATCTATAATGTTATATACAATTTATAATATGTTCAAAAACTTTAGCATATCTTTTTATTTAAATCATATTTTAAATTCATTAAACATTATAATCAAAAATTCATTATTTTTAAAATTCATTGTTACATGTTTATTATTTTTACTATTACTATTATTATTATTATTATTATAATTATTATTATTATAATAATTATTGTTATTATTATTATTATGGTTATTGTGACTATTATGCTTGTTGTATCAGTTCTTCTTTTAATTTCCACCATCTACCATTACCAATAAATTATGTAACTCCTAACTCTTAAAGCCTAACTCTTAATTCTTTATCACTTGTAACTACAGTTGTTTAACAATTATGTTAACCAATGCATAATTTTACAATCAAGTCATCTGCTATTTCAGGATAAGCTGACTAAATGCTAAAATTGATAAATTTTTATTTGTTTAGAATTTTAAATGTAGTTATTTTCTCTTGTTCATTTAATTCGTGAAAAAAATTGAATGGTTCATATTAAGATAATTTTTATTTTATTTTTTGAATTTTATTCATTTTGTAAACATCCCATATCAAATGAACTTCATCTAACTATTATTCAGCCATTTAAATCCAAACAAAAATGATTTTTAAAACATTTTTGATTTACTTTTTAGGCTTACCCTTAAATTTATTCCATTAATGACATGCATACTTAATATTATTACAATCAAGGTATAATATTTTAGTATTGGATATAATTTAAATGATATTATCGAAATTAGTATTTTATTAATTTGCATCATTTTGCTCATTTAATGATTAGACTACTTTATTAATATTCCAATTATATCGTTTTAACAATCTATAATTTTTTTTATGATTGCAAAACCCCATGTGTTAAAGTTATGCAAAATGTGGAGTACCAAATGATTGTTATTATTATTGAAATTAATTAGTTTAAGGTAGAGGCGATTTAAATTGAGCAAGCCATTCTTATTATTCAATGTAAAGAGGATGGAGATTAATATTTTATTAATTACTCATATTAAAATAAATTAATTAAAAAACTTATATATACAGATTAAGTTTAATAATGATTAAGAATGATTCCATATTTTTTGGTAGGTGATTTGAATCATGAATGATTTATTTTTACAATATATATTTAATCAATTTTTGTAAATCCTAATTTGCTAAGAAATCTTCATTTTGCAAATTGGACATAATTACAAATTTTTACTACATTTGAAACAAGTAGAATTATGCTTACAAGGAAGAAAAAGTGCATCTCGTTCATTTTCAAGACATTATGTACAAAAGTTATATTCATTAAAATTGATACTGAATTTATCTAATTAGCAAAGATATTAATTAACAGTTCCAATTCTGATGATAGTAATTTCATCATTTTAGGTGATTGGATAAATAGAACTTGGTTATCCATCAGGAGATATTCTTAACCAAGTACTAGAAATGAAAATGAAATATACCCATTAGTAGATGAATGATCTTCAATAATAACATTCTTGTCAACTAAATAAAATTTAGCATGTAAATTAGAGAGATGATGATCTTCAGGAAAAGCAATATCAGTATTAGTTTTTCTACCAAGAGTAACTGAGGTTTTGTCTTGATCAAGATGAAATGTTATTTATTCTTCAGAATTAGGACCTTCAAGTACAAGGAGTCCAAATTAAATACCATTAGAAATTTATTCTAATTGAATGACTTAAAACAAATTGCTGCCTAGTTCAATGAGCATATCTTAAAAGAGATTCATTCGTTTTTAAATTTTAATATATGTTCCTGTAGTACTTCCTATATCTCTAATATAAAACTTAAATAATGATAAGATAATATTACTTTAGAATCTTAATAGATAACTTCTGCATGAAATCTGCTAATATTTTCTTCCAAAATAAGAATTTGATTACTGGAATGTCTTCCAATCTTTGCTCCTGTCTATTTAATACAATAGAAATTATTTTATTAACTCTCTAGAGGTTATAGGATGAGTTAATTTTCAATTTGATTGTTGATTTTGTTCTAAGAGTGATGCAATTCATCAAATTGATTAATAATAGATTAACATTATTTGTCTTAAGAAGAATTAAGATTCTTTTAGAGAGTGAAATCTTCACTAGTTGATTTTTTGATAGTAGAAACTTTAATTTAACACAAATATGTGTTATATTCTTTTAATCCTGTAGTTATCCCTACCGATTAGAAAATGGTTACAATTCATCAATTTTTTTTTGATTATTTTTTAATTGACACCCAACTCTTCTTCTAGATCATCGTCTGTAATTTCTTCTAGTACTGAACCATCAATTGAACAACTCACTAATATAGAAAAATAGATAAGTACCAAACTTATCTTCCATCTATCCAAGTCCAATGAATTAGAGCCAGATAACCACATCTTAGACTAACCATTTCTTAGGTTCTTTTGGTAAGAGTAAATAAAGAGAATCATAATCCATTTATAAAATATTAATATTCCTGTACTAATTCAGTTTATTTAGTGAGTAAATTAAGATCATTTTATCAAAGAAACAACAATTGTAATATCATCTATTACTTCCTTTGCCAGGCTTCCCTTGCTAATTAAACTAACTTCTAACAAGCTCCTTCACTATCATCTTTCTTATAATATTCATAAACTATTTCTACTACCTACTCATTCGATAAAATCTTATTTTTATAATAATAATTTCTATACTCCCAAATCCCATCAGAAGCCAATATTATAAATTTATCACATGGTAGCAATGAATGTTTAATAATTTCTGGCTCACAAATTACTCCCACTTAACTAGCAATATAATCTCCAAAACTCCTTGACATAGCCAACCCAGGTACATCTTCATCCATTTTCCAAACTCTAGCTGGCCCTATTGGATTTCCATCGTCATCACTATAAGCTTAAACTCTTCCTCCACTTTAAAGAATTCTTGCCTATTCTAAAAAACAATCTGGTTTATGATCTTTTGATAATTCTATCACTGATAGTTTGTTATTGAATCTTCCAATAATTGCTCGACTATCTCCAATATTTGCACAATATAACACATTATCAAAAAATAATACAACAACTGTTGTTGCACCTGAATATGTAGCATCTATTCCACTATCCATCAATTCTTTATTTGTCTACAAAAAACAATTCTTTAGGACTAAATTAATTTATCTATTTTCGATTTTAAACTTACTTATCTCTCTCTTAATATGATTTTATATTCATTACTCCTTAAGCTATTGATTCTGGAAGTACTTCCTACAAAAACTTAGCCACTTAATGCCCATTTGTTCCATGTCCATCAGAAACTTAAATATACCAATCATTTTCTCTAAATATCTTAATTTGTTTTAGTCTATCCATTATACAACATACCAGCAACACTTTAACCATTTGATTTCATTATTTACGATTAAATTGTAGAAATTTCTGGATTACTTATCGAACGAGGACCCTTGAATAATTTTTGTTTTATTATCATTATTATTTCGTCATTTCCATTAATTTTTAATATTTTTTCTAAATATTTTATGAATTGTTAAGATCTTTTGTTTATTATATTTAAGATTGATTATTTTCACTTTTATCTTATTTTATTTTTATTAACATAGATAGAGCACTTGTTGACAGATTTTAAGAATTCTCCTTCGTTTCAGCTAATTTACTATTTTAACGTGTATGTGTTTTCTAAAATAATACACTATTAACATCTTTTGAATCCTTCCCACTTGCAGGTTTTAACTTTTTAGCTTCTATTTTTTGGTTCCCTCCACTATTTCTGTTACTGGAAACTAAGTAACTAATTACTATAACAATTATTTCTTAACTTATTTTATGTTGAAATTGGAGATTTTAAGCGCCCTTATTATTATTATTCATTTTTCTTTTTATATAAACAAGTATATAATTTATCTGGAGATATTTATGAAACTTTCTACTTCATACAATATTTTTGTTTGTTTGTTAAATATAATTTATATTAATATGATTTAAAATGTCATTGATGTACTTGACTTCTAAACTACATCTCAGTCAATATTTTCTAAGCAAACTTATTATACAATTAGAGGATCTGATAAATATGGAGATTTTGAAATACATCGTAGATTCAAGGATTTTGTTGCTTTAAGAAATCTTCTTATTTAATAATGGCCAGGATGCTATATCCCAAGTCTTCCTGGAAAGAAACTGTTTAATGGTAATGATGAAAGGACCATCCAAGATCGTAGAAAATTCTTAAATGCTTTTTGTCAAAAGTTAAGTCAATTACCTCATCTATTCTAATCTGAAGAAGTATCATAGATCTTTTTAAGATCTAAAGATGATAAAATCTATAAAAAATTAGAATCCATCAAATCTTCATCAACCCAAGACCTTCTCTAAAAATACTAAACTACGTTTCCTGATATTGTAGATGTAATCATATTTCATTTTAAATCAAGATAGCCATTGATGCGAGTGCACTTAAAGAAATTGACAATTTTGCAGATTAAGTCAGAAATTATAGTATAAAATTAAAAAACATTAAAAAGATAATTAAGGATAGTGTTTAATCAGGTAAAAGCTATAACACTTGTTTAGAAGAAATTATCAAAATTAGATTAATTAACTTTGAAAACTCATTTGTCTCTTAATTTATCAATTAAGATCCTTCCTTACTAATTTTTAACAGAATCAAATAGGAATTAGTTGATACTTATTAAGAGAATTCAGTTTTCAATAGTAATAATATTGAAATCCTACTTGATTTAATTAGATTAGAATCAAAAGATTGTAAAGTAATTATCAAATATTAATTATTAAGATTGCTTTGAAATCTATTAATGACAGATTTCTCTTAGAAAATAAAGTTAAAAATTTAGAAAATAAAATTATTGATCTTGAAAAAGATTTAGAAAAATTGAATTAAGGAAAAGTTTCATTTATTAACATGATTAAATAAAAATCACCTGAAGATTCTAAAAAAAAAATTGAATTAGATATAAGTGAAAATGTTAAAGAAATTAATTTACTATCAGATTTGATTAGTTTTATTAATAAAATTCTAGCACTTAAGGAAAGAAACAGATATGAAAATGAAAAAAACTAATAATTCAAAGAAATCATTGAAGCTTTATAATCTATGGAATTAGAAAGTATTAAAATAGAGACTTAATATTGGGGATTCATTTTAAATGAAACAAACAAATTAATTGCTTAAACATAAAATTCATAGTAAATATAAGTATAAGATGATTAAACTAATTTGGAGTGATTTATACAATTATTTTTTTTTATCTCATGAAAATTAATTATCAAAGGTTTCCATCATTTAATATTGTCCATAACTTTACTGTATTGATCATTACTAAGCTATAAATTAGTAATGAGAAAATTCTATAAGAATTCAATATTTTCCACAATTTAAATCTATATGATTATTGATTAAATACATTTTAAGCTGATACTAATTTTGGTATTATTGAAATCAAAAAGCCTTAAGTTTCTTCATTTATTTCTATTTGTAATAACAATTAAATTTATTTAATATCTTATTCAACAAAAGGCTTAAGCATTTTAACAATGAAATTCACTCCGAATTTGGAATCAATTATATCATAAATCACTTCAGATAATCTAATTTGAATTTGCTCTAAGATTAACTCTTTAATAAATTCTTCACTTGTTTTTAAGTATATTTTGTGAGCATATTCTATTTTTTAAGTATTATCTTAAGTTATTCTAGTTATTAATTTTAAATAGCAATTCCAAAAAGAGACTATTAATTCTGATTATTTAATTGAAATGTATAATTTTTAAATTTCTGAATAATAATCTTCATTTTATTTTATTTAAAAAATTCTTTCTAAATTAGAGTGAATCTATTTTATTGTAGGTTATTTCTAAACAGAAAAATCATTTTCTTCTTCATTTATTAAATCTAAATTTTAAACATTTAATTTGATGGATGGTTTTTATTTTAAAGGTAATTCTTCAATATCTGAATCACTCGATTCAGTGACATCAATTTTCTTTTTAGAATTTTATTTTTTGTTTTTCCAATTATTATCAAATTTTTCCAATAAATTCGTTATCAATAATTTCAGCCTTTATGATGAAACATGTTTTTCAATCCAACATAATCTATAATAATAGTAAAAAAATTACAGAATTCTAATTCCTTTTGGGGAAAAACAAAATTAATCTTTATTCCATTAAGCTAATTCTTTTGATTTTAAAAATGAAATAAACTCCTATTCTAATTAAATTTCCTCTTTATATTGTTTAATAAATAGATCATTCTTCACTATAATTTTAATTATGGATACTTGCTGAAATAATATCAAGCAGAGACTCAACAATTTCATCTGTAAAGAATGCTTATAAATGTTTATTCTCTAAAAGAAATATTAGTCTATTTTGTAATTAGATTATGGAATTATTTATGGAATTTATTTTGATAACCCTATCTTTGTAAAGATGAACAATAAATTTATATTCTAAATTATAGAGATATATACTTCCTATAAAATTTTATTTCCTTTTAGTCAGTATTATAATTTCATCATCTTTGTTATAAGAATTTTAAAACTCTTCATAATTTTCTTATTTAAATATAAATGTATTTAAATAAGAATCTAAAAATTAATAAGAATTAGTATGTTTAATAATTTCTTTCATTAATTAACTATATAAGTGACGAAATTTATTTTAATTTGCAGCAATATTAATTAATTCTTCAATGAATGTAATAATTTGTTCTTTCCTAAATATGTAAAATTAAAATTATACTATTTTTATGTAAGTAGTTCTAAAATGATTTTGCTGATTTAGGAATAATTTTATTGAGACAATTGATTAATTCTAAATTTTAATGTTTTAGCAAATTCATTAGAATTATTTTTAAGAGTAGTAAACCATGAAAGATTTTTGAGTATTTCTCTTTTCTTTTCCATCTAGAGTGTATAAAAATAAATGTATTACTACTAATGGATCTTCATACTGTCTATTAAAAAATAGTTTTTGAATTGGTTTCCGATGTACCAGTGGTTTTAAATGCTGTACTAAAGGATGATTGAAGAAGTCTTATTTAACGAAATTTTTCAATTCTAATGAAGTATAAAATTTTTAATCGCTAGGCCAAAAGACATGTACATTAGAATCGAAATGAATGATTGGTTATTTATCACATGGAGTATTGGTAGGTGGCATTGTACCATTTAGCTATTGAAATGAGATTTCATAGTTAAAATGTTTCTTCATTATATATTTATTTATTATATTTGGTTGTTCAAATATCTTCATTTTCAAGTTCACCTCTTAAGCTTTCAACCATTTGATCAGTTTATCTTTATAATTCTTCAGGTGATAATTCACTTTAACCAGGAGTTTTTTCATATGCAACTTCTAAATCCCAATTTGGTGCTTATTCCATTTATGGGGTTTCTGATTATTAAAATCTACTTTCAAATTGAGACATTTCCAAAAGAGATAATTCTTCTGGAAGTAATTAAAGTGGTTAACCCTTCTCATCTAATAAATCTAATTTATCTATTGCTCTAACATAATCTAAATTTTCATCTGATGGAATATGAGCCATAGGAGGAGATGGTGAATCTTCTATAAGTGCTTATTTTCCCATATCAGGTGATGAACCATCATTTGTAAATAAGTCTGCAAAATTTATCTCTTTTTAAGGAGTTTAATCTAATGTTTCTTCTACATAAACTTAATTTTCATCTTCACTAACTTATGCAAAAGACTTATGCGATTTTTTCAAAGCATTATGAATTGCATTTCTTTCTTTTGATTCTGCTTTTTCAATTCTGTCTTAGTTTGTTAAAGCATTCACCTCTACTTCAGAAGAAGAAATTACTCCTACATTCCCACTCAAATCTTATGACTTTCCAACATTTTAAGATCTATATTACAATATAACAATCTGTTACTCTAATTGAATCAAATCCTGGGTATGCTTAGTTCCTTTATTTTACTTCTGTTTTCGTATGTTTGCTCCATTTACTACCACTAATATTAAAAGAAGGAAACCGATGTATTTCATTTTTTTATATTATTAATCCGTTTTATATACATCCAAAATAAAAATTCAATATTATAATATTTTAACATATCTAAGTCTTAAGCAAAAATATTATCTAATAAATCATCCAACAAATATCATAAATCAATTACCAATATCAAATTTCAGAAAACTAAAAATAATAATTTTTATATATTTAACCTTATTATTTAGTATATAAATTAATAACTATCAAAATTATCTCAATATTAGGTTTTATCTTCTTTAACTACTTTAAAAAAGATTCCTAAAATAGATATTTTTTAAGATAAATAAAAAGCTAATCAAAAAATACAAAGACAATAAATTTTATATTAAATAATCAAATAAATTATTCAATTGATAGTTAAAGTAAAATATTTCTCATCATTGTGATTATAAATAATTTTTAATTCATTAAATAAAATAATAATTAAGATGTTTTAAGAAAAATGAAACCCAAAAAATTAATATATTAAACTTTTTTATTATAAATATCAATAACAAAAAAATAAATTCAATATACATTGTTTATTTATAAATGGCAAAGATGTTCTATCTAATTACACCATCCATCTTTGTTTATTTATGTGATCCATAATAATTTACATTTTATCTGTCAACAAATTCATAAGATTTTTTAAAGCTTTCTCTATTTCACTTTTTACTTTATTAAAATGAACACTGAGGATTGTTACAATATTATCATAAAACATGAAACTAACCCCTCTTTTATCATAGTAATCAGCCATAAAATTTAGTATATCAAGATGAAATTATACTAATTCTTTTGAAAAAATTGATTTTTTTAATTTAATGGGTCTTATATCTGGGACATCATTCAAATCAAAATCATTATGATATAATTTGAATTAAGATCCAAACTGTTCGAAATCCTCACAATTAATTATGGCTAAATGTTCTTTATGTTTCATTTAAACTTATTGATCTAATTTTTCTCTTAATTTTTTTATTCTTTTCTCTATTAATTCTTAAAATTGATTAATTTCCAAAGAATATTTTACATTATTTTTATCATTATTGTTATGATTATTTTAGAATGGATGTTAAATTACAATTCCATCTTAAATTCCTTTAATTTTATATAAACTAGGATCTAAAGTTAATAGCTAAAGGACTTAGATGATATCTGAGAAATTGTTCTAAACAGTAAATTATATTTAGCATTTATTTCTTAAGTAATTCATCTCTATTTTATTGAATAAATCTAAAAGAGATGCATATTTTTTTGGAAGTGGATAAAATCCACCTTTTTAATGTACTCCATATTTTTATCTTAAACTTAGGAAAGGTATAAAAGATTCCTCTTATTTTTTTATCATAGCTGACATTGTTTCATCTTCAAATGAGTTAAAAAGGTCTAATTTCACCTTCTTAACAGTAGGTAAGAGTCTTTCGCTAATAAATAAGAAATCGGACATATAATTTTAATATTTCTTCCTCTCTTAATAACCGCACTATTTTAATTATAATATGTGCGCCTAAAATTAATTTTATAATTAAAATTCGGTAATTAATTTTTGCAAATTTTAGCAACCTAAATTTTATTAATACTAATAATATAAAATGATAGTCAATTTTTTATATTTTTATCACAGAATTAATCAAAATATATAGCATAAATTAAAATTCAAGAAAATAATCCTTTTGAACTCTCTTATTAAATTATGTTTTTTCAGGCTCCTTTATCAATGTTTAATTTAATTTCTTGTTTTTCTTTCACCCTCTCTAGTAGTTTGTTAGTTTTTTAAATTTTTAATTCAAATCTTGAATCTCCTTTATGAGATTTTTGTAATTCAACTAACAATTAGCCTTTCTTGCCTGTAGTTTTTTTCTTAAATTCCACATCATTAACAACTCCTTTCAACCACTCATCAGCAAGAATTTTCTAGCCATATAAATAAATATATATAATTTTCATTATTCAATCACAATATTTAAAGTTTTAATCATAGTTAATAATTTAAAATTTATAGCATTTTATTCTATTAATATAAGTAAATTATAACAATTAGTTGGTCAATTTTTATTCCCAATAAACTCTTTAAGTTATACAAGGTTATGATTTTATTTATAATATTTAATTTTTTAAATCCTTACTGTTAAAATTAAATATCTTTGCAATTAAAGTTTTAAAATTTTTAAATATCATATTTTAATGAGTATTTTAGTTAATTGAACAAATTTTGTTAAATTTCTAAGAAATACAATAATTTATTATGATATTTAAAAAATGAAGATTTAATAATTTAATATTTTTACAATTAGTTATTAAATATCATTACAGAAAAGAGAGGAGTCATTATTATTGTGACTATAGTATTATTTTGATTTAATTAACTCTTAAGTTTATATTTTTACTCACTATTACTATTTTTTTATTTCTAAAATGATTAAGTAAAAAGATAACTTGTCCTCAACTATGTTTTAAATACATGTTTGACAAGAATTGCTAATCTGAAATTAAATCAGGTAATCTAATTATATAGGAGACTTTACCTTATTTTATTCTATTTAAGAATTAGCATTAATTATTTATTAAGATTAAGCAGCAGTATAATTTTAATAGTATATATAATAAATTTACAATTTTGTTCTCAGAATTTATATCGTTGTTATTAGAAAATTATTTATAATTTTAAATAGTTTTTCTGTTTCCTAAAACTTATACATATAATTCTGATGATGAACAAATTAATCACTTTAATTGTTATTTTATAAATAGCCATTAATTTGAGGATTAGCTAATAAAGTTTAAATTCCTTATAAAGTTTATAAAACAGTTGGCTATTTAGTAGTTTATGTCCAAAAATCATTTGGATATAGGAATTTAAACTTTCTAATAAGTTCTAATAATTATTATTTAATTGACTTCTCATTTCTGCATAATTAATACTATCGAGAGGAGGAACCATATATTAAATTAACTATTATATATAAAAAATTAATTTTTTTTTATAACTATTAAAATTTTTACGTAGAAATTATCAAAATAATGTAAATATATATCACTTCTAAGAAATATCATGCTCTTCTTTGAAAGGAATAATATAATTCACATTTTGGAATGCTTACTTAAGGAGCTTAAGAATATTTTATGGATTTAGAATTAAATCTTCGGTCCTTACCTTATAATATAAATCTTTATAGTAATTATCCTCTAGGTTTTTGTAAAATTAGCGATATTAAGGATCAATTTTTTAGTATTCAGGAAGGTACATCACAATTCCAGGTTCAATTGATTTAATTTTCATTTTGAATTGCTCTAAGAAATCTTATGCTGAGTTTTCTTCAACTTTGACTTCATTTAAGAGAGTTTTTGATCTTTAAATTGATTCTTCATCATCCTACTAGTAATCCTTTTAATCATTAGATTTTTTAATCTTCTTTTTAGGTTTAAGATCATGAGCTTTAGGATCCTTTTAAATAAACTTTTAAAGTTCTTCTACAAATATTTTCATTTCTTCTGACTATTTATATTTCTAAACTTTGATTTTTTCTAGAAGGCATCTCATTTTATGATAATGAACTTAATCGACTTTGATCAATGGAGGATATTAATTACATAATCTCATCTAAGTTGAAATTTACTTTGATTCACTTACAAAACCTTCACCTTTTGACCACTTCTTCTATTTTATCACAGTTCCATTATTTTTGACTTCATTAATATTGTTTTAATAAAATTCTAATTCATTCTCATTTGTAATGTTATCAGTCTAAGTTGGATCTTTGTAGAAACTTTAAAAATCAAAGTTATTATTGATTCTCTATGTTGCTTCTATTAAAAATTTTGGGGAGAATTTTTATTATTTTCCATATAACTCTTTTATTAGAAACTCAGCAACTTCTAATTAAATTGCTTTAGGCAACTCTACTAAATATTTCCAAACATTTTAGTTAGGATATGATTGTAGAGAGGCACACCGATTAATACATCCAGGTTTTATGCTTACGCAAGTAATTAATGGATGATACGGAAGAGCTTTATTATTGAAATACTTTCTTAGGGAATTAAGAGCTGTTTTCATGAACAATTTCTTTTATCTTTCTTCTTATGAAATTTATTTAACCCTTTTTGGAGATTATTATCTTGACATTTTATTTTTAGATTTAATTTAAAAATCAATCTTTTTTTTTCTTATGATATTTAAATACTCTAAATTCTATCATTTTATCATCTACCCTAATTAATTATGATTAGGTGGGTTTTTGTTGTTTAAAATATCTTCTTATAAAATTTTTTTATATTTTTTAACTTTCATTTCTAAGTATGTTAAAATATCTAGAATGTAATTAAACTATTATCAGAAAGGTTCAAATTATTTATCAAACAATCTTTTTCTCTTATCCCTATTCTTTATTAAACAAGTTTTAAATTAATGGGTAAATCTAATTGGATTAAGTTCAATTATTATTTCAAAAGGTATTCAAAATTTTATCAATTCATTTATTTAATTGTAATAGATTAAGAAATTCTATCATTAGTAATTTAAAAACAGCTGTCAAAGAATGAAAAACTAAGCAATTTTGAAGACTTTTAATAATTGGTAATCTAATTTTAATTACTTTTAAATTGCAATATAAATTTCAAGAACAAATTTACTTTTTTTTTCTCTTTGATTTTTTTCTTTATTTATAAATTGTATTTGTTAATTTCCTATGTTAATTTTTTGTATGAATAATTAAATATTCTAAAAATAATTAAAAATAACCTATCCTAAGAATTTAATTCTTAATACTTATAATTTTTAATTTGATGGTAATAGAATCAAATAAGTTTGGGTAATTTTTTTAAGATTCCTAATATTATTTTTAGAATATTTTGATGTGTAGATTATAATTTCATAAACCTAATAGCAATCCTTCTTTTCCTACTTTTGCATAGTGATTAATTTTTATTTGTTAAAACTTTTTATTCTTGCATTTTTAAGTAATCATATAAAAATATGATTGTTAATTTGTTAATTTGAATTTGAAACCAAAAATAGAAACGAGACAATGTTAAGGTTATAATTTTTAAATAATATGAATTTTATCTATCATTTTATTTTACTTATTATCAAGTTGTTTTGGATTTCTATTAACTTTCATTAAATACTCTTCTCATTAAATTTAATTACATCTCCTTTAAATTATAAAATAAATAATTACATTAGTTCTAGCCTTCTTGAAATTGAAGTACTCTTTATTAGTTCCACATAGAGTGTCCCAATAGTAGAAGAAACTAGAAAAATTTCCTATATTATGTGAATGATGATAATGATGATATTCTGATGAGCCAGAAAATGGTAATAATCTATAGGGAGACCAAGAGAACTCATAACCACAATGTCCATCAATAGTTTCAAAAACTCTAACAATGTACCAGAAGCCCAAAGTATAGACATGCATATTAGCACCAAGTATTAAAGGTCCTAAGGCAGTAGCTGTAGAGGTTAATACAAATTCTATAGGATGTTAATATTCAGCAGCAACACTAATAGTATTATAGAATTCATGGTGTTTTTTATGAATATAGTAGAATCTTGGGTTATGTAGAGTTCTATGTAACCAGTAGAATGATGTATCTTCTACAATCATACAGAAGGCTATTTGCCAAGCTAATTCAAAATGGGATGGAATGCTAGAAGAATCATGTCTAAAGTTTTGTCCAGCATATACACTTGCAATAGTTAACAAAGAAGAAATGATTGAATTTAGAATCCAATTAAGAAGTACCTTTTTTTTAGTTTAAGTCCATTATTTTAAATTCTATTCCCATGGCCATGGATTCTAAGATTATTATGATATATATAAATTACATTATCAACTTTATATCTTTCAAAGAATGGTAACTTTAAGGAGTAGATTATGTACATATAAATGTTACCTAACACATAACTAAGGTTAGTGGAACACAATTAAACAAGTAGGAATATTTAAATTTCTAAGAAATATAAAATATTTAAATTACTTTGCATGCCATCTAAATATGAATGAATAAAGAACATTATATGAGGAACTGTCAAATATGTGGATAAAGCAATAAAGATAGCAACTAAAAGACCATAACCTAATTTAAAATAAAATACAATAAATACCTTTACGTATATATCTGTTCTTATCTTTTTTAATGGCATTGTCAAGGGCATCAAGTGTAGCCAAAGAAGCAATAGATAGATCACTTTAACTAGAAGTTTCCATAATGTAATAAAAATAATGAAATCTTTAAAATTAGAATTAATATCATTTTCTCATTACATTTGTTCTTAATGTTCCATTATTTAAAATGGAATTAGACATGTTTTTAAAAACTGAAGGTTATTCATAAGCACCTGGTCCAGGAGTTTTATCATTTTTGGTGAAATCTAACTTATTACCATATCCAAGAGAAATTTTATTAAATCTTGAAGGTTCAAGGATTTCGGTTTTAATTTCATAAGTATTGGAGGCAGGAACTTTTTCTTAGAATGTAGCTAATGGTTTGATTCTAGCTCCAATTGTACAGGCAGGCTAAAATTAACGAAATTTATTAGAACAATTACCTTATTAGAGCCAATGATTTAAGAGACTTCATAGGAATTAGGACTAGGTCCTTAAAAAGTATGTGATATTTTAAATCTGTCACTTTGAGACCAATTAGTTTTTCTAAATTTAGAGGGTTATTTAGTTTCTTAATTGAAATAAGCATCAGGAGGTGGATTTTATTCAGCATTTCTTTCAACATACAAAGGACATATATATTTATTACCATATCCAAAACCAGTTGATCTTCCAGAAGTACCAAGAGTCCCTGGAATAGTATAATTAAATTCAGTTTTGAGAGTTGAGTCTTTATCAAATCTAAAATAATCAAATTATTTACCTTTAAGCTTTGCAGAAGGACACTTCAGGTATACTATGCCTGAGTGAAGATGAAGATTAATACATTGAGGTTCCTTTGCCTTATTCAATCAACTTATGTCTTAATTAGGACAGTTATAAAGTTGAAAGAGTAGATCCATTTAATCCAGAATTAACTGTAACTCCTTGAGTATTTGTATTACCACTTCGAACTTTGAATGATAATACAAAAGTATCAGAGGGTTAAATAGGTTCTTAATTAAGTTACCCATTTTGAAGTAGTAATTTATATGTTGATTACATTTCAAGATTGTCTGGAAGGATTTCAGCATTGTAATCATTTACTTTTATTCTGATAGGCTAATTGCCTTCAATAATTGGAACCAATATATTAATTGGAGATCGATCTATAAACTATTTTAAGATATAAACCTGCTTTGGTCACTAGGTTAAAGAGTATGTCATCTTACTATTTCAATTCAATTTTTATAGGTTATTCATCTTTTACAATATATAACCTCATGTCTTATAATCTAATGCTCATTATGTATTAATAATAATTATCATAAATTCCATGATTTCTTTAATATTGCCTCGAAACTCTCATCTTATGGCACAGACGATGAAACATCCTAAACAATCACTAATCATTCATTACTTAATAAAATTCTCCAAACTCTTAAAAGGGTATCACTCTATCAGGATTACCTTTATTCCAATGAGATACAAAATCTTAAAACACCTATCTTTCAGTTTTGTATCCTTTTAAAACATCTGGATGTTCTTTTACGTTGATTAATCTACCCATAGTTTCTAGGGTTACTTTCCCTGCTTTCTACTCAATTGATGCATATGCTCTTTAAACATAATACAATCTTTTCTCATTCATTTAAGACTAATCTTTAATTCTAAAATACTCTAAATGCATCCAAAAATTCATTGAATTCAATTTTACCATTTCCATTCTTATCAAATGTTTAAAAAATCATTTTAGTCTCATCTTCAGATAAATTCAATCCAAAATTCCTTAATCCCCATTTAAAATCGTTATACTCTACTTGTCCATCTTAAATAATATTATATAATGAAACTATTATTTTAATCCATTTCCATAAATATTTTAGCCAATCCTCTCAATCCATAAGCTCCCCTACCTGTAATTTATTATTTAACTCTAATCATTAAATTTTTAACATTTCTATTATCATCCATCACAGATTCATCAAATTATTCATTTTATTTTTTAGCTACTTAAAATTTCCATAAATTTTATGGTCTATATAAAAATTGATAAATACTCTTAATTTCTTAAAGGAATATCTATAGTTGTTCTACCTTCTTTTTCTGCTATCAGATTTTAAGTTTTATTCAAACATTAATAAGAATGTACAAAAACTTCTCTTTCTCTTCCAAAATCATTTTAATATATAATTTCATCACTAGCTAACCAATGTTAAGTAAATGAATGTTTAATCAACACAGTATCATCTGATCTAATAGGTTATCCTTCCATTTCAAATCTTATTCTAGGATCTGCATGTTCAAATTTCCATACTGTATTAAATACATCACTTTCAATTGCACAAACTTCTTATTTTCTTGATATTTTAGCACATCTTGTTGGCGTTTATGGAAGTGAATGTAGATAAAATGTCTTATTATTAGATATTCTAGGATTTGCAACAATTCTGAAATGTTATCCGTAATGTAATACATCATCTCCATAATAATTTGGTTCTTTTGTATAAGGTATTATCACAAATACTGATCTTACTGTTGGTTAAGATGTTTATGCAGTTGTAACATTGTATGCTTCCTCTCCTATTTTCAATCTCTCTTATATATCTATTGACAAAAACCCTTAAGTTTTCACATTCTAAATCATCAAATGAAATCCAAAATGAATGTAATCATCCTAAGGATATGAAAGAGATGCCAATCTTAAACTGAAATTTGTCTTTGTGTCTTTCACTATGCTTGCCAGTTATCCATTTTATCTATTTTTTAAATAGTCTTTCTTTCTATATAAATTATGCATAAATTATCACTTAGTTTCATCCAATTCCCATTCTTCAAACCAATTACCAATACGGGTCTAGAACTTGTATTTATGATCGACGTTATAATTATGCATTTATTTATTTATTATTTATTGATTAAAGTTTCTATGAAAACAGTTAAGATATGTCAATGGAATACCTTAGCTGATACACTATCAGGGGCTTTTCCACAAGTCAATAAATAATTCCTATCTTGGAATCATAGATCCTAATTAATATCCTAATATATAAAAAACAATAATTGTGATATATATTGTTTTGAAGAGGTTGATCATCCAGAATTTTTTGAAACAATACTTTAAGATCATCATTTCATTTTTTAAAAAAAATAACATAATAATGATGGTATCCTAATTGCTTACAAAAAAACCTTCAAATTATAATCAGTTAACATTATACCTTATTTAGAAAACAATAAAGTTTCAAATCAATTCTTTATTAAAGTTGACTTTCTAGATTTTATATTAATAGCCACTCATCTTAAAGCTAAAACAGAGTTTGAGAATATAAGAAGAACTCAATTAGAATAATTGAACAAATACTTATAAGAAAACAAGATAATTTTATGTGGTGATTTTAATACATAACCGCAATTAGAAGCAGTATCTAATTTTATGGAAATATCCGGAATGAAATGTACTAATATAACAATTCCTACAACTTCTAAAAATAGAGGAAAATTAGAAACAAACATAAAAGATTATATTTTCTATAAAGGAGTTCAATTAAAATAAAGTTAAGTGGGTCCAACAGAAGGAGTTTAATTAGATGAAAATGGATTACCTAGTGAAAAATTCCCTTCAGATCATATATTTTTAATAGGAGAATTTGATATTTGAATAGGATTAATTCGATATAGATTAAATAGAACATAAATATAAAAATAAATATAAATATAATAAGATAAATGTACTTTGAATAAGAATGTCGAAAATTTTTAAGACCTAGAAGATTAGAATATCAAATATTTGATTTAGGTATGAATTGAGTATAAATGAAGGGCCTGAATAACTTCCACTAAAAAATGGTACTCTGTTCAAATATGAAATAACAATTATGAATCGTTAGGGTCATGAATTAAAATGCTCATTTTTTTAGATAAAACCAATAATAAGTGATTGTTGTATAATTTATTGTCATGGTTTTAATGGTTGTCGAGTTGAAGGTGTAAAATATGCCCATGCTGCTGCATTATATAATCTTAATTTTTGTATTTTTGATTTTTAAGGATGTGGACAGAGTTAAGGTGATCTCATTACTTTTGGGTAACATTCCCCATTTAAATAGTTATTTAGAATAGAATGATATCACATGCATTATTTTAGAAATTAAAAAGAAATTTTAATAAAATTAATTCATATTATGGGGTAGATCATTAGGAGCGACTACTATATAATTAAAGAAACAACCTTATGTAAGTGGTTACGTATTGGATTCATGTTTCACCGATCTCAATAAAGCTTGTGTAAGCATGATTTAAAAGTCAACTTCCTTACCAAAACTGATAATAAAAAGTGTTCTGTATTTATTAAAAGGTATATTTAAATATTAACAATCTTTATAGGCAAAATTGAATCATAAGGTAATTTCAAATTTGATGATATCAAAATTCAAAGAGCTGACTCAAGTGTTCCAACCCTTTACATATGTAGTGATTAAGATACATTAATCAAATCCAAAAATACAATTGGATTATACTAGTAACATAATGGTCTAAGAGATCTTATTCAGATTTCAGGAGAACATAATGATTCAAGAACGCTCTAACTGATTGAAAAAATCTGTAGTTGGTGCAAAGAACGATTTTAAATTAATCGGTAATACTCTTGTCATGAATCCTCACCTTTAGATATTAGAAAAAAATATTAATATTTAGCAGGAAGAAATAGTTTAGTTAGAACACCATCAGATATCATACCTAAATATGATTTTAACAGATAAAATATTAATCATTGCTAAACTTAATCTACCTCTGTACTTAAATACAATAATCAACATGTTATTATACAACCAAAAAAACTATACTTTTAAGAATCTCCTTAAAAAATTATCGGTTAATAAGGCAAATTCTTAAAATAATCAATAAGTTAGGAAATAGGAAATACCATCTAATTTACTCGCAAACAGATATTTGATTGAATTAATTAATTATTTTATATGTTTATTCATAATTTAGGTTTCTCTATTAGTGGAAGTCTTGATAAATATTATAATACAGAATGATTACATAAATATCCAGCCTCATAAAAATTATCTGTACTATTAGTTTTTATAATATTTCCTTGTCTCCAGGATGATATTCAGAGAGCCCTGTTAAATTATATTACTCAAATCTATTTTATTTAGTTTATACTATTTCCCAAATAGCTGAACAATATTTATTGGTTTTAATTATAAATTAAATATTTAATTAAATATATAAGGATTATATAATAATGTTTTTTTTTATTTTCAAGTTCACTTTTGTAATTTAATTATATTATCTTTCTTCTAAAATAATGTATCCAAAAATTAATTACTACATATTTATTATATTTATCTTGATACTATATTTTCTGATAAATTTAAATTAGTCTAAGATTTTATTCAATAAAACATTCTACAATTACTTTAATCATTTATACCTTATCTAATTAAATTGATATTGTTTTCTTTCTTTCTATATTACTTAAGATTAAATTAATTTATTATTATAGAGTAATTAATCTCTTTTAATTTCATTCAATAAACATTTATCTTTGTATATTAAACTTTAATATTTTTATAATAAACTCAAGGGTATCAAATCAAAATCCAGATGAATTAGTGCATTACAAAAATAATCAAAATCTTATCATAAATTATCACATAATAAGAAAAAAATCAATTTATTTTCCCATAAGAATTAATCCTCATCTTAAGCATATAATAATAACTTATACCCTTAGCATATATTTGTGGAACTTAAGACTTTTCATATCTAAACATTTTTATAGCTTTTGCCAGACCATAGATTTATATTCCGTCTTCTATTTTAGGTTCATATATAACTCTTATTATTGCCTTTGTTTATCTATTAAACTTTATACCTTTACTTAATTTAAAGTATACTGGAATAATTGTTTAGTTACTAAAATGTGGTCTGCTTAATTTTTTTTTTGAAATAACATCTGGTACCTTTCAAATGCTACCTCAAATTTTAATTATCATAATATCATTATTCAACTCGCTTATGTTTGAAGGAACATTAAATATATAAGTTGTAAACTTTTAAAAAATATTGATTTCATTTAAAGATGCAATATTAGTAATACTTAATATTGTAATTATGATCCTTTATAAATATGCTTCTTCTTAATTAGCCATATAAATAACAGCTTTTTGTATAATAAATTTTTAATTAATAAATTTGATTTTTGGATAACCATCTATCTCAATAAAAAATAAGGTTGTTTATATAACTTAATAATAATGCTCAAATTGAAATTATTATGTTTCCCATAATTTATAGGATATTACTAAGTGTATATGAAGAAGCATTTCGTAATTTTAAATTTAAATACAAAAAAGGAACATCTATTTCCATTAATTAAGTCATATTATATGCAAAAGATATTGATAACTATTTTGAATTAAATATTAAAGCTCCTGAAAATATTGAATAATAAATTATATTTGCAACCATAAAAATGGCCAAAAATCTAAATTATGTTGCATATAAAGATTTATAATAAATAAAAATTAATAAAAACATTCTATTAAACTTAAAAATAAATTTGATATTGAAACATTGCTTACAAAAAATAAGCTATGATACATAAACTCATACTAAACCAACTAATCATATAACTTAAATTGCTAAATAATTAATAGAAAATGAAAATTTAAATTTTTAGACTCAAACTGATATTATTGAACTACTTCATGATAAAATTGAGTGTATGAGATTATTGATAGAGGAAAATTATATGTTATAATTTGATCATTTATTGAAATACATTGAAAAACTTTTAAGAATATAAAATTTATTAATAAAATAATATGAAGCTTTTCCTTGTGAAAGAACTTAATGTGTTTTAGGATTTTTCTATTCAGAATTATTGAATGATTATTAAGCATCAAATTAATTATTTAGTGTTTTAACAATATCAGATGAAAAAATGAAAAAAATTGCATTAAATTAAGATGTTTTTAATAGTAAGATGATTTATTTAATTACAGAATTTAAAGGAAAAATGAGGATAAAGTTTTCATCTTATGATGCTGATTCATTTTTAGGAATTCCTAATGAATGTCTTACTAATAAAATAATAAATGAATTAATACCACCAGGTATTAGTGAAAATCATGATGAAATGATAGTCAATTTCTTAAAAAATGGAAAATCAAAATATCTAAGATAATTATAAGTTAACTTTTTATTTTATAGATATTAATAATATATGATGGAAATAGATTTTGCAATTGAAACTAATTTAATTAAAGAACTTAATTTCATTGTTTTTATTCAACCTACAGTGAATTAATTTTTTTCTATAATTTTAAATTTAAATCTGGAAATTGTTTGCATGAGTAGAGCATTTATTTAAGAATTAGAATTACAAGATAGTATAAAAATATATTTGGGAGTGAAAATAAAAAAAATAATTCCATCTTTTCCTCAAATAATTTTGGAAAATCATTTTGTTGAAAATGCAGAAATTTATTTAGAAAATTAACATTTGAAAAATAGTTCTACTTCAAGAGGTCATTTTTATTATACTAACTATTTAATTACATCAAAAAAGGTAAATGATATAATCGCATATTATTAAGTTTGTTTTGACTATTTTAAAAGAAACTTAACAAACTAAGTTTCCTCTTAAAGTGATTCAATAAATACAAGTCATCATGTGATCTATGATTATATATAAGATGATTAAATTAATGATATATGCAATGAAACACCAATTAAGATTCCAATAGAAGAAGATGTTAAAAGATCAAATCCCTTATTTTAAGAGGGTTTATGTTCAGAACAAAGTCATATGATTAATGAATTTAAATTTGAATAAACTAATATAAAAAGTACATTTAGATGTAATTAGACATTATTGGAATAAAAATTTTACACTAATATGCATTAGAATCCATCAAAGGTAACCAATCATTTGATTTCTCAAAAAAATGAAAGTTATTTAAATGAAGAATAAAATAAGAATCATATATTAGATGACGCTTAATCTTCATAAATTTCAAGCTTATAAGGTTTGAAAAAATCAGAATTTTACAAAAAATATGATATATTCTCTAAAATTAAATTTTAAGTTGGTAATTCGAGATATCATAGACTTTTTATTTTAACATTTACCTTAAGTATAATATCTTAAGTCATAATTTAATCAATAGTAAAAAATTTAATTAAATTTAGCAAATAGCCAAAATAAATATCAATTTTTAACTTCTAGCTGCTGATATAGATTTACTAGAAATTAAGAATCTTATATATTAACCATTTGAATCCTTTTTATTAACTAGATGGACAATATTTAATTATATTTAAATGTAAGCCACAGAAGAAATCACATAATAAGAATATAACTATTTAGTAGAATTTCCAAGAGAGAATCTTAATTTAGGATATGATTAATTAGATATAAATTTGAAATAAGTATTGGATAGAATTAGTATTTCAGGTTTTTTCCAAGATCAATCTCTAGAAATTTATATTTATGTTTCTACTGGAGAAGGAGAATAATTTAATTTTACATTAAGGAATAGTATTTAAATTTTATTAAACTATTTATATGAAATTAAAATGAGATATTAAATTGAAGGTACAATTGTTTCTGATAGTCCATATGTATATTATTCATATAAGAATTATTTAACAATGAAATAGGAATTTAGTATATTAAATGATAAAATTTTAAATAATAGTATTTCATAATCACAGTAAGAGCAATCTTAAGAAGAGCTTATTTTTATAATTGCAATTGGTATTGCTTTTGTTTAATTTTGTTTAACTTTTAATTATTTTATATAAATTTAGAGATTGATTAATAAATTTTATGCTATTATTTTTAATATGGATGTAGAACTTACTATAGAAGATATTGCTCGATTGAAGTTTATATTAGGTCGTTTAAATAAAAATTAAAATGCATTATTTAGATTTCAATTAAATATCGATTAAAGGGAAAAGGAATTTTTATCTAAATCCCTTATTTTGAATTAAAAAAAAAAAACAATACATAAACCATATTATTTTAAATAATATTTTTGTTATTACTTGTATTTTATTTTTGCTTTATTTTTGATAATTGGAAATGCTCTATTAACTTATGAAGAATGTGGGGAATATTTAAGTAAATATCCAGAAACTGCTAAATTTTTTAAATCAATTTCAGATGTTGGAACAGATATACCAACAATGTATGCTTAAAGAGATATTCTTTATAATATTGAAATTATAGCTCCATTTTTTAATGATACTGAGAAAGCTAAGATTCTTTAAGAAATCAAAGATTCTTTAAATAGAACAGATAACTTTCTAACATTGGATTTTAATTTAGATAAGTAATTATTTTAATAATTATAGCTTAATAATTTCAAAAAAGTTTAAAGAGTATTATCATCAAATTTAAGAAAATGATCTTTGTAATTTTCTTCCAGATTATTTCAGTTAAAAATCAGTCACTATTTGTCCTTAAATTATGGACTAAAATATGGAGAGAGGTTTATTTGGATTATTAATATATATCTGTAATTTTATCAGTAATGATATGGCTCTAAATCATTTTACTTAAAAACTATAATCAAGTTATTTAGAATTAGAAGGTGCATTTTTGGTTTCTTATATTATCAAAGATTTAAATACTTACTTTCACTTAGACTTAGAGTCAGAAACATAGTTTTATATTTATAAAATTAATGTATTATACTTTTAGATTATTAAATAGGTTCATAATGTAGTAATTCTTATATTTTTATTCATTTTGATACTAATTACAATAACAGAGATAAATAATAAATTAATCTACAAATTGTATCTAGCCTAGAGACTACCATATTTAATGCCAATTAAAACAATTATATTAAATGATGGATTTGAAAGGAATTTACGATAACTTATTCACAATTGAGTTTAAAATTTTTTTATTATGAAATTTCAGAAAATTAAATATCCCTAAGCTTACCATTATTAATTATAATTAATTTTTTAAAGTTTTTAAAGTTTTAATAAACCATAAATTAAGTTATTCTCTTTAAACCTATTTGAGTTTCATAATATGTAACATTAATTACTAATTTTAGAAATATTAAGTAATTTATTAATCAATCATTTTTTTATAATAATTAACACTTCCTATTTATTTTTATAATAAATTAGATACTTCAAATCTGTGAATATGAAAGAAGTTTTTAAAAAATTGACAAATTACTTGATAAGAGTCTATTTGAAAAACGAAGAAAATCAAATAGTTTTCCCTAAACAAGTTATTTTGCTCTTCAGAGTCTAATAGGCCTTTTTAAGTCTGTCATACATCTATGGGTAAAGTAATTACTACTACATTTATATGATATCAATGTATGCCAGGCCCCAGCTGTTTTTCACATAATCAGAAATTCCTTAATACATCATCTTAATGCTCAGTGTCATTTATATATTTACATTACTAACAATAATTCCATAAAATAAAATAATTGGGATATTTGGATAATTATTGAGAAGTAGTTTGCTAAATTTCTTTTTTGAAATTTCAAAAGGATCTATTTAAATTATTACTCATACTTTACTAATATTAATTTCATTTTCGGAAACTTTAATTATATCTGGAACATTGAATGTCTAGACTAAAAACTTTTAACATACTAGATTTACACATTTAGATTTAATAGTAGTTATTTTTAATTATTTACTAATGATTTTCTATTCATATGGATTTTCTAAAAACTTAATTGTGATTTTTGCAATTATTTTAAATATATTGAGAATCATAAATTAATTGTTATTTTCATCATTTAAAAATCTTATTACTAAAACGATACTCTTAACAATTAAAATTATGACATTTTTTTTTGGCTTTTTTTGGTTAGCCTCTTTATAAATTCATTTATCAGCTTAAATTGTAATGATACCTTTAATTTATAAAATTATCTACACTTATTATGATAATCAATTAAATTCTATTATGTATAACAATTCAAAAAGGATTACATGTCATATTATTAAGATATTAGTTTTTCTAGAAAATATGAAAGACTTATAAAATTTAAAAATACAAAAACCAAAAAAGGCTAGAAATAGAATTATTTATTCTTCATTTTTGATGTACTAAAATAAGAATTATTCTGCATTTTTAGAATTGAATAGCATTTAAGATGATCAATTAAGTTTGATTGAAAGTTTAAAAAAAAAAATAATTTTGTAAAAATGCATAAACAACATTCAACAAAAAATTTATGGAACTAATAAAACAGATAAAATTGCCGAAACTATTAAATTATTATTAAAAAGCGAAGAATAAAATTATTCAATCTAGAATGATATAATAGAAATAATTAAAGATAAAATTTAATGTTTAGAGTTATTTCAATAAAATCAATCGCATAGATCATATGAAAATTATTATTAGAAAACTAAAAAGATTGTCCTTTTTAAAGAAAAATTAGAGAAATAATATAATGCATATCCTTGTGAAAAAACTTAAGGAATTTTAGGATTTTTCTATGGTGAGATTATGAATGATTATATTTAAGCTAATTAATTATTCAATTTAATAGCTATGAAAGATGAAAAAATCAAGAAAATTGCTTAAAATTAAGAAATTTTCTCAAACAAGATGGTATTTTTAATTTTAAAATTTGATGGAAAACTAATTATCAAAAGACCCTCAAATGATGCAGCATCATTTTTTTAATTATGTAATCAATAATTAAAAGGATTAAAAGCATCTTATTTTATTCCTAAAGGAATTTAAGAAATTCATGATGATCTTGTTTAAGATTTCATAAAAAATGGGAAATCAAAATACATGAGATAATTAAATTAATGCCTTTTTTATAATCATGAAATGGATTGTATGAATTCATTTGAATTATTATTCGATATTAACTTTGTTGAAGAATTAAATTTTATTGCCTTCTTCTAACCAACTGCTAATTAAACTATGAAAATTATAATAAATGATAAATTAATAATAAAATGTTTAAGTTAGTAGTTAATTTAAGAATTAGGAATAAAATAACAATATAAATAATATTTAGATGTTTGCATCAATAAACTAATTCCCAACTTTCCTAAATATTTTATCAATTAATAACAAATTGAAAATACAGAAATCTATGTTGAAAAACAATTTAATGAATAATCATAAGTATCATTTCTTCCTTTAGTTTACATAACAAATAGTAGTTTGCATTTTGGTTTTCCAGAAAATCTTCCAAAATATTATATAATTTCGTTGGAAAATTTAAAAAGATCTCCTTTTTATTTTTGCTAAAATTAATCAAATTCAATTACTTTTATAAGTCCATAAATGCAATAAAAAACTCTTTGTTCAATCAATAAAATAAATGCTGAAAGTTGTATACAAGTGCCCTATTTTGAAGATGAAATTATAAGAAATCAATCTATATTTTAACTGAATTAACACGATTTTTAATTTATAGATAATACTCCTACTGTATAAGGCAAAAAGAAATAAGAAACTAAATTGTTATCAACTCTTGAATATACTAATCTTAAAAGTACAACCAAATAAAATGAGGTTTTGTTAGCTGAATAGAAGTTCTTTACAAAATCAAAAAAAAAATTATTAGTTTCTAAGTAAGTGTCTAAAATTATAGTAGTTTGGATAAAGAAATAATTATATAATAAGCATAATCATCATAAGTTTCAAGTTTTCTAGGTGCTAGAAACTCGAAATATTATAGATAATTTGAAATGGTTACAAAAATAAAAGATTTAAATAGTTATTCTAAATTGCATCGAAGCTTTCTAACTTCTATTATTTTTTGCGTTATATTTTAATTCATAATTTAAACAATTGTAATTAATTTTTTGATTAATTTAGTAAATAATTGAATTGAACATTAATTTAAGAGAATTGGTTTCCGATATAGATATATTATAAATAAAAAATTTTGTTTTTTAACCTCTAGAAACCTTCTTGTTAACTAGATGGACTATATTTAATTATAAATTACTCAATGAAGCTGGAAATATATCTAATTCAGAGTATTAAAATTTAATATAATTTCCTTTATCAAATTTAAAATTAGGATATGATACTTTAGATAAAAATTTAAAGTAAGTATTCAATCGACCTGCACTATAAAATTTCCTTGAAAATACTGAAATAGATATTTATGAATATATTACAACAAATTAAGGGGAATTATATAAATTAAATCTAAGAAATAGTATTAACATATTAAAAAACTTTTAATATTCATTTAAAATGGCATATGAATTAGATGGAGGAATTATTTCCGATAGTCCTTATGTCTTTTTCTAATATAAGAATTACTTAACAATAAAAAAATAATTCTCTGAGTTAAATACTATAGTTTTAGATTAAACTTTGAAAAGATCCCATAATAATTAATCTAAACTCTCAATTTTGACTATAATTTGTTTAGGAGCCTTGATAATATAATATTGTTTTTCGGCTATTTATTTTTTTTAAATATAAAAGTAAGTGCTCAAACATTTTTCGTTAACCTAATATTTATAAATTTAATACATAGAATTCGAAATGAATTATTTAAAAAAGATAGTTGAAGAGGTCAATAAAGACTAAAATTTATTATTTAGATATTAATTTCGGTTTGAAAATAAGGAATATCTTTTGGATAATACAAACCTTAAAATTTACTAAAGAAAGTGTAGTATAAAACGACTTAGCATTTTAAATATTTATGATGCTTGTTATTATTTATTTTTTTTAGCATTTTTGATATTAACTGCAGGGAATGCTATATTAACTTTTTATGAAGGTTGGAATTATTTAGAAAAATATCCAGCAACTGCTAAATTTTATAAGGAAGTATCTGATGTTGGTACAGATGTTCCAACTATGTTTGCTTAAAGAGATGTTCTATACAGTCGTAATGCAATCATTCCATATTTCTCTTAAGATGAATATGAAAATTTACTTTAAGAAATAGTCGAATCATTAAATAGAACCTCATATTTCATTTAAGATGACTACAATTTTGATTAGTAAATATATCTATTCTATTAGATATGTTGTTTCTACATAATTTAAAATGTTCTTTTCAAAAATTTAAAATGATAATTTGTGTGAATTCATACCAAGAGAATTAATGAATACTTCTAGTAGTATATGTTCTATTGCAATGAATTAAAATATGAAAAGAGGATTATAAGCATTATTGATATACATCATAAATCATATAACAACAGATATGGAAATTAATAAATTCACTTCAAGAAGTTAAGCAAGTTATTTAGAATTAGAAGGTGCATTTTTAATTTCAAATATAATAAAAGTTGTTAATGATTAATTTAATATAGATTTAATGGATCAAACAATATATTTTATTAATCTAATTAACGTAAACGATTAATTTATATTTAGATCCATAACATAATAATGTTTGTCAATTTATTATTTATAGGAGTTTTAATTCTAATACTAATTAAAAACAAATTAATTGAAAAACTTCACATAGCATAAAGATTGGTTTACTTAATGCCCTAAAAATCAATCATTTTAGATTCAAATTTTGAAAGGGCTCTTCGGTCATTAGTACAGGATTAATGAATTTTTACTGAATTATTTTCAAATTAATATTAATTATTTATACACTTTCCATAGAAAACCTTTATGAAAAATAGAATAGAAAGTAATAGTAATAAACAATTTTTAAAGAAAAATTAAAGAATAAATTGGATACCATAATGTTAAATAAAGAATTATATAATTTTTGATATATTTAGGTTAAGATTCATTTTGATTTAATATTCCACATATCTTTACAAAACATTTGATGAATATTTCGAATTTTTAAAAGAATATTATTATTATAATTATCATATTTAATTTAAATAAGTTTAATCCTTATTCTTTATTTTTATCATAGCTCTATTGATAAAATATAATTATGAGGAAACTTAAAAAATGAAACTAAAAATACTACTTAATCAAATAAAATAGAAATGATGAAAAATTATTTCTTATTTCAATAGAGAATGAATATAAAAATTAATCAAGAATAATTCAAATAGGGAAAAACTAAAAAAATTGTTTCTTGTAGGGTTTTTATTAAATTCCTCAAAAATAAAATTGGATTTTAGATATTTTACACATAATATTATTATAATTTTTTTTGTTTTAATCTCAAATTATTATATATAAATGATTAATTATACTATATTGAAATTATCTAATATAAAATATATATTAAATTATTTATAAGAAACATGTTTATAAATTATAGTGTCTTGTCTTGAAATTAAATATTTCTCTTTATTGATTGGTATGTCATCTAATTCGTTCTTAAACTAATAATAAATATGAATTAAACTTTTATATATCTATATCATTTTTATTTTATATTTATTTTTATTTTGATCAGAAAGAAATATGCATCCAATTAACTTGAAATTTTGAAAATCAACTTTAAATTGAGTAATAATCTATCTCGAAGATGATATAATATTTATTTCAAGTTATTTTCATCAATTTAAATCGAATGACATTATTTTTAAAATATAAAAAAATTTCTCTATACTTTCTTACAATTTGAGCATTTTCTAATGTTTAATTGCTAAGCATCTCTTCTAAAATATACTTATTCAAGCTATTTATGTGATTACTTACACAAATTAATCTCTTTTACTTTTGCACATTTTTTAAGGGACAGTATCTATAAATTCTTGATTCATTCAAGTTAAAAATCATAAATAAAAATATGAGATTTTAACTCAAAGTACCAAACTAATTATCTGAAGAAGAGGCATAAGTAACTAAACAAATTATTTTTAGATGATAACGATTATAGATTCTTTTGACCTTGAAGAATTAAGAGACTAATTTGATAAAAATTATTTTCTTTTTTCTCAATCTGACTATCTTACATAATACCTATTGAATAAAATTGATAGTAGTCTAGAGAATATCATAACAGAAATATAAAATAATACCAAGTTTGACTGTTCCTAGATTTTGATATTCATTAAATAAATTAAGAAAAAGGATTTTTTAATTAATGAAATATTTTAGTCCTACGAACACTTGATTAAGATAGTTGAATATACAGATAATTTATTTATATATGGATTAATTTTAGAAGTCATAGATTTTAGAATTATGAATGCAATTAGACATAACTCATTGCCAAGACTTATTTATTTAGTATCAATATTACATCAGCATAATAATTATTTGTCATCCTAAAAAATAGATTTGATTGATTATTATCATGAAGATCCAAAATATAAAACAATAGTTACAAATCCAATTGAAGCCTTATAATTTGAAATTGAATATAATGAACCAACTTAATTAGATGAAAGTTATGAAGAAATAAGTAAGAATCAAATGCATAAGAAGAGGCTATTAGGATAATTCTAAACTAAAGTATTAATTATAAATTTATATTATAGAAAATATAAATAATAGATGATAATTCAACATCAGCTTTATCATTGTCAAGAAATCTACTAAATATGCCTGATTAGCCATTTTCACCACTTATTGAGATTGTCAAATATAGAATACTCATAAAAAGAGGATTGCTTACAAATCCAGAATAAACAAAAAATATTATAATCAAATTACATTTATAATGTAATTCCATAATTTAAAACTATTAAAATAGATATTAAGATCTTCAAATGAATTAATTACTTAGAAATTTAAAATTGACTGAAAATTTTAATTTATTTAAACTTAATACTGTTAATCCACTTGTATTATAATAATTAATGGAAACTTCGCAAAATTATTATCAAGATTAATTAAACTAGGATAGATAAGAATAATATTTTACACTTCTTTCAGATGTTTTATAAGTTAAACATGTTGAATAAAATGAATTAATTCAAGGCTATCCATTAAAATACAATACTTAAATAATGAATGAACAATTAGCTAGAAATGGATTAGTTTTTAAAAGCATCCTGGATTTTTTTTAATCTTAAAATTGTCACTTTCTTCTAAACCAATATTAATACTTTAATCAAATATGTAGATTAGTAAAAGGTTCTTTATGTATTTAAGATAATAGATTATTACTACCACCTGAATAATTCTAAAATGCAATTAAATTTTTAAGCTATTTATCTAGATAATATTATGAATAATAAAGTAATTATTAGACTTTTGATGAACTTGTAAGAATAGCTGAATATTATATTAATTTAGGTTTAAACCTGTTAAAACCTACAGAAAATGGTTATGCTTAAATATGTGAGACAGATGCTGATATAATTATTGAAAGTTGTATTGAAGCAATAACTATTAACAATTAACATAATATGATAGCACAAAATAATTCTGTATTTGCTAGAAAGGTTATAAATTCTCGAGTCTTAAGTTTAATAGCAAATTATTTGCAACAAAAAGTTTAATTAAATAACATATTTGATAAAGCATTAAGATTAATCTCTTTTTTATCATAAACAGAACCTTAATTAATGATTTAAATTTTAAATTCAACCTTACCTGATATCCTGAATGAAAACATTTAGAAAAATAATATTAATGAATTAAAAATGCCAAGGCTATCATTTATTTCTTTATTTTATCGAAATATATGCTAATAAGAACAGGCTCGGTAAAAATTTAATGATCATGGAATAAATATTATTGATAAGCTATTGAATTATCACTTTTTTGTTAAGGAAGTTATTAATCTATCTGATATATCAAACTTAGCCTTTTTCATAAGAGAATATACTCACTATATTTAATAAAGTAGAGCTTAAATTAATGAAATACTCATTAAAGTATTACAATAATTATTACAATAATTATCAGAATAATTACAATAATTAAACTACGATTAAAATTTTAAATCATAATATTAAAAGATTTTGCATAAAAGGAAAGCAATCTAAAATTTTAGTTAAATTATTAATTAACATAATTCTGGGTTTAGTAACATTTTGCATTCCCAAGGCGGGTATTTTGATAATTTTGTGAGATTATTTAAGATTCCATAATTTAAACGAATGTTTATTCATCAATTTGGATTGAATTAATTTGAGAATTTTGATCCTAATAAATGTCTGATTAGTGCCTTAGAATTAATAGAATAATTAGAATAAGAATTGGGTTGTACATTGGAATAATCATAATCTTTAGTTTTCAATGAAAAAAACTTTTATCAAAATTGCTCACCTTAAACTTTTTAAATGACATCTCGTTTATCAGAAATTTTAGATTATTTTATAGTAGTTTAGAATAATATAAATCGCCTTAAGTTGACTAATTAAAATTTAACTGATAAACTAATAGATAAATATTGTGCATTTCTGGAAATATTTCTTACTTCTTAAAGTGAGCAGAAATATTTTAGTCATAGATTTGACGAAATTATTATTTAGGTATAAAATAGAAAAGGGAGCGGCGTGAATTTACAACCTTTAAGCAGGTTATTAAATAGGCTTAGCTTACAATTAAATAATCCTCCAGAGATTGCTCTTTATTATCTAAAATAAATATTACAATTCATTGTGCGATAAAAAAAAAATAGCAATTTTATTATCAACTCTGATGTAGGACGTAATTTGTAATATATTCTTAAAACTTACGTTGTAATGATAAACTCTGATAGTTCAAACTCAGAATTAGAAGATGATTTGTTATTAACTATTGAGTCAATTTTAAGATTTTTATATAATCTTTCTGGTCCATCTATGGATTAAAATTTATCTATTTTTTCAAAGATAATTGAAGAAATTTCAACTCTTTTATAAATAATCAAAGATTCATCACATCAAAAAATAACAATAATTTAGGGAATTTTATTGAATTAAGTCAACCATATTCTGCTTTACAATCCTTCGAATTCCTCTTAGAGGAATAACCCTATTTATCCATTAGAAAGAACTTCCTTAGTAGATTAATTAAATTCAATAGGTTTTCAAAGGAGGTATATTAATTAGATCCTTGATATATTCCCTTTTCTAAATACTGTTAATTAGTTTTGTGACTTCGAAGAATTAAGAAGATTTGAGCTTGAAGGAATGGGAATTATATAAAATACAGAAGAACAGGAAATTATATAAAATGTTGGAGAAATATAAAGTTAAGAGAGTTTTGATATTGAATTATTCAAAACGTAATAAGAAACTTTAAAAAAATATCTAAAGTAAAACTATCTCTATTTTTAAAAAAATTTATAAATTTAATAGAAGAGTTTTTAAATACAATTAAATGAACCTGAAATCCTTAAATATTTAGAACTAATAGTTGATAAATTATTTAATTTAAAATTAAATTTTTAAGTTATTGAATTAGATCTATAGATCCCTCATAATGTAAATATAAATAGTTTATCTTTAATTTTAACAACCTTTAATCGATAAAACTAATTTACAATATCATAAGAATTATTAAAAATTGAATTGTTTAAATTATTTGAGTTTTTGTTGCAATAAGGAAATTAGGAAGGTTTATACACTATTTATTTGATACTCGAAATTTTCTTTAAATTATAGATTGATTAAAAAGAAATCCTCGATCTACTATTTAATGGAATTAAGAAGATCCTTGATTCTAATATTTAGAATTCCAATACCACTTAGATAATCATTCAAATTCTTGTGAATATTTTTAAAAAAAACAGACAATTTGTTAGTCATTTTTTGTTATAAATGAAGGGTTTAGAATAAATTTTTAAAATGAAAGGAGAAGGTAATAATCAATTTATTAGTCTTTCAAAATTAACAATGCTTATGATATATGATCAAACTTTAATAAGAGCTTAAATAGAAGCAAAAATAAAGAAAATAATTTTTGATTAAAAAAACAATGAATAAATTGAAAAAACTAATTAAAATTTATAATAACAATAGTATAAAAATGAAAATGCATATCCAATTTGCGTTTAGCCAGCATAATATAATGTTTAGATATAGGAATAATAGAAAATATCAAAAAATCATCCTGGTTTATTAGCCCTTTAAAATGAATAATACTTTTAGACAGATTTAAAATATGTTATGGATTTATTATTTGAAGAATAAACAGATAATTAAAGTTTAATATTGAAAAATGGTATTAGGCTTGACACATTAAATAGCATCAATAAAAATGAAGAACCAATTTTACAGTTTAATTTCAAACATAGCAAAGAAACCTAAACTCTTTTAAAACTATTAGTTTAATAGATGGTTACATCATATTTTGAAAAAAATGAATATTATTAATATGATTGGAACAACATATTTAATGTTTTATAGATACTTATTTAAAAGTTTCCAATATTGTTGCCAGGGCTAACAAGAATGAATTGTAGTTAGTTTCTAGAAAAATATAAAGATTAGCTTGGACTTGATCCTTCATAAAAGATATCTAATATATCATTCCTTACTTTAATTACTAAATTTATAAATCCATCAAAAAATTTTATATTTTATATGTGTTTGGATAATATAGTACTTTTTGGAAGGTCAGATAATGTTATTGTTCCTTTTGCATATGAAATTAGAAGAATGATAATAAGAGAGTTGTTTGTTGGAATAAATAAATCAATAAATAATTTAGACGAAAAAGTATGTTAGTTTTCTGATATTTTGGTAACTTTATTGTAAATAAAATCTGTTTCAAAAATATGTATTAAGAATATTCATGAACCTTAAAACTCATTTAATTTTATTTAAACTTTCATAGAAGGAATAAAAAATTTCAATATAAAATAATATTTTAAGTAAAAAGATCAATTATTTTTTATTATGACTACTTTGAATTTGCTTTATGGCGTTGCTACTAACTTACTTTTAGAAAAGACCGAACCAATACTTGATTATAGGAAAGAATAAATGCCTACCAAATAACTAAATTTTTTAGGCAAACCAATAATTGATTATATGAAAGAATAAATGCCTACCAAATAACTAAATATTATAGGTGAGATGTCATCAGTATAAATCAATAATTAAATATTTTAAAGCTATATAAAAACTTTGGCAAATTATCAAAACTATAACCTTATAAATAATACTAAATTCTTATAATAATGGCCATATCTAAAAATAAAAAATGAAATTTTGGAAGAGAATACTAATATATAAAAAGAATAAGTAATTCCGAATGATTAATTAATATAAATACAGCATTATGATAATTCATTTGAAAATTTGGTTATTAAATTAGAAGAAGAATCAATTAATTGGATTAATGAGAATTAAAATGAGAATATGACAGAAAATTTACAATAGACAGATTTAAATAATCAAAATATCTTAATTAATTTTATTAATAATTTTATTAATAATTAATTATTTTCTGATTCAATAATTAGCAATTTAAGTCTTAATGGAACGAGATTACCTCGATAGTTTTAAAAATACTTAATTAACTTTAAAGTAAGGTAACAATAAGAATCAGATAAAGCTTTGTAGAATAATTTATAAAATAATAATAATTATTTTGATTTAATTCAAAATCCTAGAAGACCTAGGGATAGAAATGTTTTGATGCATATGATGCTTCAACCAAATTAAAACAATTTTTCAAGGTTCGAGTTAAATCCAAATATGTTAGACCTTCCAAATCCCCGAAACATGTATAATTAAGATCGAAATGCTGATGATTTAGAAAATTCTTTGAGTTCTATTTAAGAAATTAATCATGACTCCAACATTGAGGGTAATTTAAATTAAGAAATTTCAACATAAGAATAATAACCATAAGATGAATCAAATTAATACTTCGGATAACATCTTGAAGAAGACAATAATTAATTTATGCAGAAATTAGATAATTATGCAAATTTAGTGTTGAATAATAGATAATAAACTTTACAATTATTAGGATCCATAGATCAACAATTTTTATAATTCTTATTGAAATTAATGTAAGTAGAGGATGATGAGGATAGAGATTATAGAAATATCTTGTTCATAAGATTAGGAGCATCATCTACTTTAGCTAATTAATTAATTGATGCTCTTATATGTAAATTGAGAATGATATCTAATAATGTAAGTGAAGATAATTTTGTCTAAGAAAATTTCTTAGTTTAAAAAAATGTAATTATAAACGATAATAATTATTTCTAAAATATAGTAAAAAATTAAATTATCAAAATTTTATTAAAACTTAGTAAATCTTTAAAATGTAAATTATCTTAATAAACCTTTTAATATATGATGGATTTAATATTTTCACTTGAAAGGGAAAAGTTTTAATTATTCCTCTAAGTTTTCATTAATTTTTCGAAGGATTAATAAAATGTATATGAATTAAAACCAAATCAAGCAAGATAATTATTTAATCGATTTTTTTAAGAAAATAGTCTTTCTAAAATAAACAAGTAATTCATTTAATTAATATCAAACCTTTGGAAAAATAGAGATAGTGCCTTTCGCTTTGATATTTTAATTTAGGAAAATATTTAAACTGCAGCATAATATTTTGAAAATCGGTTACTTGATTTATAATTTAATGATTTAATAATAAATAAGAGGAATTAAATAACAAAAGCATTTGAACTTATTTAGTATACTTATATCAATGTTATGGATAATAATCAATAAGAGGCTTGTTAAAAATTTTTAGAAAAGCCTGAAAACATTAAATTATGGTAGAATCTACAAAAAGTTATATCTAATTTATAAGTTTAATAATTTTAGGAATATAGCTTACTATTATTACCTTATATTTAATCATTTTTAATATGTAATTAAATTTTTAATGAAAATGAAGCTTAAAATATTCAAATTTACAAAATATCTTCAATGGAAATTTCAAGACCATCAATAGAAGATGATTTTGATTATGAACAATTATTCAAGAAACTTTGTAAACATGGTTAATTCTTTATAAATTATATAATCAAAGAGCAATTGTAAAATTTTTAATTAATTAATCAAATTAAAAATAATAATTAACATTTTATAGTATATTTTTTCAAAAATCACGCTAATATAATAGATTTAGAAAATAAGAAAGCTTATTTGAGGATTTAAATTTCTAATTTAAGAAGAAATAATAACTTTTAATAATAAGAACCCTATTATTTTTTTATACCTGAATTAGAAATATCAGTCCATAGGGAGAATGTTTTTATGGATTCATACCAACAAGTTAGCCGTTTTACTAAGAAGCAGCTTTAGGATATCTGGATGATAAATTTTATAGGAGAATAGGGTTAGGATGCAGGAGGTCCAACAAGAGAATGGTTTGCATTGATTTCAAAAGAAATCCTTAATCCAATCCATGGCTTATTTATACCAGCACCTAATCAATAATATTATCAGATTAATAGAGAAGCTTTTGATACTAATCACCTCAATAAATTCAGATTTGTGGGAAAGATTTTTGCAAAAGCTATTACTCAAAAAGTTTACATTTTCGGAAATTTCCCTAGCTTTTTTTTTAAACATATTTTGGGTTCAAAATTATCAATAAGAGATATTTAAGATTATGATGAAGGTTTATATAATAGCATGAACTACATATATTAAGATGAAATTACTTCTAATTTCGATTTTTCTTTTACCTACACTATGGTTGATTAAGGAATACCAAAAGAAAAGGAGCTAATACCAGGAGGAGAAAATATACAAGTTACGCATGAAAATAGAAAGGATTATGTAAAAAAATATTGTCATTAAATTATGGCAAAAAATATTGAAGCTTAAATTAAAGCTATTTAAGAAGGATTTTATTCTATAATACCAAAAGACATAATTGCCATTTTTGATCCAACTCAATTTTAATAATTGCTTTGTGGTAAAGAAATAATAGAGGGTAAAATATTAAAATATAAATTTTTTAGTTGAAGATCTCATTTAGAACATGGAGTGCAAAGGAATACCAACAGACCATTAAGCAAATAAATGGCTTTAAAATTTATTGAGAAGTTTCAGTCAAGATATGTTAGCAAAGTTTCTAAAATTTGTTACAGGTATTTATTTTAACATTTATTTAAGGTTCTCCATTATCACCTGCTGGAGGATTTGGAAATTTAACGAGAAAAATTATTATTTCATATTATTTTGAATCATAAGATAACTTGCCAGAAGGACATACATGGTATTTTTTAATTTAAAATATTATAGTTCATTAACTATTTCCTTGCCAGTTTATGCTTCTGAAGATGTCTTAAGAGAGAAAATGGAAACAGCTTTAACAGAGGGCAACGAATAATTTACGATTGCATGAATGATTTATAAAATATAGAAAAAATAAAATAATACTTAATAATAGTCTTATGTCTATGAAATACATTTAAATAATTTAAACATTATTCTGAATAAATAATTATTAAAGAATAAACCTTAGCTTTTAATTATTATTAAAGAATAAAAAATAAAATAAATATTTACAAATTTATTGATAGTTTTATAAACTAAGATATTCGTAATTTAATCTACTTCTTTTTAATAATTTGTAAGCCCTGATCATTTTATTTTAACTCGAAAATGACTTAAACTTATTTCATTTTTATAAGAAATAAATCAACAATTATATTTACTATTATACAATATTTTGTATAATTTAATCATTCTGAACTCTAAGTCCAGAAATCAAGACTCAAGAACTTTTTAAATTACAAATACTAGATACTCGATAAATAATTGCAAAATTGTTCTATTATCTATATAAAGCTTGTTAAATAATAGAATATTTTCAGTCGAATTTTTGTTAAATTTATTATAAATTTAATTCTCATTATAAAATTATAGTATAAATTTAAAATCAATTTTTTTATGTTTTCTTTTAAATATTTTTTATAATAGTTTGAAGTTTAACTCTTTCTTAATCTATATTTTCAATTATATCTGATTCCAATATACTTTCAATTTATGAGCTCAATTCTTTATCAAATTCTTAATCCTTTTTAAAATTTATTTTTTTTTCTGTATAACTTTATAGTAGTTCATTTTATTCTATAACTTGTTAATACATATCTTAAAGCTTAGCAATCTCTTTTTGTTTAATCTTCAATTTTTATTCATAGTTTTCTAAAATATCTTTTTCAGGAGTCTTATATGAATCTCCAAAAGAATGCGACAGAGGTTTTTAATTTTATAACTAAAATTTAATTATAATTTACTTATAATTTATACATTTTAACTTATATTTCTAATCTATTAATTTTCTCATGTAAGAATTATATGTTTTGCTGTTTTTATTCCTCTAAAATTTCCATCTAAACTATATTTTAATTTAATTCATTAAGTTATTCTAAGAAATCAGAATTTTCATTTTTTAAAGATTTAATTTAAAAAATTTAAGTATCCAGCTATTATTATTATCTTCTCTTGTTTTCTAACAATTAATTTATTTTTAATTCTAAATTTTTTATTTCTTCCTAAAAGTTTATTTGAATTTAATAATATTGCCTATCAAGCTATTACTTTTCTTATAATAACTCTCTATATTATAAATCCTTAGATTATTAAATTATATTTGCTTAGGCCAATTATTCTTGTAAATCTTATACTTAAAGTTCTTGAGCTTTGACTGTTGATGTTAATTAAATCAATTCTTGTTCTAATTATTTAACAAGACTTTTCTAGTATCTTAACTCTTTGTTAAAAGTTTCAATGACAGCCAGATTCTAACTGTTGATTTAATCAATTTAACCTTGAAAACCATCATTAATAATTTTCATTTTTTCTAGTTCTCTATTAAATTTTTTCTTTTCTTATTAATGATTCTAAATTTATTCAATATAATCCTCAATTATTTATTTCTAATTATTAATTAGTTCTTCCTATTCTTAGTATTTAATTTAATTTATTTTATTCATATCAGTTAATTCTTCGATCATTTATTTTAAGTTTTCAAATTCTTCTTAATAATCTTCCAATTATTTTTTAAAACGCTATTCCATTGATTTTAAAGTTAATTAATATGAATTTTTCTCTTTAATTGCCTAAAATTAATCTTCATCCTTATTATCAAGTTATTACTATAAATCTTTAATTTAGGAAATTTATAAAATAATCTCTTAATTTTTTGAATTAATAGTTATATTAAGTTCTTTAATTAATTATTTTTAAACTGATAATTCTTCTTCAGCTTTATTTTAATATTCTTCAAATTGAACTTATAATTAACTAAGTTAATCATTATTTAATTAGTTTTATTAGTTTTTATTTTAAATTTCTTTGAATAAGTTTTAGAATCTCTCAAATTCTTCCTACTATTTTAAAAATTAATCTTTATATTATTGATCCAAAAGTTACAGCTCTTAATTTTACTTTGTTAAAAACAAATTTTCTGCTTTATATTTTTTTTCCATTTATAAATATTATTAATGATTAATCTCTAATTCTTAACCTCTATTCTGTAATTATATTAATAAATTTTGCTTTATTTGTTGATTTTCTAAAATATTTGGTTAGTATACCATCCTCTAAATTTTTATTCTAAATGTTAAGCAATTTTAATTGATCATCTTATTATTTAATTATTTATTTCAATTAGGCTATCTCAAGATAGAATTATTTCATATTTTTAGTCTCTTAGGTATTCTTATCCTATTATTTTTTTGTTAATTCTTGAAATTCATAAAATTCTAAATATTGAATTAATTAGATATACAAATATCTTTATCTTTTAATTAATTATTTAACAGTACGATTTTACTCTTAAGTTGTGATAATTCTGACTTGAGTTGCCCTATTTCACTCTCTTAATGTAATAAAGCAGTTTATTGATCTTAAATTTTCTATTAGATTGCTCTTGAAACAGAAGTTTTTTCAGGAGTAGATGATTCCTTCATTTGAGTGTGAATTTCATACATCTACTCTAATGTTTCTTCAAGAAGTTATTTTATGATCTCTATTTGAAGACTTAGAAATAAATAATACAAAATACCCATCAATATTTGATATCATTTATTCAAAATTTTCTAACAAATTTGTGAACAGTCCTTTTATTTATTACATTAATTAATTTTTATTATGGAATTTAATATGATGTATTCAAGAATTCCCACTTTAAAATGTATAATCAAATAATAAATTAATTAGAAGCAGAAAGTTCCTTTTAGAGATATCGTAATCCTTTAAATGAATTTCATAACAAAAGTGAATCTAATTCATTCGAACACAAATAAAGTGAATTTCCTATACCTATAAATTAATATATGTTTATAGCTTCAACTCCTATATATCCAATATTAGGTAATTGCTTTAATAATTTTAAGGTGAACAAAAGTATGAAATGATAGATCAATCTAATTTTTTTCATAAAAATAATAATCAAGTAGAATTAAATAATATTGATAAAGAAGCAGAATATAAGCTAAATATAACTACTTTTGGATGTAAAAAATTATGCCAAATTGATTGTTTATTAGTTGAAAGATATTTCAATAAAAAATATTAGGTATAGAAAACATTCTATAAAATATAAGATATTTCTTTTAATATTTTTTTACATTCATTTTTGCAACTTTTCAAAATTTAATAACTGAATTCCAAATCTCTTACAATTATTAGTTTTGGTATTTTAAATAAATTTTTTTTACATTTAAAAGATAAATTTACACTATAAATCATTAATAAACTTTTCAGTAATTGTATTTAAAAATGCCAATTAAAGTTATAAACTTGACCAAAGTAAAAAGAATAACGCTGAATGGCTTAAAATAAGGTTGTAGTATCGTTATCAACCACAGTTTTATGAGTTGTTTGTAGAAATGATAGAAGAAATTCTTAATGAAGGATAAATATTAATGAATGCCAGAAAAGAGCCTATAAAACTGACTAATTATAAATTATTTCAAAATTTAGAGAGATAAATTGACAAAAGTGTGAAATAGTAAAAAACTTTTGATAGCTTTCTTTTGGAGATTCAAAAAGTAATTGCTGAATTTATATTTACTAATCTAAATTGATGTTATAATATTAAAAATAAAAGTAATTTATATAAATAAATATATAAATGCTTAATTAGCATTTTTGTGAGATTGATGATGACAGTAAGTTGTTGTGAATTAATTGTTTAGTTTCTGATGCTACTTCATATGAAGAATCGATATATAAGAGATGTATGACAGCTCCTCCAAGACCATTAACTGATTTAGAGGAATTTAAGAGGTAAATAAATAAAAATATGGAAAGATCAGATGAATATGAGGCCCTTGAGAAGGCATATAGAAGCTAAAGTTAATTAATTTAGAGAGACTATTAGAAATATGATTTAGATAATCCAGAAGGATAACATAGTTGTAAAAAATTTTTGTACCATCTTGAAAATATGTGTAAAGTATTTGATAAATATAACTCACAGGTGTATAAAGTGACAGCAGTTTCAAGGGATTATCGTGACACATTTTCAAAAGCATATAAAATACTATATACTGAAGGTGAGTTGTGTTATTTGACAGAAATTCTCGATAGTGCTTAAGAAGGTAAAAAAAGAGATTAAAGATCTAGGTTTTCCTTATTTATGGGTTAATTCTGAGAAATATGCATTTTCAACAGAAGTTTTGGAAGCAGGAGTACGATTAGTTGAAGCTTTTTATAAAGTTCAACATGTAATTAGATATACATATTCTGGGACAGGATAAGAGAGTCCTGATTTCTCATCTTCAAAATTGAAAGCTGAAATTCAATTATTATTAGAGAATTTCGATATAATATGGGTAAATTTCGAAAAAGTATTTTGAATTTATAATAAAAGTATTATGTCAAGGAATTAATGTAGATAGAGGCAGAGGCTAGACAATTTATACTAAAAGCAATAGAAATAGATAAAGATATGATTTCTATAGAAGTGCGAGAGAAATTGAAGGGAAGAATCCTTGTGACTTCTGATAGTTATTTACAATAAAAAGCTGAAGTAACTCACATACTGAAGCTAGTTATGCAAAGTGATCGCAAAAATTAATTCGGTGGCTAATGTTGAAGGTAAAGGAAGGGATGACCTTGGTGTTAATATCTTACTTGAAGCAGAAGGTATAACCAGAAGAGTTACTAGAGAGTAATCTTAAGCAGTTAGAAATCTTGCTGATAGCATCAAAATCAAGTAGACTAATTATAATAGTTAAGTTTTTAAAAGTTTAGAGAATAAATGAGAAGATATGAAGTTAATATCGAAATGGTAGATCCACAATTAAAAAACAATTAAGAATTAGTCGATTTATTAGTTGAATATGAAACTTAATGGGAAAAAGGCTTAAATTATTTATTAGATCCAAAAAGATACGCATAATTAATGTTATTCTCTCATATTATTGAAACATCAGCAGAAAAATATTAACAATTTAAAGAACAACTAGAATGTAGAGATAGTGATATTTTTGTGGCAATACCATGTTTAATAATTCTAAAACATCTTGAAGATGAAGACCGTAATATTTGTCTTTACTTTCTACCTATGCTTAATGATACTACATCTAAACTTCATCAATCGTTTCTTATCTTAAAATAGGAATTCTAAATTTGGAGAAGAAAACATTCTAAATCATATGAATATTATAATATCATAGAAAAACTACTCCTAGGGATCCCATAATCATAGTTCTCTGAATAGGAATCCAATCAAATCGAAAAGATTATGCAAAAAATTAAATTTCTTTCAATCGAACTTTAAAGATACAATGCAATCGAATGGAATTCTTTCATTGATGCTGCAATAAACAATAATTGATTTATATAATTATAATTCTAATTAATTGATAACAAAGCTAACATTATAATAATTAACTTTTATATTATATTTGATATATGTTTCATCTATCTAATTTTTTTGCAATGAAAACTTTCTCAATCTCACCGAATACTTCGTCAATTGAAGGCTCAGTATTTATTTCAATGAGTCTTTCATCTTTCTTAAACAATTAAATTATTTGGTTTGTTTAATTATTTAATACTTCTACTTTTCTCTATACACTTGCTTAATCTTTTTTAGCTATAATATTAATCTCATATTATATTATTACCAACATCTGCAGCAATCCTTTTATCTAGTATTTCTTAAGAACATGCAAAACACATTATATATTTTAATTTTATCGGATTATTTACTTAAGAATACCAAGCATTCAAATTATCTTAATTTCTTGGAAATCCATCAATAATGAATTTTCTCTAAATTCTATTAAATTAATTATTACAGCTTTTGATTAATTTATAGCAGCTAAAATCACTTTTACAACTACTCTACCAGGAATTGGCTAATTATTTTTTAAAAATTCTTTTATAGTTTATGATTCTTAAGTATTTCTTTTTATTTCATCTCTAATTAATATCTTAGTTGAAAAATGTTGAAAACCAAATCTTTTTGATATTCTTGATGACTATACTTATTTTCCTGTTCCTGGAGCACCAATCAAACCTATAACATATTTTCCTTTTTTAGGTCTTTACCCATCTTATGTAACTGCTAATCCTCTACTTTTAAATTCTTTTTTAACATTTGAATAAACAACATCAACCAATTGTTCTGAATTAATTACCTTTAATTTATCTAAATTTTGAACAATCTTTACTTTAATCTTTAAATATTCCAAGAACAGGTGTAGTTTCAGAATGAAAAGTATTCAATCTTTTTTTTATTGTTTCTTCATTGTCATCTGCTCTTCCTGATGTTTTAGCTCTTTCCAAAAGTCTTTTGGTCATCTCAGCATCAGAACATTCAAAGTAAAGTAAACAATTAACATCAACTAAAGGAGCTAATATTTTATTCCAAGAATCTATATTTTCCTAATTTCTAGGAAATCCATCTAATAAATATTTTCCTTTAAATGATCTCCTTAATAACTCCTATAATTTTTATATAATATAAATACTTTTTTCATTAATTTAACTACAAGATCAGAAGGTACAAGTTTACCTGCTTCCATTATTGATTTTAATTCTGCTTGCATTGGACCTTCTTTCTTTTATTCTTCTCTTAATAAATCTCCTGTTGATAAATGAACATATTAAAACTCTTTTGAAATACGAGCACATTAAGTTCCTTTTCCTGAACCAGGTCCTCCCTTAAGATTTAAATATTGATTACTAAAACAAATAATACTTCAGGTCGTTTTTATGTTTAAACTCCTTTATTTGTTAATGCTTTTTTAACATTTTCATAAACTTCATCTGGTGCTGCTTCTGCACTAACTTTAATTACCATATTTCTCTTCTCAAAATCAGCTACTACTGGTTATGTTTCATTCATAAATGTAGCAAATCTTTTCTTTATTGTTTCAGCATTATCATCAGCTCTACCTGATGTTTACCCTCTCTTTAAAAGTCTCTATTCCATTACTGCTTCTGAACATTCAAACATTAATAAAAATCTTGCATTTACAGAATTTCCAATTATTTTAGTCCAACTTTACCAATTATCTTATGATCTTGGAAATCCATCCAAAATATATCTTCCTGTATTTCCTAAAGATTCAATTTCCTCAAAATTATAAAAACCTTATACTTTTTTTATTAATTTTACTAAGGTATCTGATGGAACTAATTTTCCTTCTCTCATTATATTTTCCAACTCTTCAGCATCAGGTCCACCTAATTTTATAATTCTCTTTTACCTTTCTATCTTTCAGCTCTTAATAAATCTCCTGTACTTATATGCAAAAAACAATAATCTTTAACCATTTTTTCACATTAAGTACCCTTACCTGATCCAGGACCTCCCTTTTAAAATTAAATTAAAAAATACCAAAATGAAAATAACTTCAGCTTTAGGGGCATTTCCAGGATTATCAATATCAACACTCTATTTTATATATTAACAGTTATACATTCGAAGAAGAGCAACCCATTTAAAGATATTTATTTTTTATATGAAATTAATTAATTAATAATCATTTATGCCTCTAAATAAAATTGCACTGAGTTTTTAATTCATCATTATCCATAAATTAATATCAATAATTTATACTTTTTAGAAACAAATTTTAAATAAGAACACATTATTTTTATGATTGTAAAATATTTTCAAATCAACTTGATAAGATTTAAAATAAAAAAACAATTAATTTTAATTTTATTATATATTTATTCAATATAATGAATATTTCACCATTCAAGGAAGGGATCATCTGCAGGTTTAAGAGCTGGACTTTAAGTATCGGATTCTGGATATGATGAGAAATTTGATGTGTCATTCGGTGCTCTTATGTGATTGTTTTAAAGAATTACTTAACAACTGGTTTATAAGGAACAGGTAGTTTCTTTTACGTTAATAAATTCCAATCAAGATTTCCAAACCATCTATGGCTTTTTATATCAGCAGCCCCTAATTAATATAAATATTAAAATAATTACCATTCTTTAAATTTCCATATCTTTTAGATAGATCTGCAACTAATAAATGTTTGACTAAGGATTTAGCATTTCTATATTATTCTTACTGAATACTTATCAAAAGATTTTGGAAATTTAACCTTTCCTTTAAGAATTTTTTAATAAATTGCCATAGGATCTTCATCAGAAAATGGATCTATTCCTGCATTCATTTCAAATATTAATATGCCCAATGTCCACCAATCAACTGCTTTACCATGTCCTTTATTCAATAAAATCTCTGGTGCCAAATATTCAGGTGTTCCACAAAGTGTATATGTTCTTGTTTCAACTACTTTAGCAAATCCAAAATCTGTTAATTTTAAGTATCCATCATCAGCTATTAAAAGGTTTTCTGGTTTTAAATCTCTATAAATAATATTTTTGGAATGAAGATATTCAAACATTGAGGCAACTTAAGAAGCATAAAAACTATATATGATTAATTTTGTTACGCAGCATGTTATGTATCGAGTCTTCCTATACTTCTCAAATAAGTAAATAATTCACCTCCAGATACAAACTCTAATACTAAATATAAGTATCTAGGATCCTGACAGAATCCTTCGAAATTAACCTAAAAATTAATTTATGAAAAATTTACAATAAAAGGATGTGACAAGTTGCCCAATATGGTATTCTCATTAATTACATGATCAACTTATTTTAAACGTATAATTTCAGCTTTCTTCAAACTTTTTAAGGCTACATATTTATTTGTTTATTTATTTCTTGCTAATTTGACTCGCCCAAAAGAACCTAACAAAGTTTATTAGTAATGAAGTACCTGTGCCAAGAGTTTGAAATATTTCATAATCTGTCAACTTCAGTTTTTTAGGTTTTGCTAAAGAGGTACTCATCAAAAGTCAAGATTTATATAATAAATAAAATATATACATATAAATAATTGATATTTGTATTAAAACAGAGTTCAACCCTCATTGAGATATTTAGAGATTTGTTAATGAATATGTTTTATTATACATGATAATAGAAATCATTAATGTAAAATTCCAATAATGTCTGAATCTCTGAAAATGAAATACTCTTAATCTGCCAACTTGATTTTCTATCCTCCATAATCTGGGAGTAAGACAACATCACCAGGTTTGACTAAAGTTGGTATGACATTTCCTTTTGAATCTTATTATCCTGGACCAGCCTGGAAATTTCTAGAATATAATTCTTACTTCGACAACTTTTCCAACTGCTTATTTTTCATCTGATGTTTATAATAAGATTCCTGATGCTGTTTTTGTGACAGGTTCATACTTTTAAATTAAAACTCTGTTAAGGAGGGGTGCCAATCTCTTGAATTAAGATGCCATTATGAATCTATAAATTGAACTTAAATAAAATAATTATCAGAATTAAATTTTTATGTTCAAATATAAAAATATTATTTTAGAATTTGCTAGAATATTTGATCTCTTCAGATTTAAAATATATAATATTGTATTCCATTACTATATCTATACTATATTGATATGATTTATTTATCATCCATCTCTTTAATCTCCAAAAGTTTCTTATGGTTCTTCTTCTCCTTAACGTCCTGATTATTATTACTTCTTTTTTATTCCTGATACAACATCATCAATTCTTAATAACATACAAGCTGATTCAATAGCAGTCTTGAAAACTTATCTAAAATAATAAATTTAATTATTTACTTTTTTACTGATAAGGGTTCCCAAACATTAATTTCATTCATTTTTGCAATTTTACCTGTATTTCCATCTACTCCAAAAAATAAACCTCCAGTCTCACTATGTTTAGCTCTCAATTCTGTCAAAATTCTAACAGTATCAGCTCCACAATTAGCTGAAAGAGTTCTAGGGATAATTTCCAAAGCATAAGCAACTATTAAATATATAAACAATTAAAAATACCAGCTTTATAAGGTAATTAACCTAATCCTTCAACTTTATTAGCTTTCTCTAATAATCTAGCACTAACTTCCATTTCTACAGCTCCACCTCCTGGTAATAATTTTGGGTCTTAATAAATATTTTTAGCTACTGCCAAACAATCATGTAAATTTCTTTCCTAAATTATATAAATATAAACAATTACCATTTCATTTAAAACATCTTTTGATGCTCCTCTTAAAATAATAGAACATGCAGTTGGATTCTAACAATCTACAAAGAATGCAAAATAATCATCTCCTATTTTTTTGACTTCAAATGTTCCACATAATGTACCAACATCTGTCTCTTATAATTCTTCTGGTCTATTCACTATTGTGGCACCAGAAACTCTTGCAATTCTTGTGTTGTCTGTTTTTCTTACTCTTCTTATCACAGAGACATTTCCTTTTAATAAAAAGTGTTAAGCTAAGTCTGAAACTCCTTTTTCTGTTATTACAATATCGGGTTTATGTTTTAAAATGTCATTACACATAAGTGCAACTTCATTTATCTCTTATTAAAGAGCATCAGTCATATCAGATTCTTTTGTCATTTCCATATTTGTCATTGATTCACCTTTCTTATATTCCAATGTACAATCTAATAAAATGATTCTTGGATTTTTAATTTCTCTTCTCATTCTTGGATGTGTAACATCTTTATTAATCATGACTCCTTCAAGTACACAACTTTCTTCAAGAGTTCCTCCTGGTATTTTCTCTACTTTTGCATATCTCTTAATTTCTAAATTTAATTTATTAACATTTCCTCCTCTAAGAACTATTCTCGTTGCTTATAATGAGAGATCACTAATTAATGTTCCCCATCTAAATGCGAATTTAGTACCAATACAAGATTGTAATGCCTTCATTACTTCTTCTTTTTTTTCTGTATCTATTTATTATGATATCTCATCCAAAATTTTTACAGAATCTTCCAAGGCTCTAAAATATCCATTAACAATCTCTGTTGGATGAATATTCTTTTCTATGAATGGTCTAGCTGCTACCATCATTTCACCTGCTAATATGATGACTGATGTTGTTCCATCTCCAACTTCTTCATCTTGAGCCTTTAAATTCATAATAATTAAAATATACTCTTGCTAATTCAATCATACTCTTTGCTGCTGGATGCTAAACATCAATCTCTCTCAAAATTGCATTTCCATCATTTGTCATTACAATGCCGCCCATTGGATCAAGTAACATTTTTAACATTGATCTAGGTCCAAGAGTAGTTAAGACTATATCTGATACAGCTTTGGCTGCTTAGATATTTCCTAATTAAGCTTTTCTACCCTATTCTCTTTTTGTGTTAGCATTCACCACAATCACTGGAGCTCCTTACATATATTTTTAAATATAAAAACTTTTAATGGATTTGATTATTTTCTTTTATATTTATCAATTCCTCAAGAAAACTGAAAAATTATAATATCAATCAAACATCAAATTTGCTTTATTATATCTTATAGACTATTTAATGCTTTGATAATCTCAACATTAAATTCAGTGGATTCTGGATTCACTTTAGTATTTGAAAAGTCAATTAGCTTAATTTTAAAATCGTTATCGTTTCGATAAATCAATAACAAACTTGTCCCTTACCATGAAATCACCTACTTACAATTATTAGTAATAAACAATTTTAAAGATTCTATCTTATCGATTGCTTCTTTTAAAATTTCTATATTAATAAACATCATATTATTACTATTTCTATTTTTTAAACTAAAAAAAGTCTTTAGAGACTCAATTAATTCCAATACAGATATAGTTCTACCCCAATGCTTATCTTTAAACATTACCAATTCATTATTCTCTTATATCTTCATCCCACATATTCTTAGACCTATTTTTGAAGAAGTTGAATCTTAATAACGCTATATATGTGATTATTTCTCAACTGTATAACCTAATTTCAAATCTAGAATTCTCAAATTCTAAGAATTTTAAGTCAAGTTTTCAAGTAACAAATATTCTATAAAAACTTTTTAGAATATATACTTTTATTATTTGGATTATATCTCTTAGAAATGAGAGAATTTAACCATTTTTATTAAGAGTTAATAGTTTCTTAAATTGATACTTCTTAATTTTTCTCTAGAATTACAACCCCATTATATTAAGAGAAAAACTCTTCATATCCCTCTATATGCTGAATCCATTCATAAAAACTAATTAGCTTTTTGAAATACTTTTATTCATTATTATTTTCAATCTAGGAGGATTTAGCTACGAATTCGCCATCATTAAGTTTAATAAATATAGAATGCCCAGAGATTTATTATTCGAAAAAAGCTTATTGTAATTATTATTAGAAACTCATAAAAATAATATATAATCGAAAAATGTAATGTTAGATAAAATTACGTTCTATTGGTATTTATCAGAGATACTATTAGTCTTGTTAAGTATAGTTCAGTTTAATTTTATTAGAGCTGGTGCTAATTTGTATATGTTATGTTTTTTTTTAATTTAAAGCGAATTTCTTGTTTGTTTAAATTAAATATCAAATTATCTTGTTTTTTATTAGTTAATTAATTTGGTTAAGAAGAATGGTGTATATTCTTTCGAATTCTATTTAAGTTGTTTTAGTACTATTATATAATCTTTTAAATGAAATTGATTGATTATTTTATGAATTCCATAATTCAATACTAATTATATTTAAGAATTGAAAATGATGGGGTTTTTATACTATCAAATAAGTAAATTTATGATTATTAATTCGAATACAACAGAATTATATGTGATTCATAAATATTGTATTAAATCAAAGATATAATTTATTATTATATGAGTGTCCTTGAGAATGTGAGATATATTAAGATATAGAAAATAGGGGAGGGAGCCTATGGAATCATTTATAAAGCTCAAGATGTCTAAACTCAAGAAATAGTAGCACTGAAGAAATTTAAGCTAAGTGTATGAAGATTATATATTCAAAGGATTATGAAGGTGTTCCTAGTTGCGCTCTTAGAGAAATCTCGATTTTAAAATAACTCAATCATCCAAACATTATAAAGTAAAAAAATTGGGGATTAATTTTAGGTTGATATCTTAAATAATTATAAATAAGAAACTTCATTTGGTAATGAACTATTATGATAAGGATTTGACAGAGTATTTGAAATTTTATCATGAAGAATTTCACCTTAAAGTATATTCACTATAAATTAATTAAGAATATAATTTATAAGATACTATTGGCAGTGGAATTCATTCATAGTAGGAAAATAATTCATCGAGATCTTCAACCAAATAATATTTTAGTTAAGAATAATGAACCAGTCATAATAGATTTTGGATTATCAAGAGTTTTCTCTCCTAATCTAACTCCAGGAGTAACTTAATTATGGTATCGCGCACCAGAATTGTTACAAAATTGTCACTCTTATGATTATGCAATCGATATGTGGTCTCTTGGTTGTATAATTTTAGAAATTGCACTTAATAAACCATTATTTATGGGTTAGTCTGAAATCCATCAACTTCTATTAATTAAAAATCTTATAGATGGAGGTATTAACTAAATAATAGTCTTTTAGATGAATGGTTTAAGTAAAATTCCCAGTTTGCAAAATTCAATAATTTGTTTATTGATTTAATCAATGTATGTATTTTTCTCGAATTTCTAGAAATTATTATAAATTGATCCAACAAAACGGATTACAAGCAAATAGGCTATCCAACATGTATTATTTCTTTTTTATCATTTAGCCATTCTTTTAGGATTAATTTGCATTTATTTACAACAATGAATGATTATAATGACTAAATAATAATATGTTTTTATTATTTTATGACAAAAACTAATCGATTTTTTTTATTTTTTATGAAAATTTACCAATTCATATCAAAGGATTCATTTGAATTCAATTATTTCAAATACACTCTATAAAATGAATTAGTTATTTGTGTTATTTAAATAAACTGAAACTTAAAATATTCTAATTCATTGTCCTACCTTAAATAGCTGATTTCCCATTCTAAATTTCAAATTTCTGAATTATAAAACATAAAAAGACTCAAATAGGTGAATAGTTTATAACATATACAACTTAATTATTATCCTCAAATATAATTTTAAAATAAAGAATAGCAATGATAAAACTTCTAACCAAATTGTTAGAATCTGTTCTACCTATAATTGAATTTGATATCTCAGTTTAGATAAGAGTTTCTAAAAATGTTATTGAATTTGAATTTAAAAAGTAAATTCAAATTTTTTATGATATTTTAGAAATAATTATAGATTTAAAGTCATGTTTATTAAAATAAAAAGTAAAAAATATGTAAAAATAAAGTAATGAATTAGAAATGTAGAGTGTAAATTTTATATGTAAATTTGATAAACAAAATATAATTCAACGAAATTTTAAAATAAACCATAATAATTTCATGAAAGAGCATGGATTAATTTATTGATAGCATTTTTAATATACTTTCCATTTGAGATAAAATACAATTTTAATGAATACTTTTTGATTATAATTTAAAATCAATTATTTTAATATATAAAATAATAATTATAATAATCAATGGAGTATTTCCTTACCAGATATACAGTTTATGGAAATCCCTTTTATAATCTTAATGCAGGTCGAAATCATATAGATGGGGAGAATCAATCAAGACTTAGAAAGGCCTTGAATAGATTTTAATAATCAGAGGGTAATTAATTATTATATAATTTAGAGGGATAAGCCTTACCTAGAAAGTTTACAGATCAATAAATAAATGGAATTAGATGGGGATTACCAGTTGTTGGTCTTTTTGTAATTGAATTTGTTAACATTATAAAAGTTAGGTAGATTTATGGGTGATATTTATTGTGCTTAAAGTTCCATCTACATGAAAGGCATTTTAGCTATAGTTGGATTAACAATTTTTAATAAAATTGGAATGGATATCAAGAATGATAATGATATTTCATATTGGACATCTAATTATCCTAAATTGCCATAAGACATTTAAAAAGCTCTGAGTCATGGAGATTCAAGATACACTGTAAGATGGATTGATTGATTTAATATTGCAAAAATATAAAAATAAATAAAGAGAAATAATTTATGTATAATATACTGAGAGCCAAATAAGCATTCAAGATGAATCGAAATAAAACGCCTTAAGAATCTGTAAATTAAAGATAGAATAGTTAAAGTTTTTATGATCAAAGGTAATAATTGAGATTGAAATTTGAAAGCAACAATTCGTTGAGTTTGACAAAAAGTAAAACAAATAATTCGACTACAATAAATACTTTAAATAGAACAATAAACTCTTTTTATGTTGGTGGTAGAAGGGAAAAGTTGTAAACTTATACAATAGATTTATAAAAAACAATGGATGCTGATTTTGGTAATAAATTTAGATCTGCTTTCAAAGAGAGTGGTAGATAAAATAGAAGAATAGTAAATGTTTTCTAATATTTTAAGAATACATCTAATAAACTCAATAATTAAAGACCTATATCACACAGTAAATCGGTTGTGTATGGAAAAAGAGATGAAGAAGATAATAATAATGAGGGATAAAAACTAGAGTATGAATGATTATAATTAGAAACTTGACTATTATTTAATAAGGTTTAATTTAAGAACCAAATAAACCAATAATTAATCCAAATGAAGAATTAGCTAAAATAAAAGAAGAAGTTAATGCAATTTATAAGAATTTGGAACCAGATACTTTAGAAGTTGATGAATGGATTTATTAGGTAGATTATTAAAAATTAGAACTTAAAGTATTTAGTTTGGATGAATTAAGATATTTAGCATAAGAATTTTAAAAAGAAGAATATGAGAGAAATTATTTAACTATGGATAAAATATTACTAAAAAATAAATTTTTTTAAAGATTTGGATAAGGTATAAGAATAGGAATAATGGAAAAAGCTTCTATGGAAATTCATAATGTTGGAAAAGTCATTCTATAATTAGGAGGTAATAGCAACAATCTTTATGTTATTTTAAGAGGTTCTTGTTAATAGACTTTAACAATGGATATATAATTAGAAGATTATGAAAATTTGACAGTGTAATCTTATTTTGATGGTTAAGATTTATCAGAAATTAATTTATTGTAATTAAATAATAGTAGAGGATATTCAGTAAATAAGTATGTAGATTTAGTAGAAGGAATTAAAGAACATCCAAAATTAATAGGTAATATTTTTATTATATTATTAGAACTACTTAAAAATGAAAGAACTAAATTGATAACTAGTCATATTTCTTGCGCAGAATAAACTTACCTACTTAGAATGGATAATGATTAATTTTAAAAGATTCTGAAATAATCTATTGAAAAAGACAAAGAATTTAAATTAAGTATACTTTCACAAATCAGATTTTTTTAACATACTTCAGCTTCTTAATTATTACATTTAGTAGCAGAATTGGGAATTTAAAATTATTATTAAGGAGATTGTGTTGTTAGAAAAGGAGATGATTTAAATAGAGTAATTATTATTGCTTCAGGTGAATTTGAAATCGTGGAAGAAATCCAACTCTAGAGAGAAACAAGAAATTATTATTTAGAAAATAAATTAAAACCTTTAGTACATAAAAGAATTATAGATAGAAATACTAAACCTGAAATATCAAGAGATATTCCTGATTAATCTTTTGATTTATCATTCACTAATAATTAAAATTAATAAGTAATAAGAAATTCAAAATGTTATTAATTTTGTAATAAGCAAATTAAAGGTAAAAATTAAATTGCATATACTCATTTACATGTATTAAAAACACTTAAAAAATGTGATGTTATTTGTGGTAGATCATTATTAATTTTATATGATAATGAATATAATCAAGGATTAGCTAGTAAAGCAAAGTAATTATTATTTTTAACCAATTAATAGATTAACAGTTGTTGTAAAGAGTGTGAAAGGTAGTATTTTCTTTTTGGATAAAGAAAGATACTAAAATCTTCCAGAAAGTTTATAGAATTAAATTTTAGCAGGATTACGATCAATGAAAGAATATGATGATTATGAATTAGATCATATAAGAAAAGAAATTAAAACTTGGGAGAAATATAAATAAAATCTATATCAATAATTCATATAGGATAAACGTAAAAAGACTTTTAAAACATACTGATTTATTTAAAATTTTGTTTTATTCTTAAATAATTTAACTGAATTAATAAATATATATATGAGTCAATTTTTAGCTTTTTTTTATAAAATAGAATTTAATTTGTCTGCAATTTTAGAATCTAGCATTAAGTTTTATTTAAGTTACTATAAATCTATAGCTTAAGTTTATTATTCAACTATGTCATCCTATTAATCAATTTCACTATAATCATATTTTTCAATTGCATGATTTAATTATTCTTCAAATTATTAGAATTCTGGATCATCTATTTCTGTTTATTTTTTAGAAGGTCTTGTTGTTGATTAGAGATCTAAATCTTCAACTATTTGAACATTGTCTGTAAAAATAACACCTTCTGCTGTTCTTTTAATCCAGGGCGCTTCTGGTTTATTTTCAACAACAATAGGCTAAAATGATATATAATTTATTACACTAATTGCTTCAAGTAATTTATCATCAAATTTGATATTCATTTCAGGAATTTCAACTGTTGGTAAACAAAAAGATAATCTAAGCTATAAAGTTTACTTATATTTTTTTAATGGTAATTTGACCATTGGATATATTGAACATAATCTGTTATGTTAAGGAAAGATAATAAATTCAGTCAATTTTGAAAGCTCAGGATTTATTTCACTTTTTGGATTCTAATCATCCTTCAATAATTAAATAAATAATGAGAGATGTTCTTAAATTTCTTATTACGATATATTCTCATTTAATTATTCTAAATAATCAAGTGCTTATTCTGTTTATCCTAATAATAAATGGATAACAGATCGATTAAAATAGTATTCAAATAAATTATAAGTTCTATCACTAAATTCAAATTCTTCTAGAGGCTTGCTTTTATATTCCATTTTCTTCTAAGTTTAATTTAATTAGTCTAAAATGAATTAATCTGAATCATTCATTGAACCTAATTCCTTTTTCTATTGCTCTTCTTTAATTTTATATGATTCTTTCAATACTTATTAAGAACTGTCATATTATTTTAAATAGAATAAAAATAATCCTTTATAAAATAAAATGTCTGATTTTTTAAATATTCTTCCTTCAGCTCCTTTTTTTAAAATTTGATTGCTACATTGTAAAGCTTCTTAAAATAAATTTTAATCAGAATTTGCAGTTGATGTATTTTTTAATTACTATAAAATATTCAAGTCTACTATTGCATGAATATCATTAGATTATTCAACTATTTTTTATAGATCTAGCATTGAACTATTTAATTCTTTAATCAAAATATAAGTTTTAGCTCTGTAATATAAAACTTGTAAGCTTTTTTCAGAGCTAATACTATTTGAATATGATTGAATAGCATCTTCATAAGCTCCAATTTAAAAAAACAAATTTCCTATAATAATATCGGTTTAAGGATCAGTCTATTTACATTCTTAATACTTTTAAGCATCATAATATGCACTTTTTCTATCTCCCAATAATAGAAATACTTTTGCTCTATTTAAATAAGCATCAATAAGTTTTTCATCAAGATTTATTGCTATTGTTAAATCATTAAGAGCAAGTTCAAATGCATTCCTACAAGCTTGTATTAATCCTCTTACATAAAAATGTTTAGCTACATGATCTTCTGACTTTTCTATTGCTTTATCTAAATCAATTAGAGAATCATCTAATCTTCCTTATGCAAATAAAACAATTCCTCTATAAAATAATAGATTAGATTATTCATTAATTTTGACTGCCAAATCCATATATTTAAGAGCATCATTTAAAAATTTATTTTTTTTTTCAATATCATCTTTAGGAATAAGAAAACTATAAAACTTAACTAAAGTAGTAGCTTTATAAAAATAAGGTTCCATTTTATTGGGCATAAGTTTTTATGCTTTTAAAAAGAATCCTTAAGATTATTCAAACTAATTAGCAATAGCAGCAAGGATCCCTTCAGCAATTAATTTATTATAAATTGATGGTTTTTCAAGAGATGTCAATTAATTGAGATCATGAAGAGACTTTTAATATTATGATTGACAAAAGTATCCATATGCTCTATATTAAAATATAAGAGGTTTCAAAAAATCTGAAATCTAATGTTTGGAGATGAGTGTTGTTAAAGCATCAACACCTTCATCAAATTTACGTTTCATTAAAAAAGTAACTCCATCTGTAAAGATTTTAAATTTCTCTAATATTTTTTCATCTACATCTAAATAATCAGCACGACTTAATTAATAAAATGCTTCATAAAAATCCCTTTGTTCTATTTTAATTTTAGCAATTTCATAAAGAGATTTAGAAACAGCTTTTTTTGAATTGTTATGTTTAATAGACTACTCATATGCAAGAAAGGCTTCTTATATTTAATCTAATATAAATCTATACAATAATTTACTTCTTTTAGTGCAAATGAAGCCTTTGATATAGAGAGCCTCAGAATCACAATGATCTTCTTCTAAAACAGCTTCAATATCTAAAAGTGCTAGATCATATTATTTTAAATCAATATATAAGAGAGTTCTTTTTATTAAGGCTTATCTGAAAGAGGAATCTTCACATTCAATTGCTTGAGTACAAGCCTGAACACTTTATTTAGGTTGATTCATATATCTGAAACAATCAGCTTATCCAATATAAGCAATAGCTTTTTTTGGTTATATTTCAATTGCACTTGTAAAATCCTTCAAAGCTCTATCAAATTATTTCATCTTCAACAATAATTTACCTCTATAGATGTAAGCATCGAAATATTTGTTAAATTGTTTAATAGCTAGAGTTAACTAGAATTTAAGTTAATGTTAATACAGTGTTTAAAGCATCATTTGGACAATTTGATTTTTTATAAGCTATGGCTAATAGAATGTAAGCATTTCTTTTATAAAGTGGTTGTTATTAAATTAAAAGATTTAAATCGGCTATGGCATCTGAGAATTCAGATTTACTTAAATGACATAGTCCATTTAAATATCGTGCTTCAGGATTATTGCTAACTTATAGAATTTCTTAGAATAATTTTTGAGCTTCTTCAGTTTATCCCAAGCTCAAAAGTTTTTTTCCTTCAATAATTTCTTAAGATTTATCAGATGGCAATTTGTTGGCACGTGCTAATATTAAATTTGGCATCTATACCTTCTGCATCCATGTAATCTTTGAAGGAAACGTTAGATAAGTTATTAAAATGCATTAAAAATTCATCATTTTCATTTTAAACGCTGTCATCTATATAATTAATTGTATGTATCAATTACAATGATAATAACTAACAGAATGCATTTTTTTTGGGCGATTCTTTACAAAACTATTTTGTTTGATTAGTTTGTTTGCCTGATACTTGGCGGATAAATAATTATGAGAATCATTTAATACTTTTTTTGAAGGTTTCTAATTTATGATTAAAATTTATTATACTTGTATTACTTATTACACCATTGATTTTGTCTTAGGTCTCTAATAGCTTTCAGGTAAGAGATGGAAACTAACTTACTAAGCTTTAGGTGGCAATTCTAGAAAATAGAGTTGTTGTTTTACTTTTGACATTCTATTAACTTTGTAATTTGAGAATTTAAGAATTTTGATCATTGTCTTTTGACTTTTGTCTAGTCTTGAATCTACTAAATGAATTACTTTCTCTTACATTTTTCATTCTATCTATTGATATTATTATTATATTACTTCTAAATTTACTGTTAACTATTAATATAATTCAAAAATATTCCATTAAGAGTAATATTTTTAATATATATAAATATATTATATATATATATATTTAAACATGTATAACATATATATCAATTCTTAGGAATGTAGGCTCCTGTTTAAATAAATTTCTATTTTTGTATGATATTTCAGAAGAGGTTTTACTTTGATTATAAAATTAATTAAAAAATGGGATGCGGTTCAGCAAAGCCGTCGGATGTTAATAACCCTTAATAGAGTAATATCTTAAATCCATATACGAGTCAATGATAAATCTCAATTGCGTGTGACATCTCTAAATTTAGTAACTGAAAAGATTGGACAGATTTCATAAGATTATCATCTTCTAAAACCTTCTTTAGGAAAAGGTAAATGTATTATATAATAATTCTTAGGTGCGTATGGAGAGGTTCGGAAGGGAATTCACAAATTGACAAACTAAACTAGAGCTGTAAAAATAATCTCAAAGGAAAAGGCTAAAAAGGCTGATATAGAACGTTTAAAGGAAGAAGTTGACATCCTTAAAAGATTGGTATATGTGATTATCTTATTAAAGGATCATCCAAATATTATAAAGATCTATGAATTTTATCAGGATAATAAAAACATGTATATAGTTACAGAACTATGCACAGGTGGAGAGCTATTTGATAAGATCTAAGAATCTAGTTCCTTTTCTGAACGTAAAGCAGCAGAAACTATGAAACAGATCTTGAGTGCTGTAAATTACTTGCATAAAAGCAAAATTGTTCATAGGTATTTATTTGGTTCCAATCTTATTTAAAAAGAGATTTAAAGCCTGAAAATATACTATACGAATCTTCTAAGTCAAATGCCTTACTTAAGATTGTTGATTTTGGAACGTCTCGCTTTTATGATCCAGAAGTAAAAATGGATTAAAAACTTGGGACTGTAATTATCTTATTAATATATATCTAGCCATATTATATAGCACCTGAAGTATTAGAAAGGAAATATGATGAAAAATGTGATATCTGGTCTTGTGGAGTTATTCTTTATATTCTATTATCTGGAACTGCTCCTTTTAATGGAGATGATGATAATCTAATTATGGAAGCAGTTAAAAGAGGTTTCTACTCATTTGACACAGAGGAATGGAGATTAATTTCAGTAGAGGCTAAAAGATTGATTTCAAAAATGTTAGAAAGAGATCCGAAAAAAAGAATTTCTGCAGAATAAGCCTTGTAGGATGATTGGATTACTACATATGTAAAAAAACCAGAAATTGATTTGCCTTAATTGACGAAGGTTTTAAATAATATGAGAAATTTTAATGTTGAAAAAAAGTTTTAAGAAGCTGCTCTTACATTTATGGTCAATTATTTAGCAACTAGTTAAGAAAAGTAGGAATTATTGACATAATTTTAAGCATTAGATTTAAATGGTGATGGGAGATTAAGTAGAGAAGAATTAATTATAGGTACTTTAAATATTTTATTATCAAAAAGGTTATTCTAAAGTTATGAGTTATTCTGATGCTGAAATTGAAGTTGATAAATTAATGAAATAAATTGATTAAGATGGTAATGGTAGTATTGATTATTCTGGTATTTTATATATTATAAATATCCACTTTAGAATTTGTTTTAGCTACTTTTAATAAAGTAAAATTAATAGAAGATAAAAGATTAGAATAAGCATTTAAATTATTTGATAAAGATGGAAGTGGAACTATATCTATTGATGAAATTAAATAAATTTTTGGTCAAAATTCTTAAGTATCTGAAAAAGTTTGGAAAGATCTCATTTAAGAGGTTGATCAAAATGGAGATGGATAAGTAAATTGTTTTTTAATTAGATCGAATTTAAAGAATTCAAAGAAATCATTGTCAAAGCTATTCAAAGTAGCAATGATACTGATGATAAGAAATGAAAAAAATCTTTTATATTTATTATTTTACAAAAAGATTTTATATTCCATTTACATTTCAATTAAATAATTTGATAATTCTTATTGATAATAGATTAAAATTCTAACTTTATTTATATATTAATAATTATATAATAAGATAAACGGGTATTTCATTTTTTATATTCTGCGCATTTCTCTTCAAATTTAACTTTCCATCTATTAAAATAGCTATCATTAGCTTCATTAATAGGATATTCTCCAAAAGACAACACTTCGTTTAATAGATCATGTGCTTCCATCTATTTAACAAATTAGATAGCTTTGAGTGTTTCAGCATATTTACCTATTAAATATTTAGATTGTAATACTTAATTCTTTAGTTAGATTAATTTCAATGTTGTAAGAATCTTTAATAAAATTGATTTTTCTGTGGACTTCTCTTAATTACAAGTATTGCAATTCAGCACAAAAACCATAAATAATGTTTTAAATAAACATTTGTAATAATTCATCTCTGTTGGCTTTAATAATATTATATAAAATTACTTGGATATACACATAATTATTATAATCCATTGTATTAAATTTAAAAATCATAATTACCTAAAAGCTATTGATGCATTTTAATCACATTATTGATATATTCAGATTAAGAAAGATTGGCAAAGGCATCAAAATTAAATTGTATAAAATTCTGAATATTATTTCCAAAACTATTCCAAACATTATCTTCCAATTAGAAATTGCGATCCACTTCAAAAATATTCATAGATGCTGCAATACCTTGAATACTGAAACGACAGAATCTTAAATATTCAACCAAACAGATGTATTAAAATAAAGAAATATTGTCAATATCTCTTTTTAGATTAAATTTTTATCCACCTCCTTAGGTTGATTTGCCATCAAAATTAGATGTTTAATCTTTTTAAATAGTTCTATGAGGAGAGGGAGTTTAATTTTATTTCATCAACTAGGCAGATTAAGGTATAGAGAAATAGTCTGAAGTTTTAATAGATTCAGGTTTGGCAAATAATTAATTCAGTTTTGTTTCAAGTAAAGTATATGGTTTAAAGCTTTGGAAAAATTGTTTAAGTTTTTTTTAATAACCTAATTACTGACTATATTATCCCATAAATGTGTAGATAATTTTGTCTAATTGTAATTTGAATTATAATCTCATATTTTTACATAAGATTAATTCAAGTAAAAATTAAGTGATTAGAGACAACTCGAAAAACAGCATGTAACTTTATTAATATGTTTGAATATGTTTTAATGTTAATCCAGTAACAGCTGTAAATTAACGAAGTGACTAATATTATTAACTTTGATCAATTTAAATGATTGCTGAATGTATTCTTTGTTCATGTGTAGTCAAGAATTCCAAAATTTATCGACATTATGTTGGATCTTATGCCAATAATTCTCTGACTAAAACAAGTATATGGCACCACATTGAATGTTTTTGATTGTATTGTCCATTTTCATTGGAATTGTAGATTTGCTCGTCTGCAATGAAAGTGAGTGATTTTAAATATCTTACATCAATTTTATTGGAAATATTGAATATGATGATATCTATCCAACATTAGATGATAGATTAAAAAATCTAAGAATTATTTTAATTCTTTAATGCTTCTAATTATAAGTTAACAATGTCATAGAATCCTTCATTTGGTTTTTCTAGTAATTCAGGGTTTGCTGGAAATATGTTCAAAATGACAGATAATATTGATGACAATTGTCCAATTTGTTATTTACAGTTTGGATCATTGAAATCTATTAACAAAATGAAATAGTGGAAAACTTATACTAAATCTTAAGGCTCTTACAATAAAGTTTCTTTAACACTCTACAATACCAATAACATCGAATGGAAACAGCTAAATAAGATTTACTTATATTTTCCTTTATAATCATTATTACAAACTGATTTGAGTTCCAAAAGACGTTTGAAGAATACGAATTGATGTTTGCTCATTGTATTAAGTTTTTCGTTTGTCATCAATGTAGTATCTTTAAATGGATGTAAAAATTTGTATCTGTTCACAACTTATTAACTGTACCAACAGATCTAATTTAATACTTCTATTGCTGGTGTCATTAATTCTTCATGGATTTTAGATGTATCTAATCCATATATACTTTAACTTCCTTTCTATAAAAAGTATAATCCTGCATTGAATGCATATTCTGTTTCACTATATTAATTTTCTTCCTAACCAAATAGTTTTACTACTCCTCCTTCAATCATTTCCTTTCCTTAATTTGGAGAAAATATTGAATCTCCAAGTTCAATATCTTCATATAGATCTTTTTGATAATTATCACTAAAAGGAGAACCTGTCAAACCAATAGAAAAAAAGAATTAAACAAATTAAGATAATTAATTGAAGGTTGACAATAATTATGTAAACCAGGAAGCCATTATATTTGATTTCTATTGGGCTATTGCATTCCCCCCAGTATAATTTACTGTGTTACTATCAATTTAAAAGTCACGTCCATAACTATATATGTAATTAGATAAATAATTGAAAACTATATTACTTTTTATTATAGGATTGCGTTTTTAGAATTTTGCAAACTCAACATGATCACTGAATTGGATTAATAACAAGTACCATTCACGTATAAAATGTTTTTAGAACATTAATTTTATTAATTCTCCAAAAGCTTTCGTAGTCTCTTTGATTTCTTATTTCATCTCATTAATAAGTAATTTTAAGAAATATTCTAACATTACTAATTCTTCTATTGCATCTAAAACACAATTCTCTATTACACATTATTCTATTGCTGTTCCTGTTTCTCTTGTTATGTACCATTTTGAATTGTTATATGACAAAAATTTTATAAACTTCTCACATCGTTTATTTAAACAAATCTAAACTTCTCTACATAATTTAAGCATTAAAGATGCAAATTTTGTTCTACATTCTTTTGCAAATGAACAATATCTTGATTAATTGATACACAAAACTTAATGTAAAAATATCAAGACCAACATCGGAATTCTATAATCTTATTCTAAATCATCATCATAAGCTAATATATTTTAGAACAATTCTAAAATGTATTTTATTCCTGAATTTTAATTTGTGCTTTATGATTTCAGAATATATTACATAAAAGATTAATTATTCTCCAAACTTATAATTAAAAATTCTAATATTTCTTATTTTTCAATTAAATAACACTTCTTATCTAATCTATTTAAAATTGTATGAAGACTCTAAAATATTAAATGATGATAATGAATTCTCTTGTTTAACAATTAATTCTCTTCAGTTTCTATTGTTGTTATACTCTATTCCAAATTATGATTTAATAATGGTTTGGATAATAAACGTAAAGCACTTGTGAATATTGTACTATGCTAAGGTAGATTTCTATCTAAAACCTAACGATAATTTTTGAATTTCATATCTTCATAAATTTATTTGAATGTTTATTATTCTACATCTTCAAAATTAGGAGGATCTTAGCAATTACTCTAAGGTTCACTAATTGTGTTCAGAAGACCCAATATAGAATGTACAAAATTCAATTTTACTTTATTGCTAATATAATTATTAATATCTTATTGATAAGTACTTACAACCTATTATAAAAAATATTGTTCTTCTTAAAAAAATTAATGCAATTATTTAATTAATAATAAATTATTGCTAAAAGTTTCATCATAGATGGAATATAAATCAATAAGAATATTCCAGCAATCAAGTAAGTTGACCAAAAGAGAAGTTACATGATTTTTTCTTTTGTCACAATTCCTTACTTACTCAAATAAATTATTTTTAATTCCAATCATGTTGATATCATTCGACAATTATTTTTATCCAATATCTTCAAAAAAGGAATCCGTTAAAGTAACTTCTAAGTTTGTCAATAAAAATTCAAGAATAGTTTGACTATTGATTTCATTCAATTATTATTTAATTAAATTATGTAATTATGTCTCTTTATATTCTTTAGTATGATAAAACAAAAATTTCTTTAAGATCATTTGCAAAGCCAAATACATACTTGCCTAATATTCAATTGTAACTTCCATTTTATCCTCTTCAAACTTTTTCCATTCTTGCAATTAAAATCTCAAAAAGGTTTCAAGGGTGTTTTTCACAAATGTGTGTTATGATGATTAATAGAAATGATTGCTATTTTGTTATTCAAATAATTATAAAGGATTATCTTATCCAATTATTGTGCTACACAATTATGCATAATTCAAATGAATTTTAATAACTTACTTAACTTTGAATTAATAAGATGCTTAAAATTTTCTTGCTATATGAAATAACTCAAATAATGGATGATAAGATATTCCTTATTATCTTTAAATTTATTATTCATTTGTAGGTAGTTTATTAATTTCTTCAGCCATTTCTTTTTAAACTATAGGATCTGAAAATATATAGTTAATTATTTAAACAGCTTCAGAACCTATTGTTAATAAATTATTGATTAATTAAATAGCTTTTTCTTCTTCTTTATGAGTATCAATAATCAAATCTATTAATCTTGTACATTCTAATGTTACTTTTAGGATTTATCTATTTATATTATTAGAACTACATAATTAAGCAATCTTTTGAATTGAATTTGCTGATTTTTGTACTTCTCCTTTAATAAATTTGATAGCATGTTTAAATTTGTAAACACTAATTGCTAGATTATCAATACCCATTGACAATGTTTTATTTTTTAATTTATTTTATTCATTGTAATAATCCATAGAAGCTCGATTACTTTTTCCTAAAAAATCAGATGATTTATATAAATTATTTGTTAATTTTCCTTCTGAGAAATCTCTAATCATATTATGCAAACCTTAGAATAAGCTGTGATCATCTGATAATATATCTAATGTCTCTGGTTAATTTATTTTCCTAAATACTTTCAATTTATTTAATCTTTCTGATATAATTTTCTCAGCTGAATCATTTTCCTTAATAAAATCACAAAATAAAAACCAAAGTTAAGGTAATTGTAGAAGTATTGAAAATATTTTAGATAATAGTTCACCTTCATCATCATATTCATCATCTTAATATTTAATTTTATAAAGTCTAATCCATTGATATATACAAGTGCATACACAATTCCAAAAATGAGTATTTATTGAAGCATTTTCTAATACTCTAAGAACTTCTTCAAAATATCTTAAACTACTTTAATAATCATTTTAGTTTTAGAGATCTTTACCTTCTTATAAGTTAATTGCATTCAAAAATATCTTTTACATATAATCTGGTTGTATTTGTTTGATAGTTTCTATTTTACTGATCCAAAGTGGAGGAAGGAGATCTTCAAAATCAGCTTCTCTTTCTTAATAAAGTGGTCTAATACACAAAGCTAAAATAAAAGCGAATGCTATTTTCTTATATTCATCCTATAGTTTTGATGCTAAAGGACTATACTCTTAGAAGATTAGATGTTCATTTTTATGAAATAACCCTAAAAATTGAGTTTATTTCATATTTTCAATTAACTTTTAGACTGGCTTAACATATAGATCTTCAAATCTATCTATTTTAAAATAACATTATAAAATAGTGAATATTTCTAGAATTTATGTTTATTCTGATACAAAATGTTGTAATGTTTAGAATGTGTATTCTTCTGAATATTATTCCTGTTTTAAATAAAAATTCAAAGCTTTTGGTACACTAAGAAAAGAATTAGCCAATCCTTCAATGAGACCCCTTTTAAACATATCATTTAATTATTTAGATGGATTTCCTATTTCTTCTTCATTAATTAAATTAACAAGCATTAATTTTAATCCTGCAACTAATTAAGATCTTTGTTCAGCATAATGATTAAAAATAATATGTTAAAACTTTTTTATTTCGGTTTCAAAGAACTTGCTTTTTTCAGGTGCTTTTTATTTTCTTTCAAATTTATTTTCTAATATCTTAAGTCTTGATTGTTATAAGCTTCTTTTTAAGACTTAGTAGACTTCACTTTTAATTTTGTTATCGAAACATTTAGTCCTAATTTCTTAATCAAAAGGAGAATCTGTTTAGAGTTGAACTTTATTATCTGAAAAGGAGAACCAATCTGATCCTTTCAACATAATTTCATATAAATTTTTATCCTCTCTAAATAAAGTTTAAATTCTAATATCATCTTTACAATTTAAGATTTCCATAATTTTAAAAAAATCACTATTTTTTTCATTTGGTAATTATAGTTTTTATTAAGGTTATACAGAAGTGGATGATGGTTATACAGGTTAAGTTTATGATTATGATATTTATTATTAAGTTGCTTACTATTATGGTTGAGTTTATTATTGTGGTTATTGAGAGTTTGATAATAATTATTAAGTTGGTTATGTTCCATTTTAAACATTGCTTGGAGCACTTTAATTAATATTTGTTTATTAAGTTGTTGTTGCTTTAGCAGTTGGTTATTTAATCCAATCTGAATTACTTGATTAATTAGGTTATTATTATTATTATTGTTGTTATTATTATTATGGTTATACTGAAGTTTAATTATTAGCATTGAATAGTAAATTATTTGAAGTAGTAAGTGGACTAGTTGAAATTTGAGTAGGCTGAGCTTGACTAGATGTTTAAGCTGTAGTTTATTAAGTATTAGAAATTAAAGGGGCTGCAGTTGGATTTTGTAAATTCGTTGAAGAATTGTTATTATTTTAATTTGTTAAAGTATTAGAAGGTTGTTATCCAAATAAACCTCCACTTGTAGCGGCTCCTTATCCAATACCTAATCCAATACTTAATCCATTTCCTAATCCAGTATTTTATCCATTGCCTAATCCAGTATTTTATCCATTGCCTAATCCAGTAGTTTATCCATTGCCTAATCCAGTAATTTATCCATTTCCAAATAAGCCATTTCCTAAACCTGTATTACCTAAACCTGTATTTCCTAAACCTGTATTTCCTAAACCTGTATTTCCTAAACCTGTATTTCCTAAACCTGTATTACCTAAACCTGTATTACCTAAACCTGTATTTTATCCATTTCCTAATCCAGTATCTCCTCCTGTTCCTGTTCTTATAGCTGTTCCCTCTCCAACTGAAGCAGGAGCATTAAATAATCCTGTGACTGATTGATTTGTTACATTTTATTAATTTGTGTTTGGTTAAGTAGTTTAAGGTGGTTAATTAGAATTGCTGATTGAAAATAAAGATGTAAGATTATTGTTATTTGTTTATGTTTATTATTAACCTTATGGTTGTTATGAAAGATTTAAACTGCCTTAGCCAGTTTAATTTGTTATAGGTGTTGTATTTGCCAAATTTTAAAAAATGTTATTATTTGTTTATGTTGGCTGTTATTATTATGAAGGTTAGGCTGTAGCAGTTGCTCCAGAAGATAAATTGTTATTTCCAAATATATTTTAATTAGGGCCTGACATTCCAAATATATTAGCAGTTGAAGATTAAGCTGCTACTTGTTAAGGTGCAGACGTATTACTTTATAAACTAAACCCAGCAGATTATGAAGTTTAATTTTATGTTTATCCAAATAGGTTTGCATTTGTTGTACCTTATCCTGTTATACCACCAAATAAATTACTTGTTTAACCTTGAGTATTCAAAAAAAGTCCTTGTTAACTTAAAATTATACAAATTCACTTACTTATTTTAAGAGCTCATTTTAAATTATTTAAATTTATGATTGTAAAACAAAAAAGAGAAGCCTTTCATATTTAATTGCGAAGAAACTAAAGAGAACTCATATTCTCAAAAAAAAGAATACTTGAACTTCCCTCCTAGTCATCCATAAATAATTAAGCTATCCTAATACTTTAAGGTCTATCCTAAAATCAAATTACCTTAAACCTATTTTTTGAACAACTCACATTTCCACTTCCAAAATATACAGAATTACATCTTTTAACTATACCATATATATAATAAGCTACTGAATAATATCTCTATGATATTCGTTAATCTAATAAATAAATTAATGATGATGATCAAGAAATATCAGAATAAATTGTTTTATCTATGTTAATATATCTTAATTAACTCACTTATTTCATCAAAATAGAATTCTCATTAGAATCTTTTTTAGATATTCTTTTTTCAATATTAAATGCAACCAATAAATTTAAAATTATGGATAAGCTATGTCAAATATTTTATAATTTATTGCTTGATTTTCCATCAATTCAAAACTTATTACTATAGAAGAACCTTCCAATTCTACTTACCAATAAATATCTTTAGAATATCACCTTTGATTTATATAATCTTAAAAATCTACTTATGATTCTACATAAGTTAGTTAATCTTGGATATCAAGAATACAATCTCATACATCCTATCCTTCATAAATTATAAAATACTTCTAATATTGAACAAGAACACTATGTAGAAATTATGGAATACTTTTTTTCATTTCTCTCTAATTGTTCATCTAATTATGATCCTTTAATTATTCAATAAGTTGAACTCTTTGAAAAATTCTTAGAATTTTAATATGTTAGATGGTCTGTAGATTTACTCTTTAAATATGATAAACATTACAATCTAGTGTGTAATATCTATTAATTTCTTAATAACTTAAGTTAAGGTACATTTGGCTAAAGTATGATTGATCAAGGTATCTTAAGTGTTCTTTAAGTACATTTAAATGAAAAATCAGCCCCTCAAATACTTATTTATTCACTAATAACAAATTTAATTGTAGATGATTTCACTAGTATTTTTCAATGTGGAATCCTTATTAGAATTCCAGCTATATTTAATCAAGGATTTCCTACATAAGACTACATTAGTGAATTACTTTATTGTATTACTGCTGCATTTTCAAAAGCAGATGAAGATTATATTAAACAACTAAACAGACTCAAATTAATTGATTGCTTAATCACTTATTTCACTGATTTTCCTTAAGAATTTCTAGATTTAGATCTTTGCCAAAAGATTATAAGAATTCTTTTGAATACAATAGAATTCCAAAATTAAGAATCAGAGCATGATTATGATTACTTAGAGGTATTGAAAAATAATACTATATTTATCATGAGATGCAATTATCTATTTGGATTAACTTAAGATAACTATTGTGAGACTTTGCTTAATATTCTGTTTGAAATTTGAAACAGATTATATCTTAATGTTAAAATTAATTTTAGACCAATTACTCTTAAAATAAACTTAAAATAAAAATAATTATTTGTTTCAAATAAATCTAATACCTTTTTATATTATACATATTTTAATTAAAATTTAGACATAAAATCTAGTCAAAATATTATTAAATCTTTCAATAGTCTTTTCCAAATAAATCATGAAAAATAAAATCAATAAAAATTATAAGAACTTTATTATGTCTAATATCTATCATAAACATTATTTACAATTGATTCCATCTTCCTTAAAATTTCATTATTAACTTAACTTGATTTATTTAGTTCAGATTCTACTTCAGTCAAAGATTTATTAAATTTAAGAAAAGATTGTCCTATTCTTTTACGATACTATGGTGTTTTAAATCTTTTATCAATTTATCCATTCGAATTTTCGTAATAATTAATCATTGTCTAAAGATTTTTTGTTCTTTCATTTGAAAATTTCTCAATCAAATTAACTTTATTGATTGATTTTTAATTTTCTAAAGATGATTCTTAAAAATTTTCTTTTTTTTAAGGGTTTAATTAATTTATTTCACTAACCTAACACGTTTATGGTTTTCCTCTTGATTTTATAGGTGAATATTGAGAATTATTAATTGATAATTTGATTTCTTTTTTATTTAATTTTTCTTAAATTGGTTTATATTTTGCAATACAATTAAATTTCATGTTTTTTATGAATTCATTTGTCTTGTTTTAATATTTTGAATAATATTTAGAGACTGTAAGTTTTATTGAATTTTAATTTTTGGTTAATAATCCATTCTCAATTAAATTTTCAAAATTATATGAACCATTACACATTTATGAACTAGTGGATCTTGGTTCTATTACAAAATTCTATATAGTTTATGTCATAAATGTATTATCAAGTACCCTTTTTATAGGAGCAACTGAATTTGATTATGAAAAATTCTTAGTGGAATATGTAGAAAAGGATTGCTTTTTCTAAGTTTTTAAAGTGGAATCCTAATTCAATTGTTTTTAAATCCAATCCTCTTAAGTTTTTGTTTATGCATTATTGAATTCAATTTATATTTAATCCATAAGTCTATTATCATTTAACAAATTAGAATCAACAATCTTTTATTTCATATCAATAAATGTATTGAGCTCTTTCAGATTTTTTAGTTTTTAATTAAATCTTTAATCAACTCTTTAATTCCTATTCTACAATCTAATTAATTTTATATTTACTTAAGTCTTTATTGTGATTTTTCAATTAATTTTGTTGTAAGTTCTTAAATTTTAAGTTATTTATCATTCTCTTCTTAAATTTTTTAAAAGTAATCTTATAATCTATCCATTTGCAAAAAATCAGAAACTTTTATGGACATTATAAAATAAAATATAATTATAATTTCTTCTAATTAAAATAACTACTTAAAATTTAAAATTTATCGCATAAAATAGAATACTATTTAATAATCCAAAAAGTAAAAATAGAGAATCCATTTTATGTTAAAATTTTAGTTTGTAACATAATTATTTATTAAGTGAAATGTATTAAAATAGGAAAAGAATTAGAGAATAATTTTTCAATAAAATAATTAAATTGTTAAGCAAGATAAACAATTTTTCAAAATTCTGTATGAACATAAGACCAACCATGAATATGAGATGATGGTTCTAAATGTTCTGTTTAAAATATATTTTGAATAGCTTATGTATTAATCTTAATCTTTTTTGTTGGTTTAGGAAGTTCCAATTCTTTATTTTAAACCTTCTCCCAATCAACATCTGAAAAATAAGGATGATGCATGATTTCTTTAGAATCACCTATTCCTGATCCTAATCGTTTGATAGGATTTCTTTAAAGAAGCTATAAAATGAATATAATAATTACAGATTTAATCAAGTTTCTACCTTCAGCAGAAATAAATTAAGGTATTTGAAGAACAGCATTTTCAATATTATGAAATAGCTACTCTTTTTCATTATCATAATAAGGTGGTACTCCAACTAAAAGTTCATACATAACTACTCCAAGTAAATACCAATCTACTGCTTTTCCATGTCCTTATCGTTTAAGCATTTCAGGAGCTAAATAAGCAACTGATCCACAAAATGATTTTGCTCCTTAATCAGCATCATATATTCCTTCCTTTGAAAGTCCAAAATCAGTCAGCATTGCATGTCCATCTGCATCTATTACTATATTTTCTGGTTTTAAATCTCTATAAATAATATCTCTTTAATGTAAATCTTCCAAAGCTAAAATTAATTCACAAATATAATTTTTGACTTAATCTTCTGGAAGTCTTTTCTTCTCTTCCAAAAGTTATCCCATATCTCCTCCTGGACAAAAGTCTAAAATCATTATCAATTTATCTAATGTTTAAAAAGCATATCTTAACTTTACTATAAAAGGATGTGAAGTTACTGATAGCACATTTCTTTCTGTTTATGCATAACGATATAAATTATGTTCTAATTATATTATTTACACTTACTTAAAATCATTTTTTTATCTAATACCTTCATTGCATAAAATTAGTTTTATTTTTATACAAGATATACTTAACCAAAACTACCTTTGCCAATTAAACCTATTATCTAAAATTAAGATAAAGATATTTCTTCTTCCTCTTTCAAATTTTTATTAGATTCAGAATAATTTGTTGAAAATGTTTTTTATCTTTTTAATCCTTACATTTGAGTTTTAAATTATTCAAGTTATTTTAATTTAATTTATAATTGTTTTATTTTAGGATATGGTATTTACATTTTATCCATATGGTTTTAAGACCTACTTATTTAAATTTAATTCTTTATTTATTTTACATTTTTTCTTTAAAACATTTTTAATATGGTTTCTGTTTAAGTTGTTTAAATTGTTATTTCTTTAGTTTGTTTTTCTAAAATATATATTGATAGATATACTTTTTTAATATTCTCTATATTCATCAAAGATCTAAGCAATTTCTGAATCCTCAATATAATAATCAGGATATTTTTATTCTAAATTTTACATTTAGACAAGATGTTATTTTTAAAGTAAAAATTCCACAATAGATTTAAAATTAAACTTACAAGCATAATGAAGAGCAGTATTTCCATAAATGTCTTGATGATTGATATTGGCTCCAACATTAACTAATATTTAAAAAGTTTCCGATTTTCCACTATGTTAATTTATATAAATATAGTACTAATAAGCACTCAAAAGTAATGGTGTCATTTATTCTTCATTCTATTCTTCTAATTGAATATCTTTGTACAGTAATGCTTATACAAGACGTTTATTCCCATTTCTAGCAGCAAAATGAAGTGCTGTGTTACCATTTTAATCTTTTGAAGAAACCGATGCACGAAGGTCTGAATTTATCTTAACTTTAGGTGATAGGTTTACTAAAATTTATTTGATATTTTTACATAGATTATGGACTAAATTAGGTTCAAGAAATTAGAGACAAGCTCCTGCTCTATTACAGGAGCTTTCTTTTAAAAATTATTCATTCAATTATATCCTTAATTTTTCTATCCCTTCTTGCTTTGGAGTTTTCTATTCAACTGTCTAATGTTAAGATAAAGTTTCATATTGTTTTGACTCTTCACCCAAAGTTTTAAGTTTAGAAAATTTTGACATTTTAGAAGGGACAGGAAGATTTATATTTTAATAAGTAGATGTGGATCTATCCGAAAATAGTAGAGGCTCCTGTATTTTCAAAACGATTTGCGTTCTTGGTGAAGGTTAATTGATCTTTTGTTATGGTGTATGAAATTTATTTGACTTAGGACTTCTGTGTTCTTGGATTTGTCTAAATTTTGTTTGATATTCAGAAAGTGTTAATTTGCGATGACTGTTCATTATTTCAAGGAGGTTTAAAATAAAATAAAATAAAATATTTTTTGAATATCATTTCGTTGTTTTGGATATAATAGTTTTAAAAGCGGTATTAATTGCTATAGGAAAATCATTATTTTGCAATAAATAATTACGATAATAAATGATATTTATATTTTATATAAAATAATCAATTAAATTAATATTTTTTTGAAGTTTTTCATTTTGATTTCATCATATTATTAAACAAAAAATTATTTCATCAGCTAAAAATGAACTCAATATACCGTTTGGATCAAAATATATTAGCCATTTTATTAAGTTCTGATTAATTATTAGAACTTTCTAATTTGATTGATTGATCAGGTTAAATTTAAAAATATTAATTTAAATAGCTAATTTTACACTTCGATACGACTAAACTTTATTAAGTGTTTCTAATTATTCACTTTCTAATTAAGGTCATCATTTATTATTAAATTCAAGCAACTTAAAAAAAGGGAAAATTTAAATAAATCTTCTTTTTTTATAATTAATTTCATTATTATTATTGATAAAATTAAACCTTATATTTGTATTAAAATCAAATAATTCAATAGAAATTAAAAATTATAAATAAATTGCTTAATGGAGGTAATAATTATATTTTTTAAATATATCCTTATCCACAATTAAAATTATTCAACTGTAATTTAAAATTTTAGTGTATTTATTAAATATATTTTAATATAATTAAAAGTTGTATAGCTATAGAAAATATACCCCATTTAAATATTTTTCCATCATAGAAATAAAAATATATTTAGATTCAAAAATTGTTTTTTTTTTGGATTGAATTAAGTATGATCGGGAATCTAATTTTAGGGTATTGATTAATAAATAGAAAAATTATCTTCAAATTAATGTATGATTGGAATAAATATTTATTTTGAGTTTTCTAATTTGATATAAATAATTATAAAGTCAGAAAGAAGTAAAAATATTAAGATATAAATAATTAATATTAAATAAACAAAGAATTCAAATTTAGGTTTTACTTAACAAATTAAATTATTTTATTTAATGAAAGTAGTTCAAAATCCAACATAATATTTCTTTGAGCAATCAAATAATCCACCAACTGAATATTTACCAAAAATTAATGAATTTGTCAGCAAATTGCTTAATTAAAGATAATGCATTTTATGCAAGAATGATTACAATATGAAAGACAGATTACCTAGAATATTGATTCATTGTGGACATACAATTTGCACAGCTTGTCTCACAAATTTTTATAGGTAATTGAAAATTTTAATAATATTTTAGAAATAGAAGAGTAAGATGTCCACTATGTTTAAAATTAATAAAGCATCTTGATTCAGTTGATAGATTGCCAGTAAAAGAATAATATTAAACATTAGATAAATCATACAATTTTTACCAGAATGGCAGATGATATCAATAATAAGAGTAAATAACATGGAGGTACAGAAGTGATAGATCCATAACAATATTTGTTTACATAATTTTAATAATCAGCATTATAAGCATAAAAAGCACGTCAACAGCAATAAAATACATATCCTTAAGTTGATCCAGATTCAGGATTAGAGTTTTGTGAATTTCATAATGACAGAGTGAAACATTTCTTTTGTA